GATCAAACTGCACGACAGCATCTCCGATAGATTCGAACCTCCTGACCCAGGATGCGATGTTCTCCAAAACATCTCGGATCCTAACTTCTGTCCCGTCGCTTTTAGTAAAGAGAGTCCACTTCTTTCTATCGCAATGGTCTTGCTTGTCTTTTATGGACTGGGTAATTGTTCGTGGGTTAAAGCGAGTTTTTCTATCGCCGCTAAGCGTCGCTTTGTCCTTCTTATCCAGGAGGCGGAAAGCTTCGTCCCATCGGCCACGGCGCGCACTGCAATGGGGCTCAGAATCAGTATGTGACCGCGTCGTGATATGGAGCGGATAGAGCAGTACATTCGCAGCGCATGCATCCGCCGAATGAGCACACGAGTTAATGCAACTTGTGTAAAAGATAGCTTGCTGTCCTGTGTAGCCATAGCGCTAACGATCTAACGATCACGTTGAAATGGCTGTGTGAAAGGAATAGAAGGGACACTCGGTTCACCTCTCGGGAGGTAGACGAGGAATTGAAGCAGCAAAACATCAATATATGCCTAACCCCGCTCCAAGGAGCAAATGGGCTGCAAACCACATGACCTTATCTTCAGCCTCTTGAATATGAAATTGTCCATACGGAGCAGCCCTCAGCTCATTCTGGCAAATCACAGAACGAGGCAAGAAGGCAACCCTTTCCATGAAGTAACTCCCCCCAGCTAAAGAGGGACTAATATACATATAGGAGGTAGCCACCTGCAGGGGACATGAGCTTTAGAAAAGTTCTGTTTATATGCAAATCTTGAATTTCCTCGGAGGTCAGAACTTCACATACGCACGTATAAACTAGAATATCGTAGGTAGGAAAACATTAGTATGGTCACCGTGGTGACATCTTTTAGCTTATAGTGGAATATCAAAGTAAGATATCTTCTGCTATACTCCTTATATGCGTGACCTTGGCAAAGTAGGCTCACTACAGGTACTTGGCAATCAACTTGAGTCGGATCTCAGACAGTACCTACCTAGGTATCATGAGTTGGTGCAAGAGAACCATTAATGGACCCATACTTGGGTTCCGTATGTGAGTTGCTCCAATTCCCCAAGAGGATGGACGACGGAACCATTTGCTATGCTCACAATATATACTGATTAAACAGACCAGCAAGCACATACGACCATAGGTAGTGGAAAACTCGGGGTCCCGTCTGCTCCCCCATAGATAAGCCACTAACCGGCAGATTAGTAGTTGGGTGGGTGACCACCAGCGAACACCGGCTGTTGTATGTTTTTTGTCCTTTTTTGCTTTTGCCTTTCATAGGTACCTATCGCGTTTTGTCTAGTGATATGGTGAAGGTATATACCATAGGTCTCACATGAGATTTGTCATAGGAACTATTGCCAAATCTATCGCAGGCTTGTCCCAATCTTCCAAGGGGGCAACTGGGCGTATCTTGGATGACGAAAGCGCGGCAACCCGAATGTAGAAGTATTATAGAAGTACATTATCAGAAAGCCGTCATTCTACAAGGGACCTTTAATTGCAGTTGTCAAGCATGTGGACAGTCATTCCTGCCGTCCAATATGTTCTTCATCTGAGCGTCACCACGTCGCTCGGTGAACCGAGATTTATATATCGGCTTCCGCGAATGTGTCGAAGTCTAGAGAGTCTTCGTAGCCCTGAAGATGAACCGTGAAGAAAAGAAACGACCGACTACTCAGGCCAGGTCATCCAATGATAGTTGTGTCATTGTGTGATTGCGAGCCCGCGGCCCCTTTCTTGTTATCTAACATGGTTAGAGTTTGATCTAAAAACTGATCATATTAGACATCATTATGCTCGGCTTGAACTCGCTCCCAATCGCTGGGTCATAGCTTGTCTGCAACAAGGTACCTAGCCATAAGGCTGGTTCTCCTAGGGGTATGATGGGCGTGGCTGCGTTGTATGCAACTATATGCATTCAGTTGCGTTTGTTCACGCTGCTTATCAGGTTAAAATTAAAGGTAAGAGACACGCGTCTGCCCTCCTTTCTCAAATAGCTCCCTCTTTCTCAAATACCTCGCTTCAGAGGAACGAGGCCGTCTTGTTAAGCACATAGCATGGTTTTAGTTGATGTCAACACTGATATTAAGGTCTTATTCATGGGCCACCCCTGATCTGGCTGCTATGGTTATGCTATGGGTGTCGAGGATAATTGTTATGCAATCCCTTCGAAGCGCTTTATGATGATGACTTATTCAGTACAAAGCACTGTCTTATACATAGGGCAAAGTTGCCGTTGAAGTAGACTTTGCAGATCCTCAATGAATGTATTCCTTTGAGTGCTTGCTGTGGACCCATCGATCGTCCTTGTGTATAGTGTATCTGTATAGACTGTCAAGGAGTCAACAAAGCTCTTCTCTCTCTTAATTTGCTGCAAAGAGATGGGCCGGAGCACTGTCTCTGAGAGCTTCAGGCTGAAAATCGCGTCGGCATGTGATGTAATGTCCTCGTTGACCGCCCCATATACCACATCAACGCCACCAGGAGTCTCACCACGGCTGCTTATAACCCCCTCCCATGCATTAATCACTCGAGGCTGTATACTCATACACCATGTTGCTCGCCAAGTCACAACGTGTTGCCGCAACTAGCCAGGAATGAACTCATACTCGAATATAGCTGCCAGACCCTCTCGTCCATACCATATCTACATCACTTTGAGCTTGGACATGTGACAAGCTGCAGATGCTGCTGCTTGAAGAAGATCTGTAATCCGTGTAGGGCATATTGTGGGTGCTAAAAGCGGTGAAGTAAGGGTCAGATGGCCTAGGTTCGGCCATGTTGAAGATTCAGAGAAAAACTCTGCAGCATCTATCATAAATGATGCTGAGAGAGCTTCTCCGAGATTCACTTAAGCAAGCTTCTGACTGAGACAAATAGTAGGAGCATGGGCTGGCCAGGTTTCTTATAAAAAGTAGAGCGGGTATTGTTGGTTGGAATGTTCAGAGATTGTGAACTTACTCAGCCCTTCGGGAGCTGGAAGAAGCGCAAGCAACGCTGCGAAACTATGAGTGTTTGGCAACCTTGACTGATGAATTACTCACATTGCTGCCAGATCTCGTGAAACTCAAGAAACCACTGTATCCAGAAATTTCATGGTGGAACTCACGCAAGCCAGGAAGGTGGGAAAGAATCTAGGAGACTGTAAACGTCTCACACCGGCGATAAGTCTGTAGCTTCAGTTCAAGACGTGTCACCTCCGGAACCTTTGGTGCCTGCTCCCAACACTTCCGTTCATCCTTAATGGGGGGGCAGACATGTCCAAAGAGACGCTCAAGACTGTATCCTGGTGGTATTGACCCCGATGCAGTCGTTTCCCATCTGTGTTTGTCAGGCTCCTCGCTTCAGGCAATGGGCATCGGCTCGATATGGTGTCCCGTAGCGTCGGGCATAAAGATTAGAGACTTGAATGTGTGCTCTTCGAGTACAGGCTAATGTCCAGGGTGAGGCCCCCATTTGGCTCCCACTTGTTCAACGCTGTGAACAGCGACTGGAGTAACTCCAGGATGAGCTCGTTATCCATTTTGCTTGTACGTGTTGCGCTAGGTCTAAGAGAATTGCACCCGCGGCAGTCGTATCGCTCAAGCTCTATACGAAACCATATTTAACGCACATGATTCCGGTTGCGCTGCGTCATGACGCCGAGTTCGTCAATGCGTTGAAACGTGACCCGTATATATGCAAAGATGTGCGACTTGATGACAGCCTGCCATTCCCGTGACACGACAGAAGCATTGGCTAAACTGCAGTTGTCATCTGTCAGGGCTTTGAGAAGCATTCACTTGATTTCGAGGGGAACTGAGACCAAACCATCTTGACATAGAAAAACAGTGAATGACCTGGAATGGATTTTTGAGTTTGTCGAGTTTGTGGTTAGTAATTGCTGGCAGCAAGGGGTAGTTGGCTTCTCATAGTTGAATTGCTGCGCATTGTGTTGAATGCAAAATCGTTATGTGCCGAGAGTACTTTCTGTGAGTCAACTACGTGTAGCTCGAATGATCCAGTAATGAAAATTGCAACCATAAAGAGGCGTATCCTTGAGCCTTTATCAAGGGTGTCGTCCTCGATAAGGGCTCGGTGCTGCCCATGGCTGCGCTATGGCTGTGTTATCCAGCCATGAGGCTGGTTCTCTCCGGCCAACTAAGTGCGTGGCAGTGTCACATGCATCCAAAGACATTCATCTGCTACTTCCCGGGCTGCCCCATCAGGTTGAGATAAGACGGAGCGCATACTTTGGCTTTGATGTTACCATTGTCTCCAGACTGCTTCGAAAGCCCTTCAGCTGCTCCTGTATTATGGTAACGACACTGAGAAGCCCCTGATGTTCGCAATAGAGGGACAGGTCCTAAAAGTTGCCAAGCTATATTCTCAATAAAGCTCATACAATTGTACATTATATGCAATACTTGAGCCAGGTTTCTTCGCTCTTGGCTTTCACCACTCTTGGTATCAGTTGCCAACGCAGCTCGGAGCAATCAAGTAGTGACCATTTGTCCTTGTTCATAGCTAATCGCGACTTACGATATAACGGCTTGCAACCCACTTTCTAGCACATACGACCATAGGTAGTGGAAAATTCGGGGTCCCGTCTGCTCCCCCATAGACAAGCCACTAACCGGCAGATTAGTAGTCAGGTGGGTGACCACTGGCGAACACCGGCTGTTGTATGTTTTTTTTTTTAGTTTATAACCATTTCTCCTTTCTTTTTACTTTGTTTCTTTCAACTCAAGGTGTAATACCATTTTGCTGGCCAGTTCCCCTGTACGGGGCTGCAACACGGGGCTGCAGGCTTGACTAGTGAGGTCCCTGGCAACTGGGTCATGTAACTTGAGCGCTTACATCCAATACCTATGGGCGAACTTAGGGCGGAGGGGGTGGCTGCATTGAGTACAAGTCTTCAAAGAGTCTTCTATACTCTCTCTCGATCTTATGCTCTATGGCATATCTAGATCATCCCAGTATCCTGTGTATTGAGTGGCCCCCTTAGCACTAGAAGTGGTAGGGCCCAAAGTCCCGATATCCAATGCCCTTGACAAAGGTCTGCAACCATGGGCCTTGCGTCTTTGTCTCGGCGAGCTCACAGAAGAGCTTTGCATGTGCCTCTCCATCAATCTTAAAGGCGGCGGAGCCATCCGCCTTCCGTTCATCCACATAATAGAACCTGCGCAACTGTCAGCTACACCCACTCAAGGCCGCTAAAGGACGATCGGGATGACTTACTTGAACCCTTTGTCTTTGTATTCAGCAGCGGCGGCCATCATCATGTGCGCAGATGCCGACTTGCCGGCGCCAGATTCGAGGAACTGAGGGAGCGGCTTGACGTTCAGGATGTTGCCCGTAAATGCGAACACCCTCGGCGCCTCGGCAGGGAGCTCAGCGAATCCGAGAACGGCTTGCTGGGCGGCGACAAAAACACTGGTATTGTTGACGATCATGTCTCGCTTGAATGCATCTAGCGGGATCGCAAATGGGTCGCCTGGGGGAGCAAATGTCGCGGCGCCAGCTACAAAACGCTCAGCTGGTATTCACTAAGGGTCCTTCTGTGGCCCAAGACATACCATTGTAGATGACAACATTTGGGATGCCCAGCTCCTTCTTGACCTTTGAGAAGGCATTGATGACATCGTCGGGGTTAGCGAAGTCGCTCTTGATGTTCAGTTGACTGTCTGTGCTTTCTGCCTCGTTCAGGGACCGGGCTGCGACGGCAACCTTGTAGCCTTTGGAGGCAAAGGCCTTTGCGGTTGACAGGCCGACTCTGGGTCCGGCACCGAGGATGAGAACAATGGGCGATATTCCTGGCATGATTTGGAGTGTAGGCGATAGTTCAGCTAATGTGCAGTAGAGCAAGAATGCGGCGAGCATTGGTCTGCTTTATACATGCTTCCATATTTCACACTGAGGCAAACTAGGCGGAGACACTCAGCCCTTGTCTTACCAAGTGATCCGGAGGAGCGAGATCTCTGCTGGTAATTCTATGATGAAAAGTCATCGCGGAGCCGGACTAGGCCCGGATGCTTACTGGTAGCAATTAGTGGGTTTTCGGCTGTGACCCGGAGCCGGACCCTTCGGAAGGTCCGAAGTCGAACATTACATATCATGTCCAATTCCGTTCTCTGTCATTATAGCGCTTGGTCATATGAGTCGCGGCGTATTATCTCTTTGCTCCCCAAGGTCCGACTGATCCTCCAGTGGCTATGACTGATCATTATCTTGCAAAAGCTACACGAAGTTGCTCATCTTACTGTACTTACATACCTATGCTAGGAACTTCCGAGGCGGGGCGTGCAGTCGTGGACTACCCATCCAACGAGAAGAGATCTTTGAGATCAAGGCTCTCCGACTACGAGTCCTCCGCTCCGGCTGACTTCTTTGCCTTGTAGATGCATAAGCTTGTTCGATCGCTATCCCTTTGCTACTTCGGTGCATTTAGTTGAGTAGAAATGCTGTGTGGTATCGTTAGCCTTGATTAGCTAGCTATTTCTTCATGATATTGTTCATTCACGTAGAAATATAGAAGCAAGTCAGAAGTCCGTGATGCCATTGACCTTGCACTCCATCAATCATCATATTTTACATCATCAGCGCATATCTGAATCACTTCAGCAGCTCGCCAGCTTACAGTCAGTTTTCGAACAAACAACACGCCTTCATTCAAATGGCGGAAATGAAGCCGATCAAAGTGTTTGGCATTCACGGGCCCAACGCCGGTAAAGTTCTTCTCCTCTGTGAGGAACTGGGGCTGCCATACGAGACCGAAGTGATTCCCCTTACCGACGTCAAGAACCCCAACTACCTCGCCATCAACCCAAACGGGCGGCTGCCTGCCATCCAAGACCCAAACAAGGGACTCACTCTGTGGGAATCGGGCGCCATCATCGAGTACTTGACGGAGAAATACGACACCGACCACAAGCTCAGCTTCGAGCCGGGCACAGCTGAAGCGTACCATGCTCGCCAGTGGCTCTTCTTCCAAACCACTGGCCAGGGGCCCTATTACGGGCAGGCGATGTGGTTCATCATCTACCAGCCGCTTCCCGAGGCGCGCGCGCGCTACGTCAAGGAGGTCAACCGCGTCACTGGCGTGCTGGAGGGGCACCTGGCGAAGCAGAAGCCTGACGCGGACGGCAACATTTGGTTCTTGGGTGGGCGCCTCTCCTATGTGGATATTGCCTTCTTTACGTGGCAGCACACGGCCGAGCCACGAATTCCGGATGAGGAGTTCAACCAGGGTGACTACCCGCACGTCAAGAAGTGGCTTGACAACATGCTTGCGCGTCCGAGTGTGCAGAAGATTGTAAAGATCCAAGAGGCCAAGTGAATAGATTATGGCAGGGAAAGGGTATTCCTGTCTTATACGGGCGAGTCACTACCATAAAAGTTGAGTCGAGGCTGAGACATGCCGTGTTCAAAGTAGACTGATGAATAAATTCTTCTGCATTATGCGCCTACTGTCTGGACGACTGCTTGGGGTGCTTGAAAGCCCACTCAACTATTCTGAATGTCCTGCAGGACCAGCCTGCGGCCATGGGGCTCGTTGGCAACCTTGCATTAAGAATCGGTCATGTTCAAATGATCATGCTAGGGTCGCCGGAGGCATTGTACTGAAAAGGTGAATAGCCTCTTTTGCTTCGAAGTTCAGGCGATTACAAGTGCGACGCATTCGCGCCAATTCCTCGGACTGAGAGAGTGTGCTCGAATCCCTGGCCAGTGTCTCCAACAAGCGTAGAAACGGCTCGACGAGATCGAGATCTGAAGTTGCGTCTGGCGACAAAGGATGCCGTGACAAGTTGATAAGCATGCTGCTGGCTGCAGCGAAGAAAGCGTGAAGAAGCATCCTGGCGCGAGTCAGTAAAGCAATTCAGCAATGATTCTCTTCTTGTACAGATAGAGATGATGATTTACCAGACACAGGCGCAATCTCCTTGAGGAATGGCTTCGACGAGCCGGATCGCTTTGCGTGACTCGGTGACGCATAGACTGCCTGGGGGCGATGATGACAACCGCTCTGACATGCTGAGCTGTAGGTAGGAGGAAGGCTGCGCCATCGGGGCCAAGTGTCGATCAATCATTGTGAGGCAATGGAGATATGTGAGTCGTAGAACCACCTTGTGGATCATCTCGCCTGAAAGTGGGAGCCCTGACAACGTCGTGGAGTCCTCTGGTAGATAGGATTGCGCGCTGGACTTCCAGTATGATAACAAAGTGCTCAACTCCTGTGCCGCAATTGCTCTCTGGGCTGCCGTTTGCCGTCCAGCCCGTACAGAATACAATTGTTTATACACCTGCCCCTGGACAAGCGCAAGCCCTATCCGACAGTTGAAAAGGCCTAGGTTACCATCCTCAAAGCTTGAGCTTGATGGCAGACGTACATCCATTTCATCGTCATCTTGACCAAAAGGTCGACCCGTCCGCAGGCTGATATCCTTGTCAAGTATATACACCTTCCAAAACACCCGCCTCCGTTTCTCGGCTTCTGCCTCAGTGAGTCCCGGACTGGAACATTCCCTGTGAAGGTTCATGGCCTGTGCCAGTCGTAGAGCGGCGGCAACGAGCATTGCGGCCGGCGCGGGATCCGGTGTGCCCTGAAGAATGCAAGCCATGCCCGCCAGGGCCTGGACGGCAGAGAGGCTGCGGTCCGAGACGTTGAGCTCGGAGATGACGCTGAAGGCGTTGTGCACATAACCATAAGCTAGATTGTGGTCCTGCGTCGGGTCCGCTGCGCGAATGGAGCGGAGGCGATGAGCTATCGACAGCACAACGTTGAGGCATGCCCACCAACCAGCGTCACGAGGACTGGAAGACTCATACTTGAGGTGAAACTCTGTCAAGAAGTCCTCTTCATCGAATAGCGGAAGGTACTTATTATAGTTGCTGAACATGTCCTCGACCAACTTTTGAGCGAATGCCTTTGTGGGAAGCGGCTGGAGGGCTGGAAGAGAAGCTGGGCGCAGCTCTGGAGCGGGATGAGGCCACAGACCGTCGGTTACATAACCTCCAAGCGTAGACAAATCGGCTGCTGTGTTCAGTAGCGCTACGGGTGTCGTCTGCTTTTTACGCCGATTGATGTCAGTCACAGTTGGCTTACCCAATGACCTGTCTTCTAGCAAAGCCTCTACTCCCAGAAGCCTCTGTTCTAGCTGTGCGATATATCTGAAGCTGGTGAACATTCAGCAAAGGCAGAATCCGCGGGCTGGAGTGGCATAGTTATGTACTTACCCAGCTGGTCTGCGAGGCTTCCTCTTCGTTGCAATGGGCGTAAAATGACACCTTGTGCCATATTTGGTGCATGGACCGCATCCTTGCGAAGTGGGCTCGCAGCGTATCTTCTTCTTGCGGCACATGTCGCAAGCCTTATATAAGAGTGTCAGTAGAGGCGGAATGCCATCGGAGTTTCAGTTTAACTTACACGAATAATGACTGGCCGCTCCTCTTCCTCGGCATTTAGCTGGACCCTAAGATCCGTTTGTCGCTCCATGACTTGTTGCTTAAAGCTGGCCTCGAGTGAAAGGGTGCAAGATGAGCATCATAGGAGGCCTGGGCTTGATTGCTTCGCAAATAGTGACTTCGAAGAACATAAAAGACATTCATTCTGTTGTAGCGGATCCATCACCTCTCTACCTAGTTGTTATCGACAGTCAAGGGATGGATTATAAATCAGAATCCTTCCGTATGGCGGCTCCTACACTATTTCGCGGGGAGGCAGGGCCTGGCCAGAAAATCCGCAACTCCGTACGAGTGTGAGACTCACACGAATGCCATTGGTAACGGGGATGGTGGGTCGTGTAAGAATGCGAGCCATCACATATAAACACAGGGATACCTCATTATTGGACCTCGAGGCTTCATGCGCCGTCATAAGAAGTCGAAGCGGACCTTTGCTCACTGTCTTGCCTTTACACAAATTAAGATGGGGAGCAGACAGGCGTGTCAAGTCCGCGGCTATCCCTGGGGCCTGGATAAGCGACAAGGTAGACAAAGGAACAAAAGCATCAAGATATTGACACCGACAGCATCTCTCGATGGACCAATTGACAATTTTATTTCTTTGCCTGTTCTTAACAGTTTGCTGAGCATTGTTCGAAGATAAACATGCTTTTGCCGGTAAAGAATCGAGCCTCAGCATCAACAGCAGCAAGCAATGTGAATAAACGAACCGTCACTCTCGCTTACCGTCATGCCGTCTCTCCAGGGCTTTTGGCCTCACTGTTGTAGACTGTAGACGTACTGTGATTTTACTGTTTGTTGGCTTTACAAGTTTTGAATCCTTTCAACATGGATTAATATGCGGTCGAGCGTCCAACAACATCTGATACGGCAGGCTTGTGCGGCGCCGCTGTCAGCATGCAGTGAGAGAGACTAACGAACCCGCACTGTCGAAAGTTGAGAGCCTTCACATGTTGAATCCTCTCATGACCAAATCATCGAGAGAATCAAACAAGAAGCTCCGACGTCGCTCATTCCATCTTCAAGTCTCTTCATACCCACGAGCAAGTTACTGCGTATCAGATTCACTGAGGTTTTGGTATTAGACAACCGCCATGAGCCCCATACTGAGCGTGTCGACCAAGATTGAGATTGCGGCGTCTCCCGCCGTTGTCAGATCAGTGGTACGTGCGTCGACACCAAGCAGCCACTTCTTGTTCCAGCAAGCATCTAACTTGGAAGACGAGCATCTCTGACTGAGCTCACAGTTCCTAGACTTTGCTCGATACACACAATGGCAGCCTGGCTGGAACATTCAGCCCGCTGATGCCAGCAAACAGCCGCTCGATCTGAAAGCGGGGGACAGCCTCAAAGTCAACATGAACGGAAACGTCCACCATCCCACTGTGGTGGTAGGTTGCAACTCCCTTACAGCTGCATCAAATACAAGACCCTGTGCTGAGAGTGCAATGGTATAGGAAAACTCGCCTGAGACTTTCCAATGGGAGGGATCGCTTTTCGGCCTTGCAAAAGGCGTTCACCAGTTCCACTTCACGCCTAGCGATACGACTCCGGGAAGCACCACGTTTACCCAGGGCGAGGACTTTCGCGGATTACTGATTACGCTTTCTTCGCCTTGGTGGAACGGGAGGAAGTTTGACATGGGGCCGTGGGACAAGTTCAATGCGGACCTGAAGGTTGAGGTGGAGAAGTCTTTGAAGTAGGACTCACGAATTCTGTTTTGGTCATGAATGAGCGGCTGGTTTTCGGAAAGTGTCGGGCTATTGACTAGTAAAGAAACGAGCTGTTACATGGCGATGCTTCTGTCGTAATCGGGAGGCAATTTCGGCAGAATAAGGTCTGTCCTGAAAAGTGATCATGGTGATTTCTCCTAATTGTATTTTCACAGTTAATCTCATGGATAAGGATAGACAACATGATTGAAATTACTTTTATTATGATTATCTTTTACTCTGGGTACTACAATTCTCTCTTAATTCTCTATATCAAGAGGCACGACGCTTGCATTTCATCCGTAGTGAAGCTCTCCGATTACTGTGATTAGTGAAGAACATTGCCTCAGCTAGGATGGATTGAACCACTCCTCTGTGCGCAATTCGCGTACTCTGCTTAAGCTGTCGATTGTAGAAGTGCCGATTCGCATCCTCGTATGCTCGGCCTCCTCTGCCAACCTCGTGGAGGGCTGTTCTCCCAAGTAGCTTGTTGCAAACAGTCGCTTGATATATCGCTGAATGTACGTCTTCAGTTCCTTCAGACGGGCCTGGGTCAATCGATGTTTCGTCAACGGCCATCTGCCGGCCTAACGTTTGCGATGTACGCGAGGAAGTCAAGGGATGACGATGTAGTTGATGACGGCCGTCGTTCTGGCTGTTTCTTACGCTCCAGCTCTTCCACCCAACGTTCTCGAAATTGATATAGTTCATCCTGCAATCTGGCAGCCTCCCTTTCCCGTCTTTTGATCGCCGCCTTTTCTGCGCGTGTCAGTGGTATCGGGGGCAGCGGTGCCCGCGCAACGGCCTCAAAGACCGGCACCCACGTTGGGAGATCCTTCAGCTCTCGCCGTGCATCGCGCACAGCAATCATAAGCAGAGCCCTGAGCGCAAAGTGTGCGTCGTTGCCAGCGAAGTGAAGTAGTCCACCTTCGCATGGAATGTCGAAGTCTTGGAGGAGCTTCCTGAGCGTGGAATCGTGAAGTTCCTGAAGTGGATAGCGTGCAGCTTTTGCCGTGTCAATTTCGAAGATTTGGTTCGGATCAATGTTGAGTCTTCGGAGAACAATCCTTTCGCGAGAGATTCCGTGGGCGACAAGGACCCTGGGAGAGAAAGGCTTGAGCAGCTCCTTCAAGCGCTCCTCAAGACCGGAGAGCGGAATGCACTCATGCTGACCGAAGCAGAAGCGACTGTCATTTTTGGTAAAGTACTGGGAATCTTCGACAGCCCAGTGGTAAGACCGTATGATGTTTGTCTGGGAACCTGTAATGGGGAACGGATCGTGACAGAGCCCATGCAGGTCCTTGGTTTGCAGAATCGAGATGCCAATGTGGAATCGTATCGGCATACCATCGTTCCGCTCCTCAAGCTCATCGATATCAATAGCTACAAAGGTTACATTCTTGAAGCGCGTATTTGGCTTCTGTGATTGCCAAGTAAAGCCTATTTGCGGCCAGCCCGGAGGTTTCTTCCAGCCAGGCAAGTTTTGGCTGTCGTAGAATCCAAATATCCAGCGCAGAATGACGGTTCCCTCCCTCAAGAAAACTTGACGCTTCGGTTGAGCTAGAGTCTGTTCCTCGTTTAGGATCCCAGCAGGCGCGGGCCTTTGGGAGGATGCCTCGAAATTTGACATTGCTGAGTTGAGCCTGTGCTCTCAAGAGTTAAGGTACGGCTCCGGTTTTGGTGACTCTGAACTCTTGTCTGAATACCCGGTGGTTTGTCTGAGATTGACAGATCCTGATCTTCTGGAGAGATGCAACTGAAGAGTTCTCCTCAACATGACGGCAGCGACTGACGCACAACTTATGTCTGCCTGGTTGGAGACAAGCCTAGAGAGATATTCTTTGTAACAAAGTTTGAGGCGAGTATGCGCCACCTTTGCAGAGCGAACGTGACAGACATCAATATGAGAGGCAGTTTACCGAGGTCAAGAACTCCAGCGTGCCTTTTTATCTCGTATCTAGTTGGTATACATAGCGAAGCATTCTATGAGTAACTGCCGGTAATCCAGAACAATAATTGCTACAGTTCTTCCTCTACATTCACAGGGCAAAGACATGGCGAGATGTCTTTGAGGTGGCGTCAGGTACCTACCTAGAGCTACCTAGCTTCAAGGGGGAATTTCATTGTATCGTAGACTTGCCGCATCTGGAAACTGTAGGCTAGCCTAAGAACGGGAACATGATTGGAATCTGCTCTTCTCGATGAGGTACGCTCGACTTCTTTTCAGTCGACAACAGTTGGATCGCCTAGGAAGCATTGTATGGTGAGGGGGAACGGCAAGATAAGCGTTCCACTGACTTCTACTCTTTGTCAAGGCCAAAGGGAAAGGCTATTCGTCGATGAGTTGCTTCAATTTACAAGCAGTAAATGGCCATGTCATGAACGCAGTATCGACAAGACAGAGGCGATTACACTTTGAAGTTTCCATCATTACAATCGGAAGACCTGGGTTCTGTTACTGTCTTTTGGTAAATGTAGTCTTGACCGGTTGGAACAGATCTATCCCGATGAAATGGTGTGCTAGGGGACCATCAGTCGTGGGCCTCGAACATTTGATACCACAAATTGAGTCTCTCGGTTCTGATCTCCATGGGCGGGATATCGGCGCCAGGAGAGACAAGGGTACCATCTGGGAGCTTAGTGAGAGTCAACATGCCTCGCCGTATTGCCATCATTTTCATGATGGGCCGTATAGCATGCTGTGCCACTATTGCCGAGAACTTCTGGCTACTCCCATATGCGTCAAATAAGGTGGGATGCAAGAGAAAGATGGGTTCCTTAAGCCGGTCCACCATGTCCTCGTACTCCCTGCATTCGCGTCGTGCAATTGCGTCGGCCAGGGCCAGGCCCGGGTCCTGGCTCGGCTCGTGGTTGCTGGGGGTGTCAAGATCGCTGCCTGGGTTGCTCTTCAAGCGAAGCAGTCATATACCCTTATACTGGCCTTCCGTTCTGATTCCCCCCCAGACTGCTAGAACGGGCTACTTGCTTACAGAGCTTGTTTCCCAATGTCACTTCACTTCCATTCCAGAATGATTTGACCCACGCCTAGACAGATTTACTGACTAAATGTAAAGCCCAGGTTCTTGCGTTTGTACGCCGAAAGTTCCGATCTGGACGTCGTGATTGTGCTTACAATTCGACAGGAAAAGACGAATTCACGGTTACATCGTCTGGTATAAAGACCGTCTTGTGTCCTGGATCATGACCATGGATCAGGTCCGGCATCAACATCTTTACTTAATCTTCCTGCCCTAAGTATACACGATATCACACCTTTTCCAATAATCAATTACGGAGCTGGAGCTACCATATCAGAGACATGTACGACCTGTTTCGGGAATCAGCACTTGGCCAAGCCATCCGGCTTATGTCCGGCAACAGATGGCTGCTGTATCCAGAAGAGAGATCGGACTTTGTACTGCCGCCGCAGTACGCAGCGCTCTGATCGAACGGCGACAAACACCACGAAGCAACATCTGCTGGGTTAAGCTCAAACGCAGACCACGACTCTTCATCTCCGATAGAATCTTCTCAGACTGCAAATAATGACGACCAGTTCGAGGACATGGCAAGGCTGCGTTCAGTGGCTAGCATCCAAAGCGGTCCATATATCGACCACGGAAGATTCGACCCCGAACAGCAGATCGAGTTGAACGAAACAAAGAGTGTACCAATTGTGCCACAAAAGACGAATGACGGGATCATTTTAGTTGATTGGTATACGACTGACGACCAAGAGAACCCTCGCAACTGGTCATCGTTGAAGCGAAGCTATATCGTCTTTGTCATCTGCCTGTATACGTGGGTTACATAGGTGGCCGGTTCCGTCTTCGCCTTTTCAGAATCTGGCATCGTCGACCACTTTCATGTCAGCGTCGAGGCATCTGAGCTTGGACTTGCTCTATATGTGCTGGCGTACGGAGTAGGGCCGCTCATCTTTGGCCGTCTCACAGAGATCCCCGTTATCGGAAGGAATCCCGTCTACTACCTCACGTTCCTCGTCTTTTTTGCCTTGTCATTTCCTGCAGCTACCATAAACAGCTTCGGCGGCCTCTTGGCTATCCGGTTCTTTGCCGGCTTCTTTGGTAGCGTTGGAATTGCCATTGGTGGCGCTTCTATTGGCGATGTCTTCGCCCTCATCTACTTCCCCTATGGCCTTGGCTGGTGGGTGTTGTCGTTTTGGGCGGGCCCTGCTATTGGACCGACGTTTGCTGGGTTTGCAGCCATGGCAGAGGGCTGGAGATGGCCTCTTTGGGAGGTCCTCTGGATCTGCGGAGTCATGGCCATCTTCCTGCTGGCTCTGACACCCGAAACGTCAACGCCAAATATCCTGCTGAGGCGTGCCAAGCGCCTTCGAAAGCTCACTGGCAATGCGCGTCTCCAGTCACAGAGCGAGATTGACCAAAAGCACATGACGGGCACTGATGTGCTCATTGCTGCCCTGCTCAGACCCTTTGAGATCACCATCAAAGACCCCTCTATCTTCTTCGTCAACCTGTACACGGCCTTGACCTGAGCGATTTACTTTACCTTTTTTGAGGTTTTCCCTCTCGTGTTCCCGCCATTCTACGGCTTCAACCTTGGCCAAACCGGACTTGCGTTTCTAGCCTGCGAGGTTGGCTCTATCCTGGCGCTCATCCTCTACTTTGCCTACCTTTACTTCTACAGGATCCCAGACAACCTCAAGAATGGATTCAGAGAGCAAGAGCACCGCTTGTTGCCTGCAATCTTTGGTTCCTTTGTTCTCCCTGTTGGGCTGTTCATTTTTGCCTGGACTGCACGCGCCAGCATTCACTGGATTGTTCCGCTGTTTGGCGTGACCATCTTTGTTCTTGGCCAATACATGGTTATTCAGGGCCTCTTCATATATGTGCCGGTTTCGTACCCTCAGTACGCGGCCTCGATTTTTACGGGCAATGACTTGATCCGATCGGCTGTTGTGTTTGGGTGTATCCTTGCGGCGAGGCCAATGTTTATCAACCTGGGTGTTCACAAGGGCGTTACTGTTCTTGCTGGGCTGAGCATCATGGGGATTATTGGAACGTTGCTCATGTACAAGTATGGTAAGACGTTACGTGCCAAGTCGAAGTTTGCGCAAGCTTAGGCAACTGAAGAGGTGGTGCATTTGCTGCCGGTGATGAACACCTTATCGGCTGTTGAACACTGGTTCCTTGCTTTGGCAAATCAATAATGTTTTGATAACGGTGGATGATTATGGACAACAAACCTGGCTTTACGTCAGGAGATTTGGATAATCTTGCCCGCAGCTTTCATGAAGATGATGGGTCTATTGACTTACGATGAGAGGTGGAAGACCTCATAGAATTATAACGTATGATTGATGAGATCTGAATGCCTCTCGAGATGGATTGTAAAATGTTGGAGTAGTTGGTTTGACAAATATTGTTCACTCAACTGTGCCGTGCAGCGCCTAGGAGACTTATACAGGTACTGTTCATTAGAGGACTGTTGATTGCTTGACTTGCTATATTGCTCCAACAGCTCAAATGGCGCGGTAACACATTAACGATCACGATTCATACCCTAATATGCCGCGTGTTGCGATTGAACAAATAGTCTGTCCAGATAGTTGATCTAGCTCATGAGTATTGACACTGCTCACGAATTGTGGTTTGAACGAAAGTCTTTGCAGCAGTAGCAGTGAACGAGAACGGGCCGTCTGTGATTGTGTCTTCAACACCATGACCGTAGAGTTTATATCATGGACCTCCCATCCTACAAGGTGTATGGAATGCCACTCACAATCTCCCCAGCCAACCAGCAACTCCTTTACGAACCCGCAATCTGCTTTGGCTCCCAGAACCAGATCAGGATCCAAGGCTCACTAGAACCGCAGCAAAGGGGCTACACCAACTGTCATCAAGATCACCCAAGATGCCGTCTAATGATCGTCTCAGGCGCCACAAGCGAAGAAATGCATCTGGCCGTGCCAAAACCAGCACCGAGAGGCAGCTAGCACCGGTAGACCACATGGAGGAATCACAGATCTTGGAGATCTCGCCGACTCAGCTAACAGAAATTGACTTGAAGCCGCAGGTGGCCATGAAGCAAGCCTGTGATTCCGGATCTACTCACATCCCTCGGGATGCTCCAACATCTGGCGATCATCGAAATGCTGAGCGTCTCGCTTTGCCGGAAGCTAAAGGCCAAAACAAAGACGCCCCAAAGCCTAAAGACGACGAGATCAAGAAGGGAGTAAGCCAAGGCTATCTGATGGCTGAGGACGGGCCTTGGAACACTGTGTCTCTCTCGTCCGACGAGGACAGTGGATGGGTCAGAATCCACCGGGATGACTACGAGGCGGAATGGCATGCGGTAAGTCCCAATGGGCATGATGTCAGTCAGAAAGATGCGGGTGCCTGCATTGAGGACGACTGGGAACTTGTCGACGAGTGGACCTCAGTGGATGTCTGAAGCCGTAACCCGGAATCATCGGGCGAGCCCAAGCAGGCCGATGGATAGATACCAGGAGAGCAGGGCGATGAGACGCGGGAAGTTAGTGCAGCGTTCCACGAGCCCGTGAAGTATTGACCACGGGCATTTTTTGGGGCCTGCGGGCAGCTTCTGACGCTTCTGAAGGGATTTGTTGATCAACTGAGACTTGCAGGCATCGCGTCGCGATGACAGAGATAGTTCCTGAATAACAGCTGATTTGTCTTTTTACTGAATATGACAGCCCCTGGTTTTGTGACAGAAGCAACAGCGATGGTCCGAAGCAATTTACGGAAAGATGCAGTAGTCTAGGCACTCAGCAGCCTACCAGGAATGAGTTAGGTAACGAGAAGTAAGATGACATGGCTGACCTGAACTCTGTCAATGCTGCATGCGTACCATTAGCCTATAGTCAAGATTGGGGTAGAGCTCTCTGACCAAACTTGCATATGCAGCTTTAAAACTGCCTGTGCTGCAGGAAACACCAACTAACATTGCTATGCATATGAGAATCGACGAGCAAAAGTTGAGCGGATAGGTGAGTCGAAACGCCTCTTGAGCTTGGCATTATCAAACTGGTTGATCGACAGGAGGCTCGGCCCTCATCCATCCCTCTCTCATCCAATGGCCTAAGCCAAGAAAGTGATGCCAAAAAAAGAAACAAACAAGCCTGGGGCAAAGAGCTCTAGAGGCTTGACCAAGACTCGGGCATCTTTTGACCCGACAGCCTCTTGGGACGATATTCCTTAGTCAAAGGCTTAGCCATCCCAACTATAGAAAGACCGGGCCTTTGGAAATTGAGGCCAATCGAGATCGCAGACAGTGTAGCCGGGCACCTTTCCTGCTTGATTCGGGCCACGCTACGAAGCCACAACGCAATCACCAGTTTCCGGTCTATCAAGCCTGGGAAAAAAACTCGACCGGGCAACAGCTAATGTAGGACGGTAGTCATGGTGGTGTGATGGGCACAGTTGCGGCTGAACTTTGTCCTCCTTTGAGGCTTGAAATCAGGTCTTGCTTCCTTCTCTGTGCCTCGCATTGTCGAGTTGCAACTCCACAGCGGCACACGGTGAGCGAGAAGAACGATGCCGAAGATGGATCAAAGTTTTCATTCCCCTTTTAAGTTATTAAGCATCATCTCGAGGGTTAACGGAAACACTGGCTATCCACAAAGACCCCGTATATGCTTATAGCTCATGTTTCTTACCTTGCGGGAACAATCAGCGAGGAAGCCAGGCTTCAGTGTGTAACGCTGGACGACGCATATGCACTGACTTCTTTCTGAGGGGGAAGGCATCCATTGTGCTTGAAATTCAGAACCAACCTGCCTTTCAGCCTGTGTTTCGAAACAAGCATGACAGCAGAAAGATGATCATGCCCGAGGATTCTAAGCAGCGGATCAATGGATCAATCCGCCCAACTTGGGAATAGTTTCATGATTTGGCTTGCATGTTGCTGCGTCCAAGCAAGTCCCCTAGTATCTTCGCACAAAGTAGACAAGCTCGTATGATGTCTGCTTTAGAAAACTGGGGTAGGCAAGCTGACACAGTGCGTGCGATATCCCGTATCGCAGAAGCCCTCCTCCGAACCACTTGAACCACCTCAGGCCACACAGCTTTGGTAGGTATGACTGCATCTCTAGGTGATGCATGCCTTTGCTGGCCACCAGCTCTCTCCAATCAAAGACAGTTCACCTCTCGCAGCCTCGAGTGTCCCACCCCCCTTTGCACCGCCCCTCCTGCTGTAGTACATACATAGAGAGCGCCCTTGCAAAGGAGTTGGACATGTGCCCCGAGTGCACTGTGCCCGACTTCCATCTCCTGCTGCTTCTAACCGCATGGACACAAGCAGGCAGCACGACCCCAAAGTCTAATCCCCCCCTCACTAGCCGTGGTCCCGATCGAGCAACCCATGCGGCAGCTTCGGAAGTCGGGCTGCTCTCCGTCCAAGGTTCAGGCAGCTCCACACGCTTCCCCCTGACTCCGGCAAAAGGGGCCGCGGGGAAAAAAGACATGGGTCAGTCAATGCTTGTGTGCGGGATGTCTTGGAGTCTCCACAATCTTGCTGCCATGTGTTGGACCCTCAGCTCAGGCATTGTTTTAGCCGAAGGAACAGGGTTTGTTACAGATTTGATCGATCATATTTCCTTCGATGACGATCTGAAAAGGTAATGACACCCAGCAGGTTTGTTGAACTTGTGTGATTGCTGGGGAAGGGAGATGGGGCAGAGATGGAGAGCTCTCATCCATCATGAGTCTCATCTCATCAAGCCCACTTGGCCGTAATTCGGCGGCTCTCCGTTCATACGAGTTTTTTCCCGCCATGTAAGGGAGAGACATGTAGATGTACAGTATGTGATTTGCTTCTATTTCTCCCAAGCTGATTGATTCCCGCAGGATGTTGTCCATCATGGGTTAAGAGGAACCGGTTCTCTTGCCACTGCAGCAAGCCACCGCTTCCCTGGTCTCTGCCTAGCTCAGGTCTTGGTCCAAGCAGCCATTGGCAGCAGGGAAGCTGAGCCGTTCCGAGTCAATTCTTGACCCCGGATTCCCGTCTTCTTTGCACCCTAGCTCGGGTTGAAAACGGGCTGGCTCAAACAAGCCCTTTCACCCATTTTGGGAAACAGGCGTTGAAATCGGCACTCGCTCCATTCAGAAAGCAGAGGTCACCACCACCTCGACTTCTCGTGATGTGTCGTAAAATCATAGATGATATAAGAGGTCGTCCAAGCCTTTGGCTAATGTGAAGCCACGACAACCATGATGGAGGCCATTAAAGCAGGATAAGCCGTAGGAAGCTTGCAGGGATGGCGGATGCTTGTTTATGCTCTGTCTCTTTCTCAGGATTTCGATAGCCTTTGCAGTAAGGTTAATGATCTCGTATTCCGCTCGCAGAAATGGGTGTTCTCAGCCGTCCAATGACGGCAAGAGGAGTCTCGTATTCCTCAACGCCATGCTGATGCCATGATGTTACTCTTAGCAGAAAGCTTAAGCTCTCTGGCTGAGAGCGACGATCCTAATGGATGAGACGTACAGTGCTTGGCGGAAGCTATTGATTGCTGCTGAAATGCAAGGTTGCTTCTGCAGACTGTGAATGGCCGAGCGTGAAGCTCCTAGTTCTCTTGATCGCGGGCTTGATCACTTCATGGCTGATCGAATATGGATGCGGCTGAGGTCTTGATGGATAGGGAGTGCCGGCCCAACCTCGTTCTGGGGGTGGACGTTGGGCCGGATGTCCCATCTCTCTCGGAAGTCGTGCCTCATCTCATAGAGAGGAGATAGCTATATAAGGTCCTGATCTCGTCTAGATCATCAAACTCTTTTCTTCACCAACTCACTTCAATCAAGAGTTCGGGATCAAGCTACTGATTCCTCCTCCTGGGTAGTCAGTTGCCAACAAAGGTCCCTCATCTGTCAATCGTTTGAGAGAAAAGATTTTCAGTTGCCCATCATGTTGCTGAAGCAGGTCCTCGTGACCGCGCTGCTCTCGTTGCGCTCCGTCACGGCTTTCCCGAACCCGAACAGCCTCCACGACCTGGAGGCCAGGGATGCCGAAGACCTCGTTGCTCGCACCGGCAATCACGACTGCGGCTCGTATGCCACCTGGAACAACGGCAAGAATTGCTGCGTCTGCAAGGACAATGGCAAGAACTACGACTCCAAGACCAAGTCGTGCAACTGTCCCAGCGGCCTGACCTGGGACGGCCACAACTGCGTCCACGACTGCGGCAAGGAGGCCACCTGGCAGTACGGCAAGTGTGTCTGCAAGAACAATGGCGAAATCTTCAACCCCAAGGACAAGACATGCAGCTGCCCGCCGGGTCAGTACTGGAACGGCCACAACTGCGCCGTGGACTGCGGAAAGGACGCTTCGTACGACTACAAGCAGAAGAAGTGCATCTGCAAGAAGAAGGGCCAAGTGTTTGACTCCAAGCACAAGACCTGTGCTTGCCCCTACGGTCAGGTGTTCAACGGAAAGCAATGTGTCTTTGACTGCGGACGGGACGCCCACTACGACAACTGGCAAAAGAAGTGTGTCTGCAACAAGAAGGGCGAGATCTTTGATTCGCACACAAAGACTTGTTCGTGCCCCAAGGGCCAAGTCTTTAACGGCAAGCAATGCGTGTTTGACTGCGGCAAGGAAGCACACTACGATTCTAAGCAAAGGAAGTGCATCTGCAACAAGAAGGGCGAGATCTTTGACTCTAACAAGAAGACTTGCTCTTGCCCGTACGGCCAGGTGTTCAACGGCAAGCAATGCGTTGTCGACTGCGGGAAGGAGGCCCATTTCGACTACAACCAGAAGAAGTGTGTCTGCAACAACAAGGGCGAAGTGTTCAACTCCCACACCAAGACCTGTGCGTGCCCTCCCGGCCAAGTCTGGAACGGCAAGCAATGCGTCTTCGATTGCGGCAAAGAAGCACACTACGACTACCACCAGAGGAAGTGCGTCTGCAACAACAACGGCGAGGTCTTTGATTCGAACAAGAAGACCTGCAGCTGCCCTGGCGGACAGTACTGGAACGGCAAGAAATGTGTTTGCCCGTACGGCAAGGTCTTTAACGGCAAGCAATGCGTTGAGGACTGTGGCAAGGAGGCCCATTTCGATTACAACCAGAAGAAGTGCGTGTGCAACAAGAACGGCGAGGTCTTTGACTCTCACAAGAAGACGTGCAGCTGCCCTGACGGTCAGTACTTCAACGGAAAGCAATGCGTCTGCCCGTACGGCAAGGTCTGGAACGGCAAGCAGTGCGTAGAGGACTGTGGCAAGGAGGCGCACTTTGACTACAACCAGAAGAAGTGTGTTTGCAACAACAAGGGAGAAATTTTTGACTCTCGCAAGAAGACCTGCAGCTGTCCCAATGGCCAATACTTCAACGGCAAGCAGTGTGTCTGCCCATACGGAAAGGTCTGGAACGGTAAGCAGTGCGTTGAGGATTGCGGCAAGGAAGCCCACTTCGATTACAACCAGAAGAAGTGCGTTTGCAACAACAAGGGCGAAATCTTCAACGACAAGTCCAAGACCTGCAGCTGCCCCGACGGCCAGTTCTGGAACGGTAAGGAGTGCGCCTGTCCCTACGGCCAGAAGTTTGATGGCAAGCACTGCGTCCAAGATTGTGGCAAGGAAGCCCACTTCGACTTTAACCAGAAGAAGTGTGTTTGCAACAACAAGGGAGAGATCTTCAACGACAAGACAAAGACGTGCAGCTGTCCTGACGGGCAGTTCTGGAATGGAAAGGAGTGCGCCTGTCCCTACGGTCAGAAGTTTGACGGCAAGCACTGCGTCGAGGACTGCGGCAAGGACGCCCACTTTGACGTGAATCAGAAGAAGTGCGTGTGCGACAAGAAGGGCGAAGTGTTCAACGACAAGACCAAGACGTGCAGCTGTCCGGATGGCCAGTACTTTAACGGCAAGGAGTGCGCGTGCCCGTATGGCCAGATATTCGACGGCAAGCACTGCGTGGAAAACTGCGGCAAGGACGCTCACTTTGACAGCCAGCAGAAGAAGTGCGTGTGCAACAAGAAGGGCCAGGTCTTTGACGACAAGACCAAGACGTGCAAGTGTCCCGGCAACCAGTACTGGGACGGCAACAAGTGCGCGTGCCCGTATGGGTCGACTTGGGACAACGGCAAGCAGACGTGCAAGCAGAATCTTCCTTGATTGATGGACTGCGAGGGACTTGAGAGTCTTTCTCTTTTGTATATCTAGTATTCTTCTCTTCTAGTGTGAGATGATTTGAATGAGATGGTTTGATGAAGAATTGCTTGTTCATTGAGTGAGAAGCGTGTAAGTTGGTGTGTACTCTGGGGGTGAGTGATGGGATGCGAAAATGATATTAAATGATCGTCCATAATGAGATTTTGTCAAAGGAACCATCACTCCTTTCTCTCCGCCTCATTGCAAGATGGCATTGATGATGTATGCACGTCATGAGGCAGTCCTGGTCTTGGCGGTGTGTGGAGAAATGACGCTCATCTGTTGCATGGCAATTGTATAGGAGCGACTGAGATCAGAAGTATTCAGGCATTCGACACGCTTGATCTTATTGCTTCCATCTGTATGCTCCTAGCATGCCTCGCACCTATATAGTGTGCACACATATATGTATAAGTCGACGTCTCATGCAGTCTACCTGTACCTACGACATTTTTGAAGAGGAGGCTTCTGAAGGGTCGTCTATATAGACAATAAAGACGCTCGATTGACCAACATTGTAATTGAAGCCGACAGAGTCGAGTTATGAAGAAGAAAAGTCGTATTAGTAGCGCTCTCTTGTTCCTGCTTACAGCCTGAATGTCCAGGTCGTCTGCACATAAACTAGCCGGCCTGCCCTGTCCGAACTTTTTAGGCCCTCTCTTCTCTCCCTCAACTAAAATTTTGCGGCAGGCTTCTTCCAGTCCACCAGCCGTTTTCCTCCTTCAGCGTCAATTGCAGGAGTCCCCTTTACTACACAACTCAATGTCTTCCAGGTCTCACGTTCGAATCTGCTTGAGGATGCTTGCCTACTCTATACCCCAAGAAACTTCTCACACAGGCATGATCAACATTTTGAACATCCCCTAAGCTGCAAAGCGAGCCTTTTCGGACACTGAGCTTGTAGGTACCTAAGGTAGTTGGTATTCCCGAGGCCGGGAGTGTCCCCTTCAAGCCCTGCTGCATCTTTCTCAGCATCGTCCAGGGTTGCATGTAAGTCGAAAAGCATGTCCTCCTGAACCATTCCTCCTCTCCCATCTTTGCCCTGTGCGTCAGGTGGGTTGGCCTCCTTGGCCGAGACTTTTGGCAAAAGATGTCTCCAATACGATGGCACCGCTTCTGCCTCTTCTGCTCAAGGCAAACTCTGCCGGAGCCGGGGACAAAACGGGGCTAATGTCCACACACTATATGAGCCAAGACTGGCGAATTATTCATTAGCATCGAAGCGCATATGGCCGAGCGGTTTAAGGCGATGGTTTTAAGATTTCTTCTAAACACCATTATCGAGAGATGCCTGGGTTCGAACCCCAGTGTGCGCATGCTGTTTTTTTTTTTTCTTTTTTTGCGTGCTTGTATGACATGGTTAACCGTCTTGATATGAAGCTCTCGAGTTTTCTTTTTTTACATCTTGTCACTGTTGCAAGTTCTAGGAGCGACCTTGCGAGTGCTTGTAAGATTGTGTCTGTATGTACCCTACGTATGTATGTACCTATGTATTGCTCTACTCGGTATAAGCGTCTATATACAAAAACTGGTATCATTGATAACAAGCAAGCTTCACATGCTCGTCGAGGTTAAGTAAGGGTTCACGATGTCGTGGTCCAGCACCGTGCCATTCATGAATCGGGTGCCCTTTCTCAGAATCTCAAGACGGCCGGGATGCGAGTGGCGCGGCGCATCGTCGACTATCGTGCCGTTTGCATAGTGAATGCCATTCCAGGGCTTCGCCATAGACGACAGCCTCATTGCTGATTTCCCTTCAGGCAGAAGCGGCGAGGCGACCGTGCTGATATCGCAATTCTCGCTAATCATGTAGAGGTTCAAGCCAACGGCCAGCGTGTACAGCTCCGCGCTCAGCTGGTCCCAGTTGTGCTGGCCCTTGACCACGACGCCGATGTAGTCGACGAGGATGACGGTCGGCCACCTCTGGGGCGACATGTTGTTGACGCCCATCCAGTAGAGCGCCGGGTTGGTGGGCAGGATGCCGATGCTCTCGATGGTGAAGAAGGTCGTGGTGACAATGTCCGCGCTCACAAGCCATTGACTGATGTGGAACGTGTCGGAGCTGCCGCCGCGGCTGACGGCTTTCCAGTCCGATGCCTGGTCCTCGGCCATGTCCTGGGTGTTGCCCATGTTGGACCAGTCGTCAGCGATGGAGAGTAGGTTGGCCTTGTAGATGCCGTCTGGTACCGAGTCTTGGGGCACGTCTGGCGTCAAGTCGCCCGCGAGGAGGAAGATGACGCAGCCGTTTCCTCCGTTTTGGTCCATAAAGTACGATGCCGGCTTCTGGTTAAAGGTTGTGCTGGTGTCGAGATTACCGCACCGATTGTTGACGCCCTTGAGCTTGCCAAAGAAATCGTTGACCATGTCTGCCGTCCAGTATATGGGGCCCCGGCTGGGGACCTCTCGGATGCCAATCAGGTAGCGGACGCGGAAGAAGATGACTTCTCCCGGGCTCTCGGCCGTGAATCGGTTGATCTCGCTGATGACGTCGTCGAGAGATTCTCCCGAGTTGCCCAGGGCGATTTCATCTGTTTCGCCACTGACATGCAGCGTCCAGAAGCTGTAATCGGAATTGTCCGTAATGGAGTGCACTGATCCGACACGCAGGTCAAAGTACCGAGATCCTGCCCAGAGCTGGTTGTAGATGTTGATACCCTGAGTCTGTGTGTTTTGACTGATGCCTCCTCCCCTCAGCTTGTTACTGATGGTGCTCATCCCGGCGTCATGGGATCCAGGCATAACGACGTGCTGAATCTGTCTGTCTTTGATGACCGGGTAGATGTTCTTCATCCAGTTCCCAGCGCCGAACCGGATAGACGTGATGAACCCGTAGCTGTCGCTGCCCGTAATCACCAGTGTTACCGGCGACTGGTTCGCAGGATCCAAGTACTCGCGCTGGCCTTGGCCCATGCCCGTGAGGTCAATCACTGTCCGTGTTGGGTGCGCATCTGGGATATGGGTTGCAGCTCGGACCATAAAGGTCTTGTCCGTTCCGTCGATAGCGTAGTATGCTTCGCCGCCGTCGTCTACGGCGTTCTTCCCGGCCTTGCTGGTGTAAACGACGGTGTTTTGCCGCGCATGGCCCTGCGGAACATCGCCCCAATCAAAGACATCCATCTGATAGGAGTGCGTGTTTTGCAGGACAAATCGGTGCGGCGTCAGATTTACGATGGTGATGTACTGTTTTGCACCAGGGACATTGTTGATGGCGCCCATGAGAACCCATGGCATGTAAGTCCCGTTTGGTGGCGATTCGTTGCTGTAAGTCACATTTTGCGGGTTGCAGAGCCCATTCACGACGGTACTGCCCGCTGCGAGTAGCCAGCCTATGCTGGCTACGAGATGGCTGTGCCTCATCGGATGATTGGTGATGCTCTGCGCTCGCTTTCGGTACGTGATGCGTGCTTCGTCTGTTCAGGAGAATGGTGTCCAAATAGCCTCCCTTCCAAAAGCTCGACGCAAATGCTAGAATCAGACAAGCAAATTACACTGACAATATGTGTGTGTCGAAAACACTTACACCAAGGGCAAGAATATTTTTCTATCGTGGCCCGGGCGTCAGATGGATCGGTATATGTAGCAATTGCTCAAAAGCTCTTGGCGAGGGCTCGTCGAGACCCACGGACGCTTTTTTACGAGACCACATGCTTCGGACGGCTGGTGAGAAGAAATGTGGTAGATGGATCGTGCAGTGGTAGAGTCTCTCTAGTGGACTGGTCAGAAGATGGGATGCTGTTGCATTGGTTGGAATGACACCCAGCAGTAAGAGGCCTCGGCATTAACATTAGATGGTCACGGATGTGATGGATAGGCCAGGGATTACTGCACGCGGGGTAGACTGAATCACTAGGAGCATGTCAAGGGAGAAGAGCACACCAATAGTATTCTTAAACTTCTGTAAGGTTTTTGAAGGTTTAAAGTGCCCAGAGTCCAAGGCCCGTGAGGAGAAGAATCTAGCGGATGAGTGGCCGATTGGGGCAGGTCAGAATGCAATGCAACCCAAGATTGTCACTAGGAGCTATGCGATGCAAGCGTAGAGCTGAATCAAGGGGGATGAAATGAAATGTGCAACTTGGTACTATGATGAGGTTCAGAAAATGTCCGAGATAATTAGCAAAGAGACAACCTGGAGGGTCTTGTAAAAACCTTCTCCGAGGTCTGTGGGTTCGTCTGACGGCTGACCAACGATATCAGAAGGTTAGATGCGCATGTGGCCTGGATAGTCGTCGCACTGTCTTGTCAGCATCTGCAAATTCATCGCGAGGAGGCGGACTGAGCTCGTGATCAGAGTCACCATCCACCATGTAAGTATCATGAGTACAAATATTCTGCCAAATCTTGGTATGATATGACCATGCGCAAAAGTACTTAGCAAGCCACATCAGATAGGAGTTACACATGATGCTGTGCTCTTCAAGTGTATTGCTTGCAAGGGCTTGGCTTAGCAGCTACAGTGTGTAAGACCAAGACCATGCTGGCCATGCAGGGGAGACGGGCTGCTTTAACCATCACCATACCAGAGGCAGTTATCGATCGTGTGATAGTGCTGCTCAGGGCAAATGCAGCATCACGGCGTAATGAGACTTTGTTTGGCATGGTCGATATTCGTTATTCTCATATACAGCTATTATTTTATCTCACGTCATGCAGCCTTTGGCTTGATCGTGTAGTGGTGACCCGGGAATCAAGCGGAGATAACGAGACAAGAATCCAAAACACTCCCACTTTCTATCCGTCCGAGCTGCTGAATGTCTAGAAACCAAGCGGTAGTGGCGATCTGGCCCGTCGAGACTCCCTTGACAATCTGTCATGACCACGAGGAGCCTCGCCCAGGCCGGCCGAGTTCAGGCGGATGCTTTCTTTGGCCCGATCAACATGATGTATGAGACGATGACTTCTATTTGGACTCGTCATGAAGAGCTTCAATCTTGGCCCCATGACGAATCCACTCTGAACGTTCCTGATGAGTCCTTGGAAAGAAGTCAAGACTCGATCCATTCTGTCTCCATAGTCATTCAGATTGGACTCAAAGTCTGAAATGCTGTCCAAGAGGACATAGACTGTGGTCATCGGCTGGAGCTGCCAAAATAGTCGCTCAAAGAGAAAGCAGAGTGCATCAGTATTGCTCGCAGCTATAGCGTCGTACAAGCTTTGATCGATAAAGTCAAGAGAGAGGCTATACGGTTTCGGATACAGAAGCAGCTGGCTGATGATGCTCTTCAAAAGCCCCTTTGGCCCGGACCCTTCTTTTTGCGGATCAGTGTGATGGCTGCAAAAGAATTGCAGCACCATCCCGCTTTGGCTTTGTAGCAGGGTAGAAGCAAAGGATGCCGTGAAGAAGGACATTGGAGACGATCTCCCTACGCTCTCCGTCCGACAGCATCCGTCGACCAGCACCAAGCCGGGCCATTCAGAGGATAGCCACTCTTGGAACTGCCGCTTTTGTCGTAGTAGTGTAGCGTATCCCAGTGCTTCGTCGCTCATGAGGCTTTCTTTGCGGAGAATGCGCTCTGCATCTGCGACGGGGTCGGGCGTCTGAAGGAGGTTGAGAATATCGCCTTCGGTCAAGACTGGCGTATGCTGAATGACGGGCTGTAAAGCCGGGGGAGGGGAGGCAGAGCTGGGAGGGAGTGTAAAGAGGCCTATCCAACCGTCAGTCAATGCTTCTTGACACAGAAAAAAGACGTCGATGCATACTCACTTCGCTGGACGATGGCATCGGCCATAAACTGGTACAAAGCGCTCTGCAACTGCTCGTGAATCGACGCAGGCAGGGCGCTGACAAGTCTCTGCAATCCGGCCTCAAACTCCTTCCTCTCTTCGCCATCTTTGGTGATACGCTTCCGTGTCTGAGCCAACTCGTCATTCATTTCGTTGGCAACATCAGCCATCTGTACGCGAAACTCGTTCATCTGAGAAGAAAGCCTAACATGGCCGTTGCTGGTTTCTTGCCGCAGCTCCACGACCTCGGCTTTGATCTCGTGGGCGGTTTTGCGAGTAGCTTCGGCGGCAACGCGCCCTGCTTGTGCTGAGACTTTGGTGTCTTGCCATACGTTCCGATCCAAGTGAGCTGTGGCTTCGAAGACAGTTATTTTCGCATTGCTGATGCGCTTGGAGATGTCGCTAATCTTGGACGCCTCGACTTCGGGGAATTGTCTCACAATCTTCTTCAGAACTGGTTTGTGACTCGTAAGTAAATGCCCTGGTCTTGTTACTCCAAGCATATGCGGTTCTTACCTCCAACATTCTTATATGTTCGGTTCAAAATGCACACCAAGTCCGTCAGGCAGTCTACTAGGATTCCATAAAAGTCCCAGACCAGATTCTTCAGCCGGACTTCGCCGCGATAGACGTTGCTGATCTGCGAGATGCTGGCCAAGACACCCGGAACGTCGTCGAGTTCTTGCAGAATATTCCCGACGTTGGACAGTCTCTTCTGGAATTGCTGCATGGCAGTCAGCAAAACAAATGCTAGCACTTCCCTTGTAGCGAAACCTACCTGAAAGACAAAAGCCAGGCCCGTCCTCAGAATGCTGAGGCCATCTTGGTCGGGAATTATGTCGGAAAGCCGTTCGAGGATACCTATGGCTGCGTCGCCTTTTCTTATCCAACCTCTGAAACGGTTGTCTTCAGCTTTCTTCTCGTATGTCTTTTTGGCCTCTTCAATGCAGTCGAAAACGCCTCTCCAAGTCACGTCCTGGGTTGTTGTTTCCGAACCGCCGGCTTGACAGGACTTGATGGCTTGAGACAGCTCTTCTAGCTTGCTATGGCCAAAGTCAGAAACTAATGGCAGAACTTTACGGACTCTTCGCTTGATCACATAATGAGGATAGAAGTAAATAGCAATGATGAGGAACAGGGGTAAATAGCAAACATACCGGCTGATGGGAACTCTCCATTCTGCGCGTTGGTTATTGTACTCTGTTGGTGAAGCCAAACCCTGATGCACAGAAGCCCCTTCAGTTTCCCTCCAGTCCTTCATCACCTGGATCTCTCGATTACTATTCAGTACATCCCTCATCCCCTGTCCTACACCTAGAGGCCGCCAGGAGCCCATGGTAAGTTGTCGAAAGTGCCACTGTGCAATCTATGGAGCAAGCTTCCGCAACAATGACGAAGTTTCATGAATTTACAGATGCATGTTAAAGCTTTGCTTCAAGCGAAGCACAGTCATGAATGAACCTTGGCAACCTACTCCGCCAAGGTAAATGAAGCCTTACAGGCTGACAACCGTGACAAATTCACGATATACCCCGCTCAGATAGGACTCTGCCTCCTTTCCGAAAAGGAATCAGATCGCAAGCGACGGCAAGGAATTGTGGACTGATACTCAACAGACTGCATTAGTCGCCTCACAAGAGCAGTTTTCATTCGACACAGACCCTGCCGTTGCGCGAAGGATTGGGCACCTGGTTGTGGTGCGGGAAGATATTACTGGACTGAAACCTCTCTTTGCCCTCCCTCGGTTGAGGCTGTGACAAGATCAGTGACTTCTCATGCATGAACCTATGCCCAACTGAGTGCTATTGCTTACAGCGAATTTATCATCTGCTTGAGCCGCATCGTCTCCACTGGTTTAAGCAAGGAATTCCCTCTCTCAGGAAGCGGTGCCGAGACAAGCTCTAATAGTTTACAACTACTGTCTCTGTCTCCTTCAAGGGCTCTTTCAAGGGCTCTTTCAATGGCTTTCATACAAGAGACGAGCAAGATGGCAGCTGATGCCGGTACAAGCGACAAAATTGTCGAGTCAAGCTCGACGAAACAGGACGCAACATCGGGCACGTCTACCCGTGGTGATGGCCAGACCGACTCCGGCACGAAAGAGGTCGAAAAGACCGATAAACCTTTAAATGGCTCTACCAAAGGCGAAACTTCAGCCTCTTCAACAGACGAAAACCCCAAGCAGAACGGAATCAAGAAAGACGATTCCGACGCCAATAAGAAGGAACCGGAAAAGGCTGAAACAGAGACGCCCATCAAACCTCCTGCGCCTGTCAGTAATGCGCCGGAGAAGAAGGCCGAAAAGCCAAAGCCAAAGCCCATGCAGGCCTTTGCGCGGGTGATCCCCAAGATACGAGAGACTTTCTCTTGGAACGACTTCAAGAATCACCAGACCGACGAACACAATTACGCCATCGAGACGCTTGTCGCCGGCGATTCGCTCAAGCTGGAGATTGAAGAAGCAGCGCTTCTTTACGAAGACCTCCAGGACTTTGGCAATTCGGGCGGATGGGGAAGCGGATGGCGGAGGAACTTCAACAGGCGAAACCCCAAGCACAAGACCATCATCGACGATGGAGATGAAGTCTGGCTGCAGCGGGTGCGAATCAACTCCAGGGCCGTCATGATGTACCTTGGACGACAGAGCGCTGCTGGCAAGAAGTGGAACGGTCGGCCTCATGTCTTCAAGCGGCCCTTTCGCTACCTCATCCACTTCCATGATAAGATGAAGGAGGCGCTGGCTGAACTAGAAGAGTCTGCTTCGGGCGCCGAATCAAAGCCTGCAGATGGGCAGCCTGCTCAGACACTGAATGCAGGGAAGAACATCGAACGGTCGGATTCGGAGACGCTCGGCATCGACTCGCTGTTCAACGATTCCGAGACTCTGGTTGAAATGAGACTCTACGTCAAGTTCATGGATGAGCAGGTGATGCCGGAATACCAGCGCTTCCAGAATGAGGATGTGGCCACTGCGCCTACCAAGGTCAGATGGGATCTTCTCTGGTATCTGTTCAAGCCAGGCGATCTCGTCTACGTGCCCAACTTGAACAGTGGCGTACGAGCCCGAATCCCAGTGGGCTGGGATGGCGTCTTCCAGCGTCTTCAGGCCGAGTTTGGCGAAGGACCTATGGAGCCAGCGTCTTCCACGGCGCAGTCCAAGCAAAATACACGGGCATCTCACACTGATCAGATGGTGTGGAGGGTATACCGGCCGCCGTTCAAGCAAGCAGTCCTTGATGGCTGCAGCTGCGAAACTTGCGCCAAAATTGAGTCGACCTGGTCGATATCGTGCTACCATATCGACTACGATGGCCAAAACTACCGTGCTGTTGGCCGGGTAATTGAGATTCCTCTTTTTGAAGGCGAGCGCGAGATAACGCAGCTGCCTTGCTACCCCATGAGATATGTAAAGCAGAAGGACGAGATCATGGAGAGGGGGAGACTGTACGGGACCAAGTTCATTGAGCACATTGATCCAGCCAAACGCTACAGCTTCTACCGGGGATGGACCCTTATCAAGACTCCCCTCGGGCAGTCTGTCGAGGACAAGAACGGCAGGATACTGACAAGCCCGGAGCACATTGAGAGCGAGATTCTGGTCGATTTCGAAGAGGCTTTCAACACGGACCCCTCGTGGAAGCCTGAGATTCTGGAGAGTGACCCTCTCACTTACAAAGTCGTGATAGCTGTCGATAACGAGAGCCCCCTGCAAGAGTGGCACGATAGCGACCGTACAAATCTCAAAGACATGTGGGAGGACAAGGTTGTCACCGAGGATGGTGTCGACATACTGCAGATGAATAAGTTCATGGAGACGGACTTTATGCTGAGGAAGAAGAAGGACAATGACAATGAGATTGGCGAGCTCGAGGGCGATAATCTTGCGCTGCTGCCTAGGCGACTCTTTGCATATGCTCTCTGGGAGCGCAAGTTTGTGCAGGTTGACGTCCGAGACGTGACATTCCCCGAGATGAAGGACAAAGACAGGGCTTTTGACAGTCTCCAGATCTCTTCGGAGCACAAGACGCTCATCCAGTCGCTGGTGTACTCCCACTTCAAGAAGAGAGTCAACGAGGGCAGCGTCGAGATTGCGACTCAAGATCTCATTCGAGGCAAGGGCAAGGGCATCGTAATTCTGCTTTTTGGTGTTCCTGGAGTCGGCAAGACGGCTACGGCTGAAGCAGTTGCGCAGAAGTTTGAGAAGCCTCTGTTTCCGATTACCTGCGGAGACTTGGGCTTCACACCCGAAAGCGTGGAGTCTTCTCTGAGTGAGATATTCCGCTTGGCGCACTTGTGGGATTGTGTCCTGTTGTTGGATGAAGCGGATGTGTTTATTACGCAGAGAGACAGGAAGGACTTGGAGAGAAATGCTCTCGTTTCCGGTAAGAAGCGCGCACTCATATGCATATAGAGAGCTGTCGATGCTAACATATTGGCCCAGTCTTTCTACGAATGCTCGAGTACTACAACGGCATCCTTTTCCTCACCACGAATCGTCCCGGCGTTCTCGACGAAGCTGTCAAATCACGAGTGCACCTGAATCTTCACTACAACTTCCTCACCGAAGAGCAAGTCGTCGCCATCTTCAAGCTCAACATTGCGCGTCTGAAAGAGATTGAAGAGCAAGCCGCCAAAGCCCCCGGACACAACAAGCTGTACATTGACGAGGCCGACATCATCGCCTTTGCCAGCGACCACTGGAAGACCCATACTGATGGCATTGGACGGTGGAACGGGCGACAGATACGCAACGCGTTTCTCATCGCGGCGTCGCTGGCGCATTACGAGGGAGATATGGGCGAGCGACCAGAGGGATTGCAGAAACAGCTTACTTCAAAGCACTTCAAGAAAGTCGAGGAAACGACGAGGCGGTACGACGAGTATCGCGTGGCCTGTCTTGGGGATACGGATAGTTATCTCGCACACGACAGATACGAGAGAGACGACGACTGGAATCCTCATGCTAGAGGGAGAGGTGGAGGAGGAGGAGCGAATGCTTACATGTCGCATGGCCAGCCCCATGTCCAAGCCCCTGGATACCTGCCCCGAGCGGGAAGCTTTCCCTGGCAAAGACCCGTGCAGGCTCCCCTGAGCATGAACCCCAACTCAATGCAGAGGCAGGCTGGTGAAGGGTGGTCGAGCAACGGAAGTGCACGCCCGCCTGTTGCTGGGTATCAACAGCCTCCGCAGCAGCCATCTCATGGACAGCCTTCGCAGCATCAGTTTCCACAGCACCAGGGGCATGTGGTGAACAAGCCACCTGCTACTTCAAACAGTCCGAATTTTACAGCACAGGCGCCTTACAACCCATCTGCTGGAGGCCCTGGCGGACCACAGGGCTACGACATGGGAGGCAATATGCAAATGAAGACTGCAGAGCCGGGCATGAGTGATGAGTGGATGGGAGCCGGACAGCAGCGTTGGCAACAGGGTCAGAACGGCTTCAATCATTACTAGGTAGGCAGGGTAAGGTATTGGCTACTTTCGCGATACCTCTTTGACATAATGAACAGGGCCAAACAAAATTATGAGATAAAATATGTTTTCGTTTAAGCATTATATACAATACATACACCACATTATGCATGATGAGGTCAAATCGGTCTCGCCTCTATAGAAGCCACACCTCATCCATTCCATTGACTTGAAGGGTATATCCAGCACTTACATCCTAAGCAAAGATGTGTGTTGCCTATTTCTTCTGCGCCCAGCCAACCTGCTTGTTGCCACTGTCAAAAATAACATACGCAGCCTTAAGAGCAATGTCACCAAAGATAGCAAAAGGAAGACCCCCCGACGGCTGAATACCGCCAAAACACTGGCCGTTGCCAGCCTCGGAATAGTTTATCAAGGTACCGGGGACAGTGATGTTGCCCTCTCCAACAGTAAAGGTAAAGTCGGGCAGCTGAGTGGTGCAGTTGAAGACGTAGCCGCCCAGGAAGACGTTCACACGGGCGCCCTGGACCTTTGCGTAGTAGGCCTTGACGAGGTCGTCGCTGGCGAGCAGCAGAGTAGTGCCAGTGTCTGCAACGGCGTTGAACTGGCCGCTAATGTTGCTGCTCGTGCTGAATTGCCAGAAGCCCTTGCTGTTGTCGATGGGGGCGTAGAAGGCTTTGCTTGCTTCGGAGGGGATGGAGCCGAAGTGGTAGCTGCCGGGCGTGTCGTGGCGCAGATCAGCAACAAAGACGGGAGAGTCAAGGCTGCCGACGATGTTGTCGTACCACGTCTTTTGCGGCGTGGGCTTGACTGTGTTGATGGAGCTAAACGCCAGGCCGACGAGGCCGTCGTTGTTGCCCTGGGTGAACTGGGCCGAGACGTTTCGAGCGGACTCGACGGCTTGGGACTTTACTGTCAGGTTTCCGACGGAGACAATATCGTGGTAGACATCGCCGGATGATGATGAGCGGTCTCCATATGTGATGTTCCATGAGGCTCCTTCCAACTTTTTGGAAGATGTGCTCTTGGACGGGGTGTAGATGTCATGGCCCTGGGAGGAGGTCGGGTCGACATCTGATGAGAAGACCCAGAGATCGGAGCTGCCCGTGTCAAAATCCAGGTTAAGTGTTTGGGGAGGAGTTCCGATCTTGACGGGGACAAGATACTCGATGTCGTCGTGGTCCGGCGTGGCAGTGACGGTGGCGCTGTCCCGCTTTGCGAGCTGGATGGACTTGACGAGTTGAATAGCATCGACCAGAGTTTTGGGGACTTCAACACCGTACTTGGCGTATGTACGGGCTAATGCTAGAGGGCCATTGCGGCCTGTGAAGGCTTTGTTGGCGGATCTCTTGATCTCGAAGGAGCCAGGGTTGGCGTTTGTGCTGGGAATGACACTGCCTGCTGCCATGGAGGCAGACAGGACGGTGACGAGGAAGCTGCCAAATGAGGGCTGCATTGTTGCGTTCTGAGGGGATTGCTTGCTGAAAGAAGAGTCACCTTCTTTTGATGTGAAGATATAGAAAGTTTGAGTTCGATTAGGAGCAATGAGAATAGCTCTCCTGACGCTGTGGTAGACCAGGTGTATTTGCCCCCTTCTTACGCGAGATTGTCAGACTATCTCGTTGTGTCGACTCAAGGGGAAGCAAGTTTCGAAGTGTAAGAAACAAGTCAACAAGATAAAGGAGGCGAGATATTATAGGATTCTTATCGACAGCGCAAACACCAGGAGGCCAACGAAAGAGAGAGGATCACGATACTTGGGAGGCTTTGATGGGGGGTTCAACTGTGCATGGAAGTGCTCGCAGCTGTTATTTAAAGACGACCCAAATTGGGCAGTCAGCTCTTACACAGCTCTCCGGAACTTTGCGAGTCAGTCTCGGTTTCGGAAGTTTTGCTGCAACCTGCTAACAGCAAGCGCGTGGCCAAGAGCGTGGAGGCCGTGGAGACATGTGGAGGCAGCCCAGCCATAGTGGCCGATGCTGCCTTTACAGAGAGGCAACACTATTCGCCGTGAGTGCACTTCTGCTGCGAAGGTTGTTATAGCGATAAGCCAGATCTTCGGGCCAATGCCAGCCTGAGATCCGGCTGTCCAAGGTTTACCATGGTTGGATCTGATGCAAAACGTGCGGGAGGAGTCCCGTCTGTGTTGCCTCACTCGTGCAACCTCGAAATGACGACGGCCAAAGGATCCGGATGTTTGGTGGACTCAACATCGAATCATAACGCTGGAGTGCTTGGAAGTCACCACCCTGCTGGAGACTTGCAATCGGATTGTCAGGGCACATTACCGAATAGGTGAAGCTGCTTGGTGAGGCCTTTTGGCGATCTACAGTGAAACGACTCCGTCACGACGGCGATCAGCCCGGCCGATCGCCCTGGAACCATGCAACCATGTCTGCCATTGACTTTGTTTCTAGCGGAGGCGCTGAAACAAAACTAGGTGCTGTTTCCCCGTAGTATAATGGAGTTTGATGGAGATGCCTTGCCATGCTTACTGCCGCTGATGAGGTGGCGTGCAGGAGGTTGATGCAAGTTTCGCTGAGATGCCACAACTGAAGGGCTCTTCAAACAGGCACCGGGATCACATATCACATATCATTGCCCCTGGCTAACGCGAAGGATGAAATGGACAACCGTTGGTTTGCCAACCAGGGAATCACATGCGAAAGCGAACCTCCAGTTGAGGTGGGTGCGTGAGACGGCAAGAAAACTCGGAGCCTCCACGCGATTGTTTGCCACACGGCCACGCGTGTTAGTGCAAGGTAGTATAAAAGTCTATTATGTTGCTCAACGCAGAGGCTAGACAATAACCGCGCTGGATAACTGGAACCACGTCGCGCGCCATTTTGCGCCTCGTACCACGACGATGGCGGACTGTGATGCCCGGGCCAATGAGGGAGTGCGGAGAGAAGCCTCGGATGGCGGTTAGCTGAACGCCATAGGCAGTAATAATAGTTTGTGTGTGTTGATTCGTGTGGTCTCTTTGGGGAGCCTCGCTTCCCCGGGAAATGGTGCTTAGAAGGCGTCAAGGCTTGGCCATTCGGATACAAGCTTGAAAGATCCGGGGGGGGGATGCTAGGTTCGTTTGCCAAGTCGGAGAATTGCAAGCCCAGATATAGCGGGCAAAGCATCTGGCACAAGGCATATCCTGCGAGTTTTTCAGATGCCGGTCATTGTTCTAATGGAGTTGTCAAAAGAGGCACTCTAGTGCGAGAGGTGGTTGGACTGCTTCGTCTCTCTATACTCGCGGGAGATCTACTTGGAGATGAAAGGGCACACACTCTTGTTCAATTTGATAGCATGCATTAAAAAACAAATGTTTCAATAAAAGACTGAGCTTGACTTGCTGATACGCTCGGCAAAGAAGGGGAGGAGAAATAAGACAGAGAAAATGTGCCTAAGCTCCAGGGTAACGGTATGTCAGTGGTACTGCAAGCTCGACCATAGATATACATACAACTTGTTCGAATATCATTGGGACCTTCTTAAACATCTAATCGTATAGTTCTCTTGATAGTATGACCTTCTCAAGAGTGCCCTATCTGGTCTTGAACAAAGAAAATTCGTGTTAAAGATAGTTTGAAGATGCAGGCCAGGCAACTTGCCAATCCATTCCACAACTTGGTTGTAAAACCGAAACATGTCTGCTTGATCAAAGGGTTCTGATACGTCGAATGTTCATTATTCAGTATATCTCGTTACAGTCTTGATATCTACTTTCTGAGATATTGTGGCTGTTGGCCTCTTCGAAGCCTTGTCATCTGGTTGTGCTCATCCCGCTTATCCCCTCGCTTTTACAGGATATCTTTGCAGTAAACAAGATGGCGAGACAGACAATCAACATCTTCTCATAACATCATCACATAATCTACTCGGCAAAGTGCAGCCTGACCTTGACCCCCTCGCCCGGGCAGTTGGTCAATGTCAAGCCATGCTTGACAGGACCAACCTGCGACCCATCGATGCTGTCGATTCGCTGCATCGTTCTGATCACCACGTATCCGACTTCTGTCAGTGCAAACTGCTGGCCAATGCAAATCCTCGGTCCGCCATTGAAAGGAAGATAATCCCAGCCCGGTCTCCGCGACAGCCATCGCTCCGGCTTGAAGATTTCGGCATCGGGGCCCCAAATGTCTTTGCGGCGATGCATCAGATGAACCTTGATTCATGTTAGTTGGGAATGGCATGTACATCAAGTAAAGCAATGTCATCTTACCGAATACCCAACGTCTTGGCCCTTTGGTACGAATATCGGAGACTGTCCATCAACACCTCCACCCGTGGGCAGCGTCGTGTCGACTTGTGCGGTGCGGACATTCATGGGAACCGCAGGATACAGGCGAAGACACTCATTCAAGCACCATTGAAGATACTGGCAGCCCTTCATCTTTTCGAATGTAATCTCCTTGGGACTCGAGTACGTTCCGAATTCATCCAGGATAACAGCCCGCAGCTTGCGGAAGACGGATGCATATCGAGGATCGGCCATGGTGAAGAAGAACCAGCCCAACGTCGATGCCGTGGTGTCCCGGCCGGCAAGCAGGATGTTGAGGAGCTGGGATCGAAGTTGTTCGGGGTCTTGGGTTTCCTTGGCCAAGGCGTTGAGGAAGACGTACTTGTCCTCATTCACAGGCTTCTCACTGGCGCCCTGATGAAGGGCCTTTCGGACAAAGTAGTCGACAAATTCGTGGACCTGCTTCACCATTCGATGGAATTCGGGGAGATGGACGATCCAGTAATTGGGCCCCAGACGCGACCCGATCGAAAGAGTGTATTGCGCCCTGTCGAAGGCATTCGCGAAACTGCCGTCCTTTTCACCTCCGGACTCGCCAGCCTCCAGTTGGCTGTTGACGCTCTCTCCGAAGAGAAATTCGGTGGCAGAGTCGAGCGTGAGTCGGAAGAAGAGAGGTTGAAGGTCGACCAGGTCTGTCCAGCCGTTTGGTCCGACATGGCGATTGAGCACCGTCATGAGAGCTTTGACATGCCCTTCTTCGAGATTGAGGTCGCTGACTTGGCCGCGGATGAACTGTGGTCGCAGCAACGCTCTGGAGTACTCCCATTGCTTGCCATTGGTAGCAAACTTGCAGCCGCAACCAGTCAGCCAAATCTGCTTTACGAATAGGACAGTTGCAGTTTTGGCCAGTAGATGTACTTACGATGCCATGTCCGAGGAGCGGTTCGAAGTTTTCTGTTCGGTTGACACCCAAGCCGAAGTCCTTGAACTTGAGCGCAAGCATGGTCTGGATGTTCTGAGGATCCGTCGTCACCAGAGTATCTCGGAAGAATGGTGCCCTCACACGCAGCGTGCCGACAGGGCGACCATACTTCTTTGCGACGCGCTCAAAGTTGGCCTGGGCATAGATGGGGAAGACTTTCTTATGGCTTGCTCTCACGCCGTAGACGACGTCTGCAATGCCTGACGGATCGTATCCTGACATCCATACTGGGGGCTTGCATCCTAGCTCCCTAGACCGGGCTCTGTATCGGAGTCTGTCGCGGATTAGAGAGAAGATGTAGGCGAAAGCAACAACTGCGGCCGCGAGGCCTGCTGCTAGGGCCAATTGCATGCTGAACGAAGACGCTTAAGATGATGACATATGGGATGGCAGCAGGATAAGAAGTGTGGAGAGATCTAGGATTGACCCATATGATCAAGCTGGAAAGTAGATATGAACATTAACCAATCTTTAAATCAATGATAAGAACAAGAAAACGGGGACATGGCTGTGGCTATATATCAGCGGGCCGCTGGCTTCACACGAGAACAGCTGCATGGCCGTCTGGTGCGAGGGCAGCCCGGGGAACAGGAGCAACGGGCCAACTCAACGGCTGAGGACGGACCGCGATCCTCGCCCGATCCCGTTTGTTGGTGCTGCAAGCGAGGTTCGACATCCGTCTCCGCACGCACTAACCAAGGGTTGATTGCTTAGTATTGCCCAAACTCCAATGGCTATCCTGCGATGCTGGTTACATGGCGTCAGTGAAGACCCTAGTGCCGCGTGTCCATCACGACTAGCGGAGAGGGTTCTGCGGTCGACAACGGGATGCGAGAGGTCCGGATTGACAGCTGGAGATAGGTTTCACAGAGAGCGTTACACGCCCTGAATGGGAGAAATTCGACAGGGTAAGTTTGATAGAGAGCCAGTGGCTATTTGCGAGGCCTTTCAAGGTCTTTCCATCCTAGTATCTCTGTTCCCTGGCTTGGACTGCTGTTGATATCCCACAGCTGTTTGTGACGCCGTTAGTGCCTCCTCACTCACATGCCGGGGTTAGTCGTCAACAAGTCTGGTAGATGCGGGGAACGGGATGAACCTGAAGATACCGCTGGCGGGGAAAATAGGTACTGTCCAGATCTGCTATACTATTCGTGTCGTCTGGCATCCCTCATGACATAATGAATGCATCTCTCACGGATTTGGATGCTGAAGCCGAGGTTGTGAGCTGCGCGCCTGTGAAGGCATATGCTTGTGCGAGTCTCTTCGCTATTGGAGCCATTGGACGGAGACAAAGTGCTTCATGTCGACTGATTCGTCATTTCATATGTGAATGTAGTATTCGTTAGGAGCAGGACGTCTCAAAATGCTCGAAAACAAGCTGCTGAGTGGCTTGGGGCTTTAGCTATGCGTATCGTATCGGACACTTGCCGCTGCGGGATGTGGAGTAGCTGCGAGGGGGCTTAACGCGTTATCGACTGTTTATTCTTCTCTTTGTGGCGATAGGTAAGAGGGGTGCTGAAAGATTCACCATGAATTTCATTAGGCGTTTCGTGAATAAGACTGCGTTCATGTAATAGCTGCGACTTTTGTTCTCTCATAGAAGTTGATGATGATGTACAGGCGCAACGTCGCCATGCAGCGTCCATCGCCTCTCTAAGCGCGGCATTTCGATGGCTTAACTGTTCCCGAGTATTTTGCCAAGTATTAAGCCGGACAAGTCTCATATATCTCACTTGTTCGGACGTCTGAACTGAGCCTCATGACCTGAAGGGAGTCAATGCCTGCTTTATAACATCTTCTTGACCCCATCACCCGCCTGGTAATCGCCAAGCACGACGAGAAGCGACGAGATGGCGGTCGACAAAGACGGCGAACCATCAGCGCTCGCTATCCGCAGAGTCACGTACGACAAGATCCTTATCTTTGGCGACTCCCTCACGGAACTCAGCAGCGACATCCACTCGCTGTCATTTGCCCTCACACCCGCCCTCCAGCACTATTACTTCCGAAAGCTTGCTGTCGTTGCGCGAGGATATGGAGGCTACAGCTCAATGCATCTAAAGCATGTCCTGTTACCCACGTTGCGTGCGGAAACGGCCGCTGGAGAAAAGATTAAGCTGCTGGTGATTGAGGTTGGCACGAATGATGCGGCCGACAGAGACATACAATCCGTGCCGGTGGACACATACCGTGAGAATCTTGAGTGGATGGTGCAACAGGCCAAGAATTCAGGCGTCGAGAGACTTATTGTGGTGGGACCGGGGCCTGTGGACGAAGACATGCTGGAGCCTCCCATATACAACCGAGTGATGAAGAACCTAGAGTATTCGGAGGCAGCAAAAGATGTAGCAGCACGTTGTGGTGTTCCGTTCATTGATATGTGGCACACAATGATGGCACATGTTGGGTGGAAGAAGGGAGAGCCGGTGCCGGGTATCCTGGGCCATGGGGAAACAGTCTTCAGGGAGCTGTTGACGGATGGTGTGCATCTGACCGGGAAGGGCTATAGGATATGGTATGATGAGCTGCTTGCGGTCATTGTCAAGGATTTTCCGGATTTGCGGACAGAAGCGCTGCCGACGGTGTTGCCGCACATATATGATGTCGACAGGGAGAATCTTCCGGAAAGTCTATGGCAGGAGGTCGCAGTCAAGGAGTGAGCTGACGATGGATAAAGCGAGGTGTTGCTCAGGACTGCAAGCATGCGTATCTTATTATCGACTCGTGTCTATGAGTGATGTCGCGAGGTTTTGGCATTTCGGTTCTTGCTCACTGTTGTATGGAGTAGCAAATATCAGCGTTCTTACAGACTGTGTGGCAAGGCAAGGCGCAAGAGCAATTGATAAACCACATTTTTGTAGTCTCATATTGGCAAGTAGACAATGGTATCCGCTGGCTGTGTCCCCGACTGCAACCTCATATTTCCATGGCACAAGGTTATGGACAGCTTTGCCATGACCATTTAAAGATCCAGCAATCATCAGAGACTTACAGCCCAGATAATGTGGAGATAAGGAAAACATGTCTGTTTGCAGCACAACTCTGCAATAAACAGATGAGCAGATGTAACTTCACATACCTTACTAGTTGTCAAACAATGCCCGTAAAAGTGCCCAAGCAGAGGGCCAGCGCGACAAGCGCTTCTTGGTATAACGCAGGGTCAGTAGCTGGCAAGCCATATCTTACACCATACTTGCACTGTCTCAAGTCAATTGTGTTCTTTTATTAGGGATGAAAATGATTGAGCAGTCTCGTTGTTTCGGCTCAGCGTCACGAACTACAGCATACTCTGGTCATGATACCTAAGTAGAATTGATCCAACTCGTTACTCATCTCCGCTTCTAATCGTCGCATGCTATGGAAGCAAGCTTCAAGATGTTGTAGAGTATTTAGGCAACTCTACGATTGTGTAGAGAAGATCGTAGTATCTTCTTTGCTTGCTCCGCGGAAAAATGGTTCGTTGTAACCCTCATTGCATCATATCACGTCACAAATGACATGGAAGTTGATGACTGTTGCTGAGCATATCAGATCCGAAGCCTCTTTACTACAGATCAGGGCATAAAATCCGGACAAGGGGCAGAAGATTCGGTGCCATCCTCAACGGTGGAACGACCTTGCTACTACTCAGGTAGGTAACCACCTCAGCCAGCCAAATACAGATTGACATACATATGGTCGGCATACTTAATCAGATCATGGACTGTGTAGCTGATCCAATACTGGCCGTGGCATCAACCATGATGGTCCCGGTCATCAGCGATGTTACCATGATATCCCCAGAAGGAGTACTGAATGGTGCGCATCGACACAAGAACTGGCAACATGCATGGCCCTCTAGCTCAATATGGAAGCTACCCAATAGCAATACAAGCGAGCCTCGAAACTCGACACAAAGGGTTGGATAACGCAATTACGCCGTCTTGAGAACGGATTGAGGCAACGAGTCTTGCAAGCCGTCTGAAGCTGCCTCTACTCTACCAACAATGAACTCAATTACACATGTAGCTTGACAAGTATTGCTTCTCAGTGCGCCAATAACAATCTGCTCGGCATTGCCTGTGAGATGACTGCTGAATGAGCTTGTTGTTATGAGCCGGTTCCATGAGTTACTATGAGTCTTCAAATGTCACGCATCGAGATCCGCCGCATCATGCTCCATATGCATGCGACCTTGACTCAGGATAACATGTCGTTGTAAGTCGTGGCTCGCCAATCACGTTCAATCCAACAGTTACAAGCTTCCACCAGGCATTGTCGTCGTCAACAAGCTTGGTGCCCTTTCATAGTCGTTCGGCTCAATTGAAGACGCCGACTCGAAGCATAAAAGCTCACAGCGTCAACTTCAAAGAGGTGAGTATATCTCTCAATAGGAGACAACTAAGAGTCCGACTTTCACTACGCAACTACAGCTTTCCGTCAAAGCTATCATGTCTTTCAAGTTGGCGACGGCTATTCTGGCTTTAGCCAGTGGCATCTCTCAAGTCTCTGGTCAGATCTGTGCCCAAAACATCGTCACCACCCACGCGGGCCTCACGTTCTACCTTTACGATGACTCGATCCCAGAAAACAACTACCGGCCTCTTCAACTGAGGCCAAGCAAGGATGGCCAGTTCAGCTACCTCGCCATAGACAACACCTCCCCTCCGCTCCTCGCCAACCTAGACAACGGCGTCCTCGTCAGCGAAGGCCAAGCCTCTGACGGTACCATCTTCGACTTAGGCCCCAAGGGCTTCCTGCAAAACTACACCACGATCCCTCTTACAGTGCCCACTACCATAGGGCAGCTTGCCTTTGCCAACACTTCGTCGTTTCCGAATGCTTCGGACTCGAACTGGTTCCTGTCGGGAGCCAGCGGCACCAACACGTACAACTTGTGGCACAACGAGCCTGTAAACACTCTCAACGGCGTGCAGATCTGTGAAGCGGATTTTGATCTCAATGAGGATGGGACTCCGTGGTACTACTTCCAATATGTGGATTGGGTTTCGTACTTTCCGCCCAACTGCGAGTTTGTTGCGGTCTTGACAAATGTCAGTTCGTCGGACCAGCCAACCTGTTAAGGCCGCATGATGCATCTGGACTGCCAGGAGGTTGTTGAGGCAACGGAACGGGCTGCGATGGAAAAAGCAAGGACGTGGGATGGTGCAAGTGGTTGCTGGTCTGATGATGAAAGGCATCGCAGCTCATCTGGAGTCAGTCTCAGATAGATAGAGAATGAGAGAGCTCATAAGCCTAGTGCCGAGACCAGATATTCTCGTCATGCAACCCGAAGTGTTTCCCATCCATGTGTCTCCTTACATCAGGTAGCGATACTTGGTCCTCCGCCGTACTCAAAAGGGCTCTCAGGCTGTGCTTCATACACATATAATGTGCTGTTGTGTTGGTCTGGAAGCCAGTAGAATCGTAATTTACCATCCTCCACGCTCACGTCGACCGGATTCTGCGTCATTCGGACTCCATGAAGGCTCCTAAGCATAATCGGCACTTCAGCCAAAGGTTGCATCGAATTGGCATCAACCAAGGCAATGCCGCCCAGACTGTATCCGTGCTCAAGTGTCGCTACTCCAGAGCAAAGCATTACGCTCGCGCCGTGGTAGAGCTCGCTTCGACCAAGCCATTTACAGTCTTGGTAGTCGATAAAGTAGCTCGGGTTGCGGATAGTAGACCCAGGCTTTGGCCTCTGTGGACAGCAATTGCCTCTCGCCCCGTCTCCGAGAGTCCAAGTAGATGCGTTTCGGCCTCCCCAATTCAGTGCGGTGATGCTGTTCTTTGTGGAATCCCGTACGATGGTGCCCAAATGATCGTTGTATCGCAAGATTGTACGAGGTTCCAAGCTGTAAGGGTCAGCTTTGTAAACATTAGCTGTGCTGTTTGGCCGGTACTGGGCAAGGGTTCCCCAGATCCAGCGTCCGTCGTAGTCAATCCCGCCATTGTGATACTCTGCATCCCCTTCTCTCGTCATTGTCGCATCGGCGATCCTTTCCCCCTTTCCATTGTACACCATCAGATGGGCGAATCCTTTGCCTGGCGTCCGATCTGTGCCATTGATAGGAGGATGAGGATATTTCTGTGTGTGCTCCGTGTACTCTCCGCAGCTAATCACGTAGCGATCCGGACCCAGGCGGACGAGGCCTTCGGGCTCAAATGTGTCGCCCTGGAAGCTGATATTCGCAATGCTCTCCCATGCTGTTGTTCTGCCGAGTGTCTGAAACAGTCTGATGATCGTTTCTCCATCAGAGGTCGCGTGTGAGGGAGGGAGTGGAGAGGGCGCAAAGGGGATGTCTTTTCGGTAGATGGTGATGTTCAGCGGGTCACTTGTGGTAGGCAAGCATGTTGTGCTTCCCTGAGAGGGGTTTAAGCCGAGAGCATGTACAATGTCCGAGGTGATACGTGAAAACGGATAGATGACGACGAGGACGAAGATGGATATGGCAGAGACGGTGAGGATTGAGAGGTTCACTCTCGACATGGCAGCGGGCGGCTGCTTCGGACCAGCGCTAGTGATGCGGTGCAGGGAATATGAATCGAGCATGAATATGAGGCACGCGCGATAACCAGCGTGAATCACAGGATAGGGCAGTTCAGCGTTGGACTCGTACGTATGAAGTCTGTACTCTGTAGAGCCCGAGACATGAGCAACGGCAGAAATGGAGGCTTAACGAAGAGATAGACCGTGATGGCGTGAGGCCTTGTAGGAACCGTCATCACGTGGCGTCATCACAATTGTATAAACCATTTGACACTCACTCTTCTTAGCATTCTGTCATGTGCTTCACTTAGATCTGTCAATCATTTCATTGAACAACCATCAACTAATAACATCTGAAGACTATAGTATAGGTTCAGCATAGCGACGTCGTCGAAATGGATCGACAGTGACAAGCGATGGTCAGACGCAAGGGCATTGAATCAGATGGAATAAAGGCACCGGATCACCATGCTAAATCTCAGCTGAATTAGGCAATCATTGAATGACCCCTCCTTCAGGACCTGATATACTTACAAGCTGTTGATCAGGGTTCTGTTGATCAGGCAAGATCAGGGTTACACTGCCGGGTTGTTGTTAAAGCCGCAATCGGGTCACCCATGTTTGTTAGTTGGGGCCATGATCTTGATCTTACACCCAGCAGCACTGCCACTCACTCTTCTTCAGTCAAAATGCGTCTTATTTATCACTGCTGCCTTACGTAAAGTCGTCACGGCGTTCGTCACAGTCGCCGCCATAATCCAACCAGGCAGCTCTATTCCAGCTCTGTTGTTATACCACAATTCGGTTGCCTGGCTGGGAGCAGCCGGCCTTACTCGCCCTGTAGAGAAGGGGTGCGCTTACAAAAAGGCCACAACTCTCTAGCGAGCAGTGGGATTCGCTCGTATCCGGTCGTCTTCACATCGCAAGACAGAGCAGAAATGGCCCAAGAGACGTTCAGTCTCGCTGACCTTCCCTGTGAGATCCGATCCCTCATCTGGGAGGCCACACTGCCGCCTCCTCGCATCTTCCACGTCAAGAGCACAGCCGAATCCAGCCTCCAGAAGGTCCTCACCTTCCACCGGAGACACCCGCCGCCCGTTGCGCTCCACATCTGCGCCGAGTCCCGCGCCGCCGCCCTCCGAAAGGGAGGCTTCTTCCTCGCTCCGGACGCCCGCACGGGGCCTTGGTTCAACCCGAAGCGGGACATTCTGTACTTCGACCGCAACCAGCGCCACATGCTTCGCTCCAAGTTTGGCAAGACGCACATTGCCGGCTGGGAGCAGGTCTTGCACGTCGGACTGGAGTGGCGGGCCTGGTTCCGCGACGTGCCGCGGCGGACGGCGCCTGGGGACGAAGAGGTCCGCAAGCACTGGCGGAGCGTCGTCAGAGGGCTCTACTTTCACATGCCTGCGCTGGAGAGCATCCACTATGTGCTTCCGCGCGTGCGGCACAAGGGCGGCGTGACTTGGGGCAGGGAGCCCTACAAGGCAGCCGAGTACGAGGCCGAGGTCGTGCGTCTGCCAGAGGAAACGGAGATTCCGTGGGCTGGAGCAGGCATGGGCATCCGCAACGCGGTTCACAACGGCGCCGCGGCGGGAAATGCCGCACCGGGAGTGTTGGTTGTGCCTGGAGCCACGGAAGGGAGCAGGACTCTGTTGACCATGACGACGTGGGGGGATATCAAAGCCGATATGGTGGCGGCTTTGGAGGAGGAGCTGAAGGCAGAAGGAGGGGAGGAGGTGATGGAGCTGGACTGGACATTGGCAAATCACGAGGAGGGCAAGGAGGAGAGCAACACTTGCGTATTTCCAGGCAACCGGCTGCCCGAGGTCGCGGGATGGTGGCTTGTAAGGCGAGATGCGCCAAGAGAAGATCATCCCAGCATCAGAGAGTTTCTGTATTGATATGTTCTCCATTAAAACTCATCATGTGGGCTTTGCTTCGTATCTCATGGGCTGTGTGATGACGGAGAATGCCAGTAGTGGCTCAACGGCGTCCAATGTTGGTACAGACCGTCTCGGGCATCATCACAACAACATCTGCCCGACTCCAGAAGTCTTCACCAAGTCAGGCGCTAAACTAAGCATCAGCTTATTGTTGACAGAGGTTGTGTGCTTACACCTGCAGTTCTATTATTCGAGCCTCTCTCTGCGCGCCTAGCTTATACAGAGATAATGCCTAACTACAACAACGCAAAGTGCAGTTTCTCAACGCGCGCAATAGACGCAGGATAAGTCTGATCCGAACCATCGCCAAACTCAATTGCACTTAGAACAACTCAAATCATGGCGCTATCACAACTGGAAGAGGAATACTATAAGTGACTGCATGGCCCTAACCCTGCCGCAGCACAAATGACAGCCAAACTCTCACCACCAGCCACCGAATCAGATGCCGCCGCTGAACCTTGCCAGGCTGCAGGCTTGAAGAGCTGCTCATCAGCAATTCGACAAATGAAGCTTCTTACGGTATAGATAGCCGTCTCATAGGATTTTGACTCTTTGCTAGGAAGAAGTAGCTGCAGAATCTCTGCTGTGTTGGCGCGCTTATGTTGTGGCAGGTCCACGTCGACCGCTTACAGTTGAGCGAGACCAGCTGAAAGCTGATCACGATCCACTTCAACGCAACGGCTATCCTTCACCTGCGCTACCAAAGGTCCCCAATCGCCAAACGGGACAGGCATGCATACCAAGTGCAGGATGCCAGCAGTTTACTTCGTTGGGCACGGCGCCAGGGAGGCGGTCGTGGCAGGGGTGGAAGTGCAGTTGGATGACGGCTGCTGTATTATCGCACTCGACGTATTACACGTAGGTACCTGATGTATTAGAAGCCAGGCGAGTCGGTATATGGAACTGAGACACGGCAAGGTGTGCAGAGGCCACGATCCTCTGCGTGAAGCTGTAGTAAGTATAATTAGAGACTTCTCCCTGTTTTTTCTTGTCGTTAATTTCCTCTTGAAGGAAGGCTCTCAAGTCTGTGATCGGTGGATCACCAACTTGAATGCACAATGGCGCGGTTGTATGTGCTACTGTTTGTTCTCCTTGCCCAACTTTTGCCGGCTTGGGGCCTGCCGACATATGTGCCCCCTGTTCGCGTCCGCGAGTTCAACCTGACGGTGACATGGGAGAAGCATGCACCGGACGGCTTCGAGCGGTACATGTTCTTGATCAATGGCCAGTCTCCGGGTCCTACGCTCGAGGTTGACCAGGATGATTGGGTCGTTGTGCGTGTGCAGAATGATTCTCCTCAGAACATCACTGTTCACTTCCATGGTAAGGATACCACAGTGCCTTTTTGCACACTTACGCATGCATACTCTGTGCTAACTCTCGTTCAAGGCATTGAGATGATGAACACGCCCTGGTCGGATGGCGTTCCGGGACTCTCTCAACGAGCCATCGCTCCCGGCTGCCGCTTCATCTATGAGTTCGCGGCTACTCAGTACGGCAGCTTCTGGTACCACTCTCACTTCCACGGCCAGATTGAAGACGGCCTCTACGGCCCCATTTTCATCCATCCTCGCCCTCAGGACCCAAAGCCTTTCGAACTAATATCTGCTGACCCTCTCGATGTTGCTGCCATGATCGAAGCCGAGCGCACCGTCAAGCCCCTTGCCATTGCAGACTTTAACCACTTCACATCGCAAGAGAAGTGGGACATGGCATTGGCTAGTGGTGTGGAAGACTCATGCTATGATTCTGTCTTGTTCAATGGCAAGGGACGAGTGCAATGCCTCCCGAGTGCTGAGGTGGCGGCCAACCTGAGCGATGATCAAAAGGCTTTCCTCGCACTCGGCAACGTGACGTCTATGACTGATAAGTCGTATGTTTATCTTGATACTCCCTTCTTTCTTTCTTTATGATGTTCTTTCTACTGACTCGAAGCTGAATAGCTGCCTCCCGGCCTCATCCCTGGCTGCAATAGGCGGCAACCTCTCGACCAACCTCTCTTTCATCCCAGACGGAGCCTTTTCCGGCTGCAAAGAGACCAAAGGATCACTCGAAGTCATACAAGCAGAGCTCTCGTCGACTTCGTCATACCGATGGATCGCAATCGACATTGTCGGCTCCATCAACTTCATGACGGCCATGGTGTCCATCGATGAGCACGACATGTGGGTGTACGCCATGGACGGCTCATACATTCACCCGCAAAAGGTGCAAGCCCTGGTTCTCACCAACGGCGACCGATATAGCGTCATGGTGAAGATCAGCAAGGCTGGACGGTTCAACATCCGTTGCAACTCCATCAGCGCTCCGCAGGTGCTTGTCGGACACGCCGTTCTTGATGTTCACAGCAGCTGCGGAAAGACCAACACGGGAGAATCAAAGCCGTATATCAGCATCACAGGAGTGCCTCTATCGAAAGACGTGGTAACCTTCAATCAAGCTACGGCAGCGCCGTTCCCACCAGAGCCGATTGCCCAGAAGGCCGACGCCACGTTCAAGCTCAACATGAAGCTTGACGGCGCGTCGTATCTCTGGGCCTTGAACTCCAGTCGCCTGATGCCATCCGATCTCGACAACTCCCATGAGCTGCCCGTCCTGTTCGGACACCCCGAGCCCGTACAGAACAATATCACCATCTCGACTTACAACGGCACTTGGGTGGATCTTGTCCTTTTCGCGAGCACATTCCCTATGCCTCCTCACCCAATCCACAAGCACAGCAACAAGATGTTCCAGATTGGCGCTGGCGATGGGGACTTCACCTGGGACTCCGTTGAGGAGGCAATTAAGGAGAAGCCCGAGCTGTTCAACCTCGTCAATCCGCCGCGCAGAGACAGTATTGCTTCACTGCCAGCCATCACTGGAACGTCGTGGGTTGTGGTTCGTTATCAGGTTGTGAATCCGGGTGCTTGGTTGCTGCATTGTCATATTAGCAACCATTTGCTAGGAGGGATGTCGATTATAATCCGGGATGGTGTGGACAAATGGCCGACAGTTCCTCAAAAGTATCTGGATATGGGCTTGTAACTGGGAGCTACTGGACCTTTAATGAGAGGTTGGGGGCGCAGTGCTTATCAAGAGAAAGCTTTCTTAGGTGTTGATGTTGTGATGTTGTTGATTGATGTTATATATATGGCATTGACGCTTAAAAATTTGCATGATGGAGATATTTGAAAAGCCATTCAACGAGGCATGAGAACATGACAATGATATCGAAAATACATGTTCATGTCCAGTTCGCATGTTGGACATGCCCGGGATACAAATGACGCTAGATTCCGTGGGTCAGCCAAGTGCCCCTGTACGACTACGAGCAGTTCGACTTGCTACTGTAGATAGTTAGAAGTTCCTTGTACGGTAGAAAATTCCATGCGAATTTCAGAGGTATGTGTGTAAGTTCATGAAGCCGAGGGAGAAGATGAAGTGCTCCCCAGACTTTGCCAGGGTTGCCAGAATACAAAGGAACCGTAAAGTGCTGAGAAAACGGAAGCCTTTCCCGCAGTAGAAAAGCGTGATGCCAAATATACGAACCCTCGGCGGCCCACAGAAGCTAGCGCCGTTCGAATTTCGCGATTCTGTTCGAATTTGACACTTTCCATCATTGAGCTCTTCGTCCCGTCTTCTTCTAGCCAGGGCTAGCGGACAGATGGCCTCGCAGCAACGACGCCACAACACCAGAGGACGACATCACGACAGCCCAGAACGTCTCCAGAATGGCTTCTGATGCGCCGTCATCCGACGCGGCCGCCCCGGAGCGGGCTGTCCATGATTCCAGTGAACCTCCACAGCCACAGATGACAGATGCTGCATCTGGTACTGCAGATGCCGCGCCCAGGAAGACGAATTCTGAATCTCATACAACTGATTCCACATCCGATGCAGTTGATTCAACCACAATTACAGATTCTGCACCTGATCCGGATGATTCAGTCAAACCTGCGGACGCTCCACCCAGTGATACAAGAGTCGATACTACGGATCCCGCACTTCAAGGCACGGATGCTGCGACCAATTCGGCGGATGCTTCGCCCAGCACTACAGATGCAGCACCGCATTCGAGAGACTATGCGTCAAAGACAAGGGAAGCTACTCCTGATACCACGGATCCTGCACACAATGCTACAGAAACCGCAGCCAACAGCAGAGAATCTGCACACCCCGCCACAGAACCTGCAAATAACACGTATCCTACCCCCCGCTATCCCAGTCCTACTCCTGAAAATGGCCTCGGGCCTCAACATGGCATGCCGACTTCTCAAGGCGCACTTCCAGCGCCACAAACCGCGACTCCAGGGAGGGCAGCTTCTGGTCGGCAAGCTGCCGGCTCCAGTCATCAGGTGACAGCTCCCAACCAACGGAGCGCGGCTCCAGGTCATCAGGTAGCCGCGCCTCCATATCCGCCTCCATATCCATACCCACCATACCCAGCGCCGGGACACTATCCACCACCTGTCCAATACCTACCTTCTGGGCAATATTCACCCCCCGGGCAATATCCACTTCCAGGCCAATATCCGCCTCCAGGTCCATGGCCAGCTCCAGGTCAACATCCAGCTCCAGGTCAACATCCAGCTCCAGGCAAACAGCCAGCCCCAAGCAAACATCCAGCCTCAGGTCGACATCCAGCTCCACCTCAATATTCAGCTCCGGTTCCATGGCCAGCTCCAATCCCATACCCTCCCCCAGGCCAGTATCCTCCAGGTCAATACCCTCTTCCAGGCCAATACCCTCCTCCTGGTCAATATCCCCCTCCTGGTCAATATCCCCCTCCTGGTCAATATCCCCCTCCTGGTCAATATCCCCCTCCTGGTCAATATCCCCCTCCTGACCAAAATCCGGCTTACATGCCTCCACACCCTCATATGCCTCCTCAGTATTATATGCCTCCTTATCCTTATCCTCATCCCCATATGGCTCCGGGTTATTATATGGCGCCAAACCATCAAATGACTCCAAATCCTCACCCTCACATGGCCCCAGGTCCATATCCGTATCCCCCTCCGGGCCAATATCCATCTCAGGCTCACATGGCTCCAGGCCCGCAACCGCCTCAGAAACCACAGACCGCAGCTCCCAGCACAGGAACCGTGGCTCCCACTGCACAGACTGCGGCTGCTGGTCCGCAAGTCGCAGTTCCTAGTCCCCAAAATACGGCTCCTAACGGAGGACCTGCAATTTCAGCCACAGGAACCGCTTCTCCGAATTCACAGACCGCAAGCCCTGGCCCAGGAGCTGCAGCTTCAACATCAGAGGTAGAGGCTATAACTCCAGAAAACGAGAGCCCTAGCGGATATAAAGTTCCAAAACGCGTTCATCGAATCGAACGCACATTCTCAGTGGAAAAGAAGATTAGCGTTCTGACCTTCTTACAACAGCATCGCATTCCTACGGATAAGCGGCCTAGCAGGTTAAAGACGGGGATGGAGGAGATCGAAGGCAATCAAGAGGAGCAGGATGGCAAGTTCTTTCGGACTCCAACCTTTCGCGAAGCTGCGGCACACTTTCAGATCTCCTCTACGACAATTGCGACCTGGTGGAAGCAACGAGAAAAAATCATGGCCAAGGAGAGGAAGCGGTGACCTCTGTGTATTTGCCAAAGATTGCATGGCGCTTATCTTCTGGAATTGGACTTGTTTATTTGGATTGGGACATTATGTGCACGAATTCTTGTTGATCGAAGGGTGAAGAAAGATGATTTATACTACAGGGAGATAGATTCTAAGCGCCGCGGTCAACGGGATTCACCACGAACATGACACTCTTTTGCACGTACTAGGCGGCGTCCAGGAAATGAAGTCGTTTGTGTATACTTAATTCTTGCTTCCCGGCAGCTTATATGGTTCCAGAATAGCTGTAATTCCAGCAAGCTACATTTGGAATTACATAGTCTCAACATGTGACTACGGTCTCACCCCTTGTCTTAGAGACAGGCCCGGCAGCTGAGGACATGGCGCGATGTTGTCCGTCAATCGAGTAATGCCATACTGGACCATGGTTGAACCGTGGAATCCAAAGCATTATTATTTGCTGCTGCCTTGTTCCTACAGTTGTTTTATAGTTTCCCTGCCTCGCCTCCACACCGAGCCGCTCTCAAGGACATCTGACCCAGGCACTTCGCCAAGTCTCAAGAAAGGTCTCAGTTGGAAGCAGGCAGGGCATCATAACGCTCGGACTACTACCTACATGGAAGATACTCGTAGGACTTTGTGGGCCTCGCCTGTCTCACCATCTGCCGGGTTGGAATCAGCGGTGAATAGAAGAATTGATTCGGTCGTACAAGCGCCTTGTCCAACGTCTAGAATAGCCAACTACGCAGCAGCTTGTCATGGATATTTTCCTTGTCCCTAAGACCTTCAGCCGCTTCTTCACAGCATTCTCTCGCATCATAATTCTCAGAGACTTCCAAGCTCAATCGGACAATGCTTTTGCGAACAGCGAGCTTTCTGGGCCTTGTTTTCGTAGGAGGTACCGCTTTGGCCTCGTCACCAGAGGTTTTCCACCGCACCACGCCTGGAAACTGCAAGGTCCTTCCTGGAGATGCCGCTTGGCCAAAGGCTCCGGACTGGGCTGTGCTGAATAGGACGCTTAACGGACACTTGATTGCGTCGGTGCCCATAGCCAGTGCCTGCCACGATGCACCTTTCAACAACTACAACGCCGAGCTCTGTGCGCAGATCCAGGCCGGATGGAACGAGACGAAACTGTTCCAGTAAGCTTTCAACAGCCAGATGTAAGCGAGAAGGTGAAGCGTTGAGTCTAACGAATAGCAGCTTCGACCAGCCCGCTGACTTCTTAAACATGTACTTTGCAAACTATACTTGTGATCCCTTTACACCTCGGTCTACGCCCTGTGCTTTGGGCAACTATGCCAGCTACATTATCAATGTCACCGGTCCAACAGATGTTCAGACCGGTATTGCTTTTGCCAAGAAGAACAATATTCGTCTGGTGATCAAAAACACCGGTCACGAGTGAGCCTACAAGCACGAGAGCGGCTCGGGACTTGACTAACCAGTCTTAACAGTTACTTGGGCAAGAACACCGGCAAGGGTGGCCTGACCTTGTGGACTCACAACCTTAAGACCACTCAGTACATCCCCAACTACAGCTCCTCTTATTACCACGGCCCGGCCATGAAGCTCGGCGCCGGCGTTCAGGGCTTCGAGGCCTTTGCTGCTGCCAACGCTACTGGAAACCGAATCGTTGGCGGAACATGCCCTACCGTCGGCATTGCCGGTGGGTACAGCCAAGGCGGTGGTCACTCCATGCTCATGGCCGCCCATGGTCTCGGCGCGGACAATGTCCTCGAGTGGGAGGTTGTCACTGCTGCTGGGAAGCACTTGGTTGCCACTCCTACCCAGCACTCCGATATCTACTGGGCGATCAGCGGTGGTGGTGGCGGCACTTTTGGTGTTGTTTTGTCCATGACCAGCCGGCTTCACAAGGACAGTATCATTGGCGGTGCTTCTCTTACGTTTGACGACAGCAAGGTTGGCAATACTGCATTTTGGGAAGCCGTCGGCGCTTTTCACACTCTTCTCCCTCTGTTGGTGGACACTGGTAACAGTGCCACGTACATGCTCACTCCGACTCAGTTCCTCACTCTGGCCTTCACCATGCCCGGAAAGGATGTGGATGAAGTCAACGCTTTGATGAAGCCCTTCCTGGACGATCTCACCAAGCGCGGCATTGCCTACCAGTACAATCCTCGTGTCTCACCCAACTATTATGACCATTTCGGCCTCTACCTGGGACCTCTGCCTGAAGGATCCTCTGGCTACGCTCCTTTCACTGGTAGCCGCATCATTCCCCGCGACCTGCTCCTCGACACCAAGAAGAACGCCATCACCATGGACGCCCTCCGAAATGCCACGCTCACCAAAGGCTACACTCCGTTCCCCTGCCAGGCCTTCAACGTTTCTAACCAGCCACACCCAGATAACGCCGTCCATCCTGCCTGGCGCACCGGCTTGTCTGTCTGCCTAATTCCAGGTCTCTGGGATCCTACGGCTACTCCGGCTGAGATGCAAGCTCGTCAAGACTTTGCCGCCCACGTTTTGCAGCCCATGGTTGATGCTGCTACCCCTGGCGGTGGCGTCTACCTCAACGAGGCGAACTACAAGCAGCAGGATTGGCAGGAGGCCTTTCATGGGTCGAATTATCCCAAACTTCTGAAGATTAAGCAAAAGTACGATCCTGATACTCTATTCTATGCCAATGTCGCGGTTGGCAGCGAGGATTGGTACTTGACCAGCGATAACAGACTTTGCCGTTCGTAGGTTCCGGCTGGCTGTTCGAGGGTTGATGTCATCCCGCGGTGGCTTATCTGTGAGGGTCGGACTGTGGTAGATGTTTCGTCCTGGTACACCGTAAGATATGTGATGGGTGGATGGGTGGGGAGAATACGATTATGCTGGCAGTTGGTAGTCGAGCTCATGAACGGTGTCTGCAACATCAGGTTGGTCTCATGGCTTCTGCTTAATATATGTCAAAGAAAGAAACGCATCTATTGCTTCAAAGAAATTTTGAGCCTCTAGCGGACGGATTCGTATAGGTGCAAGTGTCCGATCATGATTCTCACAGTCTCATATCTCTAAGCCGTTGAGGTATTCACGTGCTTCTTCTCCTGCCTGAATATCACCCGCAAGTCCTTTATAAGCTCAATCAAAGCACGCAACGCCACCAAGCTAACCATGCACACAGGCCCCAAAATGGCAAGCAGTGTAAATGCATAAGATGCTTGTTGAAAGGCCGTATTTGCCTGAAGCCGCTCTGTCGCAAGGCCAACCTGCATCGCAGTCAAGATCAAGACTAGATATGCAGTAATGGCAGCGATCCACGCGAGATTATCACGGAAGAAGCTGCTGTAATTGTTCCACCCGCCAAAATACGCTTCAGAGAAGAGAAACTGTTTCGTCCGATGGATGACGTTGATGCGGGACAAGCGAAGCTCTGCTCGGACGAAGCGAGGATGGACCTTGGATGAACCATGCTGAGCAATGATTTCTCTCACTAAACGCTGCCATTGTGCCCATTTGATGGGTGAGTCGTCTGTTTCTCTTGGCAGAAGACGCTTCTCAATAGCAATGGAAAAGTCGCTTTCCGTAGAGATGAGGCAGGCATATGTATATAGGAATCCGCGAGCGACTTTCCGCAGGCGTTCCTTGCACGTAGTGTTGGGTGGAGGAAGAGGATATCTCGACTCCATAGCCGGCTGAGACTCCATGCTAAGAACGCTCCCGACGCGGTCGCTGCACGAACAATAGTCGTGACATGTGAGATGAGTTTGCCAAAAGTCGGGACTCAGGAGAAACCGCGAAAGAGGCTTGACAAAGAGTTTGCCATCGCCACTCCACAGGAGATGCAGGTCGATACGGTCTGCAAGGACAATGTTGCGACCGATGGCGACTTGCAAATGCAGCTGAGTGGGAGGCCTTTTGGCCCCGGCCAGCCACAGATGCTTGTCGATGCTCTCCAGTTGCTGCAGCGATAACTCCGTGTCCAAAAAGGCGGCTACATTCTGTGACGGGTCGGCGACCCTGCGACGTCTTCGGCCGCTGATAACCTGTTCGTAGAAATGGTATGAGGCCGGTAGCAGATCGGACGGGTCACTTTGTTCTTTCAAGACGCGTGTAGTGAACTGAGGGGGGCAGCAGTCAGCAGTCAGCTCTGCCTTCGGGGTTATAATAGGATGTATTCACCGGCAACTGCGTATGGTCTTGCTTCATCACGAAAAGTGTAAGTGATGTGGAGAGATGTTTCTATCGCGCGTTAAGGGATTGATGATGGCTTAGGGCACGGAGCGAGGGAATGTCCAGACGCGGTTTAGTAGGTAGAAGCTTCATGTCAGGTGAAGAGTGCTGTCCAGATACTGGGGTACTGAAGAGGTAATAGGTGCAGCGTGCCCTGCTACTGGGTACTTTGTGCGACCTTCCAAGTGCTATTGCTGTCTGATTCCAACCGGGGGATTGGAACGATAAGAAGTAAGGTATGGTTTAGGATCTGAATATTCGCAATGCTGCTCGTTTCAATCAATGCAGTTGCTTCGAACAAAACCTCACCACTGTCTTCAAAGAGACCGGTAGAAGCTTCAGCTGTCTGTACAAGACGCGCTGTAAGAGAACCATGATACCCTAGACGCCTCAACACATTTACAGACATGACGCAAATGCCTGCTTCAATGGCTTGCAATGGAACTGTATCCTGGTGCAATTATCAAGTTGATAATGAGTAGCTCGACACCTTCTTCGCCACTACGTAGCACCAAGGCTCCGTCGAAACTGAAAGGTGTCTTCGTGCTAGGGGATTACCTCTAGGATTCGTGATTACTTCAACTCCTGCGCTGTAGAGAAACCCCCCAGCAATCAACGCCTTTTCAGCTGCGTATAATGGGTAGCACAAACCTTGAAGACACACATAACTACCGACAATTGACCTTCTCATGTCGCAGCCTTGACTGCCTCCTAGTGTCGAAGTTGCCTAGAAAGGAGACTTCTTGTACAGCGCGTAAGGTATTCGCAGTTTGGCGACTTGAAACCCGTCCCCTACAGAGTCCATTACTAATGAGTGTGAAGAAAAGTCAGTCACATGATGCCGTTCTTACACAGTGCCTGTTTCCAGCATCAAGTCGTGCAGATTCTCGAGGCTGGGTCTTGAAGATTTTGGCCCGCGTTCCCCACTCCAGCTTAGCCTTCCATTGACATTCAGCATTTGACGACTCCGACAAGTGAGATTTCAGCCAGGATAAAGAGTCGTTACATCCATTTCTCATCTTTGGTATCGAATTACTTCAAGGTCTGGCGTGCACAACAAGTTTGCGCGTCAGCATGGCTCCAGCACTCACCAGCAGCGAGCCTCCGAGGGCAAAGAAGTCATGTTTCAGTTGTCGAAGTATGTGAGATTCCCCGGTCCACCATTTAGCGTCACTTGCGTCCTTCATGCCATGGGTTTGGCTTCTGGTGGCGTTATATGATGCTTGGAATCCCATGAAGATCATCACTTATACATCGGGACTAACACCCCTCAGCACTCAAGATCGCCTGCGACAAAGCCTTGCCAGCATGCACGGCCTGCAAGACGCGCGGCAAGACATGTTCCGGCTACAATGAGAACCTGTCATGGCCGCGCAAAGGAGACAAACGACGCGCTGCCACAGCCAATGTGCGTAGCCGGGGCAGTTACCGAGCGAATCCGGCGGTGTTTCTGAATACTTCCAGCTGGGACGTGAGCTTGTATCGCGAACACGTCGATACAGGAGGGCATAGTGAGTGGAGCTAGCCGTGGAGTTGGAGTTGGTATAGCCTTGGTCTGACCTGATGATAGTTGGGCATATGGGAGCTTGGACGCCATCGATAACACCAAGCACCTCATTATGGTCCACCAAACTTGGCTTTTGTAAGACTGAGTCTCATCCAATCTGACAGCATGTGGGTTGTCTTGTATACTGAGATGCAGCAGATGGACCCCAATTGCCCTCGGCGATCCGCCTCGTCACATCAGGCAGCTTTCATGACGACGTTTGCGGTCTGTTATACCGAATGTCTTTCGGCGACGATAGCGTACACGCCATGTCTCTTCGCCATTCCATGAATGCAATATCGCTGCTTTCTTTGCACAAGACGAATGAGGCACTCAGATACAAGATCCTTGCAATATCAAATCTCAAGAGCGCCATCATGCAGGGCCTCGATAACCGATCTCGACCACAGGCCATTGCTGCTAGCCTGCTGTTGACCTTGTACGAGGTAAGCAATGAGGAGGTTTCATCTCTTATTGGATGTATATATCTAACCCGCCTTTGCAGGTTCTCAGTCAGAGCGGCAAGACCAATGACTGGTCAGTCTACTTTGACGGCTGCATGAAGATTGTCAACTCTGGCTTCAACATCCATCGCCGATACGCAGGAGACTGTGCAATCCTGCTCAACTGGGTTCGCTATCATAAGACGCTATACAAGTTTAGCATCAAGCATTGGCAGCAACGGACTCCGCAGATGGAGCTGATGGCCAAGTCGGAAGTTCTTGTGTCGGATTCAGCATATGATATCGATCTTATAACGGTAAGAACAACCCATGAGGCACGAGCTATGCCAACTTATCAAGCTCATACTGACGAATTCATAGATGCATAACATGCTGGGCTGCTCGCCTCAGGTGCTCGACTACTTAAGCGAAGCAATGGACCTTGTCAAGAGCCGGGATGACCCAAACTATTTATCCCTCAAACGCCTGCGCGCCATCAATGAGCTCGAGCTTCGTCTCAAGAACATCGACGACTTGCGTGACTGCTTTGACGTGGAAAAGGAGGGCATCACAATAAGCAAAGCCACGGAGATCATGAACGATCGGCTGTTTCAATACGCACTGATCATTTACGTGGATCGAGTTGTCAAAGGCGCCTTCATGTCTTCAACGGCCGCCCAGAGCGCCGCCGCCAAGGCCTTTGCCCTCTTGGAGAAGATCCGGCTATACGACAGGCCGTTCCCTCTCTTCATCCTCTCTATCCAAGCAGAGACTGACGAGCAACGACTACTCATTCTAACAACCATACAGCGAACAATGGAAGCACGGCCGATGAATAATCTAGGGTCAACAGAAGAAATGATCAAGAAACTCTGGGCTCAGCAGGATTTGCAGGGACCGGAGCAAGCAGATGCGCTGTTCCTGCTGAATGCTGTGATCAGCGCCAGCAGCATGCCGCCGACTTTCACCTCGCCTTTTGTCATCAATGCCATTACGGGTGCGCACGCTGTACCGTTCTTATCCATTTGAGGCTACACGAAGGGAATACAAATGTGTTTGATTTCGTGTTGAGTCCCATGAGATAGCGTTGCATATAGACATCAGGAAATTGACGCGTTCCGCAGCATTGTCAGGCAAATGGAGCTGATCTCTCTCGAAAACTGAATGCGCAATGTGTTTGACAAATTATAAATGTAGTCTGAATTATTTGCAACAATGTTTCAGTGAGCGGCTATAGACAAAGGAGATGCTAGAGATTCAAGGACAAAAGAAAGAACAATGTATGGCAAGTCCCCTCAAGCACATTTCATGGCTGACCACCCAAGGACCGGACAATATCAGTGACCTTTGCAAAAGCGAGTTCGTCCAAGGTCTCCCTCCACAGCCTCTCTGCAATTGTATGACCCTCAGGTGTGTAGACGAGCGGTGCCATCCTGAGCGAAAAACATTAGCAGAATGTCTTGCCTAGATTTATGGGCTACGATTTTGGACAACTTACGGCTGAACCTTTCCGTCTTCAAGATACTGTCCGTGTGACTCTGGACCCTGCTTCACAGCTGCATCGGTAAACGCGCGAGCTCCTACCGACGCCTGGCGCCCAAGCAAGGATTGAAAAGCCCACATCAACAACTTATCCAAGAGGCCGTCATGTTCGCGTGCCAAGCTGGACTTGCACAGACCCGGATTCGGAGCATTTATAATTGTAGAGGACAGCGGCACCCTCTTCACCAGCTGCGATAGGAACAGTTGCCCAAGTAACTTGGAAGTGGCATATCGATCTTGGCTCTTGAACGACTCGGGTTTATCAAAGCCAGCAAGTAGCGGTACTGAGTTTTTCTCCTTGAATCCGGCCCATGCGGCTGTGTCGGAGGAAACGAGTACAAGGTGGCCAGGCTGTTCGACGGTGTTCTTGTCCTCCAAGATGGGAATAAGTAGCAGTGTGAATAGAGCGAGGCCAAGGTAGTTGACTTGAACAGTTTCCTCATGGCCTGTAAACTTGTTCTTTTCAAAGTTCTTCTTGATGAGACCTGCGTTATGGACGGCTATATCGAGCCTCTGCAGCGTTTTGGTGCGCTCTGCAAACGCGACGATGGAGTCATAGCTCGATAGATCGAGCTTCCACACTTCGATGACTGGTGGGGGAGTGCTTGAGTTTTGGCGCTCCAAGAGCAGCTTCTTCGCCTCCTCGCCCTTTGATTCACTGCGGACTGCGAGAATGAGCCTGCTGAGGCCAAGGTCAAGGAGCTGAGCACTGCATTCGAAGCCGAGGCCAGTGTTGGACCCTGTGACGATGGCGGTTTGGCCGCTTAAATCTGCGTCCTGTCGAGTCCATACGGGGGGTTCACGGAAGAGCTGCCGCTGAAAGAAGGCGAGCATTGATGCTCGCTTCTCTGGCGTGATGTCGAATGCTGGTGCCATTATGGAAGATTGAACGGCTAAGAAGCGCAAATAGATTTAGATGAGCTATGGTGTATATAATTATGGGTGGAGAACTGATATTCTTTTCACATCCATCACCAGCATGGAGATGCCCAAGTCTTTTATATCAACAGTCGCTGTTCCTTTGAGGAGATAACCGGCCCCATGCTTCATGCTTCCCGGACCACGGCTCCGGCTCGCGCTTGCTAAAATCCTCCTCCGGCAGCCCTCGACTGGCTTGGCGAAACCTGCATGAGATACATGTGTAAATGACGAGAACAAGTCGTGTAAGTCATAGACACGGTTACTAAGCCATACACCACTCCTATCTACTAGAATCAACAGCGAGGCCGGAATTAGCCAGTCTTAGTGCCGACCAGGAGCGCGACTCTCGACAAGCTTGGCGAGTCCGGAGTCCGGAGCCGTTTGCGCGAGGGTTGGGCAAGTATTGGAGATAGGAGCTTTTACATGATTCGATGGAGCGGCAGTCAATGCACGATCCCTGTATGGTACATTGATCTTAATCATCAACCTTATATGCGAAAGGTACCTGGTGTGGGGTGATAGAAGGATTCTATCGTGGCGTTGGGTCCGGCGTTAACGGCGATCCTGCAGCCAGAGGCACGAGCCGATCGTCGAATCTGTACCTAGGTAGATGAAACTTCGATAGGGTTCTGATCTTCAGCCGGGCCCAACTTACTGGTATCTGTAAGACGCTTTGTGCAATATTCTTTCCTGCATTCTGCAAGCTCATTCCATATAAGTATGTATATAGAAGGCGATAGTCATAGAAGATGTTGGCCTTTCAGATGTATAGCCATCGGCGAAGGCATGCCAAGGCGTCTTGGAGAAACGTCTGGCAGGGGGGCTGCGGCATCCATCTTGGCGGCGAGGACCTCGGACATCCGCAAAGAGCGAACCGGTGGATCGGCCATCTTTCGATTCTTAACCAGGCTGGATGCCGATTGAGAAGCCGGCTTCTCCGCCCAGAGCAGATTCCCATATCTTTCCATGCTTGTCCTTGCTGACCTACCGAACGCTTGTTGTGACAAATGCACGATTGTGGCCTTTGGGACGAAGGCCTTCTGCAATGACTATCGATCTATCTATATAAGAGATCTTCGAAGTATAGCGGTCGACTCAATCCCAACCTGGGGGCTGTGTGCCTGGTGGCATCCCAGTCGGAGGCTGTGCATTATAACTTACTCGTCGCTATTTCTCCGATTGAAGTCGACATTGATTTCACCGACACTATCGAATCACGACGAAGCGGCGAGTTCCGAGCGCTTTCTCAGCCCTGTTTCCAACGGAGTTGGAACGCTACGTGCGTTCTGGATATGCTACCTTCTTTGAACATATATCCCTCTATTTCCTGAGCTGGTAAGCTCATTTGCTCGAGTGAATTGTTACTCATTGCATCATGTGGAACGTGGGCAAACCGCTCCCTGATATTTGCCAGTTTCGACTATTCTGCGTCCAAGCCACAGGTGCACTCGTTCGGCTACCCCTCATAACCGGCTCGCGTTTCGTATCGGAGAAACTTTGAAGCTCTAACTATATAGCATGTGTCGATAGATGAGCTTCAGCCTCTTCAGCCCAGCACAGCCGTCAAACTCTAACTCCAACATATCAGCCCATCAGCCACAGCCGACGTCCGCCACTTGGAGACTTTGTCCAATCAGTCCGACTCAACCACAGAGAGCTGAAGCCACCTCTTATCACCCACATGATAGGTCAACGTCACAGCTCAAGAGCTGACCGACCGGTCAACGTCTACTCGGCTATAGAAGGTATTCGCGGAAGTGTGCTGACCACTGTTATACGGCCCGGCTGATGATTCTCCGCTAGAGCCAGTCCTAATCATACGAGGCGTTACAGATTTCGTCTAGGCTGGGCATATAGTAGATCTCAGTTGGCAGCTCACGTCTCAGCGACGAGATAGTCTCCCTCATCTCAGGGTCTATAGAGAGTCTCGGTCAGACGCCACCTTTCGGATTTGTGGCGGCGCCTCGCCGGTGGTTGAACCATTGGCCTGGGATGTGATGGGCTTCTCAGTTTACCCTTTCCCCTCATGCCGCGGTAACAGCTGAGTTTTGTCGAAATGTTTAAAAAAGTAGACGTTGCCCCAAATGCCGACCCTTTTCTCCTTCGATCAGATAGTTGTACCAGAACTACGCATCTTTGACCTGAGCGACTGCGCGAACTACAAATCATGGACCACGACAACATTCCGATTCGTTCGAGGATAGTACGGTCAGCCTCTTTGGCTAGAAGAAATGATACAGATGTTACGCCCTCGTCAACAACCGGCCATGATTACATCCCAATCATTGTCATGACCGTCATCGTGATAGCGATCATCATTATCCTCTTTATACTCGCGTACGCACGCTGATCCTTCGCCTAATTGCAACGCCTTGCTCGCAGTGCACAAATAGCTGATAGAAGTCCATGACTTCGATAATAGGCAATACACTAAAGTGCTTGACCGGAAAAAGCCGCGAGAAGGCCAGGACGATCCGGAAAACGCCCAGAATGCAGGCAGAATGGGAAAACTCAACGAACGGGCACCGAGTCAAAGTTACAGAAGCTGGAAGTCCAAGGGCGAAGGCACCAACGGGCCAGCTAAGAAAGAAACCACCTATGTTGTATGGTGAGTATCTTTGCCGTCTGCGAATATTCTCACTCTCTATATCATGGTCGCTGACGGGAAAACACGGCAGTGCGATATGTCTCGAAACGCTGCGGGATGACGATCCAATCCGTTTGCTATCGTGCGACCATATCTTCCACTCTTCGTGTCTGGCAAAGTGGTTCTTGAAGAGACATGAGACATGTCCGCTGTGCAAAGCGTCATTCATGCGTTTGCCGGACAAACCAAAAAGCCCTGTACAGGTTCCAGAGAGAGCACATACCAGATGAATGCATTCAAGCCGTGGTGCAGTTCAATTGCTGTCCCCCCGTGATGAGGCATCTACATGATCGATCCAGACGTGCGTCACAGAGGGAGATATGTCTCAACAGGCCGGAGACGAAAGTGGTCATGTTCGGTAATATCTGCGACAGACGACCAGGCAACTAACACTGAACATTGTCGACAAACCTTGGACGAAGTGCTCATTGGAGGCGAGCCAGACAGCTTTATAGTAAGTCAGAATGGACCCAAACTCTCAGCAGGGGAGCAGCCATTGATGAGCATTCAGGCGCATGGCTGCCAACCGGTCTATGGTAAGCCTAACCGGCCTCCCGTGCGACAGACGTAGGCACAACCAATAGAGAACGAACAATGGCGATAGGCGAGTACTATGTGAAACAATGGCCTCATAGGCCTAGAATCCGGAGCAGAGCCAACGCACCGTTTGGCTCATTACTAGCCCCGAGCCTCGTTGCTTCCAACACGGACCGTTGATGTCTCCGTGCCGAGCGGTCTTCGCACACGACTAGGTACCTTAAGACTATGTTCGGATGGTCCAAGAGGACCAGGCGCGTTGTTACTGCAGTAGGAAGACGTCTCAGTCGCTTGCTGACGTGGGTGTTCTTGAAAGACGGCGAACAAAGTAATACCGAGTGTGAGCAATTAGTGTTACACAATCAAAGCGCTCACAAATCGATCACTTGATCTCCGGCTTTACCCAGCTAGCATCCCGTCAAGTAAGCTTAACCTCCAAGCTTGTCCTGAACCATGCGATGCTCTCTATCTTGGGAGGATGAAATGACATGGGCTCAGCCGTCACAAAAGTGCTCATCTCCACAAGTCGTCTCATCTACACTCTGGCCTTACCAATCGGCATCTTGTCGGCAGGAACAGCGTCTTGGCCCCTCTGTCAAGGTGGTCTCAACCCACCAAGTGAGCTTGCGTGATGACAAGCTTCGATATTAGCGTTGCATTTTCGGTATTGAGCTTCCTTTCCGAGATACAATCTGCATTGTTGTACCTTGCAGGAAAGACAATGATGGGAAGCGTGTCGTATATGACTGCTGCACTCTCTCCGACATCACCCCTATCCTTTGCCTCCTGTTAAGTTCAACCTCATCTTCTGTATATGATTAGATCAAAGCTTGAGATCGAGGAGGGGTATTCATGTTGTTACTATGTTGTTGGTGATCCTAGAGACGCATGGACTCTGCGGAGGGGACATGGTCGAAGAGCACTCAGCGACAGGCTGGTCCCTGCATGTCAACGGCTTGGCAATCCCCATATCTCACCTTGCACCCGTGCTTATTGAGAACAATGGCTGTTGGATCCCACAAGGAACCCCGATCCTTGCCCTTGGGGGTGTCTTTACTGGCTCCATCTGTCTTGAATCAGTGTCACAGCAATGCACGACATCGGACGAAGGAAGCCAGATATAAACCCAAGTGACACCTCGCCCAAGCTACAGACTAGAACGGGAACCCTTCTAGCGCTGCATGCCACTTACAGTTCTCCCATCATGCGGTACCACCTGCTCGCTGCCCTTCTTGCCTCCGAGGCCCTCGCTGCTCGACCATTCTTAAACGAGCCAGACACGGGAATTGACGATGTCCTTTCCTACCTCCCCAAGGGAATCCTCCCGAAGCTCTCGGATATCGTTGGTCTGCCCGACTTTGACTGGGCGGCTCGCCACTACCTCCCAGTGAAGAACTACACTTACTACCGCAATGGCGCCGCCGGAGAGTGGTCATACCGCAACAACCTGGAGGTCTATAGCCGATACCGCCTGAGGCCCAGGGTCATGGTCGACATTACGAATATTGAGAGCACTTTGCCGTTCGTGATAGCACAAGAGACGCAACCTTACTTCAAGATCTGACTAGCGTGTAGAACAACCATCCTCGGCCACAACTTTTCGGCGCCCATTTTCATCAGCCCGTGTGCTCGGGGTACCTATGGCCACCCTGATGGAGAGCTCAACCTTGTGAGAGGAGCTGCTGCTGGCAACATCCTTTACATGGTATGTCGACTCCAATAACGTCCCCAAATTCATGTCTGCTTGAGACGTGTTGAATTGACTTGAACAAACAGCCGGCGCTTTTTGCATCGTATACGATTGAGGAGATTGCCGCTGCCAAGGCCGAAGGCCAGGTCGTGTTCCAACAGGTTTGAATATGCCAAAGCTTTCCCCAACTCGAGAATGAGACATATTAATTTGGAATTCGCCAGCTATATCTTTCCTCCAACGATACGGAGACGCAGGATCTTTTGGACCGTTCCAAAAAGGCTGGTGCAAGCGCCATTATATTTACCGTCGACTCTGCAGCAGATGGAAACAGACATCGAGCTGCTCGATATGGCGTAGGATCAGCGTGCGTGCAATTCAGGGATTTCCTCTCTGTACAATGAAACTTACTTACGGCGGTGGCAGTGACTCCGAGTATACTTATATTACTGTAAGTCTGAAGGAGGGCTCTTCCTCTCCCTTACACAACAGTGCTTCACGTTAGTCTCACTGGCTGTCCTCTACTGACACGCCGTTCTCATAGTGGGATTATTACAAGAAGATCACCAGAATGACGGATCTGCCCGTCATTCTCAAGGGAATCATGACCGTGGAAGATGCGAAGCTTGCTGTCAAGCACAAAGTGCCCGCCATCATCCTCTCAAACCACGGTGGCAGGCAAATCGACGGCAGCCCCTCGTCCCTCGAAGTCGCACTTGAAATCCACCAAAGGGCTCCCGAAGTCTTCAAGAAGATTGAAGTCTACGCGGATGGCGGTGTTCGATATGGAGCCGATGTCCTCAAGCTGCTGTCTCTGGGCGTCAAGGCTGTGGGCTTGGGACGTCCCTTCATGTTTGCCAATGTCTTTGGTACCAAGGGCGTTGAAAAGGCCATCGACATTATCAAGCATGAAATTGCGATTGATGCTGCAAATCTGGGTGTCGGGGATCTGAAGAAGATCGATCCAAGCTATGTAAGACTCTCTGTGTTCCTGTGGCCGAGGACTATGCTGACGTTTTTCAAAGGTGCAATGGACCCCTAACAACTGGATGGGATAAGCAAGAAGACTCTATTAGCAAGGACTATTTTGCCATGGCTTCAGACAGACGCCTTATATGACTGGTGAAGCAGGCATGATGTAACAGCAGATGAATCGATCCGACATTCTCAAGCTACGTGATTGCTTTGTTACGACCTAGTGGCAGTTCAGTCGTACTTGGTATTCTAACGTCAACAATTGGTGATTCACATAGCATTGAATGAGTGTATTCATCACAGAGCTACATATTGACTCTTCCTTGGCTATTCACTGTCCCGCAACTCCCTCTACCCATCACTCCCGTCTTCCTCCTCACACTAGCCGAGTCGTAAATCTGCCGTATATTCTATCCGCATCGAGCAGTTCCAGAGCCGCAGTCGCTGGCCACGCCATAATCACAGCACGACCCCGAAGGCGAGCACTCGTAGACATGGTTGTTGACGCGCTTGGCAGTGATGATGTAGCCATCGCCATTGGACCAGACGCAGTTGCCGCAGTACTGGCCTTGCTTGAGAGGGTGGAGCGTGCTGCATTTGCAGCCGTTGGCAACGCAGGCTCTCTTGTCGAGCGTGAGAAGCTCAGAGCGTTCCTCGACTTGGGCGACGGCCTCGACGCGGGCTTCAATGTCGACGCCGGCAACGGCTGCGGAGGCCAAGGGGGCGAGAAGAGCGGCGACGAGGATGAAACGCATCTTGATAGGTGAGGTGCTTTGTGGTTTTGCTGGAATTGCTGAGATATTGGTTTTTCTGGTTAGGCTGCTGGGGACCGGTGACTTATCGATGGCGATGGTCCGAAAGCTAGACCTTCACAGGGCCTTATATATCTCGACATCTCGCAATGGGTGCCCGTTCGAGATCAATCCTGCTTCTGCCATCACCACACACCCGGAGGAAGTTTGTCCGTGATGACACAGTGTTCTATCCAATGATCATGGCTACATATTCAGCTGAACCTGTATAAGGTCTCCTGATCGTGACGGCTGAGAGCAAGAACCATTTTCCAGCAAGGATGGAGAAGTGGCGATCCTACTTGAAGTTTCATCCACCTCTACGGCTGACAGCAAAAGCGCTTACCGGCACGGTTGAGTAGTGAAGATGCTACTTCACCAACATCCAGTTTCACTCGTATGGTGTTTTGTCGAGGAGTGTTCATTCCTGTAACTGCATACCCCGCTTATATGGGGTTACATCGCATACGAGAGCTGAACTTCAGCAGGATCTCAGAACAAGGAACAGACTCGGATTGATACTTTGATTGGCTATATTGCCAATAATATTGCCAATAAGCACCACTCATCCATGTATGCACGCATGGTGTGGCAACTATCAGGCTTCGGCTCGTCGGGGGCGAGTTTGGGGATGCTTACGAGCCCCCCCCCCTATTCTGTGAGAACACAAAGCCTCTGACTGGCTTCATTCGTCGTTCTCAATGCGCAATAAAGTCGCTTCAAAGCATATGGGTCCGTTGAGCCTTCTTCAATCTTTGAATAGTCAGACGCCGCTTCATCTGGTAGAAGCTCAGGGCTAGTGCAGACACGGTTAAGAATCGTCACTACACTCTTCATCGTGGTTTTGGAATTTCATTGTCAAGCTTGCTTACTTACAACACAGCGTCATCATTGGCTGTGAATAGTTGACTCACGCAGGGTGTTTTCATAATCTTGCCAAGATTCCTTCTGCAGACAATCAGGAACTGCCACGTCAAGGTCTGAAAGCATCCCCTTCGCTTCGACAACCTTGCACTTTTCTCGCCATGATGTCAGTAATGTTTGAAAGTGCTATGTCCGATATTCGTCTGCTACCAAGAGAAAATTTGCATTGCGAATATCTGTTACGTTTAATTATCATCGCTGTTAGCTGCGATCACCACATACTCGGCCTGAATCAAGTTCAGAAACACAATCCCAGCAGCAGGTTATTACTAGCCTGCCTTTTGATCAAAATGCCCAATCGGACTACTTGCCTGCAATAGCGGTGAATTGAGCCTAAATAGCAACAATAATGTCGGAATAAATGTCTAAGGGAAAGGAGTACAACGGAACTGGAACACATGAGGTCTGTGGTGGTACGATTCTGGCTAAAAGAGTGAATGGGATATCAGGAATAAATTCCAGTTTCTATCATCCTACTAAAGCTCTAACTAAGTCTCCAGCTTCTTATATAACTTCTTCTTCCTACCTAGTATTATTAGGCATCATCAAGGCCTCAATCGGGTCTATACTAAGTCAGCCTTGTATTGGGTTGCCCTCCTGTGTTATACATCCGGCCCAAAGATGATTAAGCTCGACGGACTGTCTATCTTTTCAGAGACCATGGTCTACTTGCGAAGTACATCAGCCCTCAGGAAACAGGATCTGTCTCCCGTCCAATCTTTATGAAGACCTGACAAATTCCATCGTTTATACTGAACAACTGCTGGGATGGCTATGTTTCTTATGACACTCTATGGTCAGCGTCAACAAATCGACAGGTGTCACGACTTTTTTTTCAACTGTTCGCTATAGAGGCCAAGCATATACAATTTTTTTTTTGAAAAAACTTTAAAGTCTCGCTCCTAAGAAGTAAATTGAAGGTCGAAACATATGGTAGTGGTTGACATGTACTCGTCACCTCTTGTCGGACGCGTCCAAACAGAGCCGTACCCTGGCGAGCAGTCTTCAGAGGTCATTTGCAGCAAGCTTACATACGCCATAAGAGTGACACGGATTCTTCTTCACAGTGGCATACATATGCAGAGGATCGAACCGGCCATCAAAGCAAAGCTTTGCCCATTCGCTTTTCACGTCGCAGAGTGGACTGAGCTCGGAACGTACTAATTCACCTTGCAGTCTTATGCATGATCTTTTCTTTCTTCATAATTGCAAGAGTAAATGCTACAAACTGGCCTGTTTACCATTTGTTTTTTCTTTTTTATGGTTTGCTCACATGGAATTGCCAATCTCAGATCCCGTGGTTCTTCTCAACCACCAGCACGCAAGCAATATACGCCCTCAAGAAAATAGCACACGTCGCAATGACCCTCTGCCTCAAGACCCAGTCAAAAGAAGGAATAATCTGATCAATGATGAAGAAAAGAAACAGATTGGTGGTAATGTACGTCTCAATCTTCTCACACCTCGAAATCGACTCGCCCAAGTCATGAATCAGCTGCTGCGCCGAAAAGAGCTGCTGCTCCTCCTTGCTCATTCCCAAATCCGTCTTCTTGTCAAAGTCAATCTCGGGAAAGCTCTCCCTGATTAGCTGAGCGACCTTGTAGGCCTTGCGCTGGAGCACCACGGGACTCTTCACGTCGGCGATGGTGAACTTGTAGCCTTCAACAGCGGGCAGCCACGCAGAGAGGATGGTGGAAATCTTATCCTTGGACATGGTCCACACGCTCTTGCGAGCGGGCTTGCGGATCTCCTCGTGGCCGTCCATGTAGATGATGAGATCCAGCAGGCCGTGCTTGTCGTAGGCCATGGCGGAGGCGAGTTTCTCAATGAGGAGATCGCGGGGGATGGCGTCGCCCGCAAAGGAGAGGTAGTTGCTGCCCTCGAACTTGAGCTCTGTTGCGGACGGGGCGTGGAGAGTGATTTCTCTCCAGCGAGTGAGTCGCTCGCCAGAGAGTGTCAGATTGCACGTGTCGACAAGAGTCGACTGGTGGCTTTCGTCGAGAATGTCTCCAATCTTGGACTCAATGGCTGAGGCTCTGCCACGGACCAGGGAGTAGAACGTCTCTACCTGGTTTCCGTCCTGGAAGCCTAGAAGGGCGTCCGCAATGGTCTCAGGCGTTTCGTTCGCCTTTGAAGCGAGGAGAGCTCCTGGGTGGTCTGACGCAAGATGAAAGGCAGTGATGACACAGCTGCGCGTGCTCCCGTTGTTGTTGCGATAGCGGTGGTGGACCAGCGAGCCGGCGTTGAAAACCACCGTAACGGGCTGCTCTGGATACTCTAGCTCTACAATCTTAGGAGGGTTTCCAGTGATGTTCTTCTGGAACTCGAGGACGCTTTCCAGGCTGTCGTCGGTGATGAACAGGCTGCTGTTCTCAGTCGACCAAGGCTGAGACCGCTCGTCTACGTTGATGAGGCGGTTACCCTTGTGCGTCCCGGGGAGGAATGTGAAGTTCTGGCCGGTGGGACCCTTGACTTGGCCCTTTTCCCAGCCGAGCAGGATCTTGTACTCCTCTCGGAAGGGAGTGTTGTCAATGTGCAGCATGTTGTCCTGCGCATTGACGGAGATTGGCTGCGTGTCTTTGCCGCGGGCATCAGTTATTCTGATGGGACCGCCCATGACGTACGAAAGCAGGGCAACCAGCAGAGGGTGGATGATGGCGTCGTTGAATTCGGAGTTGAGGAGGATGTCAGGGTGGTCGATGAGGTTGGCAAAGGAGTGCAAGAAGGCATGAGTCCCTGAATCGCTCATGGTCTTGGTGAACTGCTCAATGAGCTGGAGGAAGGCCGGAACGTCAATCAGACCAGCAAAGACGGCACATCCATCTCGCTGTAGCAGCTCGACGAGCCTGATGAACCGAGCCTCGGTAGCCGCATTGGTCCAGCCCTTTCGCAGCTCGGCCAGCAGCCCCTTCCTGAACTGCTCCTTGGATACGGCGTCCGGGCCTCCTCTGAACTCATTCGTCTGGAGGTCGATGCCAGGAATGGTGGGCTGTGAGAGGATGGACTCGAGCAAGCTGGCTCTCTCTTCATCCGTGGCAGTGATGGACAGATTGACGGGGAGGACGTCCTCGATCTGGGCTGGGAGTATGTGCGAGCCCTGGCCCAGGGAGTTTTGCTCCTTTCTTGGCAAGACCTTCATGTTTGCTATGAAAGCCGGATCGAGTACAGGTCGTATGATTTGTGCTTCACTCAGTTCAAGAAGTAAACAACTAGTCGCTCAATACACCATGTTGCGGTTGATGTAAGCGAGCTCGCAAAGGGCGGGAAACAGCAAATAAGCGCAAGCACGGCAAAACCAGGAATTCGATCCCACTATTTAGAGACGATGTTTTTCTATCAAGCCGGGCTTCAGTATCTTGCAGTATTTTGATCTCGTGCCTGGTTGCCGAAGTCAATCATGATCGCCGATGACCCGAATCCTGCTGACACCCATTCTCAAAGATTGCCTTTCTCGTCCCTAGTCACTTTGCATGTGCGAGGTGTCAATTGCGTGCCACCCCTCGAGGCGGACTCTTTGTATGCATGCTGACACTGCTGACTGACGCACCTCTGCCGGCCAGCCTCGGTATGCATCGCTGACCTACAACATGCTTCTGACCGAGGATGCATGATTCCGATTCCAAGCAGTTCCAATGCATGGAAGTACGGAAATGCCGATGCCAGTTGACAATCACTGCGCTCTTAGAGTGAGGGAAGAGTGTACCGCCCACGAAATGCGCTTCTTCTTCTAAGTGCCACCTTTGGAGCATTGACTCTTGCTCTTGGGACACTGCGCTCAGACGAAGCTTTCAGTCACTCATTCAGGATGAAGTTCCCAAAGCTGTACTCGCGACTCAACCAGAGCGAGACCGACACTTTCCCACCACAGGTACCAGCTGAAGATGGCGAGCCGCACAAGACGAAGAGGCGATATGAGAGCAGAGCCATGACAGGCGCATACGTTCTGCTGGCCATTGTGGCCGCTGCAAGTTGTGCTGTCTTTGGATATGTCGTGGCTCGGCAGAATATCCTCCTTCGAGCGGCCATGGCCTCAACTGCTACTTGTTCTTCAGTATCATCTAAAGTTTCTGCTTCGGCTCCCGCTCCCGCTCCAGCTTATGAACATGAACATGATCATGTTCCAGCGCCAGCGTCGCCTCCAACTTCGGCTCCAGACATCAAGCCAAAGCCACCGTCAACGTCCGAGCTGCATTGCGGCAACTCTTCCACGGAAGCCCGAGCCATGGGCTGCGTCTTCGACCTCCTCACCAACAACTGGATGCCCGAATACTGCGCAGACCCAATCACAGACGCCGAGTACCGCGAATGGGTCCTCGATCCCTCCCGCCAGCTCGGCGCCTGGGCCTTTTACCACGATGAACAGGGACAGAAGCAGGTGGCCTCTGAGGAAGTCCTGTCCGACCTCGTGGGAAGCCACATCTACACCACGACGGAGAATCATCTGGCGCACTGCGCTTTTCTCGCTAGACGGATGCATCGACTGGTTACGGGCGATATTGCGGCCGTGGCGCATAACACGCTGGCACATACGCTGCATTGTACGAGGGCGATTCTCAAGGCGGTGGAGAGTAATGAGCCTTCGCTAAAGGCGCAGATTGGGTCAACGTTTGATGTGGGAATCGTGTCGTGTCTGGTGGAGGATAAATAATAGACTGATAGCTTGTGTCTTGAGACCTGCTTTTTGTTTCTCAGTGTCAACAGCTGTTTAAGTTGCTCAGTACTGTCTCATGAGAGAAGGTGTCTATGCCTCTCCTTCGAGCCTGTGCTACGGTGCGTATGGTGCCGGGAACTGTCATCAGCAATGACGACTTTTATCAATGGCATGCATCATCTTGTTCATAGTTATAAGTTCTTGTCTTATACAGCATTAGGAGACAAAAAACAGCAAAAAAGAAAAACATACAACAGCCGGTGTTCGCCAATGGTCACCCACTTGACTACTAATCTGCCGGTTAGTGGCTTGTCTATGGGGGAGCAGACGGGACCCCGAATTTTCCACTACCTATGGTCGTATGTGCTTGAAATTGTGACAAACCGCTTTATATGAGAATAATGTTGGTCTGCCTCAATATCATTCTTCTCATTCCCCTGAGTAGGTAGTAGGTGACTGGCACTCAAGCTTTGAGTACCATAGTCTTGCCATGTGGTCTTACGGTAGAGAACGTCCTCATTAGTATCATTCACGCATAATTTCTTCACAGCTTGTCCAGCGAGGCATGCTTCAGCCTCATAAATCAAAGCAGTTGATGACATTGGAAATGACGATGGACATGGACGCTGCAAGAATTTACGCAACTGCGAGAGCGGATCCCAAAAGCCCACCAAGTGGTTCCAGGTTAAGTATCACAAGAGTCTGAAGAAGTGATCAACACGCAACGCCTGTAATACGCGCACTACAAGGGCTGTCTGATACCCAGATAGTGCTCATGGTACATGTACCGATATTTGTGTCTTGTTACCGTCAAGGACTTGTGTCTATCAACTATTTGCGTCCACCAGACAACCACCGGTGAGGATGCTAAGCCTGGAGTTTTATCATCCAGATCTCGTCAAGTGAACTTCATATCTACCTATCCATTTAGCAACCCAATTGAGTAATTCTTCTGCGTTAAAGCGGCACTTGCAGTGACACTCATACAAAATGGATCGAAGCTAGTCTAATTAACCGTGCCACTAGAGCCGACATAGGCTTAAACCACTCGCTGCTATTGTCTTCAAACCTGGTCAAGCATGCAAAGACCCCGCCATTCCAGTGCCGCCTTAAGCCAGGGCTGAGCCGCAGGTGAGCGATTTCGGCCGCAGCAGGGAAAAAAAATCCACCGAGGCCTTTCGCATCAAGAGTCACCCCGGTCCGATTCCTGGCCTCACGCCTCACCAAGATAATAGAATCAACCTCACTCAACCTCACCTCAACCTCAATCCTCGTCCCTCCACCCCGTCAATTGACCTCGAGCAGCATCCGTCACCATGCTCTCTGCCACCTCCGTGGCCCTGCGCGCCGGCGCCCGTCGAGCCGTCCGTCGATCTGCCTCCATTCTGCCCGCCACAGGCCCGACCCGATGCCTCGCCGGTCGACAGAACAGCTTCGGCATCGCTGCCATGAGCCAGCAGCGACGCGCCTATGCCGCCACGACGAACCCGAACCCTCCCCTCGGCAAGAAGAATGCGACCAACGAAACCCCGTCTCGAATTGGTCTGATAGGCGCCCGAGGATACACTGGTTCAGCTCTCGTTGAGCTCCTCAACGAGCACCCTTACATGGACCTGCGACATGTGTCGTCTCGCGAGCTGGCTGGCCAGGAACTCAAGGGATATACCAAGCGCAAGGTCATCTACGAGACCCTGTCACCCGAGGACGTTGCCCGGCTGGACAAGGACGGCGAGGTAGACTGTTGGATCATGGCTCTTCCCAACGGCGTTTGCCAGCCTTACGTTGAGGCCCTGGACCAGGGCAAGAGCAATAGCGTCATTGTTGATCTCTCCGCCGACTTTCGATTCAACGATACATGTCAGTCACCAGCAATGGTTCGCACTTGGTGAGATGAACTGCATGACTGACTCGATAACAGGGACCTATGGCCTCCCCGAACTGGTAAAGCGCTCCAAGATTGCGCAGTCGCGACGAATCTCGAACCCCGGATGCTACGCGACTGGTGCTCAGATTGGACTCAGCGGAGCTCTCGACTTGATTGAGGGTATGCCCACCATCTTCGGTGTCTCAGGCTACTCTGGAGCAGGATCCAAGCCCAATGCGAGGAACAATGTGGAAGTGCTCAAGAACGCGATCATCCCTTACTCCTTGACCTCGCACGTCCACGAACGTGAGATTTCTCACCACCTGAACCACGAGGTTGCCTTTGTGCCCCACGTTGCCGGGTAAGTCAATGCTGTCATTGGACTACCAGAGCATGGACAACAACTAACGGATCGGAAAGATGGTTCCGGGGCATCACGTTGACTCTGAACATCCCCCTTCGCAAGGAGGTGACTTCACGAGACATCCGCCAGATCTACCAGGACCGCTACGCGGGTGAGAAGCTCATCAAGGTCGTGGGTGAGCCGCCCCTGGTGAGCTCCATCATGGGACGCCATGGAGTGGAGATTGGAGGCTTTGCCGTCGACAGCACCGGAAAGCGCGTGGTCGTGTAAGTTCATAATGGCCCCTGCTGGATCTAGCCATACTAATTCTGTGTCCAGTATCGTCACCATCGACAACCTCGCCAAGGGTGCTTCAACCCAGTGTTTGCGTGAGTAGCCCCCTCTTCTCTCAGAAGCTTACTGCGTTACTAAACAATCTTTCGCAGAAAACATGAACCTTGCTCTTGGCTATGCAGAGTATGAGGGAATTCCCGTTATGTAAAGGCGTTAAATGGAGCTAGGTTGGATGATCTGTTCTAGCTGGGAGTTGTTTCGGATGTTGGTTTGCTATCAAAGGACTTATACCAGGTAGACCTCACATAATCTGTTACAACTGCATGTACAAGAAAGCAAGGTTAGATTTTAATCATTTTTTTCAAGTCTATTTATTTTATCTCTGTGAGGGAATGTTGGCTTATGCGGCCACTAAAGTTCATGTGATGTTCATCGTCCACCTGCAAGTACCACCTCTGACTCGATTAGACCGGGTTCGTTTCCCAGGTCGGCACCTCTCCTATGAGACAGTCAGCGAGACTCATGATCATAGCATCAAGAACTACATACCGTTGAAAGGGTTGCGGAGCTTGCCAAAAGGATAAATAGTGTGCTGCTCCAGGAACTTTGTAAGTTTGTTTGTGTTGGCGCAGACGTGAGGCGTGTGGTGGATGTTGACGGGATCGTGCTCGCCCTCGCGCCACTCAAAGGTCATGAGGGCCATGTCGGCGTGGCAGAGCTCGGATTGACGGAGACTATCGACCGATTAGCTGGATGTCTTTTCCAAAAGGCTTCGAATTATAGCAACATACATGTCAATGCAGTGATCTAAGAGTCCTGGTGAGCATGTGGTTGCGTGAGCGGACCGTGTGGTTTCTTAGACTCACCAATGTGTGTGGGAATAGGAGAGTTGGGCCCCGGCTTGTACTTTTCCGCAATCTTAGGGTATGCATCCGGAAGCATGTATTGTCGAATAGTCCTCTGTGACCAAAGTCAGTCAATCTCATGATCTCCTTGATAACCATTCAAAAGCTGCGTAACTTACCAGACAATGAATGTTGTGCAAAAAAGAAAAGGTTCCCATGATGCCTCCCTCCTCATCACCCCACTCAGTGAGAATGCTGGTAGGAGTGCTGGCGTTTCGCCAGCCAGGCTTGGGAATTCGCAGAGTAAAGTCTACTCAGACGTTAGAACATTGTTCGCGAGAAGACTGAAAAGTGGGTGAGAGATACTAACTCTGTAGAATCTCAGCCCAGGCATCGTCCAGCTCTGGTCGAGGGACGCCACGGAATTGGCCGTGGTTTGAGAACTGGTCGTCGTATACCTGCAGTTCCCAATCTACCACACCATCGATCCATTCTGTTTTCGTCCAAATGTCAGTGTTTCTGTCTCAATGGCACAATAAAGAAAATAAAGAGATCAAATTTACCTTGATGTGGTAAGTCTGGAAATTCATTCTCTCGGTGAGTAACGGTGACGGTTTTGGTCACGCCCATCATGAGAAGCGCCCCAATGTTGAGAAGCAGAATAAACGAATTGACTGCCAAGAAGGCCCAGTTTCGCTTTTGCTGCGAGGAATTCCTCTTGCGCGTCTTCTCGTTGCTCATCAGATACTGCGTGTCCAGCTCGTAATCGCCCAGCGTCGACGTCGATGACCGCTCGGGGCTCTCTGGGAGCGGCTCTTTGGACGACATTGTGTGAAATTCGAACAATGACTAGGGGAAACAAGCAAAAATGATGGACCGAACAACAAGTTTTGGCATGCCAGGTCAAGGCTGCTTGGACATGTCGAGTCAAAGGCAGTCTGGCTATTAATTGAAGAGAGGCTAATCGACGACTTACACTTATCGAACCAGGATCGGCCAAGCAACCGCCTGCTCTACTCCATAAGCACATGCAATCGCGATCCCCTCGCACGACTTCACCATCTAGCCCAGGCCTGTGAAGAAACCCCACGGGTTGAACTGACTTCTAAGATCTGACATGCACCACGTCTTTCCATGCAAGCTGACCGCGCGACAGAGGGTAACTCGGTCGGTACTGATTTTGGCATTTGTAACCAAAGTACCGCGTGTTTCGTGCATGGATGGCGAATTAGTCCATCAATCAATGAAACAGTCTTGGCCAGATAAGGCCGACATGACCGCGGGATATCGGCAGATCAGATTCGGACGGGGAAGGGGTCCCCAGAAGCCATGCAACCTTGTCCTCCCCCCTCTCTTCTCCTCCTCTGAACCAACCCCCCATGCAGGCTGACCGGCAGTTTCTCCGAGTTGTGGAGATGGAGCCGCGGTGATGCACGGTGACATTGCCGGCCAAAGCTTTTTTTGCGATCTGCATAGCCCGAAGGAATCATGATTGCCCTTGGCGAAGGATTGGCCGAATGGGGTAATTGCTTGGACTTGCGAATAATGACGTTTGGGGGGGAGGAAAGGGTGACTGGCGATAGTCTCAGATTGTGCAGAGTTGTCTGGTGGTTTTGGTTGGCATGCCTATGCAGTATGGTGACTTGCGTATGGTGACTGAGTATGGTCAATGGGCATCTGTGTATGGTGACTGCGTATGGTGACTTCGTGAAGGATGACGGCAAATGCCGTATGGTGACTGAATGGCAGCTTGTTGACAAAGATTACATTGCGAGCAGAAAACGACAAAGTCCATCTCTTTGACGTACTATTTATGCGGATTGTTGGCTACTGGACAGAACAGACCATTCTGACAACAGCATCATTCCATTTCTCACTCGAAATCACCAGCTCCTTGGCAGCTTAGCACCTTTTTTGTCTCGTACGACAACCAAAAAAGAAAAATCAAACATCTTTCACAATGAAGTTCTCTCAGGCTATCCTGCCCATCTTTATGCTGGGAGCTGTTGCTTCCCCTGTGCCTGGTAACAATTCTACGATATCCTCAGGACTGGTGTTTCTGTTTTGCTAATGGTTTGGTTTAGTCAAGGTTGAGGGCCTTCATGGCGATTCGTCCATGTCTCGCCGGGCTGAGGCCAACGCTCTTCATGGTGATACTGCCATGGCTCGTCGTGCTGAGGCGGCTGCTCTCCATGGTGATACCGCCATGGCCCGACGGGCTGAGGAGAATGCTCTGCATGGAGACACTGCCATGGCCCGTCGGGCTGAGGAGAATGCTCTTCACGGAGATACCGCCATGGCTCGCCGTGCTGAAGCCAACGCCCTTCATGGAGATACTGCCATGTCTCGTCGTGCAGAGGCAGCTGCTCTCCATGGTGACACTGCTATGGCTCGCCGTGCTGATGCTAATGCTCTCCACGGTGACTCCTCCATGTCACGCCGGGCTGAGGCAGCTGCTCTTCATGGAGACTCTTCGATGTCTCGTCGTGCTGAGACTGCCGTTCACGGCGACTCCTCCATGTCGCGCCGTGCTGAGGAGAATGCTCTCCACGGCGACACCGCCATGGCCCGTCGTGCCGAGGCCAATGCCCTGCACGGCGATTCTTCTATGTCTCGCCGTGCCGAGACCAACGTCCATGGCGACTCTTCCATGTCTCGCCGTGCTGAGGCTAACGCTCTCCATGGCGATACCGCCATGGCTCGCCGCGCCGATGCCAATGCTCTCCACGGCGACACTGCTATGGCTCGCCGTGCCGAGACCAACCTTCACGGTGATTCTTCCATGTCTCGCCGTGCTGAGACCAACGTCCACGGCGACTCCGCCATGTCATAAATTGTGAGTGACTTACAAGAAACCTCTACGGCCTCTGGCTCATCGCTCACAAGACCTACGTAGGAAAACTAGGAACAAACAGAATTCAACCACATGGCACAACAAACTTGATATTGGACGCCGTTGCAGCATGAACAATCGTCAATCTCGTTCATTGAGAGCGCTGGCGGGCCTGAATGGGAGGAATAAGGCGGCTTGGATAAATTCTTTTGGTGCGATGAGATGGGATGGATGACTCTTGACGAATGAATGATATTTTGGGTGGAATCGCTACCCCCCTTAGCTCCTCAATAGAGTAGAGTTTTGGAATAGCAAGACGGTCTTTACTACTGACCTAATCGTTGTGAATGTGATTTCCGTGCAAGATGGTTGTTGGTTGAAGAATACCCTAGAATAGGAGCTGCAGCAGACTTTTGCCTAAATCCATTCCTAGACTGGGCTTCATGGCTAGCACTAGTACGAAGCTCATCTACATATGCGTGAGGACGGCTTACCTGTCGCTGTATCTTGGACTAGGTATTGTAGAGAATCTGTTCAGAGAGAGTGTATGCTCAACCAGTGTTAGCCCCGTACCTCGTGGTCTCGATATTAACGACAGCAAACAGAAGCACACCATATCACAAGTACTCCGCCTTTGGAAAGGTTTATCTCTAGTTATAATGGAAACACGCAGAAGATTTCAGGTTACTTGTGTTGCATTTCTTATGTTGTTGGTTTAGTGGTCCCTGTTGACCACCATCGTCTCTCAGCTCGTCCATCTCTAGGTACCTACCTAGTGCACAATGTTTGATAGCTTCACCTCGGCACTTGCCTTGACTCCCATATCTACATCCCCTTCATCGTCATCGCTTGAACTCGAGCACAGCACAGGTCTGCTAGGGCACTGTGAAATCTCGCGCAGCCTCGTCCGCAGAAAGGTCAGGCATTCCTGAATGTCGCTGTCCTCCGCGACAAATCCGAACCGCGCTCCGAATTTATACAGCGTCTGCACCTCCGATATCATCATCTCCGCCTTGTGCGTCACACAGCACGTGGCGCCTTTATGGCCTCTGCTGTTGGTTCCCATCAGGTCCTGGCCTGTTGGTGATTGTGGTGCATTCGTAGTCTATCAGATGGATATAATGTGAGTATGACAATTAGGTAGGTATACAACCAACCGCCTGTGCAGACCAATGGGAAAACGCTTACACCATGTACCGAATGTGTGTAGCTGCCATTATGGGCAGTAGCATTATTGCTGGCGAGCGCACGTGCAGACGCAATGTCCAATGGTGCATTATCAGAAGTCGTCTCTGTGGTAAAGAGGTTGTCTCTAGTGATCGATCTGCCACTGTGGGACGATGCACTGCTGGGTAGCACACCGATTGGCAGTCCCAGGTTTTCGGTAGCACTGGGGATATGGAGAGGGTTACTTGGGAACGTCATAGACGTCGAGACGCGGCGGGCGGTGCGGTCGGCCGGTTGATTGGGGGAGGAGTAGTATTCGTCTTTGGCTTCATCTGAAAGGAGCTCTTCCTCCAGAGGAGAGAGGATAGAGGGGGGCGTCGGCCACGCCTTCATGAGGAAGCTGTCCGTGATGTCGAAGATGGAGTCTTCGGCTGCATCACCAAAGGACATGGGGCCAAATTCAGCGCCGTGGGGATAGATCTGCGTGTCTGGCTGTGACGAGGTGCGCTTTGCATCTGTGAGGCCTAAGCCAGACGGCGGGATTATGGAGATGCCCGTTGTTGTGCTGTCAACGTGCTCATCCATGTGGAACTGCGTAAAGATGGTCCCATTGCTGCCCTTCTTTCTGTTGCCTGAAGTTCTCGTGAATATGATTGTCCACAAAACAAAGTATCGAGGCGGAAGGGGGGGCAAGTAGAGGCATTGGACACTTACGACAGCGCCTTTGCGCATTCCGGTTCTGTAGCTTCCGTCTCTCTTTTGATGTCTGTGACTCGTCCATCCTCATAACCAAGAGCTGAACGTGGAAGCTGTGAGCAGGGCGTCAATATCAAGCCACCGCTAGCGACTTATTCTTGTACCCAGACCTTTCGAGGGGCGGAATCGCCTTTGCTAGGTTGTTTCCGGGTGTTGCAGATCTTGGTCAGGCTAAAGATATCCCCATCCTTCGGAACCGTATCGTGTAAGCCGCCCTCGGTAGGGCTACATACATGTACAAGACCAAGCAAGACAGAGTTGCGGATAGCAACCAACAGAAGCCGGTGTGGTAACCGCCATGACGAAAGCAACTAATCATGTACGAGATCAACTCACTGGCAAGATCAATTACCTGTAAGCTAAAGCCCTGAATAGGAAGGTTCTTTTTCCTTCCTCGCCTGCACTCTCTACCTACCCACGCAACTCACCCCCAAGCCATGTGAATGGAGCATTTAGCATATGAGCCATCGTGTGTTTATAGTGACGGGATGTGCGATTCTAGGCCTAGCTGCGGGTCTGCCGTATGTGCTACATACAAGTTTGCTTCCTAGCCACATGCATACAGTAGTCTTACCTACCTACATTGCTGCTGCTCGAGGATCCTGTCAGCAAGCCGATGGCAAAGACCCCAGAGATTGGCTGCTTCCCCTCCAGTGATATTTGCCGTGGACCGTATATGCCGGGAATTCTCCATGGGTGTCTCACTGGGCTCTTTGGGCTTATACTCAACTCGGCCATCCTAAGGACGCCGGCAGCTTATACGGGCTCCAGGACGTGGAGGGGGATGAGCACATGCAAAATATGGACAGGGTAAGCCGAGCTTGCCGATAATATGTGATAGATTTTGAAAAAACACTCTGTCTCACTCACTCTCTCACGCAATTCACATTCTTTGATGTTTCACGCTGACGAGATGGAAGCCGGGAGTGGCGAATCGGGCATTATGCGGCTGCTGTAAAACCGCAATCCATGCAAACCGATCCTTCGTACTGTGTTAATGGGCTTCTGCCTAAGCGCCGTCAATTAAAAGGAATCGAAGGCGTCAAAAAGGCAAAGAGGAAGCAGACTTGTGGTTGGATCGTGGCACAACCTCGTACCACAACCAACCGAATCCTTCCCCCCGCCATGGATGGTGATGGATGTCTCTGGCTTGTCGGCCGCACACGCGGGGTTTGCGAGTTTGAATGTTTCGGATAGGACCTTTTGCAGAGCCTATGGAAGCTGCCGTCAACCTGACAATCGGAGATCCACGATGACCAAGCATTGTCAAAGATGGCGATTGGGAGAGGGGGGGGGGGGTTGAACGTCATGCAGACAAGGCTCTTGATAAGATTATGATTACATTATCCAGTGCAACTAGTTGCGGAAGATCACCGGCAACAACAAAGACGTCAGCAACAACATGGAACTAGAGCAGCAAACGAGGATCAAAAGGGTATCAAGTGAGGTCGGCAAAGCTGCCGATGGCAAGACTTGGATGACAAGTTCTCACCCCCAGGTTGTCACTCACTACTGGCCTTACAGCACTTGACTACTGACATATAGGATCTAAAATGCAAGCAGATCACCGGCTGGCCGTCAGCAAATCACAGAGGCGCTGCTCAGCTAGTAATAGTCAATGGCACTGGGCCGGATCGGGGTCATGGGAATGAAACCCGCTCTGCGGAGATAGTACTAGTAGCACACAGACCCCTGGCAGTCGGGCCAGCCCCCCAAGCCCGCAGACCGGGAACTTTGTCAAGGACGGCGATGATCCCAGGAGCGTGACTGTATCCTCGATTGGGGAAAGCCCGCGGTGAACCCGAGGCTCGACTTGCAGCGGCTTGCAGCGACTTGCAGCAGACGGATTATCACGCCATGACCATGACCTCTTCCCCCCCCGGGGGCTGCAGCACAGGCGATGCTACCCTGGGCGGGATTATGCCTCCAATGAGGGCGGCATTCGCTCGCTGAGGATTTATATCACGAACCGGGAGGTCAAAACCTCAACTTCTGGGCGGATAATTCTCCTTATCGCCTCCGCACTAAGAGGGCCATTTCCTTGTTGGGCAACCAGACATCCGGCATTCAAAGTTGGCGATAGTGGCTGCCAGCAGCATCTACGCTTGGGGACTTTTTTATTCTTCTGCCTGCTCTCTCCCTCCTCCTCTCATTCTCTCTGTTCCTCTCCTGCGCCGTCCTCGGTCTCTCCTGAGATGGTGCAATGCCATCGACCAAGTGACGATGCCCCTCAAGCTTCGATTTGTTTCCAATGCCGCGTCCACCTTGTTCCTGCTGGTGCTGCCGTTTAGGCTGTGGAAGCTCCGCAGAGAGACTATCAAGGTCCTCCCCGGACACCGTGGCTATGCCAAATTGGTATGTCTTACACCGTCCAGATCCGTGCCGAGAGGGGCTATGCTTGTCTCGATCGTGATCGAGATCATGATAGCGAAGCACTACGCGTATAGTCTCTGTCAGATACGTGCGTTAGGGATAGCAGTGACTGAGCTCTTGGGATACAGACACTTGCTGCCCTACTGGCAATCGTCCAACTGGTCTTGTTGACGGCGAGACTGTCGCCTGAGGTGCCTTTTGATATTGATATCCTGTCTGCCATCACGTCCTTGATAGCATGCTTGGGTCTCTGCCCGCTGGTCTTCTTGGAGCATACACGGTCTGTTCGGCCATCAGACCTTTCCATTCTTTACCTGTGTGTGACGCTAGCATGCGACTCCGTCGACTTGTGGACAACCATCTACCAAGATGCGGCCGCATCAGTTGCTCTCCCGGATCTCTTACCGGCTATTGTAAACATCTGCCTCAAACTGGTGCTGGTGGTTGTGGAAAGCCAAAGGAAGGACAAGATCCTGAGAGATGGCAGTGAGAAATGGTCCGAAGAGGAACTGTCGGGCATCTTGAGCAGGACCTTCTTCTGGTGGATCAACTCCATCTTGGCTCAGGGACGCCGTAACATTCTCACTGAAGACAGTCTTCCACCCATCGGTGCTCAGCTGTCGTCCAAGTTGCTGCGTCACCAGGCATCAGTTGCGTGGGATCAAAGAGGTACTCATGATGACCTTCCTTCGCGTATATACAAAACAAGTTCTGACAAGGGGATATAGCCAAGCCTGTTGGTAAATTGACGCTGCCAAAGGTGCTGATTGCGACTACCCTGCCGCACTTCCTGGCGCCCATTCTTCCTCGTCTTTGCCTGATACTCTTCCGCTATTCGCAGCCGGTGCTCATCCGCAATGTCATCCGTTATCTGGATGCGTCCATGAATGAAAACTCCACCGAGAGAGACTATACGGTGGTGGTGATGGCCGTTGTCGTCTACGTTGGCCTCGCGGTAAGTCGCATCCCTCTTGGCTACGTTCAACAGTGGCTAAACCTGCCTTTTCTTTTCAGATATCAAAAGCAATATACCAGCAACGCCTGAACCGCCTCAAGGTAATGATCCGTGGCGCGGTGGTTGGTCTCATCCACCGCAAGTCGTTGAACCACATATCCAGCAACTACGACGACGGAAAAGCCGTCACCCTGATGAGCACAGATGCAGAGAACGTGGGCCAGAGTGCGAGATTCTTCCACGAGACGTGGGCTCAGATCATTGAGGTGTTGATTGGCACGGCCATGCTGGCCAAGGAAGTCGGCTGGATCTTTCCGGTCCCAATTGTCATCATCTTCTGTAAGCTTCGACGGTCCATTGCCCGGTGCTTGATGGATGGCTAACTGCGGCATAGTTTGCTCGAGAATGAGCCGGTACTTGGCAAAGAATTTGCAGAGCAAGCAAAAGAGTTGGAACGAAGCTACGCAGAAGCGCTTGTCCATGACCACATCCATGCTTTCTTCCATGAAGAGCTTGAAGATGCTGGGCGTTGCTCCGTATACGGAGAAGCTCATTCGCAACCTGCGACTACAAGAGCTGGCCATGGCCAAGAGAGTACGATGGATGATGGTCGCCTACAATGCAAGCGGTACGGTTCCAACTTCAATGCCTTTGATCACATATACGAGACTCTTCTGACTCAATGCAGCGAATGCCCTCGGCATCTTCTCCCCCATCATCACGTTCGTGCTCTTCGCTTTGGTAGCGCGATGGAACGGCACCGTCCTGGACGCAGAGACCGCGTTTACAACCACTGCGCTGCTCGGATTGGTCACGCATCCCGCAAACATGATCATGTCCATAATTCCAGAGGCCGTCGGATCGCTGGCCGCTTTCGAGCGGATTCAGCAATATCTGCTTCAGCCGCCTCGACGTGACCAGCGAGACTTGCTCAAGGACTCCGACGAGGACACACCGGCCATCTCCCTGGAACAGGTGACTATCCAGCTTAGCCCATCTACGCCACCGATTCTATCCAACATCAACCTTGTCGTCAAGAAGGGCTCGATCGTCATCTGCTCCGGCCCCGTGGGCAGCGGCAAGTCGACTCTTGCCAAAGCCCTTATCGGCGAGCTGCCTATAGCCAGCGGCACAATCTCCGTCTCGTCAAAGCGCATTGGTTCCTGCGAGCAGGTCTCGTGGCTTCCCAGCGGGACGATTCAAGAGGCTATCATTGGCTTCACGCCGGAGGATCCCGCTTGGTATGACCAGGTAGTGAGGCTATGCTGCCTCGATGAAGACATCGCGACGCTTCCCCAGGGACATCAGACCTTAATTGGAAGCCGCGGCTTGAACCTCTCTGGAGGACAACGACAGCGAGTGGTATGCCATCAACTTGCACTCGTTGACTGATCTATTTGGACGCATCTTACTGACATTATCTCAGGCTCTCGCTCGTGCCATCTATGCGCGATGCGACATTGTCATTCTAGACGACAGCTTCAGCGCACTCGATGGCAAGACAGAGAATCGCATCGTTGAGAATCTCCTCGGTCCAGAGGGCCACTTTAGAAAGATGGGCACAACCGTCTTTCTCATCACCAACTCGGGTAAGCTCGCGCTGTTATTGTGTACCTCAACACAGACTGCTAATCGCTCTACAGCATCGCATTTCAGCTTGGCAGACTGGCTCGTTGTTCTCGCTGATTCTTCGATACAGTACCAGGGAACCGTCGCTGGACTGAAGGACCAGCCCCAGAGTATTCTCAAAGTCAACGCCACAGACTTGGACAAGAATGCTGCGGAAGAGCAGTTGAAAGTCGACAGCAATGTGCAAAGACAGACGATGAAAGTAGCTGATGCCATTTCCGACTTGAGCAGAGCGACTGGAGACATCACCCTCTACGGTAAACGAGCTGTCTTCACGCCTCTCTTTCTGCCCTTTGCTAAGTGCTCTCTCGTATAGGCTACTACATCAAGGCCATTGGGTTCCGCAACTTCTTCCTGCTCCTGGCCTGCACAGCTTCGTACTCATTCTTCGTGACCTTTCCCCAGTATTGGCTGAATAAATGGACTGCAGCGCCGCCCTCTGACACCATGTTCTACATTGGCGGCTACCTGATCTTGTCTCTGCTTGCGTGGGCCTCTACCAATGGTTCAATGTGGTCGACAAACATTCTCATTGCATCCGACTCGGGCGCTGAGCTTCATCGTCGCACAATTTCGACAGTCATTGGGTTCGTATACGTTGTGGTCAACTGTAATGCTCTCTTTGCTGATCATGAATAGGGCTCCTCTGTCATTCTTTTCGAACACTGACATCGGTGTCATTCTCAACCGGTAAGACCTCTTTGTTGCAACTACAATGCTTCAACTGCTGATGATCTTTGCAGGTTCAGCCAAGACATCCAGCTGGTCGACCGACAGCTCCCACCAGCCATCTTGTCCATCTCAAACCGTAAGCCGCCTCGATCATGTTGTGAAGAGCAGGGTGCTAACCGGAGCAGAGGTTTTCAAAATCCTGGTGCAAGCGGCTTTACTGTTCGCAGCCCAGAAGCTCATGGCAGTGACGCTTCCCGTTTGCATCATAACAGTCTACCTTATCCAAAAGGTATACCTGCAAACGTCGCGACAGCTGCGGTTGCTCGAACTGGAGTCGCAGTCGGCGGTGTACTCAAGCTTTCTCGAATCAGTAAGTTACACCTCAAAATCACCAGATGGCTTCTATCTAACTGTATGCTAGGTGGAAGGCGTTGCAACCATTCGCGCGTTTGGCTGGGAGAGGCAGATTGAAAACGCCAACATCAATTACCTGGACAAGTCCCAGCAGCCTTCGTATATTCTCTTCTGTCTCCAGCGATGGCTCAACATTGTCCTAGACTTGATGATTGCTGCTATTGCCACCGGTCTCATTACGCTGGCTGTCGTCTTGAAGGGAACGACGACCAGTGGCCAGATTGGCATGGCTCTCAACATTGTGCTGGTTGCCAACACGACTCTTCTGAGTCTTGTTGAATCATGGACAAACCTGGAGATTTCGCTGGGTGCAATGTACGTTCTCTTTCCACCCTGATATTCCATTTGTGTCAGCATCGAGCTTCAATCGCTTACCGTTCAACAGTGCCCGCTTGAAGAATCTCGAGGCAGAGACGCCGAAAGAAGACAAGCCTGGCGAAAACTACGTTCCCGTGGATACGTGGCCGTCAATGGGAGAAATCGAGCTGGATAACGTAACAGTAGCATACAAGTAAGCTATTGCACAAGCAGAGTCCCTTGAGAATGTCAGCTAACGGAGGTCTTTCAGCCCTGAAGCAATCGCTTTGCGAAACATTACCATGAAGATTTCCCCAGGCGAGCAGTTGGTCGTCTGTGGCCGTACCGGCAGGTGTGTAACCCTTCTACGGCATCGAATCCTCATACGGAATATTGCCTAACACATGTTTCCACACAGCGGCAAGAGTACTCTACTCCTGACCCTGTTGCGACTTTTGGATGCCAAATCCGGCACGATCAAAGTCGATGGCGTGGACCTCAGTCTGGTGCCACGCACCTTGGTCCGGCAGAGATGCTTCATCACAGTTGCCCAGGATCCATTCATCCTTGGCCAAGCTAGTCTTCGCTTCAACCTGGACGTAAGCAAACCTTTGATCCCTCAACTCTGCAAACCCTCCAAGATGTACTGACAAGATTGTTCAAGCCATCTGCTTCTTTTCCGGATGAAATTATTGTAAAGGCTCTTGAAAAGACACGCCTATGGTCACACTTCAAGCCCAGAACCTCCATTGTCAAGCCAAGCGTCATCCTGAGCACCTCCATGGCAGCACTGCCGCAAATGTCCACCGGTCAACTACAGCTACTGGCTTTAGCTCGAGCCATTCTCCAGGTCCAGCATCTCAACAGTGAATCCAGCATCTCTGAGGCTCGACCAAACGGCGGGCGCGTCATGCCGATCTTGTTGCTGGATGAAGCTACTTCATCGCTTGATCCTGCGACCGAATCTGCCATGCGCAGCATCATCCAGGAAGAGTTTACGGATAAAGGCAATACGGTTGTTGCAATCACACATAGACTGGGTGGCATTGCTGGGAACGGGCGAGCTGGGAAAGATACAGTTGCGCTGTTGTCGAATGGCAAGATTGAGAAGATGGGCAAGGCGGAGGATATCTTGGGCGATCTCATTTCGCCTTAGAATGGTGTTTACATCTCTACGCTTCATGAATAACGCCTAACGCGATATAAAAGTTGAAAGATTGCATGACATCACTTACGATACAGTCTATGAGACCGGCCGCTGTTGGGATGGCCGCAATCCATAGCCCGACTTCTCATTCACCAAGTCGATGGATCTATTGGCTCTATTCTCGGTTGAAGCCCAGACTTGATCACTCCAGCTCTTGTTACAATTGATAAAAGCTTCCAACTGTTGGAGATACGACATCTAAACGACTTTGCCCGGCTGCCCGGCCCCAGTCTTCTTCCACGAATACCCTGATTTGGCACTCTTCCCTGCCCGTTTCTTACCAATTTCTGGTCATCTCCTTTGTGAGCATCGTAAGTATGTCGTGGCAAGCATATCTCCGTTAGAGTCATCCTACTCAAGCTGTTCGAGAGCCACAGCCAGGCTTTATTGTAAATCCCTCGCATCTTTCCAAATGCACTGTTGGGATATCCCAGTCCGGACGTAACCTCGGCATCCCAGAGTTTACTTGCCGGTGTCACCAATGCCCTGACGTTTCAATCTATAAAAGCTGTTGGTTCAGTCCCAAGTACTACTCAAAGTGCGGATATTCCCTATGACCCATCTCCATCGTTGCAACGCTGGCGACGCCGTAGCTGCATTGTATATCCGACGACTTGATGAATCCTTTGGGAACCAACGCGTTGCAGCGAGCATGGAAACTTAGGCTGATGTGATTCGAGAGGTGAAGTATCATCACGATGGGTGAGAACTATAACAGCTTGACACCTGCAGATCAGGGCCCGGTGTCGCCTAAGGAGGGGAGCGAAGGAGCAGCTCGTCTTCTTATGCATCGGATACAGATGCCTTTCCAATGTGTAGATGTGTGCCTTTCTTGAACCGGCGAGAGCCCATTCAAGGTAAATCCCATCTACTAATAAGTCCGCATGAACATCATGAATAGAGAGGCCCATCATTCATGGTTGTTCCATCAAGTAGTTGCCATAGGGTCAAGGTAGGAACAACAGCGGGACATGCCAACCTGCTGCTCGACACAACGAATCGGATGCAGGGACGAATTATACCAGCCGGAGTCATCCTATCAGGAAAAATAGAAGCACGGCGCGGCCCTTCTACATGAAACTTGATATACATGCTCGCTTAGGTATGTTCCACAATGTCTACCTTGAAGAAGGTCCGTAACTCACCCAAGCCTCACTTTCCGCCATATCCGCAAACACTCCTGCAAATCCATCGCCAGCGTCCCCTCCAGCGCATCAGACGTATCCTCAATCAGGGCAATCAACAAAGTAGCTTCAGCAAACACAGTCTGATTCTCCTGAACCGCCTGAAAGTCAGACTTCTTCATGCCTCCCATGTCAGCCCACGCCTTCCAAGTGTCCAGCATACTACAGAGGTTAGAAGTGTATTCTCCGTCGCGAACCATGCGGTGCAGCATGAAGCCGACAATTTCCTTGACCGTCAGATTCTCGTCCCAGAGCTTCCGAGATTGAAGCCATGATAGACAGTGATTGGCAACGAGCTTGGTGTCCCATCTGGGGCTTTGAAGTGCTTCCATGGCGCGTTGATCGCGACGCTGCTGCTCCGTCCTCATCTTGTCGCGCACTATTACAAGGTTAACACGAGTCAAACGAGCAATTCATATGTAAAGAAACCTTCACTTCACAAGGGGAAATTACTCACTGTCATGCATCCGCTGCTCCATCTCTTTGCGCGTCCTGTCCCTGACGGCTTGCTCTCGCTGAGCCGGAGCCATGCGTGACTCTGCCTCCATCGCAAGACGCTGCTCTCGGTTCCTCTGTGAGAACTGGTCAAGTGAGGCGCCGTAGTCTTGGTACTTTGTCGCCCATTCAGGCGTCTCCGACTCGTCTACAATACCGAGCAGCACGAGGACGCCGCACGGCACTGTTTCCTTTCTGGAGAACGACAGGATGTCGTCCGGGATCTTGTAGTTCCAGAGAATGGTCTGGCTAGAAGTGCCATACGCCGTGGCGGCACTGGCGAACCAGACGCCATTCGACTTGCGAGACTGTATGCGGAGATGCTCAATGTATAGGGTCTCGGGTGCGGTGCTGCCATCGAACCGCCCTGGAACCAACGCCGTCACAAGCCCAGAGAGGGAAATCTCGCAGGTGATGTCGCTCTCGACGTTTGCCTCGACCTGACGCTGAATATCGTTTTCTTCCTCGTGGCTTGCCGCCGCTTCATTGGAGGTTTCATTCTGCGCATGGTCTTCACCAGCATCTGCTACCCTTTTCTCACTCTTCTTGTGGGAGTTGGCATCAGAACTCGCTCGCCCCCCCTGTTTGCCAACTGGTGAAGGCAGACGAACCCAGTAGGGCGGCAGATGAGCATGATCGCGAGTAATCCATGAACTAGACCAAGCCACAGCAAGAGACAGATGCCCATCCGAGTCGTCCAGCGGCGCAATCGTAAGTGCCTTTTCTCTCCCGTCAGGCGACATCATCAACGAACATCCCACCGGCGCCCAGAGCCCCGTAGACCTCAACAGCTTCCACCCATGAGGATCCGGCACAGCCCCGAGATCCAGCAGATACGAGACGAGCTCGTCAAACGCGATTTCGACCTGCGGCTGGCGGACCTGGTCGGCATATTCAACGCGCTGAGTCTTCATGCCGATGGCGTTCGTCTTCCAGTTGAATGTCGTCCAGCTGCCGCCGGGGATAGAGCTGGGATGCCGCGAGAGGGTCCAGTATTCGGATCTGTTCTGGAACCTGTCCAGAGGCATCACGGCGTATCGCGGGAGGTCAATCTCAATGACGCGGTTGACGACATCGCTGCGGGTGAGTGCAGTCAGGCGACTTCGCCGAAGCATGCGCTTGATGCGTGAGAGAGAGGCGAGAGTTGCAAATGTGTTGTACAGGATGGGCAGAACTGCACTGCTCAGTCAGTTTGGGGTTTCCCATCTTTGTGATAAGAGGTGATGGCGTGTTGTGTGATGATTGATTACCTCCCAGGACTGCCAGTGGAACACCAATGTAGGTGATGATGTCCGTTGCTGATTTGCCATTGTCGGACATTCTTACGTCCAGTCTGCCACCGTAGAGGCGGTATACTTGGCGTTGAGACGACTCTGCGATGCTCTCTTTCCCCCCTTCTTATTCTCTGCGACTTCACTTCACTGCACGCCACCGGAGATGAACAAACTCGGGTTCTAAAAGATGAGGCGCAATGAACAGCTATTACCAGTTAGCCTCAGCTGCCCATCTAGATGCGTGCTAGCGCTGTGATTGTGCTTTCAGCTGGACTCAGCCGTTTGATCCTGGGACTGAGAGGCTGGGTGCATCCCAGAAAGCTTGTGAGCCTGAAAGAGAGGCTCAGTACCAGACAATGCAGCGAATTCGCATATTCTCGAGATAAATTGGATACAAGATGAGAAACAAGACGCAAAGCAAAGCCCCCCCCGCGTCTTCGAATCTCAAAGGACAACAAACTCTGGTTCCATATCGGATTCATTCATGCCCTGCTCGGTGCCTGACGCTAACATGGATCCTAGCCGCCCCTCCACATCATCATCAGCCCCAGCTTCAGTTTATTAGGTCTCGGGAGTCCAATCGACTAGGCTAACCGTCGGCTAATCAGTTGGCTCATAAGTAACTCTGTTTGCGGTTGAGAGTGCCATCAGTCCAATATGGAACCAGCCGCAGAACGAATCAGAACAACCCTCTTACCCCTTATATATTCTACAGCTGCCTCCAATGCTCCTCTCATCTTGTTGTTGAGGAGCTCGTAGAACCTCTCGCTGGCTCGTCGTATGTCATTTTCCGTAGCTATTCCTCAATATCTAGGCGGACAGTGGATAGAGTGCTACGTCAGCGTCACATTCAGATAAGTCGCCCTGGTCGCCAGGCATCTGGCCACAACCCTTTCATGCTGCCTTTAGGGGAGCTTCATCTGTGTATTGCAATTTGTACAGAAGGTCATAGACTATATCGATTTCGGACACCATGGAAGAGGTCGCCTCTTTGAAAAATGGCCTGTATCGTCCCTAATATATGGGTGGCAATCTCTCCAAGGATGACCTATTCTGCGATGCAACTGCGATTTTCACTCAAGCAACACATTTCATTAATGAAACACCCCAATGAGTTTACTCCAGCTAAGGAACGATTAAAATGTGTTCTTTAATGCTAATTAGTGGTGTTAAGCAATCTGCTGCCATTTCTGTAAGGTATGCAGTCTTCTATCTCGTCCCGCTCTCAGACCATTGAATGCCCGAGGCTTCAGCCAACAGAGAAGAAGCTACAAGCTGGCTTCTTTCGCCGCCGCCGCCTCCAGCGCCCGGTTTCCCTCTTCATCAGCAAGCTGGAATGCAATCGAGGCACCAACACGGACTCCTATAACCCTCTGTCAGAACGACGCTTTCTTTGATGTGGAATGCATCATGACTCACCGTTGCTGCTCGCCATGAGGGCTTGCTTAATCGACTCCTGCGTATCCCCCGCGGCAAAGCACCCATACACACTCGACTGCAACATCATCGGGTCAACATCAACGTCACCATTCGGCTTCGTCTTCAATCCCAACTGGTCAATCAGCTCCTGGCCGCGATTTCGAAACGGAGGACGGTGGAACAGCATGCCCAGCGTCACGGGATTGCCACTCTCAAACTCAATCGAGATGCCCTCGTCGGGACCCTCGCCGTTGTTGACGAGGCGCAGGATGGGACGCTCGTCGAGCTTGATACCAGCCGCCATGACCTTTTTCAGGGCTGCCTGCGTGGGCTCGTCTGTGGGAACGGGCCCGTTGCTGTAGATTGTAAAGTCCTTGTTGAATGCAAGTGCCATCAGGGCAAAGTGGCTGTAGGATGGGTTCGGGAAGGAGAGCAGGCCGACGGGGTAGTTCCTTTGTTCGAAGCCATCGCAAAAGGGACACTGATAACTGCGAAAAACATTCAGTAATGGTGCAGATAGCGGCGATGCAAGAGACTTGCATGTGCTGAGGCCAGTTCTCCTTGTAGCCCTCAATATCCGTAGGCAGAATATCCTCCACCCCCGTCGCAAGAACCAGCTTCCGCCCCAGATACGTATTGTTCAAGTTGTCGACGGCCTGGAAGCCCTTGTACCCAGGAGCAACCTCGGTGTTGGACACGGCCACAATCTTGGCCGGCACAAACGTCACCTGGTCCGAGTACTTGTCCTCGATCTGCTGGCGCGCAATTGACCGGAACTTCTCAGGCGGGATGCCGTCGCGCGAGAGAAACGTGTGCATCTCCTTGGCGCCCTTGTTGCGAAACTCGCCCGAGTCGAAGATGATGGACGACCGACAGACGCGTGCGAGAGCCAGTGCCGAGGAGAGACCGGCCGGGCCGCTGCCGATGACGAGGGCGTCGTAGATGGTGGAAGCTGCGCGGGACATGGTGTCTTGTGGTGGTGTAAGAGGTGAGTTTAGGAGATACTGATGTTGCTGGGAGCTGTGGCAGGGAAGAACCAGGCTGAGAAGCAGGACGAGGGAAGTGCGCCAGATCATGGCCTCAGGAGGAGAATCTGAGGAGTACTAGCAATAAATCTAAGGCTCATGACGAGGGTTGAGAGAGTTTCTAGATAGAAGTTGACAGAAGAAGGTCGGCAGTGACGGAACTGAGCAACAACAGCAGCAAACAGAGGCGACCCTCGGTTGCCGACCCTGATGGACAGCTTCGATGCATCGAGTGGATTATTCTGGTCCAGAGGTAGTGGGGATGCGCAAAAGTCTCCGGAAACTCGGCGAGGGGGATCAAATGCCAAGAGCCGGTGGCAGAAGAAATAGTGTTAACAGTGCTTAAACGGTTGATTTCAGCATTACGCTGGGGTTGTGGAATGGACTGATGATATCATCGGCACATGTTAACACTGTTTTGTATACCCAGGTACGCAAAGATATTGCATGTTGAAGGATTTGCTTGGCGCATTAGCGGTTGCTGAGACTGACTGGCGAGATGGGAGGAGTTGAAAGAAGTCGACACAGAAGGGATTCGCAATTGGCTTGGTAGGAGCATTGTATTAGCGGCGCGGTAGGAGTTACCACGATGTACCCAAGGACAAACATCGGAATGTGAGAGTATTGGTGTTGATGACGGGTGCTTGGATTGCAATTGGCGCGTGGTGTTGAGAAAGAGGATGTATCATCACGGTAGGATTCAACACTTGAGTTATACAGGGAGGATCAAGTTCAAATATGAATCCTGACACCATAAGCAGTGCCGGAATCCGCCAAAGAAATCGGTCACCGTTCTAAGAAATAGAGATTGTATGTGTCTGTCAAATTGAAATAAGAGTCATGTCATGACGAGGACAGGACAGACACCTCTGGATAGGTATGGGCAACGACATCTGGAGCTTGTTATAACGAGGGGGCTGAAAGTGAACAGACGACATCATGTCACTGCTAGCAAAGATAGCACTCATAACTCCATTGGTAGGTAGTCAAAACTCTCCGTACTCATCTCACGTTCAGTCCAATGAGACATTTCAGATACTATGGCTCGCATACAAACTATGGACTCGCGATCCTCGCATGAAGCACCTCCCCCCGGGCCCCCAAGGCCTCCCCATCATCGGCAACATGCTCGACATGGCCGACACCGACAAGATGATGACCCTCGCCAAAGACTGGGCCGATCAATACGGCGACGTCTTCTACACCAAGGTCGGCCTCCAGTACTTCATCTGGCTCTCCTCCCCCACCGCCGTCAAAGACCTCATGGACAAGCGCGGCTCCATCTACTCCTCCCGCGCAGCCAGCCCCATGATCAACATGGTCTCCAACCAAGAACGCCTCAACTTCCTCCCTTACGGCGAAAAGTGGCGGACCCTCCGCAACATCCTTCACTCAGCTCTCAACCTAGAGACGTCTACCTCGTACAAGCCCGTCCAGGACTTTGAATCCAAACAAGCCCTCTGGGAGATTCTCCACGCAAAGGACGACACCGAGTTCAGCGACATCAACCGCAGATACTCAACCAGCACCATCATGACCATCACGTACGGCCAGCGTGTGCCGCATCTCAGCGACCCCCTATACCAGGACATTCTCAAAATCGTCCGCCACTTCTCCCTCGCCACGGCTCCAGGTGGCTGGATGATTGACACGCTGCCCATGTTAGCAGACATTGTGCCCGAGTGGCTGCTGCAAAACTGGAAGACGGTGGCCAGACAATGGTACGAGGAGGACTCGCGGATCTACCTCCGTATGTACCACAAGCTCATGAACGACATCGAGAACGGCACCGCGCCGGACTGTTTCCTCAAAGACATGGCAAGGGAGAAGATTGAAAAGAGCCTCATATCGGATGTCACGGCCGCCTTTGCCGCGGGAGCGCTGATCGAAGCCGGGAGCGATGCAACAACGACGGCCCTCAACAACGTCATCTTAGCCTGCCTCTTATATCCAGAAGTCGTTGCTGGCGCCCACGAAGAGCTCGACAGAGTGGTAGGAAGCGACCGCATGCCCGACTTCAGCGACGAGCCCAACCTGCCCTACATCCGCGGCATCGCCAAAGAAACACTCCGCTGGCGCGCCTCGACCAAGATTGGAACATGCCATTCCACCACCCAAGACGACTGGTACAAGGGCTTCTTCATCCCCAAAGGCGCCGTCATTGTCCTCAACTGGTGGTAAGCAAGCATCAGCAGCACATAACATAACCCCCCCCCCCCCCCCCCTATACCTGAAAACAAAGAAACCTTACAGCCAGTCAAAGAGACATCAGAATAACCCATTGCTCACGACTTGCAAACACAACAGGGCCATCCACATGGACGAATCCCGCTGGAAAGACCCCCAGCGCTTCGACCCAACCCGCTACATCGCCGACCCCCTCACCGAAGCCGAGTCCATGGCCCAGGCCGACGCCACCCTCCGCGACCACTTCACCTTTGGCGCCGGCCGCCGCAACTGCCCCGGCGTCCACATCGCGCACAACTCCCTCTTCATCAACATTGCCCGCCTCTTCTGGGCCTTTAACATCTCCAAGTCGGTCGACGCCGAGGGGAACGCGATTGAGCCGTCGACGGAGGCGCAGCCCGGGTTCTTGCTGACGCCGGTCAAGTTCCCCTGCAGGCTGGAGGCGAGGAGCGAGAAGCATGCGGCCATCATTGAGCGGACTTGGGAGGAGGCGCAGAGGCAGTGAATTTGTGTGGTTCGTTGGAAAATTATTAATTGAAAGGGGAGATGATGAGTCGAGAGTGATGACGTGGGGGTGCGTGGTTATGGGTGATTGGTGATGATGATGCGCGTGTCCTTGTGATGACGGAGCTGAAAAGGTAGAGATCCAATGAGAGTAGTTCAGCTGGTGACGAGGCTGCAAGGGTTGTCATCCGTCTTCACTCAGCTTTCAGGGCCGGCGAATATCTGTGAATGCCCAACCCGTGGATGACTGCAGAAAAGTTTAACTCTATATGATCGGAAACCGGCCGAATCACCAAAGTCCGGGACGAGTATTGTATAAATACAGGCATCTCGAACCTGCATGTAAGCCCATGCCGTGAAAAGACCAGCCTTGACCTCGTCGCCCCTTCTCGCCTCACTCTAAAGCAAAACTGCCTACCACTTTTCGAAAATCGACCATCATGTCTGCTCTTGAGAGCTTCCTCGCCGAATTCACCCTCGTCCTGCAAGACGCCACTGCGAAACTCCAAGGCCCCCTCAGCGATGAACGCATCTCAACCATCACTCCCTCCGAGACACTCCCCGAGAACAACAAGAAGCTATGGGATCTCCTCGCCCAAACCGTCAACATGGCCGACCAAATCGTCCACCTCCTCCAACCACCAGCCATCCGCCTCGCAGAAACATACCTAGGTACCTTACCAAACCTTCCCCCCTCCCCCCTAAACCCTCCCTCAACGCTTCCACTACATCCATCATAACTAACAAACACCACGCCAAAACAAAACAGCCTACCTCGACACCAAAGCCCTCGTCTCCGCCGTAACCCACAACATCCCCGACCTCCTCACCAACCAAACCCCCCTCCCAACCGCCCTCCTCGCCCAAAAAGCCAACCTCCAACCCCTCCGCCTCAAGCAAATCATGCGCACCCTCCACCACAACGCAAACATCTTCGCCTACGACCCCCTCACAGACACATACTCCCACAACGAAGCCTCCCTCCTCCTGCAGAAGCACCACTGGACCCAATGGCACCGCTGGGTCACCCTCTACGGCGAGGAATTCTACGACGCCGCCCGCGCCCTCCCGCAGGCCATCACGGCAGATGAATCCCGCAGCGCCGCCCAGATCGCATATGGCACCGACAAGCCCATCTTCACGTACTTTGCCGAACAAGAAGGGCTCCAGGAGAAATTCCACAAGGCCCTCGGCGCAGGAGCCGTCGCTCAGGCTCCCGGCATGCTGGCAGACTACAACTGGGCAGAGCTCGGCGATGCCGTCGTATGTGACATTGGTGCCGGCGGAGGAGACTTCATCGCTGCCCTCCTGCGCAAGTATCCTCGCTTGAAAGGCGCCGTCTTCGAGATCCAGCCCGTAGTCGACATGCTCAAGCCAAAGTTTGACAGCACCACCCCGGACGGCATCTTCAACGACATCGCGGACCGCATGACACAGCTCCACGCAGGCGACTTCCTCACCAGCATACCTACGTACGAAGTCTACACCATCAAGTGGTGCCTCCACAACTGGACAGACGCCGACGTCCTCAAGATCCTTGCCAACGTCCGTCGCGCCATCAAACTCACCCCGCGCGCGCGATTGGTCGTCATCGAGTCTGTGCTCAAGGAAGGCCGCAGCTCGCGCGTCTGGAGGTATGGCGATCTGACCATGATGTCCACCGTCAACGGGCTGGAGCGGACCGAGGCGGAATGGAGGAAGCTTGCGGGACAGGCAGGCTGGGTCGTCAAGGACATCGTGCCTCTGCGGCATGCTTGGGCTGCGGCTATCGACTTGAGGCCCTTCTTTACCGTATCCATGTAGCTGATTACTGCCATGTTGTCTACATCTACTAGGGCACTATAAGGTATCAATTCTATGTATCATATTACTCTCGTACCTTGGTAACGATCTCTAAGTGAAGACTGGGGCTTCATATGGCAGTAGGAAACAGTCTTCAACGTCTCGTCGTGAGAGAGGGCGGCCTTATGTTGGTCGTCAAGAGAAAGCAATCGGACCACTATGAAACAACTACGCCAAAGGAATAGACCTCGAGATATACAGCGGTGTAAAGCCCCATCCGCCGCGATTATATATTATATAAACCTTGTTTATACTGTGAAAGGCCTCTTTCCCCCGCGTCTATCATTACGAGGCATGGTATGGCAACAAATACAGACAAAAACGACCAAGATTTTCCTCCCAAGCTGCAATATCGCAGCAGACTACTTATACATTGCAAAATAAACTCCCTTCATTGGGCCTAATCCCCGCGAGATGACTGGTACATCTTAAAGTAGTATCCTTGGCGTGCCATGAGCTCGCTGTGAGTGCCCTGCTCGACGATTTGGCCTGCAGCCATGACAATGATGACGTCTGCCGTCTTGATGGTGTTCAACCGCTGAAAGAAAGTCCCCCGAGTTAGCATGAGCGTCTTTCCCGTGTAAATCTCGACTTACATGAGTGACAATAATCATCGTGCGACCACCTTGGATACTTTGAAGGGTTTCTTGCACAAGCTGTCGTCTGTCAGTCCGCCGTCAACTTCTGATGCTTGCAATATTGAACTTACCTGCTCAGACTCAGCATCCAGTGCACTGGTAGGTTCGTCCAACAGCAGTATTTCCGGGTTCCGGATGAGGGCTCGCGCAATTGCGATGCGCTGCTTCTGGCCGCCAGAAAGGGCAACGCCCTTCGCTCCGCAGTCACTGTTGTACCCCTCCGGGAGCGAAGCAATCAGATCCGTCAAGATGGCGGCGTTGCATGCACTGACAATGTCTTCTTCCTTGACCTTGTCTTCATCAACTCCGAGAACAATGTTGTCTCGGATGGATCCTGTGGATATTCCAGTTAGCTAAGGGTTCCATCCTGCAGCAAAATGTAGTACCGACCTCGATACAGCGTGGGCTCCTGAGGCACAATCGCCAATCTCTTTCGGTAGGCTTCTGCTTCTTCCGACAAGATCGGCTTGCCAAAAACATCCAAGGCGCCTGATCGAGCATCATAGAAACGCTCCAACAGGGCCAACAGTGTCGACTTTCCAGACCCAGAGCTCCCAACGACGGCAACTGTCTGGCCCTTTAGAATTTGAAACGAAACATTCTTCAGAACAGTAACGTCGGGACGAGCTGGGTAGGCAAATGAGACGTTTCTGAAGTCTACAACGACGTTGGCATCCTTCTCCCTGCTAACATCGAGAGAAGGTGCCGCCTCTTGGGGCACGTGCTCGTGTCGTCGAATGCCGAGGATATTGTTGGCGGATATTCTGGCCTTGCTAATGTCTGTGCATCTCGTCAGTAACGGAATTATTAATCAGTACCGAAAGACTTACTCGAAGAGAATCCAAAGAGAGCACCGGCAGCCTGTCCACCGACAATGACAGCAATGAAGACTGTAAAGAACTTTTCCGTCGACGTCTCGCCGTCTCCCAGAAGCTTACCGCCGTACCAAAAGCCCAATGCGGCAGCGAGCAGCTCTGCACTCTCCGAAAAAGCAAAGAACAGCGTAATGATGGCTGCCTTGCGGGACAGCCTCTTCATTGTTCCAGCCAGTTGCTGCTGGTATGAGTTCTGCACAGTGTCTTCCATCGTGAACGCCTTGACGGTTCGAATAGACGAGAGTGCATCCGTTGCGAAACGCGCGCTATCTTCAAAGACCTTGGCAGTCGCTTCCGCGAGAGACGAGTCCAGTTTCATGCGAATGAAGCCGGCGGCGAAAACGACCGGCATGGCACCAAAGATTGCGACAAGAGCAAGCTTCCAAGAAAAGGCCAGCGCAATGATGCTGCCGCTGATGATACTGACAAAGATGGAGATGAGGAGACCTAGGTTAACGGAGACGAGCTCGTGAAGGTTTGCCGGGTCAGTCGATAGCCTCGAAACGAGGGCTCCGAACGCTACCCGGTCAAAGAACTCCATGCGCTGGCTGAGAATGACGCGGAAGTAGTCGAGGCGGTAGAACCTGGTAAGGCGGATGCCCAGCAAGGTCATGAAGAAGCCGAGAACAGCATAAGCAATGAGCGCACCGAGGCCAACAATGAAGAACATCAGAGACCAAAAGTTGGCCTTGGAAGATATCTCCTTTGCTGTGCCCTGGAAGCTTTGCATGACTCGGCCGAGAAGGATGGCCTGAACGGGGAAGATCTGAGCCGTGACAATAGCAGCAAAGACGCCTATCATCAGGATGGGCAAGTAGCGCCTCTGCTCTTGGGCAATGGTATACAGGTTATGCCAGAGAGAGCGCTTGGGAATGTCTGGTATTTCCGCCACCTCGTTGGGCGAAGAGTCCGGCACAGTAGACGCGCCTTGTGCCAAGGGCTTGAGCTCGGCTATGGCACTTTCAACGGGTGTAAACTCGGTGGCATCATGCTCGTCCTGCAGTTGGGCGTCGTGCAATCGTTTGTACACGCCGTTGGCGGCAATGAGCTCTGCGTGTGTTCCCTGCTCAACGACCCGTCCTTTGTCAATGACCACAATCCTATCGGCCTTCATGGCGGACGATATCTTGTGCGAAATGAAAATGGTGGTCCTGTCGCCAGACGCTGTCATGAGCGTCTCAATGACCTTGGAATTCTCGTTGTCAAGGGCACTCGTCGCTTCGTCCATCAGGAGAATGGGGCGCCGTCCGATCAAGGCACGAGCAATCGCAATGCGCTGCTTCTGCCCGCCCGATATGAGGCCGCCATGATCGCCAACGTTGGTAGCAAACACCTGGTGCAAGCAATGTTAGTGTACAGGCCCCCACGAGATCATGACTTCGAGCTCACCTTTGGGAGATTCTGAATGAAGTCAAAAGCCCGAGCCTCGCGGCAAGCCTCTTCCACCAGGAGCAATTTCTCTTCCATTGGCGCATGCTCCTTGTCTGTGCCGATGAGCCCGTATGCAATGTTGTCAAATATCGACGCGTTGAAGAGCTGTGGCTGTTGTTCGACGAGGGCAATCTGCTGCCTCAGCCATTTGGGGTCAATCTCGGTGATGTCGTAGTCATCCAGCAGAATGACTCCAGAAGTTGGCTGATACCACCTCTCCAGTAGAGACACAAGAGTACTCTTTCCAGCTCCAGATGGGCCAACCACGGCAGTCGAGGTACCGCTGACAAACTCGATGTTGACGTCAGAGAGAGCCTTGACGTCCGGCCTCGATGGGTAGGAGAACGAAACGTCGCGCATCACCAGATGACCGTTTCGTGTGCCCAGGCTTGAAACGACGAAGTCGTCTGTCGCATCCCTTTTGTCGGTATCGTCAAGGATCTTGAAGACATCACCCGAGGCAGCGACAGCCTTGATGAAGGAGGGCATGTTGGGACCTAAAGCCATAATGGCGCCCAAGCCGATCAACATGGCGAAAAAGACACTGTTCGACAATTAGCGAGATCTAAAGCAGCTGGGGCGAGGGGGGGGCGAACGAGAGAATTCTTCCAGGGTCCGAGATCAGCCCACGTTTGTACAGATATGCTCCAAGGTAGAAGCCAATAGCCCAACCGGTGAACATGAAAAAGTACTGGCAAGCAAACATCAAGCCAACAAACGGACCTCGCTTCTTGCCATCTGCCTCGGCTTGTTCCAGGATCGCATCGTATTTGGCGAGGAACTTGGGCGCAGCTCCAAATGCAACCACCGTCTGGATACTTCCAAGCGCGTCTTCGGCAATAGCACTACAATCGGTATATTTTTTGAGGAGTCCAGCTTCGATTTTCTGGTCGCTGCCAACGATGAAGCCGATCAGACCAAGAGTCATGAACACAAGGCCCAACATGACCAGTGTGAGGTGCCATGACTGTGAAAAGGCCACCGCAAAAGAAGCGAGCAGCATGGAAAACGCCTGTATCATGATTCCAATTCGATCCGACAACGCCGACTGAATGGAGTTGCAATGAGTCGTGATGGTGTTGGACAGGGCTCCAGGTGTTTGAGCATCGTGGGCGGTGATGGTGCGGTTCAGGACGCGGTTGAGGCACTGGTTATAGAATTAGCAGTTATGTGACAAAACATTGAAAGAAGCTGTACCTTGAGTCGCAAAGCTTGAACCATTCGGTTGGCAGAATAGCCGAAGCCGAAGCTCCAGATATACACAAGCTAGACGAGAGGTTAGGATCGGTCTTCGGCAACGCAACAGGAACACGTACTAGGAACTTGGCAATAAAAAGATACACAAAGTAGAGCCTGTGAACTGTCAGTATAAGGCCTTGTCGTAATAGGCACGGCACCTACGCGTTTGTTTGGACCCGTTTCATGAATTCGTGGGTAGACTGCTTGTTGTCAGCACTCCCGAAGCCCGTAAAGTTGGCAGTCAAACGGCCGAGGACAAGTGCCATCAGAGGCATGGCTGGAACTATCGTCAGCTTCGAGGAAGTCATGAGCGTAATCCCGGATCGACGTACCTGCACCACTGCAGATGGCAGCAAAGGCACAGCCTATCTGGATGGCCTTGTCTGCGGGTTTTCCAAAGGAAAACACCCTCTTGTTGACTGTCAGCAGCTACCGATTATCTTGTGACAGGATCCCTTACCATCAACGTTCCGAAGCTTTGCTTGGGCGTCTCATCGTCTGCTTTGGGCTTGGAGTCGACATTGTTGGAAGACTCTGTGGCGCCAGGAGGAGCTTCGAAGCCTTCAGCGGCTTCTGCTTCCTCCTTCATCGTAGGGAGGCGAGGACGAGGCAGTGATCTGATCGGGTCTTTTGCTAGGCTCAGTCTAAACGAATGACTTTTCCTGCGAGGCTGAAAGAAGAACAGTCCTCAGGAATGGCGATGCCCAAGAGAAAAGAAAGGATGGTGAAGAAGTGAGGTTCGAATTGTTGGCAGCTGCAGGGGGGTGGTCTTTTGCTCTGGGGAAGTTTCGAAGGTGACCTGGAAGCAAGTGAGTGGGGCGCACGTTGAACACTTGGACCCGGATACTTTGCTCTCGGTACTGTTGACACGGGAGCCAGCAATGTTGCTACACTGAGTCAATCAGAAGTACCTGGTGGCCAGGTAGCGTGTGGTTATTGTCACTTCTGTAGGGTCTGTGACATGCGTTTGCCGGCTGGCAGAGTGCAAGCGGGTGTCACTCGGCTGGCGGCAGATACAATTCTAGGAAGGAATTGTGCTCACCTGAAATTTTGATTACAAATGGGAAAGGGAAAACAAGAGAAGGGAAAGTGTGTAGCATCTATTTGATGTCCTGAGAGTGTTTGGTGCTACCACTACAATGTTGGGCATTGGTGATGTTACGGAGAAGTGCAACAGAAGCATGGGCTTAATCTTACTCTGGGGAAGTTTTGTATGAGGTGTGCTCGTGTGTCACTTTCTGGGCCTATCAAATGTTGGCGGGACGAGCACATGTTTGTGTTTTGGTGCTACTGGTGGATGCAGTGATACGGCCATAGAAGGGACTCAATACCAATGCCCTCGATGATGTTGATGCACAGCCTGACGGGGGCGGAATACCTTAGGGTGAACACCGCATGTACCTGCAATGGTAGGAGTAACGCTCTACTATCTTCACTTTCAGACTGATACAAGTCTCCTGGGTAGCTGTTATAGCGTACGCCAATATCGAAGAAAGATGCGTCAGATGCATCAGATACATCTCATCAAACGAAGCAGTTGAAGCGAGGATCCGAGAATCTCAGTAGCGCCAAATGTGGCCGCCCCTGGGCAACGCCAAAAGTTGCCGATTGGCTGGTCGAACAAAGAATGGAAATAAACTAGGTTAGTTTCCGATGCCTAAAATGGTCCCGGATGCTTCTAAGAGCAATTCCGGGGACAACGTGCTGAGAAGTGGCGCACTGACTCTCCTTTGATGGCTGGCATTTGATGTCATCAATCTGGCGATGTTTTTTTCTCTCCACATGCTTCCAATCTACATATGCTCTACCCTAGCAATCAGATCTCGACATCAGGGCTCACTGTCAGATATTCTTGGGTCAACAACAAGCGATTGGTAATCAGTGAGATGACTACTAGAGACAGCCTCATACATCCAATTTCGCCGTTAGTCAGTCTTATTGTGGCCGCCTAACTAATTCTCTCCGCCCTCCCTCAACTTCAGCACAATCTTGGAATAGTACGAGGGAAGCACCTGGCCCGGCATCACGATATTCTCCGGCTTCGTCCTGCTCCCGCTCTCAAACGTCACATCGTACCGCATCAGCAGCTTTGCAAAGATAATTTGCGTCATCCTCACGCCCAGATACCGCCCGGGACAGATTTGCGATCCATAGCCATACGCCAGGAACGTGTTACTCGCCGTCGTGGCCTTTGTAGTGGCTGTATTGGTCGCCTCATCGTAGAATCGATACGGGTTAAACTCCTTTGCGTTCGGATAGTTGTCTTCATCATTGTGAATCATCCAGGAAGGTGTAGAGATGATGTTGCCGGGTCGGAGTACAAGGCCAGATTTGAGCTGAAACGGTTTGAGGATGGATCGTGTGACGCTGACTGGGAGGCTGTTAGTCGGACATGGCACTATCCTATGTATCTCAATCTTGTTCATGCTCATGCATGGGCCATCAAATGACATGCAGGGACTCACATAGCGTCGGGCCATCCACACGGAGAGTTTCCCGCGTAAAGCTCTCGAGACGCGGAAGAGAGCTCATGACTTGCACAGACCATTCGCCGCCGTTGTCCGCAAGCGCCTTCGAAATCTCAGCCCTCAAGCCTTCAGTGAGGCTCGGATTCTGGATAGACTCAAACAGAAGCTGCGTAACGAGGCAGGCAACCGGGCCTGCGCTGTCAAAGGCCGTGAACATCACCTCGTCAGAGAAGATGTTGATTTGTCTCTCTTCTTCTTCCTTGGTCATGGCCGTGGCATCGCGTGCAATCTGGCCTCTCTCTTCCTTCAGATCGAGCATCGCTCGAAGCAGCGTGTATCTGTCCTGTGAGCGCTCACGGTCATTTGTTCGCCAATCCGCAATTGTTTGCTTAATCTCCGGAATGATGAATGCTTTCAAATGCTTAATCACTCTGCGGACTCTGAAGCCCCAGGGTGACAAGTACCAGAACAGCTTCCTCAGCGGAGCGGGGACCCAAAAGTAGAGGTGAACGAAATGCGGCACATTGAGGCAGTAGTCCTCAATGTAGGCCATGTACTCTGGATTCCGAGAGAAATGGGGGCCAATCAGAAAAGACGCGGCAATTAAATGAACCAGATGCCATATCTGGAGGAATCCTGCAAAGGGCTCTTGGTCTATGGACTTGTTAGTGAACCATCGAGATAAAGTATCATCGGTTCAGTCAGGCGGTATGGATACCTTTGGCGAGGGAGTCAAAGACTTCGGGTATAGACTCATCACATTGTATCACGACCGAGTGATGCAGTGAATCTGAGGTATTCTCGTCAGTGACCTCCGTCTTGATCGACAGATAAACGCACTCATGTTCTTGTTCACAGACTGCCGAACAGCGTCGACATGTGACCGGCCCAGGATATTTGTATGAAGCCGAAAGTGATAACTCTATATATCAATTAGGCCATCTCTCACCAGCATGCCTGCAACAGAGGTAGCTCACATCTTCAACCGCCTGGAGGAAGCTCATCTGGCTCAGGTCGGCATTCTTCACCTCGTCGCATGTCCCCGGAGGCAGCACCAGAATAAAATCATCGTGCTGGCCCCAGTACGCCCAAGGCTTGAGCTTCTTGCTGAACTGATGCCAATTAGCTGCAAATCTACCACAAAACGACATGGAATTGCCTTCATCCTTACAGTGTCATATCCGCGTTGGAAGACGCCTTTCAGGTTCGACTCGTTCTCCGTCCATCGCAACCGCTTCCAAAGATACGGCGCGTCGCCCACAATAGGGATATTGCCGAGCCTCCTCCGCTGCTGCTGATAATTCAGCCAGTCAAAGAATACGACTGATAGAATTGAGATCAAGATGCTGACGGCCGCTGCAGTACAAGGCCTGTCCAGAGCACTCTGTACCTTGAATCCAAACAGGGTGGTAGCCGTCATGTTATGCAAATAACCCGACTCCATGGCGACGTCTTCAAAGACTTTTTCGCAATACACAAGTCACAAAGCAAGCAGCATCGTATTTTCATACCACTTGTTTTAAAGCATGCAGCCAGATGCTGTTATTCGGTCACCGAAAGCGCACGTCCCAACGTGTGAACTGATTCGACCTCGACTCTCATGTCGCACATGGCGGGCTACCCTGCATAGGTAGGTAGTCCACCAAGGCTCACAATCATGGACCCTGAAAACAACATGAAGATGAAGTATCATGAGAATACAATAGATGAAGTGAGCATCAATTGACAATGGCTGGCTCGTGTGTAGAACTTTCGGTCATACCTTGTCGTGGTTGTCTGGCTGTAACTTGCTCGTCTACATGTACTCTCTCCTGATTCTCTCCATGCTCAGTCGTCATGGGAGGGATGCCACAGATGAGCTCAAAGTGATCACATATCACGCCATCAGCCTCAAAATGTCAATAGACCGTGTTGTGCATGACCCTTGTACCTAGCCAAACCCATATCTACGCATGTCTCGCATTCCACAGCTCAATCCACCCCATAATCGTTCTCAAGCCCCGTGAAATATCACCCACAAGCAAAGACGCCGACTTTGAAAAACTATCCTGCTTCTTCCCAGTCAACAGCCTTTCTCGCTCTTCCACCAAACCTGCCAGCTTATGAAACCGTGCCTGTAACGCCTTGCGGAGAAACCTGCATCGTACTCGAGATGGAACTGTATACGTCCCGATGCAGAGGGAAACGCCCTCGTAAGAGTCGTCAGATGACGATTTAGCCCTGGAGACAAACTCGCTGCGAGCAGTCTTTTGCAGGATATCGAGCATCATGCGGACACTGACAAGCGCCAGCAGATGCACGAAGCTATCGAGCCGACAATTTTTGCATTTGTGCAAAAGACACAGCGAATCCTGCACTTCCTTCTCCAGCATCAATACGCAGTCCATGGGCATGAGACACGAGCTCTGCTGCTCTGTCTTGAGACTCGCGATGCGCTCTGTTATTGTATCCATGCAGTTGCAGCGTCCTTGTCTCAGCACGACCTGCGTTTTCCGCCAGGACAATACGGAGTCGCCGTCACAGCTGGGTTGAAGGCTCGGTGACGCATCGCTGGGGTGCGAAATACTGGACGGAGAGCATGGGGTCGCTTCATGAGGAGAGTAGCTCGCTTCTGAAAACAAGGCTGATGCAAGACTTGATAGCTGACTTGACTGGTCTCTGTCGCTTGGAGCGGACCGCGATTCGCGGCGAGATGACTCGGAGGAGTGCTTGCAAGTGCATGGCTCTGATGGCAAGCTTGCTTGGTGTTGCTGCGTTGAGGACAGACCAACTGTCTCGTCCCCGGAAGTTGCAACTGGCAGGCCAAATGACACCATCTCCTGAGGTCCGAACAAGTCCGCAGGCACCGCTGATGTTGTGGCTTGTGGATCGAGGGAGTCCGACAGACTGTCCAAGAATGAGGGCATCCCGGCGAATGCAGCAGCCATATCACCAAGCTCCATTGGAGTCTCACCTGACAGAAACTCCATCGCATCATCTTCCTGCTGTTCCGAGTTCTCCAGGCCATCCATGGCTTCCGCTGCGTTGAGCTGTCCCAGTTCACCAAATAAAGGCACCCAACTCTCCGGTATCTGCTCAGTCTCAGACGCCAATGGCTCGCCAGGCTCAGCCTCCACGATGCGAGTCTCGGCTACGGGCATCGGTGGCGGCCCAGCGTCTTCAGCCGCATCCTTCGGAGAGGCAGCCTTTGCAGTTCCATCCTCGTTAGGCTCAGACGTGGCTGGCTGCCCTTGATTTGAGTCATTCGCGGCGACCTTTTTGGCCCTTGGACGGCCCATCCGACGCGACAAGCTGTACACGCAATCCACGCGGTGCACCGAGCAGCGACGGCATGATGGCTTCTCATGGCCGCACTTGACTTTGGCCGTTTGGCAGTTGTCGCAGGAGGTCCTGTATTTGGGAATCTTTCCTTTGGGTCGACCTCCTTCGTGGCTGGTCATCTTGGATGCAAATCGATGCAGACTGCCGCAACTGTTCGTCAAGATTGCCGACCACGCCTCGTTAAACTAGGAAACTCTCTGTCTGTCTATTCCAAACCGCGTCTTCCCGTCGCTTGTAGCTGATTTCTCCCTGTATTTCTCATGGTAGCCCTCCCGTACGTGGGACAAAGAGGGGACGATGACTCTGCCTGTATCACAGGCGTTATAAAATCAAGGTTGCGAGCCTCCATGTTTCACAATATGCTCCGGCTCAGCAAGGTGGCTCTCTTTGCTAGATGAGAGATTGGCTGTTTCGAAGGCCGCCGAAGCACAACATGGATGTGTTATGATTCTGGAGCTGGGTGGAGACGGCGGCTACACGAAACGGCGTCGAAAGCAGCCGAATAGTTCGCGATTACATCAATTCAGAAATTTCAATGTATCATCAATGGTCAAGTATCAATGTAAGTTGAGAGGCCCGGTGCGTCAAAAGAGAGACACTTGAAAGAAACCAGCTACAGAATCGCCTATATGATGTTGAGGCTGCTCTTCTTTACACATGGTCGTCTACAATTTGTCGAGGTTCCGACATCGTCTGCATGAACCCTCCCGACGACCCGATGTGTCACCCTGTCTACCCTTTGCATGATTTTGCACCTCCACACAACTGCTATGAGGCCAAGGTGAGAGATACACTCACGACGCACGAGTTGCTGACCCTGGCCTTGGATGTTGTGCCCCCCTAATCCATCCGAATTAGATCCTTCTGCCCACCTTGAACACCTTGATGGACAGCTGAACGAGAGATGTGTAAGTGCCCAGACGCCAATCCGGAAGAGATGAAGATTATGAGAGTTGCCGTTGAATTTGATAAGTGCTGGCGTACTTCAAGGACTTACTCATACCGGATTAAGACAGAGGTCGATCTGACGCTACCGTTACGACGAGGCTGATATTAGACTAGGTACCTAACCAGAAGGCTGATTGAGTACTGCTGTCTGTCATAAGGCACAAGGATTGATAGACAAACAGCCATGCTTTTCACGATAATATTCGTGACATTGAGACGATCCGAAATCCTTACTCTCATCAGCCACAGTTCCGTCTCCAACTCCTTGATTAACCTAGTAATGATATCGTCGCCTCCAACATGTAGTAATATGCGTAAGCTGCATATAAGTAGGAATTGCAAGACAATGAACCAGTCTCTCCGCTCACAAAACATCCACTTCAGTATTCAACATGCAACGAAGTGTCTGCAACTGCTCCTTCAATAGCCTCCAAAACATCTCCTCCAGCCTCGGCCAAGACACGCTCTCCTTTGACAATATCCTCCAAATCGGCTCCGACTTCATAGGCTATTTTCAAACAATCATCGACTGCGAGAGATGTGTCACCACAAAGCGCATGACTAACATCCTGTCCCAAATCACCTCTCGGCTTGTCTGCTTCTACGAAGCAGCCTACATGAACGCTGCTACAGACACGACACACCCGAGGGCGCGTTCGACCAGCGACGCGGGGCTACTGCTATCACCTCCTCTATCACAGCATGGCCAAATGAGTCCGTTGTCTCCGGCGACGCAGCCGGCGCCGAGCTGTCGGCTGATGTTTGGCGAGATGAAGCTGGGGAGGCTTCCGCTTGAGGGGCACGAGGCGAGGATACTGGCTGAGGTGATACTGGTAGATACTTGTCTCGAGCTGAACGAGAAGATACAAGAGTGGAGGCTTGTCATGGATGAGGCGGCTGAGGCTACGGAGGAGCAGTGTGATGCTACTTCATTGCATTGCTTGGATAGACTGGCCAAGTTGATTGGGCTATTGCAGTTGGACGGGCTCCCAGTACAGAGCTGCTGATTCAAGGACTAAAATCAACTTTGCATTGACCACATTCACTTGATGAGCTTTAACAAAGTCTACCGAGTCGAGATGCGTCAGGTCTCTACCCTGGCTCCATTGGGCTGCCGCCTCCTCTGTTTGTGATGTCCCTGAACTTGTTCACCTTGCTGTCGCGGTAATCTTACTAGACGTCTAAATGGAGACATAGTATATGCTTGGTTTACTTTCCGGAGTCTTTACTCTCAACCAGTCAGCGCGTTGACAGGGATCTTGGTCCAATTATCTTTCATCCCGGATACTGAACACAGCATTAGCTCCATGCAGATAGTGCCTAGGTATTCCGCGGCGTCGTACATAGCTGCTACTATGGAGAGCAGACGACATCTTGCTCGGAAAGTAAACTGCAATTCTTAATGGTAGAACTTTCGCTCATTAATGGTTTCTATTGTCAACGTTCTTAATGCCGAGGCGAGACCCGGAGTGGGACAAAGGTCAATGGCCTTGATAATCTTAAGCCAAAGATTCATCGTATCGGGGATTTTTCCACCATCAAGCTCAGTTTCCGAAGTACAATCCTGTAGGCTCGAGTTGCATCAGCGGCGTTCTCAGACGGCGTTCTCAGAAGGAAAAGGAATCGGGGATGGTCAGTCTGTAAAAGACCTGGTTCAGCAAGTGGACTTCTTTCGGCTTACGGCTCTGTGTCTCCCTCCTCGCTTTGCGAAGAGCGGCAATCTTGAACGCCGTCGGTGGTCGAGGAATGAATCATCGGTTGCCGACAGGACATGTGCCATGCTGTGTTACTAGGAGTCGACGTCGTCAAGACGATGATATGTAGTCCAAATCAGAGCAATTGCTGTAGCCTTCCCATTCCCCTCTGCACACCACTACACAGGTCATACCACCAACTAGAGAATTCGAATCTGGAACTTTGCGCAACCAAGATGCCGATCAACCTCCTATCTGCGAAGTCCCTTGACTCGGACGTCCCGGACAAGCCTCTGGTCTTTGTCGTTGAGGGCCGATACCAGAACTGGATCAAGCCAATCATCTTGCTCGAGTGTCTCAACAAGGAATATGATGCAGTCTGCCTGGATGGACCGGCTACCAGAACAGACTGGTACACCAAGATCCATCCTCAGAGATATGTGCCTGCCTTGATTGATAACTCCATGGGTAAACGTGTTACCTCGTGGGACAGCTCTCAGATCCTCATGTACTTGGCCGCCCAGTATGATGTTGAAAAGGCATGGTGCGGGTCGACGGTAGCGGAGGATCTGGAAATTGGAAACTGGCTGACCTTTGAAACTGCATCTCTTGGGTATGTTTTCGTGACCTCAAAGTGCTCTTGGAGGCCTAACTGAAACGTGATAGGCCTACTGCCAAGTACTGGGTCTGGTATGCAATCCGGAAGCCCGAGGACAAGAACCCAAAGGCGCAAGAAAAGTAGGAAACAACTCCCTAATACCCCATATTTCGAACGCTAATCGATGGGAACAGGATGCTCAATGACCTGAGAGTCCAATATGGAATCATCGAAAAGCATCTTTCGCAGCCTGGCCAAGAGTTCATTGGGCTCAAAGATCGGCCGACTATTGCAGACATTGCCATCTACCCTTTTGCCGACGATCCAACCATGGCCCGTATGGGTATTTACAAGAATGACTTTCCGGCGTTGAAGGCTTGGAGCGAGAGATTCGCAGAGATTCCTGGCGTGAAGAAGGCTTATGACGAGATGGACTCTAGGAAGGAGGCTGTGATTGAAGAGTGAAGCGATCCGTAGCATTCCGTGTAGTCTTCAATGAACTGAAGTGGATATACCGTTTCCTGTTCAAACTGCATGAACTCGATGGCCGACGTCGTCACGTAGACCGCGACACGTATATAAGCTGTCCTCCCGTCTTTGACGATACCAGAGGCCCTATCCATTTAACCTGTGAAGAAATTGTCAAATCTCACTCGACGCTACAGCCATGGAGCCATCTGATGACTGCTTGTTGCGGGCTGAGAGACTGCTCGCCGAAACTCCGCTGATCGGTAGGCACGGTGCTTCTCATACATCATCTATCATAAGTTGCTAACAGATAAAGATGGGCATAATGACTTTCCGTATATGATTCGTGGATGGCACCTTGGCAAAGTCGGAGATGTCGACGCTCGCCAAATGGCGATTGCCCACACTGACCTGGATCGGCTACGAATGGGTCGCGTTGGAGGCGTATTCTGGAGTGCATACGTACCTTGGTAGGCTGCAATTCAATATTTTCTATTGCAATCTCAAATAACAAGAAGCCGGCAATGGTAGCCCAAAAGAAAACTCGACCAACAACTTCTCGACCGATGTTCATTACGAGAGCCTTCGAGAGACACTTCAGCAGATTGACATCATCCAGACCTTGATCGAACGATACCCCGATGCTTTGCAGCTCGCAGGATCATCGAAAGAAGTCTGGGAAGCTTTTGGCTCTGGTCGTGTTGCAAGCTTGATTGGCGTCGAGGGCTTGCATCAGATTGCCAATAGCGCCAGCGTCTTGAGAAACTTTCATCGGCTGGGTGTGCGATATGTCACCTTGACGCATGATAGCAACAACCTCTACGCAGACTCAACTGTAAGCAATGATGGCCAGACTGATTCTACAAGAGCTCAATACTGATCTGGCCTCAAGAACGCAGCTGCTTCCCATCATGGTGGATTGTCCCAGCAAGGCGTCGAGATGATCCAAGAGATGAATCGTATCGGCATGTGTGTATATCATTCCCTAGGAGAGATCTCGTCAGACTAACTAAAATAGGATCGTTGATCTGTCTCACACGTCGATCGAAGTTCAGAGACAGGCTTTGTCCATCTCCAAGGCCCCGGTCATCTTTTCTCACTCCTCTTGGTTCGTCAATTCGCCCTATCCCCTGTTCACTCTTTGAAGGAGAGGCTCTTACTTGCTCATTAGCTCTGCCGTAACGAAGCATCCACGCAATAGTCCAGACGATGTCTTGGACTTGCTCAGAACCAACGGCGGAGTCTTCATGGTCTCGTTCCTTCGCAAGCTCACCGACGCTGATGAACCTACGCTAGCAAGAGTAGCAGACCACATACAACACGTTGGAGAAAGAATCGGGTATGAACACGTGGGGATCGGTTCGGACTTTGATGGTACCATGCAGACGCCCGATGGACTGGAAGATGTCTCAAGGTTCCCTTTCCTGATCGCCGAGTTGCTGCGACGGGGTGTGCCTGATGAGTCTGTCAAGGATCTGGCGGGTCGGAACGTGCTTCACGTGATGGATGAAGTGCAACGAGTGTCGGCAGAATTGATGAGAAACGACGCAAAGATGCTACATGATGACATTGAGCCGATATGGGACGAGAAGGTCAGAGAGGAGGTCAAGAGGGTGCGCGGCATTGTCGAATGACGAATAGATCTGGTATTGCGAGGAGAAGGTTCGAATAGGGTCGTCTACCAGCTGCATTGGTTTGACCTTTTTTGACTACCGGTTTCGAAAAGATTTCGTAAATGGTTTATCTATGCTATTCACATCTCTCGGTTTTCCAACTGCTTCCAGAGGATTTTACCGCCATCGCCCGTGCCCAGGATATACTGGTGCACATAATCATGATACAACCACATGAGTCGATACGCCCACACAATGATCAAGGCAACGAACGCCGGACAATTCCCATCCGCATCAACTCTCCACGTCGTCAGTCGAACCAGGCGCTTCAAGAATGGCCGCCACCCAGCGTCAAACACCAGCTGGCCATATGTTCGATCTCGTCCTTCAATCTTGTGATATCGGGGGAAGCTTTCTAGATACTGTATGTACTCTGACGGAAGATTATTTTCTATGGCTCCATACAAGAAGAGATTCTGCACCAGTGTCAGCAAGGCAGGATCAGGTCCTAGTATAGAGGATTCTCAGGCGTACCACGTATCGGGCACTTGGCGTGCCGTTGGGCCGCAGTGGCCATTTCGCCTTCAGTGTGTAGACGTCAAACGGCTCGCTGGATATCTTGTGGCTTTCGTTTATCTGGTATGCCTGAACCTTGACAATGTCGTATACCACTCCGCTGCCTTCCGTCACAAGTAGTTGGTGGAACTCCACTGTCGATAGGAGATGGGCAAGACCACAAAGAGATGGAACGGGCATCTGTTGGTCGCCGTGAACCAGTTGGAGCTTTCCGGTTCCGCCATTGGGAAGCTCTTCAATGCTCGCGTAGCACGGCTCGGAATAGGGTATGCCGAATACGTCAAACGTGACATAGTGTGTTGGAACATTGACGATTCTCGTTTCCACGGGAGTAATCTTGCGATCCCTCATCGCACTGGCCTTCATGTTGGAGCCATAGCCGAGATACCATATGAACTCATCTTCTTGTGCCGCGATTTTCCATATCGGAAGCTTTGTTTCAGTAGTCATGTTTGGAGTAAAGGTTGTTTTGAAACAGTCACAGATCATGCCATTCTTGTGTGAAAGAAGACGGAGCACAGGCAAAGATTGAGACCGGCAAATGCTTTTATACTCTCGGTTGCCGAGACTTGTGAGAAGTTGGTCTTCTAGAATGCTACACTACTCATGTAGAGACGAATGCACGTCATGTAAGTTTTCTTTGGACAGTTGCATGTCGTCAGGAAGTCGGCTTCAGTTCAGTGCTAGGATCACATTCGAAATTGCGTTCAGATGGCACAAAGTTGCAGGCTTATACGTAGCACATGTTCCCTGTTTCTCACATTGAAACCAACGTCACAGTTAATATCTGACAAAAGTTCTGGCTTCAAAGCGACGAGCTATACTATGATATGCTTCACCAGTTCGGCCGGACTCCTAGCAGTGAATATCGCCCGCAATGGCACTTCCAATCCTAGAGCCCGCAGTTGATGCCGCAGCATAACAGCAGCATTAGAATCAGCCCCAGCCGAAAAGAAAGACGTATCCGGCAAAATCTCAACTTCGGGCCGACCCAAGCATACTGCCATTTCCCTCTGGATGATGCCGATGACTTCTGAGACGGTTACCAAGCCATGCTGGTTAGCATTGCTGGTTCTCAAAGAGTCATTCATGGGATCGAGTCCAGTCACAGTAGCAAGACGGGCATGTAGTTCTCCCAGAGAAGATTCGTCTGCAATTGCTTCCAAGATGACTTGTAGCACATCTTCAACGGTGTCAATTAGAGCCGATGATAGACGATGCGTGTCATGCTCAATGTGTAGCGACCAGCGGTTTGTATCGAGCTCGAACCACTCGAGCATTAACGGAAACTTGGCTCCCTCAGCAAAGCGAGGAGACACTGTGACGTCGCAGTTTGGCAACTTCAGCCACGTAGAAAGGCTCGTTTGAAGAGGATGAAACGTCACCATGCAATTGAATATGGGATGCTCGAGGTGACCGCCTGAGATGTTGAGTGCCTCCAAGATTCTGGAGAAGGGTATTGCGTTGGCTAGAGCTTGGACAGCCGAGTCACGGACGTTGGTCAGGATCTGATTGGTTCCTCCATCTTGAGATAATCGTGAGTTGTCGAGTCTGATGCGGACAGGAAGCCGGTCGAGAAACTGCCCCAGTGACTCGCGTTCATGCGAAGACGGACGGTTGGCGTTGGGAGTCCCGAGTATAACGTCGTCTTCACCCAGAACCGAGCGCGACAGAAGAGCAGCAATAGTGAGCGCCATGTGATGATGGGTGATGCCCAGTCTTTTGATCAGTGAGTTGAGCTTGATAATGACATCTCCATTGAACTCAAGAGTACGGGATGCCCCCTGGAAAGCTGCAGTCGCAGACGGCAGAAGCGGGATGTTGAAACAAGAGGCTTCAGAGCTTCTCGCATCATGTCCAGCGAGGTAGGCTCTCCAGAACTCTTGCTCAGATTGTGAAGGGGAGTAGTGCCATCGACTCGATTTGAGATGCTGCGGCGTTTCGTGCACCTTTACACTTTTCCCAGCATACGCGTCGGACACGAGGCGTAACAGATTCTGCAGGGTGCCGAGATCAGCGATGCTATGTGAGGTGACAATGACAATCTCAACTTTTGGACTGCTCTCTCCATTCCCACTGTCGCCTGGTTGGCGTAGGATGTGGACGCGGATCAGTTCATCGTGAGCCAAGTCAAATGCATGGTTCACCTCTGCCGTGATGTCTAGCTCCTCAACTTGAGAAACTCGCGGCGCAGAGACTCGGAGGACCCTCCTCACACCATCAGACCCTTCAGCAAAGTTGGAGCGAAAGACCGGATCGGATGCTAATGCGGTGTTGAAAGAATCCACGAGCCTGGTGTAATCGACTTGGCCATGAAGAGTGAGAACGTTGGCGATGTTGAAGGCGGTAACAGTGGTGCCAACCTGATACTGGAACCAGACTTGTCGTTCCAGCTCCGTCACTTCCTCTGGTGGTAGTGCTTGATTACTCTTCGAGCCTGTCATGCCAGATTCTGACGCCTTCGCTCCAAGTAGCCTTTCTACCGTATCGACCTGGGCCTGGAAAGAGGGAGATGGGAGTATCTCGCGGGCTGTAATTTCGACGTCGAAGATTGCGGTTAGTTTTGTCGCTAGGAGAAGAACTAATACTGAGTGACCACCGAGAGCGAAGAAGTTGTCTGATGGTTCTAGGCCCACTTGAGGCCCGAGTTGAAGGACTTCGCGCCACGCCTCTGCGAGTTTGGAAACGACACTCTCGCTCGTCGGCATTGATGGCTCGTGATCAGCCTCATGACGGAGGAATGACTTTGACCTGTACATCTCTTCCAAAGCTTTGTTATCGACTTTGCCATTCACCGATCGCGGAAAGTCATCTATCGCGATGATCTGCTGGGGCACCCATGACGGAAGCAGTGTCCTCTCCAGCCTGTCACGAAGCTGTCTGATTCGTGCTTCCGTCGAGATTTCAACTCCCATAAACACAAACATGACATATGCCACGAGCGTTCCATCAACCGCAAGAACAACACACTGGGAAATTCCATCGACAGTCGGCTCCGACAGGACAGCGTGCTCTACTCCATCGAGCTCGATGCGGAATCCGCGAATCTTGACTTGACGGTCCATCCGCCCTATGTAGACGACTCGGCCATCTTTCTCGCGGAATCCGTAGTCGCCCGTGCGATACATCCTCTCGTTTGGATGCCACGGATCGGGTAGCACGCGCAAGGCCGTCTGTTCAGGTGCGTTGATGTATCCTTGCAGTACTTGTACACCCGCGAGATAGATCTCTCCTTGCACTCCTTTGGGTACGGGTTTCTGCTGCTCGTCAAGGAGATACATGCGAGCTGTGGCAGAAGGCGTTCCGATGGTGATGGTGTCTCCTTGGATCATGCGTTCAAAGGAGGTACTGATCGAGCACTAAGAGAAGAATTAGTCCTTGCTTGATTGTGAACGCGAGGCTGACTACCATACCTCTGCTGGCCCGTAGGCATTGTACAGCAACTTCTTTGCGGCAAATTTCTGGATGATGGGAGCCGTGATTGCTTCTCCAGTGGCGTAGACCTAATAGAAAATCGTCAGTCAAATGTTATCAACTTGGCTAAGGGAAACTCACAATCTCAAGATTTGGATACTCATCTGGTTCCAAAACGGAGAGAACCGCCGGCGTCATCGTCACTGTATTAACTCTTCGAAAATGGGCATAAGGATCTGCGGGATCCCGAAGCACAAGCGTAGCTCCGTGCAACAACGCAGAGAATATCTCCTCGTTGCACGCATCAAAAGCGGGCGACATGAACTGGGCAATCCGTCGCCCAGGGGCTGCAAACATGGTGGCTTCTGGATTGCTCTGAAAGGCCAAGAAGGATCTGTTGGTCGTAGGGATACCCTTTGGTGCTCCCGTAGTTCCAGATGTGAATATGTAGACGAGAACAGACTCTGGCGAGCCAACATCTGGGAGCCTTGCAACATCTTGATTGCCAGTCACCTTGGAGAGCATGTCCTCTACAACCATTGCTTGCTTTCCTGCTATCCTCGGCACCTCATCTTGCTGCGCAGCGTTTGGGACAAGCACATCAACCGCCCCGCTTGCTTCAAGCACCATGGCTTTTCGTTCCATCGGCCACTTCGGGTCAAGGGGAACAAAGGCGCGGTTCGTTTTGAGGATCCCGAGCAGGCCTAACAGCCACCCAACTGATCCGTCGCCATATACCGCAACAGCAGCGGCATCGGTGTCGGTCAGATGCCTGTGGACAATACTGGCGATAACGTTGGTTTGCTGCTCGAGCTCACCATAGGTGAGCGCTACACCTCGATGGTCTTCGATGGCAATGTTTGCGGGAAACCGGTCGATGGCGTCTTCCAGGGTTTGCTTTACCGTCGTTTCAGTCTGCAGGATTCTCACTGCCTCTGCTTGTTGATGTGCCGCCTCCTGAAGCTCATTCAGCCTCATGCAGTCTTCCACGAGAGCATGCTGCAATACGCCACGAAGCGCTTGCTTGAAGTGGCCGCCTAGCCTCCGAATCGTGTATTCGTCAAAGCTATCGTCGTCGTAAAGGATGCGAAACTCGCCATTGGATTCTATCAGTAACGACAGCGGGAAAGCGCTGTTCTCGATGGACTCAGCGCGAACAGCTGGAGGATTGGAATGCTCATCTGGCAGCGCCGGTTGAAGCGCGACTAGACTGCTCATCGAGCTCCCCATGCCGACTTGATCCGATCGTGCCCAGGCATACTCTCCCAAGGTGAGTATATCGTTCATGACCTTGTGAAGGAGGTCCATCACCTGTCTATCTTCTTTCAGATGGACTACCAAGGGTAAGGTCGACATGTATAAGCCAATTGTGTTCTGATGCTCAGGCAGCGATGCTCTATTCGAGAACACCGAGCCGATTGTGACTGTAGTGGTTCTCTCAAAAGTGCCTATTGCCATTGCCCAAGCAGTGTAATAGACACAAGCTGCCGATAGACAGTTCTGACTCGCAAAATCAGCGATCTCGTGACTGGAGACAGACGATCCGAATAAAACGGTGTTGTGGCGTTTCGCAGAATCCCTCGCTTCTCCATTGGCGACGTTGCGCTCTTTGAGGGAGCCATTTGTGAGACGAACATCTTTCAGATACTCGGCAAAGAATTCTCTCGCTTCGGCGTCTTTCTTTTGTTGCAGGGATATGAGCTCAAGGTTCGCTTCTACTGAACTGGGGCTGCGTGGAAGCTGCCGTCCTCTTGCAACGCTCTCAACCTTGTCCAGCAGCAATTGCAGTGAGACGCCATCCATTAAGCTGTGATGGGCTGTCAAGACGACAGTGAGTTCATTGACGTCCTTTGGAATACGAAGTGTTGGCGTGCTTGCTGTGGCCGCATCTGGATGATATGCAACAAACTCCAGCGAGCAACCCAGTCCAACGCCCATATCAGCATTCTGGACCGCGTCTTCATAGTCGGCCAGGTTGTTGAATAACTGTATCCTGTGCTTTCTGAACGGTCTCTTGTGAATAATTTGGGCGCCGCATCCAACGGCGAGGCAAATCTCCGTTCTGAACACAGGCTCAGCTTGCCAAACCGCTCGCCATGCTCTCTCCATCATGGTGGCATGCCGACCTGCGTAGGCCACTTTGATCTGGTTGACGTTCTTTGAGCTGCAGCTCAAGGTTGGAAAGGCGAAAGTGAGCTGTAGACTGGTCAAAGGGCCGATATCAAAGGCTTCGTCTTTCAGCGCAAGTACACTCCGAGCTTGGCTTCGGAGCGCTGCCAACTTCTGCGTGACGGCGAAACTCTCGTCTGCTGATGCTTTCGATGATCCCATACCAACCGCAACTGTGCTGACTGAGCTTTTGGCTACCTCCTCAAATGTTCGGCAGCTGAAGAGATCTCTCGGTGAGATGTTGAGGTCCAACTGGCGAAGGGCAGAGACAAGCTTGAACGCCAATAGCGAGGAACCGCCCAGCCTCAAGAATGAATCACTCGGCTGTATCTGCCTCCCATTATCACCTAAGCGGCCAAAAAGATTTGAAGCTGCATTGAGAATCTTGGAGAGCCGGTCTTGTTTCTCCAGTGTCTCAGTATCTGGCGCCTGCGATACAAGGGCAGAAGTTGTCACCACAGACTGCTGCTTGACTTTGCCACCATCTATTGTTGAAATGATCTCTAGGACCTTCTTATGCTGCACCTTTCCGTTTGGCGACACTGGAAATGACTCGACAGCCTCGATCCGATATGGGATGCAGTATGAGCACATGGTTTGCCTCGCCACTGCCAATAGCTCCATGATGTCAACCGTTTCTGGCGTCACGACTGCGATGATGCCGTCTTCTGTAACTGCGGCACAGACAGACGTGACTCCGAGAAGCATTCCTGCACGCCTAAGAGCATTCTCAACATCTCGGTCCAGGTTCACGAGGAAGCCGCCGTTCTTGACGGTTCGATCTTTTCGGCCACAGAACTCGATCAACCGGCCACCTTCGGGATTCGGCACCCATCGACCGTAGTCGCCGGTCCTATACACTCGTTTCGAGTTCCACAGGATGAAATTGTTGTTGGTCCGGACGTCGTCCTGGTAATATCCACGAGAGACACCGTCCCCGGCAATGAATATCTCGCCCTCGGTGAAGTCGTCGTCGATAGCTTCCAGGTTGTCGCCGACAAGCCAAATTGGGCTTTCCTCGATTGAGCTCCCGATGAGCTGGGGAATGATTGTCTTCGTAACTGGATCACGAGATACAACGTGTACAGAGCCCATGGAGGTCGTCTCTGTCGCTCCATATCCGATCAGGACTCGAACACCAGCATCTAACAGGGATGCAAGTAGATCCGAGGTTGCTGTTTCACCGCCAAGGATGACGGTGTGGATGTTACCCATAAAGTCGGAGTCTGGCGTTGATGTCATGAGAGTAGTCAATATTGATGGCGTCGCTGCCATTACCGTGCATGAGGAGGCTTTGGCGCAGATGTCTTCCGCTTGCGCCGGGACCACTGTGCCGCCATTTCCCAGGGCGGAGAAAAGCATGCAGGCGCAAGCTATAGATTCTTGTCAGTTGAGTTTCTAGACCGGATCAAGCGTTCTGCTCACCATCAAAAGCGACTGACAAGATATGGAGTAGTCTATCTCCGGGTATCATGTCGAGATTCATGGGGCTCGTCTGTGAGTATAAACAGAAGGCTTTGTGCGAGAGGATGACACCTTTAGGGCGTCCCGTACTGCCACTGGTAAAGATGATGCAGGCATCGTCGCTTGGGTTTGGAGAGGATGAAGGCGTGTGGGAGCTGGATGGGGGAGGAAGTGTCGTGATGTGCAAGACGTAACGCGATCTGTTGGCGCACTCGAACGGTTCTGACGTGGTATTGATGATGACCTGGCTTTCGACAGTCTCACAGACGTAGTCGATCATCTCTGGGGACCATGCCTTGCGGTCAATCGGCACAAAGCAACCACCAGCCTTGAGGATGGCGAGAATTGCGATGATGTTGAAGGTTCCATGAGCTGTTACCAGCAACACAGGTGATCCACGGCCAACTCCCAACAGTGATAGATCATGAGCCAGAGATGAGGATACATTGTCAAGTTCCCTAAACGTCAGGACTCCATCTTCGTGATCAACAGCAAGATTCTCTGGGTACTGTCGAACGGACTGGGCGAACAACTCGCAGAGATTGGTTGGTAGGGATGTCATGGCTGCTAAGGATGAGTGCCGCAATGATTATGAAATTGCAACCTAGTACAAAGTCGACATGAATCGGTATATCGAACTGCCCTTTAAAGGTTTGATCTCGAAATCGACACCTTCTTGGCACGTTATCTGACAATTTGTCTTGATACCGACGACCCGATCGACAACGGACCGTCGGTTACCGAGCGTAGTTGATTCTGATTTGGAAATGCGAATGTCTCTGAAGACTGACCAGAAACAAGATAACATTCAGCGTGGTAAACATATCAGAGCATTCATATTGATACACCATATTGATTCATGTCAACGGACCAACACAACACATTTGCGACGCTAAGAGTTACATAGTCCCGCGTCGAATAATGCTTTCGAGTGTCGTGAACAACTTGAGTCACGGTCAGGCCGTGGCAATTACAGGCCTGATTGCCCTGTTGTTCTTGCTCGTTACTGGAGTTTTGCTTAGGGATGCTCATACAAAAGTCCGGATAGTCTTGCTTGGTTCGACCATAAGATTGCATTGACTGATTCATCAAACAGCTCTCCACAGTATTCAGTCGCATCAAACCATTTCCCGGCCCATCATTCCGCTTCCCAAACGGACAAGGAACTGAAAAGTTCTTCAACGGCCGAGACGCAGCCAAACGATGGAAGGCTCGTTACGGATCCATCTACAGTATCTGGTCAGGGCATAAGCGAGAAGTGTCAGAGTTTCCCCAAGCACTTACTTTCACATGATAGAGGAACTGGCGCTGAGCATGAAAGCAGTGTCATCACCAAACCCGAACATGTCCAAGCGTTTTACAAAGACTCCCACAACCATATAAAAGCATCTGATAACAATGCTGGCTGGCTCTTTGCAGAGCTCTTGGGCTCTTGCGTTGGCGTCGTTAGCCAGAAGCGCTGGGTGAGAGTTCGAGCACCTTTCGAACACCATTTTACTCGCCCTGCAGCTTCACAAAGATCTTTGCTGTTCCTTGGCGAAGCAAGAGCTTTTCTACAGTTCCTAAGAAAGGACAAAGAGAGTGTCATCAATGTGACAGATGATCTCAAGTACTGCCCCTTCTTCCTAGTTGCCAGCATCTTCTTCGGCCCTCTCACGACTGGTCAGCGCGATGAAATGTACACAATCGGGCCCTTGAGAGAGGAGCTTTTTCGACATGCTTTCAGTGGCGGCGTCAACAGATACTCATTTGCCAGATATCTACCTGGCTCTGCATTGCCAAAGCTCCGCCAGTTCCAGCGCCTCTGGGAGAATTTCGTCAAGATGGCGTATAACGAAGCTCAACCCAGCAGCGGAAGCGCCATCGTGTCCCTCTGGGAAGCAGTAGAGCATGGAGGCATCTCCAAAGAAGAGGTCGGTCTAGTGCTTACCTACCTAAATTGCTCTCTTGCTACAAGGAACTGACAAGACCTCAGCTTCTTCAAACCTTGGATGAATCTCTATTTGCGAACCTCGATGTCACCGCACACGCGCTGTCCTGGAGCGTCATCAGGATTTCTCATCACATAGCCATTCAAACCGAGATTCGACAAGAAATACGGGACAATTACCGATCGGAACAAGAATATGAAGAATACCTCCGTCGGGACAATACATTGCTGGCGGCTTGTATCTTGGAGGCATCAAGGCTTCACCCCATTTTGCGTAAGCCTCCAGGCAACACATGTGGGAAGCTCATATCCACTGACAAGATTCTGTAGCCTTTTCGAACCCGGAGGCTGCACCAGCCGATAAAGTCGTTGCCGGCTGCAGGATTCCCCGAAATGTAGGGTTCCAACAAGATCCCCTCTGGCCATAAACTAACGGCAACCAGACCGATGTTATTATTGATGCCTACGCAATCAATGTTGACAATCCTTACTGGGAGAATGCCACCGAGTTTCGCCCTCGCAGACACCTCGGCCAAAAAGATCAAGCACGACGGTACAACATGTGGCGGTTCGGGTTTGGCCCGCGGCAGTGCTTGGGAAAGAATGTGGCCGATATCATTCTCCGCGTGATAATAGCTGAGATGGTGCGTTGCTACCAGATGGATATTCTGGGTGCAGAAGGGATTGATGGCGTTGGGCTTCAAGCGGATAGCTGGATTGGATTGCCCGATTGTATGGCAAGGTTGACTCCGTTGCCAGTGGCACTTACAAGTAGGTAGTGTCTAGGTTACCATTATAAGGTATACAACGGTAAAGAAATAGTTCATCTACTTGGTATACTCAATGACATGAGACAATGCGTATGGGCTACAGATGCTTGCTCTTCGGGGTACTAGATGTTCATGAGTAGATTTACAAGAGTCTTTCTCTCCACCAGTTCGTAAATTTCGTATAGAAATTCACTTCATGTGTAAACACCTCTTTGTATCCCACTGCCACTTCAATCCTCCGTAAGCCCTCGAGCAGCTTCTCTTCAGGAAGGGCAAACGTAAGTCGAAACCAACCAGGCTGAGGCTCAGAGTAATCAGCACCACTACCAACAAACACACCATGCTGAGAACACTTCTGCACAAGCGCTTCTTCGTCATCGAATGTGCCACAATCCTCTGACAGTCGCAGCCAGATGTACAGTCCGGCCACTGGCTTGTAATAGGACAAGCCGTGAAACTCGGCGAACTGGATGGCAATTCGAGCCACTGTACGCAGCCTTTCTGTACTGAGACTCACCAGCTGTTCGAGCCTGGCGGTATCGGACAGCATCGGAGTGACCATTACTGTGCCTGCGTTGCAAATCTTTGCGTTGTTCAATATAGCTTGTGACATTCGCAATGGTTTGTTGTCCTGAGTGACGAGACATCCCTAGGAAAGACACGTTCAGTAGACGAAACAATAGGCTGCGTAGAGGAACACTTGACATACCATTCTCATACCGCTGCACCCAAAATCCTTGCTTATGCTATACAGAACATGGACCCTCGATCGCTCAACCTGAAGAAGACTGAGGTCTCTTGATAGTACGGAAACAAAATTTGTTGCCGGCGAGTGATACACATTCTTACTTCCTTCTAAAGACTCACCCAAGTCTCCAAATGTTGACAGTGCATAGATCTCGTCGGAAATGAAATGAAGGTTTGCTTGCTGGCAGTATTGGAGCAGACCGTCGATTGCCTCTGTTGGGCAGATATGACCGTACGGGTTATGGGGGTTGCAAAACAGAATGCCCCGAACTTTGCAGGTCGCTTTGTCTGCAGCATCTCTATAGGCCTGGACAACGTCTCCCGCAGAGCGAGACTGGTCGGGCGAGACATAGACCGGTATGAGCTGAACGGAATTCCGCAACACTGCCGATACCTGGAAGCTTCCTAATACTTCGTTAGCCTTTTGTATGCCGGGACGTACATATCATTAATCACTATCCTTTACTCACCCCACATTGGCGCTGTCACAAGAAGACCATCGCCCTCATCGCAGATATCGTTGATGAGCGTGTCCAGCACAGCGCTACAGCCAGTTCCGGCGACGATATGCTCTGGCTTGACAGGAGTCCAAGGCAAGAAGAAATGGTTGAAGAAGATGGACAGACTCTCCAAGAGCTCAGGAATTCCTCCCAAGCCACCAGCATACGACAGGTGCTCCTCTTTCAGTCCCATGACGCAGTTTCTCTTGAGCATGGCCAGGATTTCCGGCCGTAGAAGCCAGTTCTCGGCCGTCGCCATGTCGATGTTGGAAGCATCTTTCGATCCTTGTCTGGCGAGGGGCCGCTTGAACTGCTCCAGGAACCAGGCGTTTTTCTCGGCTGCTCGACGTGATAACATTTCGGTACTTTGGAGGTGGATGACGCTTTGCGAGTTCGTGGGGGGGGAGTAGATGGCTTAGAGATGATAACCCAAAATTCCTTATTATTTTGAGTATGACAACACCGAGGGAGTGTTTGCTGAGCAGAATCTAATAGTGATCTCTTGCACAGCAATCGGTTACTATCTTTAGCAGCGGCTCAATGCTCTGGCGCATAGCAATCAACTCTTCCGATAACAGCACTCAATCAAAATGAAACTCCAGGCTGTACTAAGCAGCAATCAAATTCTGTAGTACACAAGGCATTCTCCAAAGCAAACGATACACGGAGTTCCGATTTGGCAAACGCCGCAAAACTCTTTGCCATCTACCCGACACAGTTGCCTCCATTCAGGACACGCCTTGGGCAAGGGTCGGCACCCGAAAGGTAGACAAAGCTCGGAGACCGGCCACAAGTGGTGGAACATGAGAAGCCCTTGCTCTGACAGCGGAAGGCGAGCTCAAGGATTGATCACAGTATGAAAAGCCTCGTGAAATGACTTACCAAGTTCATCATGATTCATTAGAGGGTCGAGGAGATACCCAGCAAAACAACAACGCCGCTCAACTCCAATAATGGCCAGTACCGCCGGAACCAGTAAAGATGCCGCCAATGAGGCCGCGAGAAAGGCCTACATACTGCCCAACAACCAGCAGGAAATTGAGCGGATGAAGAATCAGCATGAATGGATCAAAGGCTCATTTGGCGGCTTGATAAAGACTCCCATCGACTTTGAGACAAAGAACCAAAGGATTTTGGATTCTGCAGCTGCCGATGGTATGTCATCTTTGCCCACCTCGAATGCCTTACTTGCTCATTGATGATAGGTACCTGGTTGTGCGACGTGAGCAGCTTGTTTCCACTCGAGACGGAACTTGTAGGATTCGACATTGCGTGAGTAATGAGCAGAAGTACACAATGATGAGCTTGACATCTAATACGAACATTTGCAGAGCAGAGCTATATCCACCGCCAGATACCCTCCCATCCAATGTTTCCTTAGTTCTGGGCGATCTAACTAAAGAGCTCCCTGCTGAGTGGACAGCGAACTTTGATCTGGTCCATCAGCGCTTCATCTTCCCAAGCTTTCCAGTTGACGCTGTGGAGAGAATTCTCGAAAGGCTGGCCAGCTGTGTCCGACCCGGGGGCTGGATCCAGTTGGTCGAGCCAGCTGCGAACGAGAATGTCTCCGGCCCAGGGCCATCGGCCTTTACAACGTTGCACCAGATTGCAAGCCGGTTCATGAAGTGTCCGAGCCCTAAAGAAGTGATTCTATCGCAACTGACCAAACTTGGCTTCATCAACATCAACGTCCATTCAGTGGATATTGTCATTGGCAAGTTCCAAGACAACCGCGAGTTGGATTTCCGAGGGCGAAAGAGCATGCGAGCAGCATTCAACAACATGTATAAAATGACCAGGCAAGTCTCCCAATATGGGCTATCCTAGGCGATGAGCAATGCGCTGATTGTTATTGACTGTAGTCACAACCTTCTGGACATGTCTCAAGAAGACTGGAGCACCTTGCCCGAGCGATTTGACCAAGATCTAAGGACGTATCGCACTGCCATAAGGCACCACATGATCTGGGCTCAGCGGCCAGAATAGACTGGAGATAGATTTACGTTTCACATTTGCTGCGAATTGGCACATGAGACGATAGACCAATGCCTCCGTACCCTATCTAGACAAGACGATAAAGCCATTCTTTACGCTATCCTTCGACATTCCATCTCTCAAAGCTAGACACAATCAAAAGCTCAGAATCTCGCCAGTGTACGAGACAAACTTTCCACCGTGCGTCTCCTTGTTTGCGGTCCTGATGACATTGAACATGCCGCCTACAGAATCCTCCACCTTGACAGGCGCCTTATCGCCCATACCAAAGAGCTGCGCTGCCTGGTTGCCCATCTCGGTCTGAGAAAAGCCTGGGTCCAGGACGAAAGCGTTCAGCCATTCGTCCTCGGCATTGATCCTAACGCCGTACCAGTTCAAGAGAACCTTGGAGGGTCCATAAGCCGCGTTCGGGACCGGGGGTTGATTCCTTTGATGCGTATTGTATTAGTCACCCTGAGCGTATTGAAATACTGGGCCATCGTTCAACGTACCCAAGTGAGGAAGCTCCAGAGCCAACAATGGCAAAGATGGGCTTCTTGGTAGATTTCTGCAACAGATCCCGAGTGGCCTGGTACAGCGTCACCACACCATATGCATTCACATCAATGTGTTGCTGAATCTCGGCTCGTTTGACGTCCTTGACAAGCGGGTAGGATTTCACAATGCCGGCGTTGGCAATCACGATATCCAGGGCGTTAATCCCATGCTTCTCTTTGAGCTCCTTCACGACATCAAATGCGTCTTGCTCCACCGAGGCATCATACTTGATGACGATGAGATTGCTGCCCTCGCCCTTGGGGAGGTCAAAGAGGGCCTTGGAGGTTGGGTGTTCCGGGTTCCGGTTGGCAGAAATGACCGTCTTGAGGGCTTGTTAGTGACCAGAAAGCTCTCATCGACTCCCCAAGCAATCAAGTTGACGTTGAGGCTTACATGATGAGATTGTGAGAGAAAGGTTTTGACCAGCCCAAGGCCAAGCCCACGGTTCCCGCCTGTAACAAGAACAATAGTCTGACTCATTGTGTGCGCTGGGAGGGTGTAGTAAGAGTTGGACTGAACTATAGCGGAGAAGCTGGACTATAGGGAAGAAGTTGGACTATAGCGAAGAGGCTCACTAGGCGACTTATATGAGCGTACCATGAACATCAAAAACATAAACTCCCTCTTCTATAATTCCGCTCCTAGGACTGAAGCGATGACAAATTTGACGCTTTCTCATCAGATGACAAATGTTACATTGATAATCGCATCACGGAGAACAAGTGGGAGTCGTCCGCTTAAGCTCAACAGAAGCCCAACCTACGTCCAACAGCGACTGTTCGTTTTCAGCTCCGCAGCGCGAAGTCCGCAAACATCAACCACTGCGGACTTACGAAGCGCGGCGGCTTCACTATCTGCGCTGTTTTGTCCTTGCCAACACATGCTTACCTTAGGTACCATCACGAGGACGGCTGCTCCGACTTACAATCCTCCGTACCGTTGGGTGAAGTAGTCGTTGATTTAGTCCTGCCTTACCTAGGTATGCATGAAGTGCGCTCAGTATTCGGAGCACCTACCGATCGATCTATGTAGGTAGCTTGTGCTAATTGATTGGACCACTGACATTACGTCTCCCAACATGGCCTTCCTGCTTGTGGACACCTTGCTCGCCGAAATCGAGCCCGTTGTGGGGGTCTTACGAGAGTGCCTATACAAGCCTACCAGCCCACATAGCCCGTTGTTGAATCCTTCGCGGCTCCCAGGCGGAGGGAACAAAGACGGTTGTGCTCTCAAGCTTTTTCGAGTCATACTTCATACCTCACTGCAAGCATGCTAGGTGAGGCAAGCTCATGTACGGATTTCCTCTCTAGATGGCCCGCATATGTTGATCTAGCATCCGGTTGTTTGATGCTTGAATAACATATACTTTGAGAGTTCTTGGTATCAGAGATGTGGTCCAGTATTGGAAAACACTGGTTATTCCAGAGGAGTAAGTCAGGCGGATAAGTTGCTTCTCCCTCCTTAAAAATAGGGGCTTGCATGGATGCATAATTCTGACCAGCGTTGTATCTCTCTACTGCAGCTGGAAGAGTCGTACCAAAAAGACATGCAAAGATTAGCAATTAATGTATAATGGAAATAAAGGCATGGCTTCAGCTATGGCCAGACTCAGTTCTGCCTCCCCCTAGGCACAATAACGAGAAAGCCAATCTTCCGGATGCTCTCCTCCTCCTTATCCTTCTTTTGGTACTTCATTTCTGCCTTCTCCGTCTTCCTCTCATACTTGTCCACGGCTTTCTGGCGACGCTCTTCCATCTTTTCAAGGTCTCTACTTGAATGACGGCCCATTTCCTTGTGCTCATACTTTGCCATAGACTTCTCATACTTTTCCAGTGCCTTTTGGCTCTTCTTGTCGTGTTTCTCAGTCGCCTTGATCCTCTTCTTCAGCATAGACTGCTCGGCCGATTTGCGCTCTGCCTCACTGACAAAGACATCCACCTTGCTCATAGCATTCGATGCGCTGGCAACCGGCGGGAGCTCATCAATCTCGAGCGGAGAAATCCATGCTTCAAGAGCTCTCAGACGACGCTGCTGCGCACTAATAGTCTTGAGCTCGTCGACCTCTACGAGGGACTGCAAAGACTCCAAGATAGGCGACCTTTTGTCAATCTCCCCCTTATAATTCAGAATGGGCATGTTGGCGAGCAGGGCAACAGTCTTGAGCTTGACAATCTGCGCCTCCAAGCCCCTGGGGAAGAAAAGCTCATTATTCGCCTGGCGGATCACCCCCTCTGAGCGCACCTTGGACATGGCATAGGTTCCCACCTTTGCACTCAGGCCAGCAACCCCAAAGATGACCTGGGTCGTTGGTTCAGGCACGATTCCAGCAATATCGGACGCAGCCCCGAGGACGCGCAGTCCCGGACTCGCGACAATCGCCCGGTTGAGGTGGTCGAGAAATTCTAGGAAAACGGGCTTCGAGATGTTGAACCGTCCCAAGGCGGGCGGATAGGCTCTGAGGAATGCAGAACCGAGGCTTGCGTTTGTGGCGGGGATCGCAATGATCTTGTTGGCGGAGCTGGAGCCGATCGAGCTCCCCAGTGCCAACGCTTGCTGCCGCCGGATCAGGCTCTCTTCGTATGGCGGAGGTTCAGAATCTGAGGAGCTTCGTGAAGAGGGGGAGTCTCCAAACTCCATAGCAGTGGTCGCTCGATGCTGGCCCGGTGGAAGTTGATACATATTCTGCTTGGAGCTAGGGTTTGCAAAGGCCATGGTAAAGTTGGCAGATGGTTGTGTAAGAGTTGATTCTCTAGATTCTTGCAAGACTTTTGTAGGTTGGCTATTCGAGATGTAACGCTGGCGATGGATATAGAGGAAAAGAGTTGATTATCAGGTCAACCCTTTCCCTTTAAATCTTCAATCCACCACCCACCAGAAACAGAAAAAGTGCCATCCTTCATCCTCCATGGAGCCTGATCAACTCTCTGACAACTTCCATCTCAGCCTTGGGTATCCACGTTGTGAATCCGTCAACTTGTTGCGAGCTCCCTCATTCGCTCAGGAGACGGGCATCTATGTTTAGCTGCCGATTCACACAGAACTATACCAAACATCGCTAGCCATGGCGAGGCGAAGGTTCCTTGCACGGGCGATGCCACGCTAAGGCGTCAAGGTGTCAGGGGTATGGAGAAGAGTGGCGCTGTGGTTGCTGACGGAAAAGGGATAGCCATTCGAGGTCCATTCGAGCTGTGGCTGTGAGAATCACCCCATTCGAGCTTCGAGCTTTTAACTGTAAGGAAGTTTATTCGAGGCCCTCCATTCGAGTTCTTTCGAAGTCCCTTTCGAGCTCTGATCGGGAACCTCTTCTGGGGACCATTCGAGTCATTCAGGTCAATACGGCATGTTTCCGACACAGCAACATCTTCCCATCTTCATTAGGCTCGTCCCAAAATAGCGGACAACTGATACAAGGGTTGCCTTGCCACGCAGTGCACGCGGCAAATGGTAAAAGTGAGCCCGCAGTAAGAGACCTGGCGGGTGGGCAAAAAGAAGAAGTAGGATATTGTCCAAAAGAAGCCAACCTCTCTCATTGCCTCAAGTCTTAGAGCGGGGAACGTAATGAGTACGCAGCGTTACCCGGTATCTTCATGTTTCAATACAGCAAGCTTTTTCTCCGTTGGATACGATGACAATATTCTTTGCCTTGCCAGCTTTCTATGGCATGGAGTGAGCCTGCAAATTGCACCGCAGCCATTGGGCACGAAAGATGATTATACATACATATTCATCGCCGCTCCGAGCCTACGAAGGTTATCTACAGCAAACACCAACTCCCTTTTGGGTGAATTCCTGCTTCGCCGTGGACCTGGAAGCCTACCCAATGAGAACACATCACACACGGACGAGTCCACGAGAGACAGAAACCCTATGGGAGATCTTAATTGCGGCACCTGATGGTTGTGCAAGAAAACGGCCAAGTTGCGCGACAGAGGGCCGTTGCGAAGAGCTCGGTATCCCTGCAAGGAGCAACCACTTCTTGTCAAGCTATTGTCTGGAAAGAAGCAGGGCAAGATGAAAATGAACCATCTGGTCAGGTTGAGACGGTGGATAATAGTATTATCTTCAACCACCACGTAAGGTAGGCGGACGCATCGGCTCTATAACGTGCAAATCCAGCATGTACAAATTAAGATCTTGATCAAGATAAAGACAATTAGTTGTAACGGTTGACAAACTTGATCACCTTCCGCCCCGTGGTGCTTCTCACAAAGCCATCCAACTCATCAACAAAAGTCGCCTTGAAGCGATACTCATTCGTCGAAATGACATGCAAGAACCCCTTGATCCGATCAACAAGCGCCTCAAGCGAAAGCACCCGCGACGTCCTCGGAGAGCACATCAGTCGGACCTCTAGACACGACTCCAGTGAAGGCTCCAGCTTGTCGAGGATAATCTGCCACTGCAAGATGCCACACTCTTCATTGTTCAGCAAGGCGGCCATGTCTTCAAACTGGATATACTCCCCATCCCAATCAAAGCTGACCCTTCTATCACGACCCTGAAGTCGAAGAATGCGAAGATGCGGCCAGTCCTCTGCGGGAATCTTGTCCCGGGAAGAATCAGGCAGAGGATGAACCGATCCAATATCGCCCGTGACATATCTCACCAGCGGATTGCGCAGACGAGAAAGCGACGTCTGCACAACCATGCCCGACTCTCCCTCGGGCAGCGGCTTGGCATTCTCATCGCCCGGGGCAAGCGACGACGGAAAGACCTCGAGCAGCATAGCCCTCGTATCGAAAATCAGGTCCTCTTCGCTCGTCGTGCTCACTCGTCCGGTGATATCAGGGCTGCTCGCCGCCCACGGACCTGCCTCTGCACTGCCCAAGATGGAGTAAATCTTGACAGACTTGAGCGTCTCCTTGATGTGTGCTCGTTGGGCAGAAGTGAGCACCTCGGAGGTGTAGATGATCTTGTCGAGCTTGATGAGAGCGCGCTCCTCCTCGGGGAGAGTCGAGATGTGGTGCACCATCTGGACGACCTGGCTGCTGTCTCCAGCAAAGACATTGATGTGGTACTTGGCCAGCAGTTTGGCAACTTCGTGGGGAGGCATAAAGTTGCCAGCGCTGAGAACCGAGGCTCCGGCGTTTTCCATGATCTCAAGCATGAGGTCCAGAGATCTGAGTGCCAAGTTCAGCAACTGCTCTCTTACACTCCGTCTGTCATACACCTACCTGTAGAGCTCGCCGGCGCAATGAGTCGTCAACGCCCAATCTCCGGGTTCGAGGACCCCAATAGTTCTGAGAAACCGCCCGAAATGTGCCCTATGCTTGCGATTCTCGTACACATCCGTCCCAAAGAACAGTGGCTTCGAACCAAATCCGCCACCAGTGATACTCGCATACACGCTCTGACGATATGTATTTTCAGGATCAGTATCGTTGACGAGACGCTGAATGGTGTTGTAGCTAACTGCTGTTAGAGAGATCAACCAGTCGGGGGTTCAGGTCAATTGCACTTACAGATCCTTCTTCCAGATGATGGGCCGTGAAGACAAGCCACCATTTGCTGTTTCTTCCTCATTCTTCGCCTTTTCTCTCAGCACTTGAGTTTCCTTTTGGTCGGGAGGATATTGAATCTCGTCAACGTAGAAGGGGTGGACTTTGGCAATGGCCAGCACCTCGCTCAGTTGGAAAGGCTCAAACGCCATGATGAGCAATTGGACTTGATAGACCGTTTACTGCAAGTCTATTCACTTCTTTCCTGAAACAAGTGATGCAGCGAAGCAAATTTACATCTACAGCCAAGAAATACATGTCGAATGGGTCTCGTGTCAAGACGCGATACTGTGCGAGATCTCACTGTATTCATCACCCACATCCTTCCACGACAAGGAGATGCACAGCCTATCAGTCGAACACAAGTCCCAACTTCGTCATGTTGAGATGGTCCCTTTCTGGAATCATCCAACGAGCTTGAGACGAGCCCATGTGCATAACCTCCCCCCGAGACATGCATACAAACTCACATCATCCTCATTTCCCTTACGGCAGAGAATAGGAGCAAGTAAGCAAGCAAAAGCGGCAAACACGAAAGGCCCTCAAAGAGGACCATCACGTCAGGAACGGCTTGCAAAGCTTACACCGAAGATGGCTGATGAGAAACAGCGTCATGTCTCAAAGCGGACGACCAAGCACCAGGCACAATGTAAGACATTGTCTCAATTGAACCGCCACTATTACGGAGTGCGGCGCCTCCGAGTGTGATACTACGTCAAAGAGTAAATACATGTTGCCAACTGACAAGCATCAAGGATGATGCCGAATCGCGATTTGCTCGGCAAAAGACCCCTGCCCTGCAGCACGGCAGGAATCAGCTCTGTTCAGCCCAGCCACTTCCCAGGTTGGTGTGTAAAATGTCTGAGAATCGGGTCGTTTGCCGCTCTGCTATTCGTCAAACTACCTAGTTGTACGTCCGAGCTGTGATACCATGTAATGATATCCAACGATCTGCATCTAAATGGTGCTGACAAGCTGAAATAAGATTATGCCTGGGGTTACATCTTCTCCGCATGTTCAACCTCGACAACCCCAATTGCTTCACCGCAGTTGCAATAGAACCCGAAACTATCGAAGCCACCTGAAAAGACAACCCGGCTATAGGTAGTAGGTACTAGAATTACAATTACTTTCGTTTGCTTCATACAAGCAACAAGTCTGAGGACGACGGCTCGGCTACCTACGCCATGTCTCAAACCAAACACTTCCCTCTTCCGACACCCCCTAAGCCTGACTGTCCGTATTCTCCCTCTACCTGAGTCCATGTCTCTCCTGAGTACACTTTGTTAGCCACGCCCGCAAAAGGCACAGCATCCCACCTCACCCGACGCAGATGCCGCCTCGGATCCCTGACGTGATTCCGCGCATGCAGCCACCGGCGATTGTCAATCATGATGATGGACCCCTCCGGGAGCACCTCAGGCGTCAGATCCAGCCTCGCCATCGAGTGGCTCCCTCTTGCCTCCGCGCCCTGCAGCGCCAGCACCTGTCTCAGCTCTCCCAGGGCAGCGGCCGCTCGCTCGCTCAGGGGCGTCAGGAGATCCTCTCGGAAGCGCATCCTCGACAGCCGGCCCTCGTCATCAGCCAGCAAAATGCTCGCCACAATGTCTTTCTGGCCGGGATGCTTGACAAACTCGGGCGGCGTGCGAATTCGAAACTCGGGTCTGGCCAGCGAGGCCCTCGCCTCGGGCGACAGCAGCTCGCTCAGCCGCTCAACGTTCATGACCGACAGTGTCCCGCCACCGCACCGGTCCGGCTGAAGCACCTGCAGGGCAAAGTAGCGCGGCGGCGGATCCTCGTAGCTGCAGTCCGTGTGCCAGGGGAAGTCCTCCATTGTCTCGGAGCGCGCCTGGCAGTTGGCCGTCTGGAAGCTCGTCGAAGACGGCAGCACGTCCCAGAACCAGCCGCGGGTCGCGCTGTGCGAGATGGGCAGCTGGTGGCCGTGGTGCTGGTGCAGGCTGTGGAGGAGCTGCTCGAGGTAGCGGCTCTGGGGGTCTGCAAAGCCGAGGCTGACCTTGAGGACGCCGCGCTGCTCCAGCGTCTCTGATACGACGCGGACGTGACCGGGCTCCTGGGCGAAGCTGAGATTGGGGGCGTCCAGGCGGGGGACCATTTGCGAGATTAGGGCCAACGCGCTCGTCGAATTACTACTCGTATGAGTGCTCGTAGTATTACTTGTGTGGACGGCAGCAGCCCGAGAGTGACGGGGGTACTGCTGGCGATGGCGAGCAGCTCCATGTACGAGTGTACGGCGGACTGCTGTGAATGGATTTGATGCAGCACGGCGATACATGTTGGGCAAGTGCTTGATAGTGAGTGGTGATTGGGGTAACTGCAATGAGAGACGAATAGTGGTCGATGACAAGATTGACACAGTTTTTTGTTCTGTACGCAGGTTGTGGGTGGAGGACGCAACTCTCAGGTGTAATCCCTTCTCATATCGATCAATAGGGGTTATTTATCATGATCATAGTGTCACTTCCGGCTCATGACAGCACAAGAAGCCTCTCCGTAGCGGTAGCATCCTGATTTACCCTCCCCCTGTCCCAGTTCACACACCCATATGATTTCATTTCGGGATAGCTGCCACCACTTCCAGACTATCGGGTTTCTCCTGGACAGACTGGGGGGTACGATATGTGGTAATGACACTCCTTCTACTGCTACTACTACTACTTCACACAAGCTGAGTAAATTTCTGAGACAAACCCTCAGCTCAATCCCTGTCCCTCTGCATCACAGAGCAGAGCCAAGCCCCCCCATGACTAACAGCACAGATCCGATCATTACTACTCCGCCATATCCCCAGACCCAGCAAGTCCCCATGCACAACGTGATACGTCCCGATCAACGGACACCTCATCTTCTCCCCAGACGCCCTCAGCACCACGTCATACAGACGGGGCACGATCCGCCGCTGCACCACGCAGCTCCCCTCCAGCCCAAGAGCCGGGTCCATCTGGCGCCTCAGAGCAGCCAGCCACTCCACGCTTCCGAGGTCCTCGCCAAAGACTATGCCATCGCCCTTGCCGCTGCGGATCGGCTTCAGGAGGAACTCGTTGCGGAGATTCGGGTTCGCTTCGGAGCGCATCATGAGGCTGTTGAGCTCCAGGGACCCAGGCAGGAGTGTGTCTGCGATGCCCCTGTCGAGGATCATGGCCTGTCTTTCGGTGATGACTCTGAGCGCGACTTGCTTCTGCAGTTCCTGCTTGACGATGCCGAGCATCCTCTTGTCGTGGACCAGCAGAATGGTTCTCATGTCGTTGAAGCAGCGCAGACTAATCTCCCGCAGCATCTCGGGTCTCATGGCAAGCAACTCCCGCTGGTGAAGCTCCAGCCCAACCTGGTAAATCTCCTCAACCAGCTCCCCCTCGGACGTGAAGAACAAGGAAGAAACGTCTGGAATCGCAGCACCGCGTTGAAGATTCCTGAAGACAGCACAGAGCGTATAGCCCGATTTGCTTCTAGAGTCTGCCACCAGTCTCAGATCTGCGAGGTCAACTATACGCGGAGCATAGCCTAGACGGCGTCTTGCAGCATCGACAAACATGTGAATGTCAATTCCAGCTTCTTCGCCTTTAAGAAGATGAATAGGCCGATCTCGCCGGAAGAGAGTAAACAATCCGTCAATAAGCTTGCCATGCAATTCCAGTTAGAAGCTGAACAATGAAACAATCAATCAAGGCTCTACTTACCTCTTTTGGCTCCGTAGCACTGACGAGTCCATATGTCTTCATGCCCATCTCCTCCAGGCCCAATTGCCCATACGCGGCATGCATGAATCCATTGAAAGAGAACCGAGCATTGATCTCAGTAATCCGAAAGTTCTCAACCAGGCCGCCATCTTCGCCCACGAGTTCCTCGACCAGGAAATCAGGTCTCCACGACCCTCTACAAGCCGCATAAGGAGGCAGCGTCCCAGTAACAGACTGCAACTCGACGTACTGCTCACACATCAGCTTCGTCAAGAAAGAAACCACCAAGACAATACACAAGGAAGCCAACCTTTAAAAGCTCCTGCTCCATTTCACCGAGCGGCATCCTCCCCGGGAAATCCGCCGCAGTGTCAACCCACCATCGATCCACGATATCCGTAATCGAGGCAACCAGCGCATCATTCAGCTCCTGCAAGCGCTCCTTGTGCTTCTCGTGGACGAGAATCGGCCGAGGGCAATACGTGCTGTAAGACCCCTTTGGCCATAGACGAGGCTTGCAAAGGCGCGTGAGCGTAGCCTTGATCGACTCGTGCTCGTGTTTGTAGCAAGCTTCGTCTGCCTTTGCCGTTGATACGTTTTCATAGCCATTGGGGCCGTGGCCGAGTTGGACCTGAGCAAAGGTTTCTGTGTGAGACGATTGCTCCATTTCGATTATCCTATCGGGGATTCTGTAAACTTGATGATCGAAGTCATTACAAGCATCAGACCATCCAATACAGCCTACGACTTATATAGCACTCTTCTCATGCTAACGAACATGTTCCATGTATCATCATGCAATCTCAGCAAGTACTCCCGCTCCCCAACCCCCGTGTATCCCTCAAGCCTAGCTCTCCGATTATCCCCTGCCCAGGCTCAATACCTCAGCTTGCCTCTCCGTCGATCATCTCATCCCCCAAAGACACACTAACCCCTATGTCCGTACCATATCGACGCCATCACAAATAGTTCCCTCCCCCCTAAACTAACGGACGCCAAGCACATCTCCCTTAACCCCAGACGCCGTCCCATTATTCAAATTCGGCCAATGCCCGTCCCCTCGACCAGGTTCACCCCTCCAAGACCCTTGCATGGAAAGTCTCAGACAATTGCGAGCCAATAACCGGTTTGGGGGACGGCGCTAAGACGAGTGACGAGAAGCAGACATGCATATTACTCAGATATTCTACCTCTTCTACTAACGTCATATTGCTGGGAAGCAGCCTCGGGCCGGTCCTAGTCGGGCACGTCTGGGGGGAGGCGATGAGTGTCAATAACGCGTCTGTGGACGGAGTACATGGGCTTGAATCACACTGATCATTTGTGTTGACTTGTATATATGGCCTGAGCTATGATGCTATGTAATGAATATGTCGACCACGAGGATGCGATGAGAATGCGTAATGGTGTAGAATCAAGTTCTTGTAATGCCATGGCTGTCATGAGATGAAGAACGTCAAAACAGGCCATCAAGAAGAAAACCCTGACTCCATCGGCTTTCCAACCCCTAAGACCACCAATCCCAACCATCCGTATTCTCAATATTCACCTTCAACGGCGCCGCCAGCGTCCGAAACTCCTCCACGATACTCCCACTCATCTTCATCACCACCTCCGTCGCCCTCTTGACAACATCCTCCTCATGCGGCTCCCCAAACCCTGCCTTGAAGATGTGGCTCTTGTCCAACAAGCCCGCCGCCAGCTCGACACGGAGATAGTCCACCAACGTAACAACACTCGCATCATCCAGCGCAGGTGTCGTCGCCGCAAGTGCAATCCCCAACTCCGCCTTTGGCTCAATGGCTTCCAACGCCTGCCGTAGCGTGCCATAGCTTCGAATATAAGGCCTCTGATCGGCCACAATGTCCTCCAGCAGCCTGACCACTCCCTCTACACATCTCGCGGCAGCAGCTCTTGTTTCTTCTGGAGTGGAAAGACTCCATCGAGGCAGATTAAGCATCCGAATCTTCAGTCCCAGCGTATCCGGCAAGACAGCCGGCTTTCTGTTGGAGTCGGCCTGCCAGGCAGGTGTCCTCAACTCGTTGATTCTTTCCACAATCCTTCCCCAGACTGGCATGTTGCGGTCAAAGCTGTACGTGTTCTCCATGAACGCATCAAACTTGGTCAATTGCCCCTGCATGAGAACACCCTCTGCGATTTCAAGGAGATACGAGTCCATTGACTGATATCCTGCTCTCTTTGTAATCTCACCGCGCTCCATCCCCTCCTCCACGCTCTTGAGATAGGAGCAGATTGTCCCCAACAGGCGCTTCATGAGCATATCACCATCGCTGTTCCACATCTGCGCCCAATGTCTTCCGGAATTTGTGTATGCAAGCTTCTTGTTATCCCTCACGGCCTGAGTAATGGCAGTTAGCCATTCTGGAGGATTCGTTCGCAGCAATAGATACTCCATTGCCAGATCCGCGTATCTGTCAGAAGTTCCCGATTGCATAATCACTAGAAGAATATCCAGTGAAGCCGGAAACAATGGGATTGCGGGAAGGTGAGCACCGTCAGGCAGAGTGAAGCCATTCTTCGTTAGGAACAACTGCATCCATCGTTTGTTCGTTTCTGCCGAGGCGTCCAGCATGGTATAGATAACTTCCTCCAGTGCTCGACCTTCATCTGACTTCCAATCAGTCCCATAGCCCGCATACAAGATGAGTTCCATGATACGAGGGACCCTGTCAGTTCCAACCCCTGCTTCGCATATCTCGGGAACTTCGCTGTCAGGCGTCAACGTATCCCAGTCCGTAGAAGGCCGTGACTCGTTGGCTGAAGACGCGATGGGCAGCGCATATTCACAAAGTGCATCAAGTATCCGCCGCTTCACGACAGAGCTGGTAGCACTATTCGTAAATGCCTGGGTCAGTCCCTCGAGAGACGCCGTCCGGATGTCTACATGGCTCGCCCTCTTCAGAATTCTGATATTGAGGTCCACTGCCAGACTCGGATCGACGACTGGAGACTTTCTCAACAGCTGCGCCAGCATCTTGACCGTCGTAATCTTGACAAGGGGCGCCTTGATTGGCGCCGCTTCATCTGCAGCCTCCTTGTCCTCGTCCGCACGTCGCTCCGCCTGTTCTTGCAGTTGATCCAGCATGGCATCCGTAAAGCCCTCAAGGAACCCCTTCGCGTCAGCCGGAGAAAGCTTCTCAAGACTTCCTGAATTAAGAAGCAGCCGATGCCACGAGCTCGCATCAGGATTCTCCAGGACAAAACGCCGTATCAGGGGGGTCGCCAGCGAGGGATCTTTTCCATCCAAGATGGACTTGATGATCCTATTGAAAACCGAGCACGGCTTTTCTGTTTCGGGCCTTCTCTTGATGCTCTCAAAGACAGATTCTGCCAACTGAACGAGGAGGCCCGCTGGTGTATAACGTCTTAGATCATCCAACACGTCCAGACACTGGTGGCACAAGTTTTTGTCGGCCTCTCGCTCTAAGAACTCTTGGTCCAGGTACACAGCTGGAATCCGCACTGCCTCCGCGTTAGGGAACGGCGTCTTGAGCAACGATGGGTTGAAGCCGTCCTTCATGTTCACTGCCAGAATTGCCGCAGTCGCATAAGCATCCGCACTCCTTCCGCTAAGCGGTGTTGTCGATGCGAAGAAAGAAGACCAGAAGGAGCAAGGGCGAGGCTTTCCAGGAATCACGGGCTTGACGTCCCCAAATATCGAGCTCTGTGCCTTGGTAAAACTGGTCATGCCGTCTTGGGTCGGCCGGCTCAACAAAACATCCAGAAGGGTCGGTGTGAGAGCCTTGTCCTTTTCCGGCTGCGATATTCGATCGTATTCAGAGTCCGGATTCCATTCAAGGGGCTGCATACCACTCTCGTCCAGGCCTACTTCAGGTAAAGACGGCCTCGGACGTTGGTCCGCCTCCTCATCAATCCCAACTTCACTTTTCCTAACATCAACGCCCTGGAATACAGGCCACCAAAACCGCTCAGCCTCTTCCGGAGACATGCGGCTCTTGCTCAAGGCGACAGTGGCCTGCTGCCATGCTTTCAGGGTGCGCTCTTTCCGCTCCTCCTCACCCGGCACCTGAATGTACAGCTGCAGAGCCCCGGGCCAGCTGTCTACAAACGTCCCAATGGCGAGTTGGGCTTCCTCGTCGACCTCGATAGGCTGCAGAGCTTTGAGAGGGTCCATAAAGACAACTGTCTCGACTCGTGCCTGCGCATAGGGGAGATACGCCGTAGCCTCGCCGAAATAGCTTGACAATTGCTGCAGAGTGGCTCCCTTGGGCCAGATCTCGTCCGCCGTGACCAGGGCCGGGGTTTCGCGCCGACGGACCTCTGCCCAAAGCGAGTCTTGAAACTCGGCCAGCTGGTTGAAGAACCTGATGGTATGCCCGCGAAGCTTCCGAGGCTCTGCAATCCTCAAGGTAGACAAAGTGTCATAGGGTGATATGGGTTCAAACCTCGTGTCAAGGGGACCGAAAAGATTAGACAGCATCTTCTCCAGCATGGCAGACGTCGGCTTCCACACGGCTTCATATAACGAGTCATCTGACATCCCGGTCCGATCTTGGAAGTCATTGGCGCAGTCTAGGCGTAGACAAGCAACACGCTGAATCAGTTCAAACGTGCAATTCCAATCCCAGGAATAGAAGCTAGGCTCGTTCACTCCCATAAGTGCAGTCTCGTATAAGATGGTCAAGACGGTATTGGCAGAATGTATCTTGTTAGTTAGCTCGCTCACGGAAACGGTCAATTCGTCATCCTTCATCTTTTCATGCAGCACAGCCAAAAGGCCTTGCCCTTCGCTGGTCATGAGGCTTTGTCGACCATACACTTCCTTGACCGTCAGAGGATCCTTGTTGAACCGTCGGGCCCAGAGGAGCGTCTCTGCATAGAGCTCCAGATCCCCAATCGCCACGCAGAGGGCCAGGGCAGACAGGGCAGCTTCTGATCGATCCTCGGCTGAGCGGCCTTGGGTCGCCTTCTTCATCCTCCTGGAAACGTCTTGACGAGCCTCAGCCCGCATGGCGTCGAGTTCTACGGACGAGAATGCGGGAACGGCCGAGCTCCGGATCTGTTTCAGCAAAAGAGCCCGCATGACGTGACGATCAGCCAGCCCATGTCGTTCAGGGTCATTCCGATCAGAGACAAGCGGAAACAGCCCCAGGTTACGGCCGCTGTCCCACCCAACATCTTGGCCTGCTCTTTGGACCTTCTCCCACAAAGCCAATGCCTCTTCCGCCGGTAAAAGGAAGAAGATTACCGTCTGCCAACGGAATGACAACTTGTCAAGCTCTGAATGCTCCAGACTGGCAGGGTCTCCGATATCGACCCGATTGCCGGCCGTGTGCTTCAAGACCAAGCGTAGAAGCTGGTACCTTCTGACCTTGCCAACGCTCCGTAGCAGATCTGGCAGCCGTAATCTGTTGCCCATAACCTCAGGAAGAACGGAGAACAGCGTCGCCAGCAGCTCCGTGTACTCAACCCTTGCGCGTGAGTGATTCCACACCTTGACCAAACGGGCGACTATCTTGTTGAAATGCGATTCAAAGTTGTCAAAGCTCCTCTGGAATGCCGAGCGCTCTTTCAGGCCAGTTAACACACGTCTCCAGAAGCGAAAGGTGGTGTCGTCGGATATCCTTCGCCTTGATAAGGATCGCTTCCCCAGGGGATGAATGACGACATCAAGCAGAGTATCGGGAGAGACCCCAAGCAGATCTTGACTGCCGAGAAACCTTTCTAGGACCTGCAGGCCGTACTCTGTGCGATGAAGAAGCAGGGGCTTGGCCCGGTCCAGAAACTCGTCGCCGGTGATTTCGTTGCGCCCCAGCTTCCCGTCGTAATGGCTCTCAAAGAACTCATGATCCATCTCAATAAACAAACTGCTACAACTCCTCGAGGTCGGTCTCTTCTTGAATTCCTCCCAGTCCACTCGAAACGCAGGGCCACAAGCAGGGAGAAGCTTCACATAGGCCTCCCACAGCGGACGAACATCCAACGCAGCACGCTCCTCTCCATCTTCATGCTGCTGCCCCCAGAGTAACTCCAGCAGTTTCTCTAGCTCTCGCTGCCGTTGCTTCCGAGCTCCCTGCGCACGAGCAGTATCGCCCAGCAACCTGAGTAGAAGCCGCACATTGCTAGCACTGAGCTTTGCCGCCAGCTGAGCGACTCCCTTGGCACCGCCGGCAGCTTCCCAGGCCTTTGCAAACGTCTGTTCTCTGCGCAGATGGCGATAGAAGTGCTTGATGGCTGAATGGCGGGCATTGACGCATTCCCCCTGTCGTATCACTGCCACAACGACCTCGGGTTGATTGGCGACGGTGGGCCATAGACAGAGCACGATTGGCGGGAGAGTCTCGGTGGCAACAAGGGAGATGAGCTGAGAAGTGAGGGAGGAGACGGCAGCCGGGTTGCTGTCGAGGACATGGCGGAGGTGGACTGCCTGCTCCCGGGGCGTAGCGCCCTGGAGGAGCTTTAGATTGAGCTCGCCGCTATTTGCCATGCTGTAGAGTGTAGACTGTGATACAAAAGAGGCTCGTGGATGATGATGGGAGTTGAAGAGTAGGTATGCAAAAAGTCGAGGCGGGCGTCGGTCTTTATATCTATCGTTAGGTACTCACAGCACAGCCTAATCCGGCCCAACAAATCATATAATCTAGAGCCGGTAAACATGAGGATTGAGATATGATTTGTTGATTCTTTGTCACAACAATCTCGCAAGGCTGACATGCGTCTTTGGCCCGTTTCGATCGATATTATTTGAGTCAGGCTCCGCCACCATTTCCCCATTGGCCGCGTCTTACAACAGGTATGTAGTATACCCTGCAGAGAAACCCCGCAAAGAGGAAATTCTGGCTTCAACAACAGAGACGCTGTTGGCAGACTCAGTGGTTGAATGCAGGGGACTTTTGAGACACAGGATACCGAGAAGGCCAGGCAGAAGCCGGCGTGAGTCACTATCCGAATACTAGTACATAGATGAAGCCGCAACAGTCACTCGTGACTGATATACTCACACTCCACAGCTCTCCTCAGCTTGTCGACGTCATTGAGAAAGGCAATTGCATGAATATCGGCCCTCATAGCACTACATACCTAGTTTGCTCTCCGGAAATGGCAAATGGAGGGGCTTTCGTAAGGTAACTGCAGGATAGAAGAACTTTTAACAAGTTTCAACATACCTAGGTAGATACTCTCGCAGTCCCGGTCAGCCTGTGTCATCTCTCATTCGATCCGCCTCTAAGGTACGCTACCAAGGTACTGCTCTTTACTTGCCAATTTCTTCTAGGACGATGCTCTGCAGAAGTAAACTGTCCTCATCCATCTTTCGGCTCATTCAGAGCAAGCATGTCCTCGCAAACTCAACGATGTTCGTCACCGTATCTTCATATGGCCAAGTCCTCGAGCCGCAGATAGAGCATGTATTATAACCAATGCAAAGCCATACACACACACACACACACACACACACACACACCTCCTCTCGCCCCTTTGTCATGTCCAATCGATACTTCACGATATATAAAGCCGTCCTCACGATATACAATTGGATCAATATCACACCAAGCACCCTACAACTTCGCCTTCTCCTTCTCCTCCTTCTTCTCCCCCCTATACTTTTTCAAAAGCCTCGCCACCGCCCACCGCGGACTCTTCCCATCCACAAACCCCAGAAACGGATTCCCAACCTTGTACCCCAGCATATCCACCAGCCGCGGCGGCATCTCATCCAGCTTCTCCCAGTCCACCGCCAAGATGAGATTCTCCATCGGCCGGATCCACGGCTGGCAATACTGCGCCGTCAACGCCAGCCTGCTCTTGTCGCTCCTGTTCGCCCCGCCGCCGTGCCACAGCAGGCTCACAAAGTACAGGATGCTGCCGGCCGGCATGATGACGGGGATGGCCTCCTCGGGCTTGGGCACGCGGCGCGAGTCCCAGAGGTGCGAGTCCGGCACGATGACCGTCGCGCCGTTGGTCGCCGTGTAGTCGTCCAGAGCAATCATGACGCCCTGCGTGTCCACCACATCAGCTCACATACATGTACTCTCCTCTCCCCCCAAGCCATCCACGCAATTCCCATGAGCCACACACTACTGCCAAGCAAAGATAACCCCAACACCACCATGTCAAGTAAAAGAAGGAGAGAGAGAGAAAAAGATAAACTCACCGTCCCAAGAGGCCTATGCGGCCTCTCCAACGAAACATACCCATGATCATAATGCATCGTCTGCGCCTTCTCCCCAGGCAAGATATTGATGCTCTGAAACGAATTAATCAAGTACCCCGGATCCATGAACCAGTCATTCAGCGCAAGCACATCCTCGTGCAGCGCAAACTCGTCAAACACCCGCGACTTGCCCGCCAGCGCGTACAGCCGCTGCGTGCGGAACCCCTCAAACGTGTTGCGCCCCTTTGCGCCCGCCGGCCCTGCGGTCTCCGGGTCCGCGCTCAGCCGCGCGACTTCGGCTTTAGCCGCGGCGACGCTGGCCGGGGAAAACGCGTTGCGGATGACGACGTAGCCGTGGGCCGTGACCTCGTCGATGAGGGACTGGATGCGTGGTGTTGGCGGGGAGGAGGAATAGGTGCGGGCCAAACGTGAGTCGGCCCCTGTTTCTCTCGGGATAGAGCCCCCTGACAGAGGCCGTTGGTAACTCATTATTGTATGATAATAGAATCACTCGAGGACCCAACGATGAAAGTAAGTGAATCGAATCGAGAAATCAAGAGAAAAGGTGTTTCGATCTGACAAGAGCCGCAAACGGCAGGGCTGGCTCCCCCCATATATACCTACTATACTCAAGCCCATTACCCCATATAAGCTTATCCCCCAAACTCCACGGCCTCAAGCATCATCAGATGCGGGGGGAAACGACCGAAAGGCCCATCCATCCATCCATCCATCCATCAGCCAGCCTCGGTGGACCCGGGGGGCCGAGCAAGTCCTCACATTGTCTCACCCCCTCGCCAATAGCCTACTCGCATCCTGAGGAGTTGGACCTCCGCGGGAGAAGGCAAGTGAGTACCTTTTTGCCAAGCCAGATTCTCTCCTAGGTAAGGTAGGTATCTCAAGCTATCCGGCCCTTGCAGCCGAATTGTCGGGCTAGTAATGCAAAAGAACCAACAACGATCTAAAGGTGTGAGAAAGCATGGGGAAAAAAGTTGAAAGCTTAATACAGGAACGAATCATCATCTGGAGGAGGGGGCGAAATAAGGGCTTACATGTCTCAGCCTTTTCGTACCGCTAAAGCACTCCGAAAGGTCTATTGGCTCCGGACACGGCACACGGGAACCCATGATGACACCTAAAAGCCAAAGGAAAAGCATCATCAGCCGAGGCATCTTCATATCATCCACCGGCAGGAATGCGTTGTTGCAGAAGATTAAGCCATGTGAAAAATCTCGCCGTGCACTGTTGAAACATACAATTTGAAGTAATATATAATCCATCCAATATGTTCGCTATATCTGGCTCAATCTTACATGTATAAACAACAAAACAGGGCTTTGTACATTTCTGCCCCCAAAGACATTAACCTAACTTATATACAAGAAAAACTTCGACATCCTTTTTTCTTTTCCACCAACTCTCCATCGCACTCGTCTCTCGTCCCAAGCTTTTTAGTTGGAGCAGACGCCGTTCTTGCAAGAGTAAGGGTCAGAGCAGTCGTTGTCGTTGCCGCAAGAGGCACCCAGGCAGTGTCCCTCCCAGGAGCAGGTGGGAGCAGGAGTGCTGCCGGCGGTACCGCAGACGCCGCCGTTGCAGGTGAGGTCGTCGGAGCAGTCGTTGTCGGTGCTGCAAGAAGCACCGGCGCAGTGGCCGGCCCAGGAGCAGCCGCCAGTCGGGGGAGGAGGAGGAGGAGTGGTGCCGCTGGCGATGCCAGCCTTGACCGTCTTCTGGAAGTTGCCGTTCTTGACGGCGAGCTGAGCCTCCCAGAGCATGATGCCGCCAATGTTGGGGAGGTTGAGAGCAGAGACGCCCTGGTAGGCAGACAGCAGGCTGCTGGCGGAGACGTAGCCCTGGTCGCCGTCGGCACCGCTGGCCAGAGCGCCGATGAAGAGGGTGGCGTTGCCGATGCTCTTGCTCCAGTTCTTGACGGCGTTGTTGAAGCCGGACTGGGCAATGTTGCAGTTGCCGTTGTTGTAGAACTGGACCCAGATGTAGTCGGCCAGCTGGCAGACGTTGAGGGGTTCCGAGGCGTCGGGGAACGGGCACTGGGGAGCAGCAGTCAGGTAGTACTTCTTGCTGGTGTCCTTGGCGAAGTTGGACTTGAAGCGCTGGGCCATGGCCAGGTAGCCAGTGGGGTTGCCGGTCTCGTTGTCTATCACAAACTGGTGTTAGCAGAAGCTAAACTCCTTGAGTCTAGTCACGCGTCCGTCTTCACTCACCGAGATCAACACCGTCCAGCTTGACGCTGCCAAAGGGACGGAGGGTAGGGTTGGCGGTACCGCCCAGGAACAGGTTCCAGACGGTATCGGCAAGCTGCTGGCCCTGGGCATCGCTGCTCAGAGTGACGGCCGAGAAGTCGACGGCACCGCCCATGCTGAGGATGACCAGCTTGCCGGCGGCCTGGCAGGCCTGGATGGCGGGGATGAGAGAGGTGCCGTCCTGGAGGTTGGTGGCACCGGCAGCCCTCTGGGCGGCAGAGGGACCGCCGAGGGTGCTCAGGGAGAGCTCGGGGTAGCCACCGCCGGCGAAGAAGCGGCTGAGGAAGGCCAGGTTGACAATATCGTACGAAGAGTCGGCGCAGACGTTGGCGAGAGTGGTGCTGTCGTCCTCGGCACCCCAGTAGACGACCAGCTTGCCTCCGGCGGCACGCTTCTCCATGGTGGGTGCGGCATACGCAGCAGTGGCCAAGAGGCCGGCAGCAGCCAGTGCTTTGCTGAAGAACATGGTTGAGAGAATGTGTGTGTATGTGCTGTGTGTGTATATATATACAGTCAAAAAGAAAGGAACAGGCCACGAGGTATGTACAGAGGCCGAAAAGACTTCTGTGCTGCTGCTGATGATGATGAGATGAGTCCAGAGGAGAACTTGCTGGATCGATAGAGTTCCGGCAATGGCATCTCTATTTATCTCTTCTTCTCGACGTCCAACATCGTGCCCAGGGTCTCTCTCATCAAACCACCAACTGCCCAGTGGTGAAACAGCTGACAGTGTAAGCGCCTTCGAAGCAGACAAACAAGACGCCCGATACGGCAGTCGACAAGTCTTGGCCTAGTCGACAATCCGGAAGGTGGCTCCAGGCCCGGCTTACACAAAGCCGCCTTGGCCATCTCCGGCAGGCTGGACGAGACCCGGGCGACGATGGTTCAGGGCAGCCAGCTTCCTAGCGCACCAGGTCTCGACGACACCATGCCCTCCCGGGCAGAAGCGCGTAGACGGTGTACCCCCATCGCCATCACAATCTGCTTCGAGATGCAGGAGCATGATTCCAGGACCATTAGACAACGTTACATGGCGATGGGCCGTGACGGCTTCACGGGCGAAGCGCCGATGCGAAAGCCGACGACATCAAGCAGCAGATGCCTCTCACTCGGACAGCGGAAAACAGACACCACACCATGCCACGAAGGCGGGGGAGAATCGTCCATGGTGCTATGCCAGCCAACGGCTCGTCAACTGCTCAGAAGCACGCCGACCGGACACTGACCTGGTGACAGGACGCAAACTTTGCCTCTCCTCCACGGCGGACAGAGTTTCAACCCGCATTAGCCCGGAACTTTCACACCAGACAGCACATGCAATAGCAGCGGTGCCGGGGACAGCCTCACATCCAGAGGGCGAATGAGAAAGCCGTGCCTGAAGCCGTGTTAGTGAATGCAAAGACTGCCGTTTGTGAGACGCTTATCTGGGCTGGGGTCCCTCGGCAATGGCGCTGGTGGGAACAGGGGACTGGGGACAGGGCCAGATTGGGCAGGTAAGTCAAAACAGATTGAAGCAAACGCCCACGCTGGGGGTCGTCAGCACCGAGGTGCAGCCGGCTCGAGTCCGGTGAGGCTCGTCGTATCCATCTGAGAAACTTCCTGTTAAGTCCAAGAGTCGAGAGCCTCATGTGCCATCGCGTGAATGCGCAAACTCATTTACCCGCGTTGCATCTGATCGGCGGACCAGGGCCCTGAGTCGATTGTGTCGCATCGCGCGCGAGTTGCCCGCCATTAGTGGGAATGGGTTTCTCCGTCGTTGACAGATATAGATTGCATGTCAAATTGCTCCCGGATGAACTCGTTTGCAGGGCATCTAGGCGATGCTAGGCCAAAGTCGTGAGCTGGGGCCGTCGACGTTGAAACAGGCACGCGCCACACACAATGGCTAGGTACCTAGAGAACAAAGCAGGCCGCAGCCAATGGACAAATCAAATCTTCACTTGGGCAGAGTCGCATTTTGTGGGGTCGCTAAAGGCGAGCCAGGGGGGACCGTCAGAGAAAAGGAAAACCGTTGCGCGAGTTGATTGATTGAATGTGTGGGCGAATGCCTGCTTGCTTGTCTTCTAATCTTCCGTCGTAAGAGCATCGCTCATGCTCACTCAGCCCGCATTCCCGCGGCATAATTCCAGTCTCCTCCCTTCATCTTTGCGGCGGGTTTGGGAGCTCAAACGCACATCACCTTCTATATGCGGCGGGTGCTGCTCTTATTAGGCCTTGCCAGATGCCAGACTGGATACGAGGAACGCCTCGACGTCATCAAACTCTTCCATGCAGGCCGAGTGTTGCATGCCCCTGCGCTTTATGTCAGCAAGAACGACGACGACGACGACGACAACATGCCATACCATGCGTAGAGCATGATATTCCTGCACAAGTAGCAAACAAGCAACAACATGGGGAAGCGGGTGCTCACGGATATGTTGTGAGCTTCACGTTGAAGCCAAGCTCTTTGATCTTCTTCTCAGTGGCCGTGCCCCATTCATAGAGGACCAGAGGGTCGGCATCTCCATGACCCATGAAGATGGGAGTGTCCTTGTTGGGGTTTGATTCGGGGATAAACTCCTTGAACTTGTGGCTCAGAAGCATCCACGACGACAAGCCAACGATGCCGCCAAGCTTGAAGGGAGCCGTCAGACCAGCAAAGATGCTCATGGCACCGCCCTGGGAGAAGCCACCGAGGACGATGCGCTCAGAGGAGATGCCGTCTGAGACCTCTTGCTGGATGAGTGAGTACAGGTAGGCGCGAGACTCGAGGATGCCCTGCTCGTCTTCGTCGCGGGACTTTCCGTCCAGCGTCTGGCCGGCTGAGGCACCGAGAGCTTTCTGTTGCAGGAGCAGCGTCAGATCAGGCTTCTTCACACATGAGGGTGGTGCTGAACTGGAACAGGTCATACGATGTCGAACCAGGCAGGCATGGGGAAGCCCTGATTCTATGATGAGACGGTCAGCATCAGTCGATCGAATTTACGTTTATGCATGTGTACATCCACTGCAGATGCAGATGTACAAACAAGAAAAGAGGTTGGTTTATGGCCAACTCACCACTGAAATGGGCATGACGCGGGCATTTGGCAGCACAAACTTGACCTCGTCCAGGCGGTGCTTCCGCTGCCACAGCTGCACGGCATCCGCCCAGCCGTTGCCGCTGTCGCCCAGGCCGTGGACGAAGATGACCGTGGCCGTGTGCCGGCTGAGCGCGGGGAAGACGACGGGGGCAGCCCGGCGCAGGGAGGAAGCCATGGCGTCGCTGTCGAGGACGAGATTGTTTGGTGGTGTCTGTGTCTCGATCTGTGTCTTGATCTGTGCCTGTGGCTGCGGCTGAGGCTGCGGCTGCGGCTCTATCAGAATCCTGAGCTTCAGTGCTACTAGTTGTAGATCTAGGCCCGCAAACGACGGCAGAACGGCCAGAGCAATGGCGAGAAGCAGCGCCGCAATGGTCAAGCCCGAAACAATCGTGCGGCTGAGGCCGAAGCTGACCATGAGGGTAAAATTGCAAGGATGGCGAGATGCCGTCAAGGTGGAGAAGCCGTTCACAAGAGGTTCGCCTACGAGTACAGTTGATTCGGGGCATGTTGAGGCGGGGGCCGTGATTGGTGGGTGCAAGGTGCAGGGAAGCCCCTGTACGGTTTAGTGGTTTGTCCGCTATAATAAGCCCCTGTATTCCCGTAGGGCATTGAACGGTGAGATTCGCGGCAAATGAGGCGGGAAAATACTTACCAACATCAGATCTGGTGGAAGAAGGACAATTTGTATGAGTTTGATCGTGCAGTAAAGTCTAGAGACAGTAAAACAACAAAAGAAGAAAACAATTCTCCATTCAACAGCATCGGGTCTCATTTGGCTATACATGTAGTCATACAGAAAGACCCGACATGGAGAGACACCACATGCACCCAGCCAGACCCTAACAACGGACACAAGATGCAGCCCTATCGTCTATTTCCGCTTCCAGGGCAGCATTGACCACTTGCAGGCAACATGAGTCGCCCTCAACGTGGACGTATTTGATACTCAGGCCATGTTTGGAACAATCAACTTCATCCGCCAAGCAGTTGGGCCAACCACCAAGCATCACTCCATCACGCGGGTCGATCAAGCCAAGAGGAATGTAGAGGTTACCATCTCGGCTATGTCTACCACTGAAAGCATCTCAATGTAAGGTACTCATCCCCTTCCCATACATACATGTATATCAAACACCAGACACCAGACATCATTGATGCCGATCATCTCCTCCCCATACATACATGTACATATATCAAACATCAGACACCAGACATCATTGATGCCGATCATCTCCTCAACTTCATGAAAAACATCGCAACCTCATCCAGCTGACCCGCCTCTTCAACCACAATGTTCATCTTCATCTGTGTAGTACTCTCTGCCCTCCAACCCCCTCGTATTGCCCCTTGATCCCACGCTTCCCCTCTCCTCTCGCCACAGGCTCCAGCCCAATCATTGTCACATTCCTACCCAAAACGACGGTATACCAAACAGACTTGACCTCAAATTTCGTCCCCGGAGCAGCCACATACTCAGTCTTGTCCGGATCATCAGACAACGGCGTGACAAACGACACAGCATCCCACACCCGCGCCTCAGACGGCGGATCCAGCACCAGCACGATCCCATTAGAGTAGTGAAGCGCATCAGCCATGTTGTCCGTGAAGCTCCAGGCCATCTTAGTCGTGACAGTCTTTCCAACAGCCATGTAACTCGTCAGAGCATCTTCCAGCGAAATCGCCATCTCAACGTCCACAGGGCCCTCGTTCAGCGGACACTCGAGAAACTCAACCCCAAACCGCTCCATCCCGAGCTGCCCCATGTCCACCTGGCCGCTGAACAGTCGCGGCTTCGACATGATTGACGTCCGTGGCAGTGCCTCCAAGGCAGCAGCAAGCAGGCGGTTCTCAATCTCGTTCAAGGCGTACACCTGCTCCATCACCGCGTTCAGCTGAGCCGTCAGATTCTCCAGCGAATCCGCCGGCTCCATCATAAACGCCCGCATGTAATCCGCGTTCTGCGGCGTGTACGCGGAGAAGTTGCTCTGCCAGATGCTGAGGGCAATGCTCTCGCGATCTAATGGATGCGGACGAGACGCAATTCCCGAGCTGACCCCAGTGTACTGGAAGATTTTGAACAGCACCATGCGCACAAATGACGCCGTTGTCCAGTCGTAGAGACACATAGCGAGCTCGAAATAGTGCGGCGTAAAGGGGAATAGCTGCCTACCCATAGCCTTGATTTCCGCAATGGGTCTTGAAGGGGCATCTGTTATGTTCTGGTAAGGAATAAACCTCTCGTCAATCATGTTGCTAACGACGGCGGCATCCCCAACAGAAATGGCAGGCAGAGGCTTGAGGCGACCCGATGCCTGCTTCGAAGCGCTATAACAAGCTGCTCAGAGTCAGTTTGGACATGTAGGCAAGTCTTTCTCAAGATGATCATCCAACCTGCCATACATCCGGGAAGTTGTGCGAAATTCAGGTCGAAAGTACCATCGTTGTCGACTCCGAGAGATAGGCTCAGGGGGGATGAACTACTTCCCAGATACGGACACTCAGGGGTATCACCACTTCGTCCATGCCTCTTCAGCCACAGAGTTGCTCCATTGGCGTCGAGAGCCAATGCCCCTGGTATATGCACCTCGGTCACGTCCAGAAACCCCTGGCCATCGACAATGAGCCGAGACGAGATACCACGGCCTCCTCGGATGGTCTCGATCGAGTTCCCATCGCTAAACCAGAGCTGTGATGCTGACAGTATCTGAACAAGCTGCCACATGTCCAGAGTCGTCGTAAGCAAAACAAGTCTCGTTGATCCAAATGCTTTCTTGTACTGATGAAAGTTGTACTGATGAAAGCTTGCACTCCGACGACATCTCATCCATCCTTTTATACATACTTCTAATGCGGGTCGTGGATCGCTCATCTTCCAGCGGTGTTCAACTAAATCTTCCCTCTTAGAAGCAAGCATGTCTCAGTTTCAACGTGTTCGCCATCACATACCCCTGTCACCGTAGTTCCATATCATGAGACATCGGGTGCGTTCCGTCAGGCTTGCCATTTCAGGGCATATGCTCGTCCACCTTGTGCAATGAGATGACCCAAGAAGATTGCTTGAGCTGACGTCTTGGAGCTACGCCGCAAAAGCATCGATGAAGCTTCGAGGAAGCACCAACTAAAAGCATTTGCCATAAGCGACGATCGGGACGAGGAGGCGAGTCGCTGGAGCATGCGGTGAAGAGTCAACACCGCCAATTTGCGACTATATCCTGTTCCCCTCCTAGCCCTTGCCGACTATATGTAGTGTCCATGACCTGTCACCGCATGGCGCGTCCGGGGAGAGCCGACTGTCTCGAGTCGGTTATAAGCACACGAAACAGCGATGCTGAATGACACATCACGCAGCCGACGTTGAGAGGGTCCAGCCAAGCAGGGATTGTTCAGCTGGCGAGTGTCCAGGACCGGTTTCCCTGTCAAATCAACTCTGTGCCGCGATCAGCGATATACAATCATAGAGAGAAACATGGAATGTTGTGATGCAGGACAATGGTCAATGGCCATGATCAAATGGATACATGTTAGCTACATACATGTACTGAGCAGCACATGGAGTTGTTGGAAGCAACAGCTCGTTACAGTGGGAAAGAACGAAGAACGGCAACGCCGTTGTGGAAGGACCGACTGATGTTAGATATACCTACCTACCCAACTTACCCATGAGCATCTGTCAGTACCTAGGTAGCTTAGGAAGTCGCTAGAACAGAACTTGGATCTTTAATCGACACTCTCAACCCGTCATCGTACGTTCGTTCAAAAGGTCATGATCCCGGAGCTCTGCTAACCTCAACTTTGGACCCTAAGAATTGCTTCTACATCATACAAGCAACACGTTGACCAGCTCAACCATCGTCATCAGACAGCCTCACCACCAGAGAGCCTCACCATCAACGCGGAACGCAGGACGCAGCATCACCAGACTCCAGATACCCCCGCACAGTCACCATCACCTAAACGCAGCTCAACCTCTCACTCTGTTGCCCGTTTCTGCCTCTCCAACATCGACAACGCACGGCGTATTTCCTGCTGAGTGCCACGTCCTGATATCTGCCTCTGACGTCCCCAACGTTCGCGACCTCATCATGTCGTCAAACGATGACTTCACGTTTGAAATCGACCCCTCTATCCTGCCACAGCTTGACAGCCAAGGCAGCAACTATCCGGTGTGGCGTGCAGTGTGGACCATGGTTTTCCAATACGCCAAAGTGTGGGATGTTGTGTCTGACGGCAAGGCCCCTGCTGTCACCGCAGCCACACCAGCACCAGCAGCACTTTCTGCCCAGATAGCCCAATATGAAAAAGACGACATGAAGGCCATGCTGATGCTGATATCCGCCGTTCATTCCGATCTTGTGTCTCTCGTCGCCACAGCATCCTCGGCTCACCAAGCATGGGCCACCCTGAAAGCTCGTTTTCGTCGAGACACTGATCGAGACACGGCACCATCCATCATTCGGCAATTCCGTCAACTGACGTCTCTGCGATACGACATGAATGACAACCTGGTGCAACACCTTGATACGTTCCACCAGACGTGGACAGCTCTGGAACGTCGTTGCAAGGCGTCCTCGCACGAAGTTGCCAAGAACCTTGACGCCGTCTTGTCATCCGAGTCTATCAAGTGTTCATTCTTTCTTGCCACACTTCCTGGAGACATGGATACCGTCGTCGACAATCTGTCTACCCAAAACATCATCAAGTTCGCCGAGATCAAATCAAAGATGCTAGACATTGCCAATCAACGTGCCCAGCTGACAGAAGACAAGGCTTTCTACACCAAGTCTGCTGGAAAGGCAACGCGACGTCAGCCGACGCCAGATTCCTCCTCCCTCGAATGCACTTGGTGCCGCAAACACAACCTTTCCTTCGTCGGTCACGTCTACACAGACTGCCACAAGCTGGCCGAGCACCAGAAGCAAAAGCGCCAAACTGCCAGTCAAAGGCGTTGGAACCGTCCACTTGATGCTGCGGACGCCTGAGGAATCCACGTTGCTTACGGTCGTCACTAACGTCACTGCTTACAGTCGACAGTTGAAGAACACCCGCTTGTCCAGCTGGAGTTTCGTCCGACAACGAGTCTGGATGATGGGCCAGGGGAACGACATCCTTCTTCACACAAGCAAAGGAACATGCGTCATGTGGGCGAGATATTACAAGGGCAACGTAAGAATACAGCTTGACACTGACAGATACAAGTGTTAAACAAACGAATGACACACTAATTGTTGATGCTTCGACTGGTCTCTCTCGTTATCGCTCGTCATGACACCACGATGAACCATCACCTCTTGTCAGCATAATCATATCCCATGCCCCAATGGATTTTCGTCTTCAATGAATCTCAATTGAACGGGTTCCCTTCCCGGTCTGCGTCAAAGCACAACAATTCGCTCCCACCGAGTACGCATGTGCTTACGTGCACTTTTTCACGACCCTCCACCAAGCGCCCATGCATCCTCGTGAATCACCTACCCTACATGTACTATATCACTAACAACTCAAAACCTCTCAACGTTTTCTCTCCAAACTCCTTTCTCTTACATATCAGCAGATCATATCACTGCACAGCATCAGAGAAACCCATCATTGAACCATGGAAAACATCACGATAACCCGCTTCTCCCCGTCCCAACACTCCCCCCTCATCCCGGCCATTATCCAGATGCACATCGACTGCATCCAGGCCGACGGCGCCCTCCTCCGCTTCCACCCGCCCTTCACCCCGGAAAAGCGCCACAAGATGGAAACCTTCTGGAACGAGCGCCTCTCTCAAATTTCCACTGGCCGCCGCATCGTACTGATCGCTTTGGCGTCCACAGAGGGCAACGATCAAGACGAAGTGGCTGGCATCGTGGAGCTGGGCATGCCGGACGCAGACACGGGGCCTTTCAGGGGAGATTTAGAGATGCTGATGGTGTCGCCCAAGTATCGACGCAGAGGACTGGCCGCCAAGCTGATCAATGACTTGGAGGAGATTGCGAGAGAGGAAAAGAGGACGTTGTTGGTGAGTTGACGTAGCAGAGCTCACTCTTGCTGTGACTGTACAGTATCTAGGTAGGTAGCTGACATGGACATGTATGCAGCAACTATCGACAGACGTGGGATCAGCGGCGGAGAAATATGTCTATCCTCGCTTAGGATATACTATCGTATGTTTTCAAGGTCCTCTCTAAACTAGATCCTGCTTGCTTATTGACTGTGCGTTGTACATAGATGGGAACGATTCCCAACTTTGGCATCTCGCCACTAGACGGCTCCCTGAAGGACGGCGCGTTCTTTTACAAACACCTCGCGCAACTCAGTTAAACAGTTATGGACATATGTAAGCTAGACCTAGAACTTCGAACAGAGACTCAGACCATTATATACTGTTCAAGAGCATTGGACTTTACTTTTTATCGACCAAAAATTGTATACCATATGATTCCCACATTGCGATACACCTCTTTAAGGCAAGAAGACGACGCTCTTTTTCCTCCCCCCAATCGCTCTATTCTCCCTAATCCACCCCCCGGCCCTATCGGTAATACGAGCATTTCCCCCTGCCACAAGCCTCCTAACCCAAATCCTTCCCGTCGCCTCTGCCACGAATCAACCCTCCCTACCTAAGGTAGGTAGGCTTACTCGGCCTAGGGCGGTCTAATGCTGGCCCGAGAAGCCACTCAACTCGGCCGAGTGGGGGGCACCGACCCGGCCGAGACGGGACCTCAGCAAAGCACCCGGGACGGCTTCGTGCCGACTTCCCTCCGGCTGAGAGGGCGAGATGCCGGGAAAGACGCTCGTGATGACGGATCATGGCATTTTGATGGTGAGGTGAGCCCACTGAGGACTTGCCTGTCTGCTTTTTGGCGAGGCGCAGATTCCTTGAAACAGGGAGAGTGGACGTCACGGCTGTATTGTGTCCCCGATGAAGGCATGGGGGCATTGGGATGATCAACAAGTATATATATCAGAGCCAGGTCATACAGTAGAGGCACACTCCCTCCTCCTCCTCCTCATCATCACCATCATCATATCCAACCTCCCCATATCACATACATCAAAAACAACCTTCACAATCGCACCCATCCTGTCCGCCCTCACCATCTCACTTACACACACACACAACCCTCAAAGCAAGAAAAAACACCATGTCCACCCCTTCGACCCCCATCGCCATCATCGGCGCAGGCCTCTCCGGCCTAACCCTCGCCCTCGCCCTCCACGCCCACTCCATCCCCTCCACGCTCTACGAATCCCGCCCCTGCCCCCTCGACATCGGCGGCGCCATCATGCTCTCCCCCAACGCCCTCAAGATCCTCGACACCCTCGGCGTATACCAGCACATCAGCCCCCTAGGCTTCCACTTCGAAAAGCTCTCCTTCCGCTCCCACGACGACCACCCCATCGACGACTTCGACTTTGGCTCCCGCGATAAGCACGGCTACAAGGCTCTCCGCATCTACCGCTACGAGCTCATCAACGTCCTCCTCTCCATGGTCCGCGCCGCCGGCATCTCCATCGAATACAACAAGAAATTCTCCCACGTCACCGCCGAGACCCCAGAAGACATCACCTGGGCCTTTGCCGACGGAACCTCCGCAACGGCACGCCTCCTCGTCGGCGCAGACGGCATCCACTCCCTCGTCCGGAAGCACCTCTACCCCGATCTCACCCCCCAATTCACAAACATGATTGGCGTCACCGCCGCCGTGCCCCGTGCCCAACTCAAGACCGAGCCAAACTACCCCCTCCCCGTAACCATCATGAGCCCCCAACACGGCGCCTTCGTCATTGCCCCCCAACGCGCCGACGGCTCCGAGGTCCTCATCGGCAAGCAGAAGCGCCTCGAACAAGAAGAGCACGACCGCGCCGGCTGGAACGAGCTCATGGAGAACAACAACAAGTCCTGGTGCATCGACTTCCTCCGCCAAGGAAGCCAAGACTTCCCCCCCATTGTCGCAAACGCCGTCTCCGACATCCCCCTCAAGGGCATCAACCTCTGGCCCTTTTATTTCGTCCCCAAGCTCGACACATGGACTAGAGGCCGCGTCGTCATCCTCGGCGACGCCGCCCACGCGATCCCTCCCACCGCGGGACAGGGCGTCAACCAGGCCTTTGAGGACGTCTACACCTTCGCCGGTGTTGTGGCCAAGCAGAGGGAGCAGTGCCAGTCTTCTCAAGGCGATCTAGACGCCGCCGTGCGCATGGACAAGGCGCTGAAGAAGTGGCAGCTGGGACGACAGGCTCGCGTGGACAAGGTGCTCGAGCTGAATGACCAGCTGAACAGGCGACGGCTGCCAAACGCAGGCGAGGCGGGCCATCTTGAGCCGTTTGATCTTGAGTGGCTGTATGGAGTCAACTTTGAAGAATCGATTGCTGAGTGGGCGAGCTGATTGACGAACCTCAACGTCGTGTACCTTCGAATATATTTTCCCTCAATGTTAGCTTTTCTACATTTGTCTACCATTAAACACAATAACAGATCATCCCTACCTGGGGACCGCACCGTGGGACAATTATACCACTTAAATCTAGTAAGGCCGAGGCCATCCTTGACGCTGCCAAAGCCTATCACGAATGAAACAAACGCACCTTTACCACTAATATTTGCATCTTCGCATCGCGTTGTCATTCAAAGCATTATCTTTCTACACCTTCCCGGAGCAAGGGTCACCAGCGCCCAAGCCTCCCATTTTATAAAACCCCAGAGCTGAAATGAAACAAGAAAAGACGAAAGGCAATCCACGCTTCTAGTATTATACCTAGTCATCTACTCAATCAGATAATTGTCTGCTGCGGACTTTACGTCCTTGGAGAAAGTCACTTCCTCATTCTCCTCGATCAGTGAAACAGACGTGACCTAGGGGGCATTCGTTAGCAACAAGCATGCATCCGAGTAGCAAGAGTATAGCAAACTTACATCGACATCCACAAACGGCGTTGACTTGTTGAAACGGACAGTCATGGGGAAGAAGTCGTTCTCGTCATTGGACTCTGCTTCGAACTCAAACGATCCGTTGGCATTCTCGTCATCGACTGAGCCAATGTTCCACTCTAGTGTGTCTCCAGACACCTCATAGGCGGCGTCGAAGCTCGAAACGACCGGCTCGCTTCCCTGGTATGGAATGACAACGCTTACATCCCGCAGGGCATCACCGCCCGTCAGCTCGTACTCGACCGTAATGTTGTACTTGTCGGAATCCTTGTTGATCCAGACAGTAAAGGTAATGGGGCATGCGCTTGCGTCGTCCGCTTTTGGTGTAGCCCTCCATCGCAGGAGCCCGACACCTTGGTTGATGGGGAAACCTCGAGCTGTGTTGCTCATCTGGATGACCTTGGAGCTGTTGAAGAGGTTGCGGTCGACATTGGGGTGAGGCCTAAACTGAGCGCCGTGTGATGGGACGGCGTGCAGGCCGAGCTTGATCTTTGTGAGGCTGGGATCTGAAACCCGCAGCGTGAGATCTCCATTGACTGAGATGGAGTTGACGGCACCTTCTCTTGACAGCTTGGCGCTTATCGTCTCGGCAATCGTAACATGGATGGCATCCCGGTCCAGCGTTGACGAAATCCGCGGCTCCGGTTCGGCGGCTACCGCAGCGTGTGTCGGCGTAATGAGAGGAGCTTCGTCGGCACCGGCGCCAAGGTCTCCTCGTACTTTTTCGAAAATGTCGGTAGTCTTGGACTTCTTGCCCAGCTGCATTCCCTTTGCCTTGAGCGTGGTTGGTCTGCACAATGGGTTAGCACTACCACCACCAGACAAGCAACACTATCATGTACTGCGCACTTATTGAATGTCTTGTTCTTCTCGGCCTCGTATGAGTCGAATGCGCTTGCGCTTGGCTGAGAGGGAGGGGTGTAGGTAGGGTAGACGGGTGTTCGCGGAGCAGCGGCAGGGCGGCCACTTCTGGCGGACTCCTTGCGCTGCATTTCGAGCTGCTTCGCCTTTCGTTTGCGCTCCTCTGTAGCCTCGAGCTCCTTGTTCTGTTCCGGTGTAAGTAATGGGTCGTGTCGTCGTCGCACCGCAACAATTGGATCCATACCCGTGCAATAATCTCCTGAATGCGCTCCTCATGACTCTCCATCTCCAGGAAGGTCCTGATCTGGCTAATGGTCAGGTTCTCCCTGTAGCCCAGCGTGACCAGCTCGTCGAAGGCGCTGAGAAGCTCGTAGGCATTGCGGACAATCTCCCTCTCGTCTAGCGTCTTGCAGGTGCTGGAGACGACCTGGGCGAACAGGTGCAGGGAATCGATGTCCTGGAGGATGTTGGACTGGCGGTTGGTGATGAGCACCATGTACAGCTCGTCCAGCGGCTGGTAGACGAATCGCACGTTGTCCTGCTCGACGATGGTGTGTTGGGTGCCGCTGTGTGCCAGCTTGGGGAACGACGCCAGCAGAGCCTCGATGCGAGATCTGGGCATCTCACGGAACTGCCTCGAGAGGACAGCTTTCCCGCCTCGGGTGCAGATTGACGCCGCAAGAACAACCTGATGACACGCTGGTTAGCCCTGGAAGGATACCAGTAGGGAGATTGACAGTGCTGTTTCCGTACCATTTTGGCGGTGACGTGTGCTGGAGAGGAATCCGGTCTGAAAGAGTGAGGCCGTGGTGGGATGCTCAGATGGGTTCAATTGAGCCACGTCTAACTCAGGAGCTGGATGCTCCCCAGTCAGTGACAAGGCTGCCGCTGCTCCAGAGGCGCCGTCACGTGCTGCCCCAGTTGGAGGGGCTTTGGATATGAGTGCTTATATAAGCTTGGCGACGGACGGCTTTGGCTTGTTGGTAGTGTTACTGTGCTCAAACCCGCATTGAACATCTAGGTATGGAAAGATCAGAATATTTTGTCTGTGATATGATCCAATAGGTACCTGAGGTATTTTAATCATAATCTATTCTTTTTGACTTGCTTTTTTTTTTCTTTTCAGGGACTCGCTTAAGCGTCTTTGGTCTCATGCGCAACAAAGCAGAGAGCATGTGTACCGTGTCTCTCACTTCTGGAGCACTGTATCTGCGCTAAGCCTATTCCTGCTCTGCCTATGTCTACTGCATTCACGTGTGGGTCAACCAAGCTCCTCTCAGCTTCTGTCAAAGCTGCCTCTAAATTCGAAAAGTCGCCGCATCCATCAGCTTCATCAGGCTTCACTCTTCGCCTTCCATCTGCCGCGCCTGCGATCCATCAACTGCTCTTCATCCTTCAGACGACGCGTTTCTTGTGTCGCCTCGCCTGAATTTTCCCTTCACACTCCTCCTGCTATCAATGTGTCTCTCCCCTGGCCTCAACAACCAGATTGCAGACACGATATCACCAGTGGCGTAGCGTTGGTAACCCAAGATTCATCCAGCCTCTCAACTCCGCTCAAGGCTGCCTTTTTCTCTCTCTCGTCTCTCTTGAAACGATCTATTATAGACAGACTCGCCGTCTGCGAGCCTATCAAATATTGAAGGACGCCCGTCGAGCGTTTGCGACGGTTATTCGACGTTCACGCTCCTTCGTCGACAAAGCAGCAACCCAACATTCAGGCCGTCACCAGCCATGGCCGAGATAGAGATGGATGTCGATTTGGCGCCGTCGATCAAATTTGACGACCACGCCGACGACGATCTCATCGACTACGACATCGATACGACCGAAGACCACACCCACGACCCGTGGCCATCACACCATGATGAACAAACGTCAAACGCACCAGAGCATGTGAGCTCGACCGAAGAACATGTAGGTATCGAAACGGAAAACACCGAAGCCGGATACGACCAAGTCCAGATTCAATATGCAGAGGCGGAGCAGTCTCAGGTCATTCTGGACCGTTCTCGTTTCCCTGATGGTACTGGTGATGAAGCACATGAGCAGCCAAAAGCAGCTGTTACAGTATATGAGGAGGAGATTCTCACCATGGAGGAGGAACAGCCGAAAGTTGCCCCTGTCACTGAAACCGAACATGCAGCAGATGAAATCGACTACGAGGACAACGACGTTACTGTGACGCACGAGTCAACACATGAGGCGGATGAAGAAGAGAATCATGTGGACGACATCGCCGCCGCAGACGGGGTTGCCACTGCAGAGCCTGCAGTTGCGGAGCCTGCCATGGCAGAGCCCTCCGGTCCCTCACAACCAACGGAACAACCGGCTGGCGACGTGGAGGTGCCAGAAATAGCGGCTCAGGATGACGAAGATGAGATAACTTGGGAGCGCGAGTATGACCAGACGGGTGCTGTGAAGGGTGATGTTGCGGCTGCCGCTGATGCTCCTGCTGAGGCAACCACGCAAGAAGCAGATCCCCAGAAAAGCGCAGAGTCCCAGAGCAGTGATTCACACGAGCACGTGTTTGAGCAGCACGCCAATGCCGCCGGGTCCGACTATGAGGAACGTGTAAAGGCTGCCTCCCCAGAAGTAGAATCCGTGGAACACCAAGAAGATGACTCGCGATCGCAGCCAGAGTCAAGTCCTGGGGGCGACCATGAATTCCCAGCAATCACTGTGCATTACAAGGGGAACGAGTATTCCTTGTTTTCGCACGAGAAGACGGAAGGCTTCTTTTCTGACGTATCTGTAATGGATCAGTCGATGGAGTCTCTGCTCGCTGGCTTTCGTGCGGAGCTGGAGGACGAAATTGCTGCACATGATGAACTTGTCTTTCAGGTTGATGAGCTCGGCCTCGAGTTTGCAGAGGTAAGTTGTCGGGTTCCGGCTTGTTGTCTCGAACAGAAGAGTAAACTGACAGTTTCCCAGGCCACGATGCAGAACTCAATCGCAAGTATTACCTTCCGACAAGTGTTGGAAGTGTTTGACTTGCTCGTAAAGAACCAAGACCCCGATAGTTCGCGCACCCTGTACACATATCTCTTCACCAAGCCGAATCCTAGCAAGCGATTCGAGTTCTTGGTCGAGAGTGCGGCCGCCAGCAAGGGGCTTGATGAAGTGATTTACCTGTTCGAGTCTCCTGCAGGTCACCATCATCAGACAGCCGTTGAGGTTGATGATGGAGATGACTATGAACAGGACGAGGACAGTGAAGCAAACGAAGCCACCGAAGCTCATGAAAGCGCGGAGGACGGCGATGAGCATGGCGACGCTGACGCCGAGACTGAAGAGTCTCAGGTGTCAGAAGAAGATGAGGACGAAGAGTCGACCTCGGCCGTGGAAGATCAGCCTGCCGACACCGCGGGCCAAGATGAAGAAGGGGAAGAGGAAGAAGTTGAAGAGGATGAAGATGAGGACGAGGATGAGGCTGAAGACTTTATGGAAGACGTTGAAGACTTTGCTGGAGAGGTCGAAGAGAATGCGAACCAGGACGAGGGAGACTACAGTGATAGCGGGGATGGGGTCTATCAACACGAACAGCTTCAGGCTGTAGTTGTAGAGGCAGCCGGTCATGCCGATGCCTCACATGCTAATGCCGAAGCCGAAGAGGCGCCAGATGCCACATATTCATACGGTAAGACCAATCACGGAAATACTTTTGACACATTGGGTGCTAACGAACCACGCCTAGACGATGCAGAGGAGGACGCCGACGCCAACCCCTTTATTCACCTAGAGCTTCAGGAATCTGCAGGAGACAACGGAGGCGAAATCCAGTTTGAACAGACTACGCAAACGGAAGCCGGCGACAAAGCGTCGCAAGAGGTTCCTATGCACTCCATTGACGAATACGTTGATGCCAACGAGGCCGACACCGGTACCACGAACACCCTGGCTGACAACGGCGAAGGCGCCTCTACTCTTCTGGATATGGGCACCGTGCAAGACCTAGAGCAAGAGATTACAAACGAGGATCTAGCCTTTGAGGACGAGATGCCCGAGATCGACTGGAGAGATGATGTAGAGGTTGCCCAAGGTGCCAGCATCGACCTGCCGACGACAACCGCCGGCCTACCGAAGCGGCGCCGGACTGAGGAGGAGCAGGGCGAAGAAGACGAGCAAGGTAAGCTCTTCGATGCGCCGATTAAGGGCGAACTGAAAAAGCTAATTGTCTTGCAGACGCCAAACGCCTCCGATCATGATTGTTCATGCTCTGCCAAACTAACAGCAACCGCGAAACACATCTTCGCCAACCCATCATGTCCCGCACCCAGCTCTGGATACATCCCAAAGGGCGGGCTTGCCATCTAATGCACTGGATACTAACCACAGCCCACAGCGTGACGCCTGATACTCGGAATTCCGACAATAACCAACATCCATCTCGGATATGCCAACACTTTATCTCGACAGTCTTGTGAACAAGACAAATTTCAGGTAGGAACCCAACGGCTTTACTAACAGCGCGACATGACTATGTAGCTGCAGACGACTTTGCCTCTGGGTCAGGCAGTGACCTCTTTTTTTTTCTCGGCCTTCTTCTTTCTTGAACCCCCCTTTCCCCCCATCATATCACCCGTTTCTTTTCATTTCCGCCACTTGCTGTGTTATTCTTCCCCCTTGGAGTTGGAGGTTTGATACCATATCTCTCCTTCGTTCAAGAGCCAGACTAAGTATCTGGTGAGGGGCCATAGTGCCCGACTTGAACTGCTGGAGAAAGGAATAGACATTTTTTCACGGATATCTCTGGAAGGGAAAAGGTTTGCGGATTGAAGGAATTCCAGAGTTTTTTTATTTTATTTCCTTGGAGATTGGCCCCTTTACGACACAGGTGAAGTATGTCTGCACATAGATTTCGCTAGCTCTACCTGCGGACAGAAGAGGTCTGTTGCACATGTCCTTCAGCACGTATTCGACTAGGAAAATGGCCACTTGATTTGATCCTTGAGAATGGTAGAAGATGTTCCAATCTTGTGATGTTGTTATCCAACTTGTGAACTTTGATCTGTTTGCCGTGGAAGTACTAGGTGAAATCAAGTTCATCAACTGAATAAAAGCAAGACCCTATAGAGGTCAATATCGAGGTGGTTCTGCAGCAGGTCACGGGATCCCCGTCACCAGCGCCTTATCCGACGTGGTGTAGTGGCTAGCATACTGCGCTTTCAAATTGAGAGCACCGCAGCGATCCGGGTTCGACTCCCGGCGCCGGAATATTTCTTTTCTTTTTTTCTCCCTCTGGGGAAGGGTTTTTGCAGATTCTCTAATACCCGATCCAGCAAAAGGATCTCTCGGACGGGTATCAGAAGCAGATCGAGGGATGACATTATACAATCAATGACCTTCACCACCACCACTCCTCTTTGTTCTCGTCTTCATTTGTCGATAGAAAGAGGGTATCCAGGTAGTATCCGGAAGCCTGATAACATCCGCCCCCATCGTTTGCAAGGTGCCAATACTAATGACTTCACGGCTTTAATGCCCGGACATGTCAAAATCCTCAAGCGTCGCAACGTCGTACTGTGTGCAGTATCCATGTTTCATGTTTGCGCGTCCCTGCTCCACTTATCCAGGGGTCGATTCTTTTGGTCCTTTTTGGTCATTCTTGCGTCTTGTTTCGCCCGCAGAGGTTCAAGTGGTCCGGACAAGGGGGGGGTCCCCTAATTGTGATGTGAAGCAGAGAGGAGGTCGATCATCTTCTCGGCACTGTGCCAAACTTGGAAGCGCTTGGACTGGGGGGGTCCACTGGGCATGAATCAGTTGTGCGGATGAAGAGAGATGCTGTGATATCATGGGGCAAATGGGGGTTAGATGGGAATTAACAGAGGAGATGATGACCAAGGGGACCGAAAGGCAATAAGGATGAGTCTTAGTATGATGGTTATGAGGACTTCAAGGGCTGCGTCAGTATCGAGACATTGCTGGCGATTTGTAGCCCGCCTTCGTATCCTCGTTCCCGCCCTAGTGAGCCATTAGTTGGGCCAGTGAGGCGCAGCGGGTTCGTGTCTAAGACGACTATTATGTGCCGGTCTCGTGATAACGTACGAACGCGTGAGTGAGATGAGGTGAGGCGCGATGAGGGGACCGTCCCTGGCTCGGAGCAGCACTATTTTTGGAGACCAGATGAGAGTAGGGTTGCTTACACTAGACTCCATCCTCGTGCGTGCTCAAGTGCTGTTCCTGTTGTTGACTATAGTGATATTGATGGAAGCACAATAGGTAGGTAGCTAAAGACGTTTCGGGTTCATCGGTATTATCAGCATCCCATCAAAAACACATGCTTCCCCTGCTGGCGGCGGACCAATGACGTCTGCGCGAGGCTGCCCGTTCGGATCGCGCCCTCGGGGAGAAACGTGAGGTTCGGATGCGTCGCCCTTTTCATCAAGGTGTGATTTGCGACTCGGCCCTTCGGAATTCGTGCTGGTTTTGTTTACCAGGGCCCTCGTGACGCGTCGATGCAAGGAGGGAGGGGGAGGAAAGGGAGGAAAAGGTAGGGAAGATGCTAGTATGCCACACCGGTTGCAAGAATGCTGCCTCATTTGGCACTGTAATGCTGTTCGACGCTGCATACACGTGTGAGATGCCACGTTAGCAGTCAAATCAACGTTGATAAGACGTATGAAGCGGAAGAGAGCAAAGCAACATATCCATCGTGTTGCTCGACCGCTGTCTGGCGAGAAACTGCCAGCCAATTGCTAGGCAAGATGCAGTAAGAATGTACACGAGGCGAACCGAGGCTGCCATCTCAGAGAGATCTCCAGCCTTGCCGTAATGAACAAACGAACAAACAGCCCGAGCTTGAATGAAACAGGCCAGACACGAGTCTGCATTGCCCAGCCGGGGATTCACGTTAGAGGACCGCTGCGATCCACCGGCTTTACCTGCTACTAATCTTGAAGCAAAGCATCATTTCTCGGCTGAAATTTTCTGTTCTGCAGCTTGGCTGGGGCCGGGGATTTGACGGGGTCTGGCCGTGGCTTGGACTGACTGGGGTTTGTTATAGTAGTTGCTGGAGAGAGGGAGAGGAAGAGAAAGAGTGGGCAGCGATGCATGCGTGTGATGATGCCGCGCAAGAATGACGGGCAAGGTCGAAGCCAGCCTGCTAGTGCAGCAGTAGACTCTACCTGCTGTTGCATGTGACGCTGTCCTAGCGCTGCGTCTCCTCTACTCTCCCGCACATCTCCCCGCCCTGTGAGAAGCGCAGCACCCTCGCCCGCTAGCCCCTCAGGTACCCGTCCCTCCAGCTTAGCGCTGTGCTCCAGGGCCTTGCGCCTCTGTCGTGGCCCGCCGAGCCCGCTGAGGCCGATGCCGCGCCCTGTACACGCACTGCAGCAGCGCCCACAGACGCTGGTGAGACACGCTCCAAGTTCCCACATACTGGGAACCTTAGAGGTACTGTCCGGTACATGTGCCTCGTACCTCATCCCTCACACAGGTCACCACTTGCACTCAGCTCCCACTACAGAGACCGAGACCTCACTGTTCGCCCCCCAAAAAAAGAAATCGGCGCCACCAAACAGCCAACTGGAACCTCTAGCCAGACTGCAATCCAATCAGTCCAGCTCGATCCCATTTGATCCCAAGCCAGGAAAATCTCCAATAACCCACAAGCCACCACAGAGTACATCCGTGATACGTTCCTTTTTTTTTTCCCTCTCAACTCTCTTTCGTTTCTCTCCTTCACTTTTGCACCCATCTTCACCAGGTCCTTTTTTTTTCCTTTTCCTTTTCCCCCCTCCCCTTTCCTTTGGCACGACTCGGCGTTGCGTCTGTGCTGCGGTTGCATCTTGACCTTTCTTTGACATTTGCTGCCTTGCGAGACGGACTTGGACGAGCCAGCAAAAGAGGGCAGCCGGTGCGACACAGAGGCCAGACAAACGGCACGACTGCGAGCGATCCTCGTCTCCTCTCCTCCCTCCCTTGCGAACGAGACACGACGGAGAAACGACACGACAGCGACTGCAACAACGTCGACAACGACAACGACAACGAGATACCGCGAGCCTCGTCATTGGATTGATAAGGCCTGATCTGACGATTTTCGCCTTCTTACGCCTGACATTTTCGTCTCAACTCCCCCGCCTTCGAGTCGCCGCGACTCCAACTGCGCCCTCTCGATCTTCTTCTTTCTTTCCCTTCCTTTGCGGCAACACGCATTCGCTACGACTTGTCCTCGCGCACGCTCATTTGGCCCCGTTCGCGCCGTTTCCCTTTTCCTAAGGAGTCGATCGAGTCCGCACGTCATCTGCCTTGCACCTCTGCCGCCGTTTTGCGCGCGCCAGAAACCACTCCTTCATCATGATTGAGGACAAGTACGTTGCCCTCAGAGGAGGCCTCTCTTGCACCAAGAGGGGCTGTCATACTGGAACCTCGTCTCGCTGACTCTTGTCGTGTGTAGATACGTCGGCCTGGCGTTGGCCATGTCATCAGCCTTGGCCATTGGTAAGTCCTTCTCGCCTCTCCTCTGACTGTTTGGCTTTGCGACGAGTTCATCCTGACTCTTGTGTCTCTTTAGGTACCAGTTTCGTTATCACTAAAAAGGTTAGAACCCAATCGCTGCTGCTACTTCAACAGCTCCAGCAACTTCGCGATGCCTCAGCCCGCTGAATCGTTGATGGGAGTCACCGTTGCTGACACTCTGTCCAGGGATTGATGCAAGCCGAAGAGCGACACGGATTCGAAGGCGATGGATTCGTATACCTCAGAAGCCCCTTATGGTGGGCGGGTATTGCAACTCGTGAGCACTGAAGCCCGTCTAAACCTTGTCTGCACGCCCGTCTAATATCCATTTCTCTTCGCAGTTGGCATCGGAGAGATCTGCAACTTTGCCGCCTACGCTTTTGCACCGGCCATCCTGGTCACACCCCTCGGAGCTCTCAGTGTCCTGATCGGTGCCGTATTGGGATCATACTTCTTGGACGAGGAACTCGGCACGCTGGGGAAGTTGGGCAGCGCCATTTGCCTCATTGGCGCCGTCGTCATTGTCCTGCACGCGCCTCCGGACGAGGAGATTGAGACGATTGATCAGATCCTGCACTATGCGATCCAGCCAGGTACGAAGGCGACAGCGTCCTCTCTGATTGATTCTTTTGCGATTCCCCTCGGGCATCTGGCCGCTCCTCGATTCTGTCCAGGACCCTCAACTAACACTGATCAGGCTTTCTCTTGTACGCCTTTGCTGTCGTGGCATTCGCAGTCTTCATGATCTACCGCATCGCACCCGTCTACGGCAAGCGAAATGCCCTCATCTACCTCTCCATCTGCTCTACTGTCGGCTCCATCTCCGTCATGTCCGTCAAGTCGTTTGGTATTGCTCTCAAGCTTACCTTTGCCGGCCACAACCAATTTACGCACCCCTCGACCTACGTCTTCATGATTCTTACGGCAGTCTGCATCCTGACCCAGATGAACTACTTCAACAAGGCCTTGGCATCATTCCCGACCAACATGTAAGTTGGGGTTCCACAGCTCCATTCTGTACGTCCCAATACTAATCCTCAAATTGCAGTGTTAACCCTCTCTACTATGTCACTTTTACCACTGCGACGCTCTGCGCCTCCTTCATCCTCTTCAGCGGCTTCAACACCACCGATCCCGTCAACACGCTCTCGTTGCTCTGCGGCTTCCTCGTCACCTTTACTGGAGTGTACCTCCTGAACCTTTCCCGGGGCGACCCCCACGGGCAGAGGCTGGTTGCGGGACGCGGTGGCTTTGACGCTGCTGGAACAGATATGGTCTCTGGCTTCCAAACCCGCCGCAGCATGCAATCTCGGAGAAGCGAAAACACGTCGAGGCACAGCCTCAGCAGCTTTCATGGGGACAGGCAGGGCCTTATCCGGGCCTACGACGAAGAGGAGGCTGCGGGTCTCGGCCTCACCGACCTCACCGAGAGCGACGACGAGGGTCTCATGAACGGCGCCAATGGGTCCAATGGCGCGGCCAACGGTTCGGCCAACGGCAAGAAGCAGTACACCAGCAATGACATTGAGCTGGAATCTCAGAAGCATACTGAGAGGTAGTAGAAAGCTTCTTGGTCAGTTTTCTTTTCTGTCCCGATTCTCAGAAGTCATGAGAGAGAGATCAGAGTATGATGGATATACCCCGCGAGTCATTGCTATGCTTTCTCTTGTGAGATGAAGAACAACGGTCCACCTCAGATGGCCGGCCAAACTGTGTATTCGCCATGCAATGTCATGTCTGGGATATCGAAAGGGGGGCTGCTCTGAGGTGAAAAGACGACTCCAATCGCACATGCAGGTATCAGCTACTGCAATTTCGCCTCACAATACACAAGATCTAGCAAAGGGGGGAGCGGAGAGTTGGGCCCAGGTGGCTTAACAAGAAGACTTTTGTTCTTCCTACTCTCCTGCTCTCTCGTCTCTTCTCCTTTCTTTCCTCTCTCTCTCTCTCACCCTGCGTTCCAAAGTCTCCCGACCGACGGAGCGACATCCATCTGCAATGGGAGCCAAACTGCTGCGGCTGCAGCCTTGAGCATGATCTTTGCGCATGATAAAAGGGAGGCGGGGACCTGTTGTCTAGTTCCATTTCATATCACTTTTCTTGGGGACGGAGGCGTTTTTGTGTGTGGGATCACCATTCGTTGATTTTCATCAACTTTTTTTCTCTAACGGTAAACATGACTGAATCGGAAAGGGAACTGGATTTGAAAGCATGCTCCTGTTGTACGATACTTTGGGTTGGTTTGCATTTTTTATTTTCCTTGATTTTGGGATGAAAAGGTGACGGGCGGGTGCGAGAGATAGAAAGATGAAGGGAATTAAAAGAGTGCGGGCCATTGTATGGTCTCTGAAAAAGAAGGGAGGAACAAGAAGACGGGGAAGCATGTTTCCTTTGTGATGGAGAGAGATATATACCACAGGCTGGTCATGGCCTATAACATCCGATTTCTTTTTGCTTCAACTCTCTCTACCATACCATACCTACCTTACTCATTATCTTGTTTTAATCGTTTTGTTACATATCAGCATTTTAATGACAGCATCCGCCCTCGCAGCGAACAAGCAAAATACATGGACAAGGAAATCAAGGAATCGGTGTTTGGCCATGAGAGTTTTTTTTTTAGTTTTTTGTTTCATATCATTAAAGATTCAAGGAAAAACAAGGACGGAACCTTTTTCCCATGCCCCTTTAGCAGATGCAAATGATCAATTGACGCCTTAAGTTTGACCGCCATCCCTTTTGCCCTGTGGCTTGATATAATCATCATCAACCGACCTCTTGTCTCATCCTTCTAGTCCACAAAGACCCGGGGTTTTCTTGTTCCCCATCTCTCCAAGGACCCCTTTTGCTAAAAGACAACACACAACTTCACCAGGCAGAGTCGCCGGGACCATCCTACTGCTCCTCAGCGGCGGGCTGGGCCTCCTCCGTGGCGCCCTCCTGCTCGGCGACCCGGATGTCCTGGCTGCCCTGGGCGACGGCCTGGGCGGCCTTAGCGCCGTAGTCCTGGCTGACGGGCTGGAGGACGGCCTGCTCCTCCTTGGGCTCGATGATGGTGACGGCGTCGGGGAGGGACTTCTGGGGGCCGGCCTTGCCCTCAGGGTCGGAGCCGCGCATGATCTTGACCTTGATGCCGAGGACACCCTGGCGGAGCAGGACGTGGCGGGTGGCGCTGTCGATGAAGTCCTTGGCGGGCTGGCCGGAGTGGATCATGAAGCCGTCGGTGAACTTCATGGACTTGGCACGGGCGGCACGGAGCTTGCCGGAAACGACAACCTCGCAGCCCTTGGCGCCGGACTCCATGATGAAGCGCAGGACGCCGTAGCAGGCGCGGCGGACGGCCAGGCCGTTGAGCAGCTTGTAGCGCAGCGACTCGCACTGGGCGACGGCGGACAGGCCGCGGTTCTGGACCTTGGCGGCGTACAGGGAGACGGAGTTCTCGGGGAACTTGAAGCGCTTCTGGATGAGCGACGTGAGCTCGCGGATGCGGCGGCCCTGCTCGCCGAGGACCTCCTGGGTGTGCGTGGCGCGGACGATGATGTCGGTGACGGTGGGCGTGACGCGGACCTCGACGCCGGAGTAGCCCTCCTCAGCGAGCTCGCGCTGGAAGAACTCGTTGAGCTCGGCGTAGAAGACACCGTCGGCGACGAACTTTCTCCGCTTGGAGCTGTTTGGGGGAAAAAAGATGCTGTTAGCGTTTGTGCGTAATTGGAACGTGAAAGTTTGTCGAATGGTGTGGTCGTGATGGTCATGGTAGTGATGGTGGTGATGACAGTCTTTCCAACAACGCAAGACTCCATGCTCCTGGTTGCCTGGTTTCCTTCCCAGCAGATGTATCAACCCAATTCCCATCTTCCCTGCTTTTTCTGTATATCCTTCCCGCCGTATCGGTCGACGCCATCACCACCAGCACTCCCATCAAACATCACCACCGAAGAAAGGAAAAAACGACGGCGACAAGGGTTCTTTTCTGTGTATCGATATCAAACAACACGGAGGGGGAAAAGCTTTCTGCACTCACATCTGAGCACCCGGGTGAGACATTTTGAATGATGTGAATTCGAGTCTTCTGTGACTTGAACTTGTGGTGCTGTGTCTGGCCGTGCAGAGAAAAGGGACAAAGTTCGCGATTTCCAAGGGCTGGCGGGCTTGGGGCTGGGCGAGAGGCTTCAAGTCACAGAGTCGCAGCGGTTTGGCGCTTCGCAGGGTCAATTTTCGGCTTGTGTGGGTTGAGCCCTAACCGGGACAAAGTGGTCCTTGTGCCGAGTGTGGAAAGTGGGCTAAAATTGTTCCTTAATTTTTCAATCGGAATTTTCTTGGGGATTTTTTGGTCTTCTTTCATGATACTAAGCGGTACGTACCTCGCGCTAGTAGCAGCTCATCCAGGCCGGAGAATCAGTTTTGGCGTTCGCCGAATAGTATGCGTCACTCTGGCAAGTTCGCGCTTCAAGTTGTTGCTGGTGCCTCCTTCCCCCCCAAACACTGTCCTGCTATAGCGCCCCGTAAGCTGCTGTGGCTCCTTCCTCAGCGCAATGGCCGCGCCTGACGTCTTTCGGGTTCCCTGGCAACCCCACCCCCGGGCAGGTGCCCCGCCAGCACCTGCCTGAAGCCTCGACCTTGAACCTTGTGATGCCGCTCTCGAGCTTCTGACGACGCTTCTCTCCTTGTACGCAGATCTGCCTTAGGACAAAGGGCTCTGCTGCAATTCTTTGTCCCGCACTCGCCGCAGCCTTGTTGACGATCCGAATCAGAGGCAGCAATGAGCTTCTGGCGCTCCTCCATCTGGTGATTCTTGTCCTTGTTTTTGGCGGCCAGACAAAGACACAGCTGCAGAGCCTGTGATGGTGGCCTGCGGTTCGCATTTCAAATCGGCCACCCATCACCGCCTCTGCTTCCGCTCGCTCGACTCGATCGCTGCCGCATCCCGCAGGTGTTGCCCTACCAAGGCACATTCCCGGAGCTGATCCGAACTGCGCCTCTACCTCGCCGGATCCCTTTCCTGTCGAGTCACCACTGGCCTCGCCGTGCCTTTGCTGTTGCTGGCGCGTTGCTGTTCTCGTGCGGCTTTCGCTGTCGGGCCCCAAAGACGCAAAGCCTTACGCGACATCCATCTGCACCTCACCGTAGCACCCCACGGCTGCAGATCAACGAGATCCGCCAGCTCCGCAATAGAGTCGGGAGGTTTATATCGTATCAGCTGCCTGCACCTCCCAGCATAGGGGGGCTCACGAACGATGGAAGCCAAGAAGGTATGTGCTTTGACGGCACAGCTCTCCTGCGTCTCAGCTTCCACTCGGAGGCCCAACTCTAGTCGCAAGTCCTGACATCGTGGCTATTTTCCCCCCAGATCATCGAACATGTCCAGGCCATCAACGGCGGCCAGACGGCCACCGGCACGCTGACACTGACCAACTTCCACATGATCTTTACCGCCATCATCGAACAGCCACCTCAAGACGGCCAAGAGTCGACGCCTCCGCCGAAGAAGCGCGAGAAATGGATCACGTACCCGATGCTCTCCCATTGCACATTCCGGCCGACGCCTCCGTCGTCCCGCCAGGCACCGTCAATACGCATCCAATGCCGGGACTTTACCTTCATCACCTTCAACTTCCCCACCACCGAGGTGGCGCGTGAGGCTTTTGACCATATCAAGTGTCGCACTTGCAAGCTTGGCACCGTCCAGAACCTATTTGCCTTTAGCCACAAGCCGCCCAAGATGGAGAAGGAGGTCAACGGCTGGAACATCTATGACCCCAGAGCGGAGTTTCGTCGCCAGGGCATCAGCGAGAAGCTGCCGGACAAGGGCTGGAGGATCACCAACATCAACCACGACTACAGTTTTTGCGACACCTATCCGGCCGTCCTCGTCGTGCCGTCCAAGATCTCCGATAATGTTCTCAAATACGCCAAGGAGTTCCGGTCCAGGAATCGGATCCCCGCCCTCTCTTACATCCATCCGGTCAATAACTGCACCATCACGCGGAGTTCTCAGCCGTTGGCAGGCATCACCAGGAGGACTAATGTCCAGGACGAAAAGCTGGTCGCTGCTTCTTTTTCGGCCTCGACCGGTAGTGGTGGCTCGGAAAGTTCCTCGCCAATGTCGAGTCAGGCAGAGGTGTCCAACGGCAGCGTCATGCTGGAAACTCAACTCACGGAAACGGAGCGGTACGAAGACGAGCTCATTTCTAGATCTGCTGCTCTCTACGATGACAAGACCGGCAAGCGGCTCATCTATGGCGCTCAACAGAACAACCTCATCGTGGATGCTCGTCCGACGATCAATGCCATGGTGAATCAGGTGCAGGGGATGGGCTCAGAGCCGATGGACAAGTACAAGTTTGCACAGAAGGTTTTCCTCAACATTGACAACATCCACATCATGCGAAACTCCCTGCTCAAGGTGGTGGAGGCGCTCAAGGATGCCGACTTGTCTCCTCTGCCCCCCAACCGCGAGCTCCTGCACCAGAGCAACTGGCTAAGGCACATTCACGATATCCTTGATGGGTCAGCCCTCATTGCCCGTCAGGTCGGCATCAAGCATTCGCACGTTCTGATCCACTGCTCAGATGGCTGGGATCGCACCAGCCAGCTGAGTGCCCTGGCCCAGGTCATGCTGGACCCCTACTATCGCACCATTGACGGCTTCATCGTCCTCGTAGAAAAAGACTGGCTGTCTTTTGGCCACATGTTCAGGTTACGCTCCGGCCACCTCAATTCCGAAGACTGGTTCACCGTACAAAAGGACGCGTTCGCCGGTCTCAAGGTGCAGCCGGGAGAGAGTGACGGACGGACCGACGCCTTCCAAAACGTCATTAGCGGCGCCAAACGCTTCTTCAGCTCGAACAAAGAAGACGCCGACCTTGCTTCCATGGGCGAGACTGCCAGCGGTCAGGTAGTGGACGAGGAAGCCACCGTGCCAAAGATGATCAGCCCGGTTTTCCACCAGTTCCTCGACTGCATGTACCAGCTGCTGCGGCAGAACAAGACGCGCTTCGAGTACAATGAACGATTCCTCCGGCGTCTGATGTATCACTCGTACTCGTGTCAGTACGGAACCTTTCTGTACAACTCAGAGAAGCAGCGAAAAGATGCCCGCGTAGCAGAGAGGACGTCATCAGTGTGGGACTACTTCCTCTGCCGGAGAGCTGAATTCACCAACCCTGACTACGACCCGACAATCGATGATCATGTCAAGGGAAAGGAACGCATCATTCTGCCGCGTCTTGACGAGATCCGTTGGTGGCATCAGCTGTTTGGCCGCACCGAGGACGAAATGAACGGTGCGCTCAACGCCGCCGCCATTGCGGAAAGCGACCGGCAGGCTGCCGTCTCGAGCCTCCACTATCCCAGCGTGGCCCGAGCAGAAGAGGGAGCGCCAGAGACATCGGCATCGTCGGCCCCGAGTCCACGGCCGCCCAGCCTGTCAACCAGCCAGTCGGTGCTCACGTCGGTCGAGACCGCGCACGGCATCTTGACGCCCGAAGACAGGCACGCCACTCTACAACACAGCGTGTCTGCAGACGGGATGGGCGCCTTTGCGGCCCTTCGCGATGGCATCGCTGGCCTCAACATTGGCAAGGCCGTCATGTCCAACTTTGGCCGTGCCGCCGAGCCCGCTGCTGAAGGCTCGACGGCAGCCCCCATTTCTCGCGATCAGGAGATGCGGGAGATGACGTAGGAGGTCATGTTTGCAGACCAGGTCGCGCAGCCGTATGTGGTCATGGAGACGCAAAACACCAAGCGTCTCGTGTACGTCCGGCCGCGCACGATTTCGGAGATTTCGGTGGTTGACATTGGGCCTGCAGAGCTGGTTGACTATACTCCTGAGCAAGGACCCGTACCCGAAGAAACTGGTTGGCTTTCTGGATTGTTGCCACAGCAAGAACTATGGAACCCTCGCCTTTGAAAAGTTGCGACTAGACTTGCTCTGAGACTGATTCTGTCAGATGAGTTTTGTGCGGTTGCAAAAGAAGTCAGAGGAAGCTTGGCAGAAGGATAGACAATCATCATGCTTTTTCTTGTTCTTTTTCATGCATCAATCGCGGTCGAAGCCGGCTTTTGGCTACAAGTTGGCTAAAAGAGGGAGTAATCTCACAAAGAAGGATACCTAGTAGATGCATTTTATTGGAATGGGGAGGAACTCGGATTGTTCTTCAATCAGGCAAGGGTGCTTGCCATGAGCAAAGAATGAGAGTGCCTCAGATGGCAGGGTGAGGTAGATGTAGATATTGTGTGTCAGCGATGATTTGTGAGCGTTTTCATGAAGGTTTTCAGTCCTGTTCGAGTGTAAGTGATTAATTCATCAGTATCTAGAAAGTACTAGAGGGTGTTGTGTAGAATGTTAAGCAGTTCCCCCTTTTCAACTACCCTAGATTTTCATGTCATGCGTGCCATTTATGTGCTGTTGCTACCGACTCTTATTTCGCAATTCCACAGAGATACGGATAATATCTTGTTTCTGAAAATGAAGTTTTTACTGCTTGTTTCTTTTATTGTTCCAACCCAATCTACTTTATTCATCTTGTTTTACGCTCTTTGTTCAGCTGACAACCTCCACTATCCGGGGATACGCTCTTGATGGCATGTAGCTTTTCGTTTTTTGATTGCGCGCAAAGTAAGATTATAAGAAGACCTCTAGGTTAATCTCCAAAGTACTGACGGGGAATCTTTATGCAAATACGTTAGCAGTTCGTTCAACCACAACAACAACAACAAATTGCATTGAGAGTGTCCATGGATAACTCCCTGTGAACCGCAACAAAACTCACCTTAGATCAAACTTTTCCAACACAGAGGGATGCAGGATCCCAAACTCGCCAATGCGCTGCTCCTTGCCTCCCAGCCGGAGATGCACGGCCGCCGCGTGGCCGTGGAAGAAGGTGTCCTCGTTGAGCTCCTCGATCCAGTACCCGTCGGGCTTGACGTCGGTATTGCTGCCGCTGCCATCGCTGCCGGCGACAAAGTTTGTGCGCAGCATGAGCATGAGGCGGTCGAGCAGGCCGTGGACGACCTCGAAGCCGCTCGACTTGCCGCACCAGGCGGCGGCGAAGTGGCGCTCGTTGCGGGCGCGGCGCTCGGCCTGGCTGTCCTTGAAGACGACGTCAGCGGCCTCGAAGATCTTGATGGGCAAGCTGTGGCTCTTGTTCTCGCGGATCGTCTTGACGAGGCCCGGCAGCAGCGACGTGCGCACGACCTGGTACTCGAGCGTCTTGGGGTTGGCCAGCTTGACGACGGTGTTGCCGTCGTCCTTGCGGTTGAGCCAGGCAAAGTTCTCGTCGTGGCTGCACAGCGTCAGGGGCATGACCTCGCTCCAGCCGGCCATGGCGGCCTCGATGCGCACAATGTCGCTCAGCTTGTTGATGGGCAGCGGCGCGGCGACGGTGGCGCTGCGGTTGGGCGAGCTGCGGGGCAGGCGGTTGAAGCCGTAGCACACGGCCACGTCCTCCATGATGTCGGCCTGGTGCAGCACGTCGGCGCGGGTGGGCGGGATGGCCACCTCGAGCAGGTTCGCGTCCTTGTCCGACGGCCGGGCGACGTAGGCCATCTTGGACAGCAGCTGGCAGAGGCTCTCGCGCGACTCGCTCAGGCCGGTGCAGCTGTTGAGGTAGTCGACCTCGGCGTGGGTGACGCGCGGGCGCAGATGGGGCGTGATGCGGGTCTGGTTGTTGTGGTCCGAGATGATCTTGACGGGCTCGACGGTGAAGGGCTCGGCGCAGTACTCGGAGAACATGGTCACCATCATGTCGGTGACAATCTCCAGCTTGGTGAGGTCGGTGGCGGTGATCTCGATGAAGACGTTGGTGGTGTTGAGCGTAATCTTGGAGTGGTCGCCGTTGATGATGGGCGGCAGCGAGCAGATGACGCGGTTGGAGTCGAGGATCAGGGGGTATACGGGGGCGTCCCGGATGATGTGCAGGTAGCGGCCCAGGTGGCGGTCGTTTTCGTAAAAGGTCATGAGCGTCTCGCCCGTCAGCTCCTGCGTCTGGTTGAGCGGGACGAACTTGAAGTCCTTGGGCGGCAGGGCCTCGTATGTGAAGGGGCCCTTGATGGTGTCGAGGTCGTGGGTGCCGATGGACACGAGCGTCCGCTGGCGGGCCAGGTTCTGGTGCAGCTTGTCCTGCAGGGCGATGAAGGACTCGTAGCGGTCCTTGGTGAAGGTGATGTTGCGCAGGATGGCGCCGGCCACGTACGGCCGGACCTTTGCGACCTCGGGCGACACGGTGATGGTCTGCAGCAGGCCGTCCTTTGGCTCTACGACGCGGAAGTTGGGCGGCTTGGTGCGGCCGAGGAAGATGTTGAGGTTGAGGGCGATGCCCTCGAAGCAGAGCATGTCATAGCGGTTGGCGGGAATCTCAATCTTGAGCTGCGGAGGCTCCTGCTCGCCGTTGACAATGGGCCGCTCCTGGTCTTCGGTGTCCTCGTCGAGCTCGATGCCGAATTCGAAGCAGAGGTCCTCAAACTCTGCCGTCGTGAATCTGTTTGGCGAGAGGGTAAGTAAGCGACTGGACAATGCGAGGGCTATCCTCTTGGTTGTTTGTAAAGGATGGATAGTGGTGATATCCTGGTGATATTGGTGATATCCTAGTGCGGTTGACGGGGAGTTGTAGTCACATACTTGCGGCCGAGGGCCTCGTACAGCTTGTACTTGTCGACGGAAATGGTCGGCATCGTGACGACGGGGTTCGACTGCTGGTGATGCCGGAATTGGCGAGTCGTGAGAATTGGCTGGAGTCTGTCGCTTTGAGTCACAGGAATTTTTGGAGGGACGATGGCGGGGTGATAATGGATGGTGATGGCGGACCGATGTAGAGGGACCTGGCAAGCGGGTGAGAGCGCCGCGGAAGGGCAGGTACCTCGCTAACTGACGGGCCAGACGCTGCGCTTTGGCAGGTCCTGATATCGGCGGGGTGACGGAATATCGATGCTCCCTGTTCCCGTGGAGGCTTTTTGTACTTTTCGGTACTACCAGCAGCCCCCTTTAGCACACAGATGGAATGCATCTGCAAGTGAGAGCTCAGCAATTTCCGACGGAGATGCTGCGAATAACGTGTAGAAGAGTACCTAGTAGGTATCTACTGCCTAAGGTAGAAGTCAAAAGCCAAAGTGTAGCCGAAGAAGAGCAGGAGAACCAAGTAAACGGATTACAGCTCCACGCTGTTGGTGATGCTGCAGTCAGGGCACAGAAGCCATGAGGCTCTGCCTTGGGCTTTGATGATGCTTTTGATGCCTCCACGAACTCATTGGTTCGGACGAGATGCAAGTATTTCCATGACATGATTCAGTTCCGATACATCATGCAACTACTTCCCCGTCATGAGGAAGCCCGTATCCAAGCCTGACGTCTGTAGCATGTCAAATTGAACATGGCCGTGGCTTACAGGATCGCAAAGTACCTCAAAGTACCTACCTATTTCCAGGCTGTCCAGCAAAGGGGCAAATTACAGGAAAAAGAGACGCCCAAGGCACAGGGGCTGCGGGTGGGGGGAAACAGCGCCCAAAAGGTACAGGTATACCTCGTTGGCGGGGCACGTTGTGTTAGCGAAATGCATCATAGCACCAGCACAACCACTAACACCGCGGCAGCTTGTCCAGCTGGTTGCCCCAGGTCGCCTCTACATGCCCCGAGCAGCGCTGGCAGCACCGCTGAGTCGCTGTCCAACAGGCGAGGCCTTGCTGGGCTGGGCTCCAACAGCTGAGCAGCTTCGTGTGCCTCTGCATCTTCACCCCTCAAACCTCGACTCAACCTCCATCTCAGCACTCCGCCCTTCCGCCTCCAGCCTCGTCCAGCTGCCCCTCAGCCCTGCCTCTCGACCTCCTCCGGACCGCGGCATCGGCGCCCGTCGCAGCTCAATTCCGCGTTTCTGCTTCTGGCTCGGCCTCTGGTACAGCATCGTGCCCTGTCTGGCCCAGTTCCGATCTGCGCAAAAGCCATCATCATCCCCCGTTGATTGCATCACCAGCTCCAAGCCCGGCCTTGCCATCGACCTCGTCTCGCTCGCCTTGTCCCGCCACACCCTCGATTCCCAGCTTTACTCCGCGGTGACTCGAGCGTCTCGATTCGACTCGACCAACGCGCCCTTTTTCTCTCGCCGCACGCATCCTCGTCTCTGCTTTTGCCTCTCTCGTGACACGCCATGGCTGAAGCGCCAAACGCAAACGACGAGCTCTACCCCATCGCCGTGCTCATCGACGAGCTCAAGGTACATCAAGCCCTGGCCCTTGGATCCCGGCTTCTGCTCCTCTTGCCTTTTCCTTAGCTTGCCGTTCCCCCTTGTCTTGTGGCGCGATGCTGACTAGAGCTGTGCTTTTCCCTTAGCACGACGATGTTTTGCTCCGACTCAACGCGATTCACCGGCTCTCTACAATTGCTCTTGCCCTCGGCGCCGAGCGAACAAGAGATGAGCTGATTCCCTTCCTCGACGGTCAGTGACAACTCGATTATCCGCTTTGGCGATGCTTCCTCATCTCCCTCGCCTCAACCGATTGCCCTGTCTTGGTTCTAACATGATGTTCGTGACGCAGAGTCTGTTGAGGATGAGGACGAGGTCTTGGTCGCCTTGAGCGAGGAGCTCGGCAACTTCATCGAATACGTCGGTGGTCCTGCGTGGGGCCACGTCTTGCTGTCTCCCCTCGAGAACCTCGCCGCCATTGAGGAGCCCGTCGTTCGAGACAAGGTAAGCTGCACGCTGGCGCTAGCTCGAGCGCTCTGCTGACGCGCACATTCTAGGCCGTCGAGTCTCTCAACAAGATCTGCGAGGAGCTCTCACCGCAACAGGTCGAAGAGTTCTTCATTCCCCTCACAATCCGCCTCGCCAAGGCCGACTGGTTCACGTCAAAGGTGTCCGGCTGCGGCCTGTTTACGGCTCCCTACAAGAAGGTGTCTCCTCCCGTCCAGGAGCAGCTCCGCCAGCAGTTTGGTCTGCTGGTCCACGATGAGACCCCGATGGTGCGCCGCCAGGCCGCGTCCAACCTGGCCAAGTTTGTCAAGGAGATGCCCCCCGCCATTGTCATTGACGAGATGATTCCCCTCTTCCAGCACCTCGTGACGGACGACCAGGACAGCGTTCGATTACTCACCGTGGAGGTTCTTATCGCCATTGCCGAGGGCGTGCCCAAGGAGCAGCAAGCCAGCCACGGCGTCCTGCTGACTTCGCTGCGAAACCTGATCGAGGACAAGAGCTGGAGAGTCAGGTACATGATAGCCGACAGGTTTGAAAAGGTTCGTGGGCGGCATGATGATAGGCAGCTTTGGGTCGTTGCTAACAAAGGATGTGTCTCTCTCGACAGATTGCCAAGGCCGTTGACGAAGAAGTCGTCTCCAGAGACTTGGTGCCGGCATTCGTCAAGCTTCTTAAGGACAACGAGGCGGAGGTGCGGACGGCCATTGCCGGCCAGATCCCCGGCTTCTGCAGTCTGGTGGACCGACAGACGCTCCTTAATGACATTATGGGCAGCATTGAGGATCTCGTCTCAGACACGTCGCAGCATGTGCGCGCTGCCCTGGGAACTCAGATTAGCGGCCTGGCTCCGATACTGGGCAAGCAAGAGTATGTCTGCCGCATCCATGATCCCTGAGCCTAGCTAATCGTCACGCAGGACTATCGACCACCTGCTACCCATGTTCCTCCAGATGCTCAAGGACGAGTTTCCCGAGGTTCGACTGCACATCATTTCGAAGCTGGAGCTGGTGAACCAGGGTATGTACAGGAAATCAAAGTATCCATAAGCATCGAAGAAGGCTAACGTATCTTTGCAGTTATCGGCATTGACCCCCTGTCCGTCTCGCTACTGCCTGCCATTGTCAACCTGGCCGAAGACAAGCAGTGGCGCGTGCGCCTGGCCATTATCGAGTACATCCCTCTGCTGGCCAGCCAGCTGGGCGTCAAGTTCTTTGACGAGAAGTTGAGCAACTTGTGCATGGGCTGGCTCGGCGACACCGTCTTCTCCATTCGCGAGGCTGCTACTCACAACCTGCGAAAGCTGACAGAGGTGTTTGGCGTAGAGTGGGCGAGTGAGGCCATCATCCCTAAGGTCATGACGATGGGCAACCACCCCAACTACCTGTACCGGATGACGACTTGCTTTGCCATTTCGGTAAGTTTCTTCTGTTTCTCCTTTGTGTCATCTGTCATGGTAGCAGTGGCTAATTCATTGCAACGCAGACTCTGGCCTCTGTCGTCAGCATAGACGTCATCTCCAAGTCGATTCTGCCCATGCTGGACAAGTTGACCGGGGATGACATCCCCAACATCCGCTTCAACGTGGCCAAGACGTACAAGGTGCTCATCAACGCCCTGCAGCGCCTGCCGGAGCAGGGCACCCTCTACACGATTGAGAAGGAGGGCACCCAGGCGACGCCGTCGCCCCGGGGCGAGGAGCTGATCCAGCAGCGCATCCTGCCGAACCTGCACAAGCTGCAGAAGGATGACGACGTGGACGTGCGCTACTTTGCGACGCAGGCGGTGGCCGCGGCGACGGGCGGAGCGTCAGGAGGCGGAGAGCCCATGAATACTTCACCATAGATGACAAAACCCGTAATGAAGCAATGATTTTTTGTCCTTGCCCGTGCTGCAGCGGCTTTGGGTGCGTGTCGTTTTCTTTTTGAGACTTTTGTCTTTCCTTGGACAGTGGTGAGAGGTTTGATGCCAAAACTCGACCGACTCAAGGGACACAACAATATATACAAAGCTACACATGACTAGGATGGATAGACGGGGGTGAGAGAGGAGCAAGGGAAAAGGACAACAATGAGTTGATGGTAATAGGTAGAGGATGGGTAAGGAAGCGAGCATACAGGTGGGAAGCATACGTGTAGACTAGGGGGGTGCAGTGTAGTGTTGAGAAGCAATCTGCCTCTTTGGTTCAATGTTTAAGCCATGTTTCTTTTCAAGGTTACCTGATCATCATGGTTCTTGTGTTTGTTCGGCTTGAAAGGGGTCAGGTGTCTTGAAGTATGTCCTGCCAGCCACCACTCGATCCGCGGATCTAGATATACCTCTATGCACACACACCTCGTTCCAAACGAGACATCTTTTCCCCATCTTATCTCTACCGCTATCCAAATGGTATCAAATCCAACCCCCCCCTTCCCATCATCTCAGCCCACCCCAAATAATCCGCACGTCACTCAGCCCCTCCTAAAGCACAAGGTACTAATCGTCTGCCCCTTCATCCCACCAAACGTAAACGTCGGATACTCAACCCGTCCCACAACCGTCAGCTCGCCATCCCGCTCATCCTCAAACCAGCCCCTCAGCTCCTTCTCCGTCCAATTGCAGCTCGTGACCAAGAAGATGCCGCCATGGGGGTTGAGCAGCTGCAGGAGCCTCTGGCGATAGATTTCGCACGGATGGGTTTCGGTGGGGGAGGACGTTGCGGAGAGGCTGATTGCGTCAAAGGTGCCCTTGTCGAGAACAATGTCGAAGAGGGGTTTTTCGGAGGAGGATGGCGCGTAGTGTAGGGGGGAGGCGGGATCGGTGGGGGAGAGAGGGCCGGTGAGGAGGTTCCATTCGAGGAAGTTGACTGGCGGGATTCTTTTCTTTTTCTCCTCTTCCTTCTCGTCTTCTTGTTGTTGTTGTTGTTTCTTCTTTTGTGGCTCTTCGGAGTCGGCTTCTTCTCCTTCTCCGTCTTCTTCAGCATCGACGGCGTCCCTCGTAGCATCAATCCTCCTCGCCAACTCAACGCTCTGCGCACTGTAATCCACGCCCAGCATCGTGCCCTCCCAGCCATCGTCCCTCAGGGCAAACAGCAGCTCTCCATTGCCGCACCCAAGATCCAGAATCGCTGCATCACCCTGCGTGAGCTCTTTTTTTCTTCCGGCTAGGATCTCACGGCGCTGTTCATCGTCGTCGTCTTCGTCAAGGAGGCCGCCGAGAAAGGCAACGATGCGGCCTTCGGCGTTGGAGTCGTCGAACCAGTTTGTGCCTGTGTCGGAGGGGTTGGCGGCGTGGTTTGTGAGTTCGGTTGCGTAGAGCTTGTCCCAGCTATATCATTTGCAAAAGAGAGATTGATAATCATGTTAGCTGTTTTGTGTCTCTCTGTTGTGTGAATTCACTCTGGGTAAGGTTGTAAGGTAAGATTGGAGGATGGGTTGATGAGGAAGAGTGGAAGGGGAAGGGGGGGAGGAACTTGCTATTCTTTTGTGCCGAGCTCGGAGGGATCGAGATGAGCTGGTTTACTCGAAGACATTCTGTACTCTTTTTTGGAAATATTTCCCAATGGGATACTTTGCTAACAAGGAGCAGTCAGAAAGAGTTTGTGAGACAAGGGAAGTTGTAGGTATGAATGGCCGCGTCTACAATGTGCTGGACTATAGTATACGGATTGCTATCAAAATGTCAATACTAGTATATGGGCTTAGATATGGAGGGGCAGCCAAAACAAAAAGGTGCAAAAAAAAGTTGCCTGCAAGCAATTAGTGCCGAAAGGGGCAGGCGGTAAGGGGAGCTGGATGAGGGGCACCGAGCTTTGCGTCAGAAAGCGTTTTGATATCAAAAAATCGAGACTCCAGGTGAGGGAATCGGAAAGAAGTAACATTATGACAGATGTCTCAGATAGCTCTGCAAAAACATGATGCTGAGATCTGAAAATGGCGGTGAACTTGTTCTATGTAGGTAGTTTGAGGCATCACCAAGTGGTAGTCATACGCAAGTTTACACAAGAATCAGCCAGTCTCGTCTATTGATCAAGCAGGCATCTATCTTTTCTGTCTGTGATGAATCTCCCAGATCCAGCATCAGGTGTAGAAAAAAAAAAGAAGAGTATGGAATCAAGAGTAAATGGTAAAGAAGCCAAAGCACACAAAACGCCTCCCATGCATGACCAGCAGAAGCAGCCCACCTCTCGCGCACACAAATCCCCAAGTGAGAACCACCTGGAGAGTTTGGTTTCTTTTGCGCGAAAGAGAGCAACGAAACGAAACGAAATCGGGAATCCCATCAACACCGTGCCTGTGTCGGTTTCATTTCCTTCAAGCAATCACGTAACAAATGCCCAGTCCCCAAGAACAAAACAAACAAACAAGTAACAACGACGACGAAAGTGAGAGCAAAGACAAAAAGACAGCTCAGTAGAAACTCTCCACCATGGTGTCCTTCATCGTCGTGTTAATGTTGCTCGGTCCCTGGCCCTCGCCCAGCCGGAAGACGCTCTCGATGACGCTCAGCTCCGTCGACGTGGTATCCAGCCCCGTGACGGCCATCCAGTCGTTCACCACCATGCCCGCGCCGACGACGTTGCTCCCGCGGTTGACGCTGCCCGCCACCAGCGGGATCTGCAGCAGGCTCGACAGCTCGTCCTGGTCCTGGATGCTCGTCTTGGGGTGCACCAGCCCGCCCTGGTTGGACAGGCTCATGTAGCTGCCGACGAGGACGTTGTCGGCGACGGTCTGGCGGAAGACCTCGACGCCCAGCACGTCGGCAATGATCTCCTCCGTCTCGCGCTCCAGGTCCGGGTGCACCAGCGCAATGTGGTCGTTGGTCGCAATGACGTTGCCCAGCGCCGACAGGCGCTCCTCGATGCGCTGGATGCGCACCGAGTCGGGCAGCGAGTTGCGCAGGTGCTGCAGCTCCTGGTCCGACGTCGTCGTCGGCACCAGCAGGCCCTTACGGTTGCCGGCCGTCAGCCGCCCGATGATGCGCGTGCCCGCGATTGTCGTGCGCACAATGGGGATGACGTCCTGCAGCTCGGCCTCGAAGACGCTGCGGAATCAACGTTAGAGAGTGCTGTTTGCCGGCGCAAGAGAGGGAGTTTGAGGTTTGCCTTTACCTGTAAAAGTTCTCGCTGGCGCCGAGAGCCACCAGGGCGTATGAGTTTGTCAACGTCGAGAAGACGCCAACCCTGCGGACCAGTCAGCAACTCCGTCTCTTAAATTCGCAGCAGCAAGACAAAGTTCAATCCATCTCTCCATTCGAGGCATTCCGGTCGAAAGCACACAAGATCCTTCAGCCACATCCCATTGCCTTCATCGCATCACATCACGCCAATCTTCCTTCCCCTCCCCCCTCCCCCACCTCAAAGCCACAGACAGGCAAGGGAAAAAAGACAAAACATACTCGTTGGAATTCTCAAACTGAGCGCGAACAGCCATGATGCCCGTAGTCAAATCAACAACAGAGTCCTGAACCTGTAGAATGGTGTCGGTATTCGGGGAGATCAACAAGAAAGCGGCTGTTTCCCTGTCGATGCAAGGAAAAGATGAAAAAGTCGTTTGTGAGGTTCAAGGTCAGGGTAGATGCTGCTGGTAGGTAGGTAGAAGGTCGGAGGTGGTGTGGATTTTTTTTTTTCTGCCGGATTTATCAGATAGAATTTTCGGCCTCTTTATAAGTCGCCTGGTCGTTTTGTCTTTGCCTCTCTCAGGTCTCCTGCGTGGGTACAATGGTACGAATTTAGATGTAGATGTACTTCGATCCGCCCCAGCTCAGAGACGGGAGTTGATGACTCTTCAGCGCAGTGAGCCCACTAAGAAGACCCCTGGAACCACTGAAGCTCGGCTGAACCAGGCCTCAACTGCACGATCTATCTGAGATAACAGCCTCCATGAATCCTCCATTCATTGGAAAGCAACAAGGACCCAATCAACCCATCAACAGAACATCCAGCAATCAGACAAGGCAAAACACAAAAAAAGAGTCACAAGCTCCATCTCACACCCCATGCAGCCATAACCGCAGCAACCCATAGATGTCACTTGTAATACCAAAGCTGGACACAAAATCCCCTGCAGTATGACTCAGTCAGCGTTAGTAATACTACCAGGCCGACAAGTAGAGCTACATAGTGCCTGTGCCTGCAGTGGCGCAGAGGGGCTCAGTTTTTCCACATCATGCCTGCGGCCAAGAAAATAGGGAGCTGGACAGGTGTGACTCAACCTCTCGACAGCCTCGGCCAGGAATAAGATTGGAATCCTGCATTGCCACGCGGATCCAATGACTCTTTTCTCCCCCTTTTTCTTCTTTTTTTTCGCACCAGATCTTTTGTCCTGGGGCATGATGGTTCTGGCCCATGTAACCCCGTACTCCGCAAGGCTGATTTGATCATCCTAAACTCCAACCACGGCCATACTTGATAGAGAAATCGAGCTGCACCAGCTTCAGTCAAGCAACATCTCCAAGCCTTCAGGGGTCTCGACCTTACACATCACAAGCTTCCTTCAACAGAAATGGCAGTCATCTCTCATCATATACTCTAATACCCTCTCCAACCGCCCTTCTACTCCTTTCCCAGACGTCCCCAAGTCTACCACACATCATCCCAGCCTCGCTTTCATCGTTGCCATCATGCCATCATGCTGTCATCCCTCATCTCTCGTCCAGCCAGGTGCTGTTCGCTATATATAGATAAAGGCAAAAGGCGATCAGAAACCTCTCCAACCCCGATATTCCAACGTAAATCCGCAAGAAATGTGCATTAAAATGAACCTGGCGAATGCTCAACCGCTGATATGAGATGCATATGCGTTCGCGCCATGGTGCCAGCCTCCGTAGAAGAAAGGTAAAAGAAAGAAAAAGGGGGAAAGGGGCCATTGCGTCCTCATTGTCATGAAGCGTTGCTTGTCGAAATCATCTCCTCTACAGTGTCCATACCGGCGCCTTCATCAACACCTGCCGCCCTCTTACTTCGACCGCTACAAACCCTGCAAATCGTATTCGGCTACCATCTTTGGAAATTCCTGGAACAAACGTATTAGCAAGTGTTGAGATCTGAAGAGACGGGGACTGAGATGACCCACCAGCCTTGCTGGAGTCTCCGCTGCTGCCATTCTTGTCCTTGTCTGCTTCGGCATCCGGTTTGGCCTCTCCCTCTTTCTGGCCGTCCAGAGACGGAAGGCCGCCCTTTTCGACCTCCATGAAAGCCGCCTGCAGCACGTCGCCCGGTAGCGGATACATAATGGTCACATCTCGACTCTCTCGCGGCAGGTTGGCGGCGATGCCCACGGCCAGCTCCACAATCATCGACGTGCTGCCTTCCACTCCGGCCGGCGGCGGCTCAATGAGGAACTGGTACAGGTGGGCCGCCAGGTTGGTCGTCATCTTGGTGATGAGCGACGCGCGGTTGTCCGCCGATGTCGTCGAGTTGAGCTTGTGCTGCAGTCCGTCCAGCGTCGCCATTCGCCAGTTGACAACCTTGGTCGTCAGCGCGTCAAACTCCTCCTGGCTGTGCATCGTATACGCATTGCCGCGGATGTGCAGCTCAATCTCCTTGAGCTGTGCGCTGAAGCCGGCCTCCAGATCGGGGTGGAACACCTTGTTGAAGATCTCGTCCACCACCCACTTGGTGATGACGGCTCTGCCCACCGCCGTCATCTCCTGCTTGCCCGTCTTGAGGGCGTCTGGGCTGACAAACTTCTCGAGCCACTGGGGCAGGCGTCGCCAGTCTTTGCGGATGTTGAACGACAGGTTGTTGATGGCGCCGTTGAGTCTGTTGAACCTGTTGACGTACTCGTTGTCGTCGAGCGCAGTCCGCGACTGAGACATGCGCTGGTTGGCGACGGCATTCTGCAGATGCTCGACTTGGCCGTTGAGCTGTTCGATCTGCGACTTGCCATCAAAGTAGAGGCGCTTTACATTTTTGTACTTTGTGACTATGGACGGCACGTTAGCATACGACATGCAAAGCTAGGTGCCCAAGAGAGGGTGTGACTGGGAGACAAACGCAGTTCCTTAAACGCCTTTTCCGACTCGGCATTGTCGCGCTCGTGCGTCGAGGGCTGAGGACTATTCCGCCCCTGATCGCTACTCGCTGCTTCATACCGCGGAGGAGCACCCGCGCTGCCAGCATTGCCGGCAGCGGCAGCACCAGAGCCTGCGCCTCCGGCAGGCTGCTGGCCGGGCTGGCCCATGTTCGAGTTGGTGTGAGTGATGCGGAATCCTGGGGGTGCGCCGGGAAGGGCCTTGTCAGCGTCCGCTTGTCGACGGTTCGTAGGAGCGCCTCCTCCTCCAGGTGGTGGTGCCATGGTAGATTGAGAGAGCTGCTGTTGCTGCTGGTTCGAGGGCTGGACGGGCGGTAGATTGATGCTCGAGACAGACTCCTGAGCCGGCACCGAGTAGTGAATGGCAGGCGACGGTTGCTGTTCCAGCTGCTGGTTCAGTGATCGCTGATCGGCGTCGGGAATAGGGGATTCGCGTGACAGCTGGGATACGGTTTCCGGGTTCTGCTGCTGATGCAGCTGCTGTTGGCCCAGATGCGTGGTGACGATGCGCGGATCTGTCGCCTGATGATACTGATCTTGCGGTGAGCTAGCGGTGTAATACTGCTGGGGTGGTGGCGGGAGTTGTTGCTGCTGCTGCTGCTGCTGCTGCTGCTGATGGAGGCCCTGCTGATCGTAGCCGACTTGCTGCGGGTCGTACCGAAGCTGCGGCTGCTGCTGTTGTTGTTGCTGTAGCTGCAGTTCAAACTGGTGCTGCTGTTGCTGATGAAGCTGTAGCTGCTGCTGCAGGGACTCCTGGGATGCAAGCACCTGGGCGTGAGCGGACTGGGGCTGCAGCTGAGATGGCGGGGGAGGCAGCGGCTGGTGGTAGGCGTCGTCGTAGGGCGATGTGATGTCGTCGGGGGCGGCTGCGTCGCGGATGGTGTTGATGGGCGGCACGGACACGGAGAGCCGGGGGTCCTGCTGGTGCTGCTGATACTGGTTGTGCTGCTGGTAGGGATCGTGCTGTTGATGTTGATGCTGGTGCTGGTGCTGATGCTGGTCGTGCTCCGTGTAGCCGTACTCGTCAGCCTCGCCCACTCCTTGCAGCGGCGATGTCTGGTGGACCGACGAGCTGGGCGTGTGCCAATCGCGGTCGGGGTTCGGCGACAGGCCCGTCTTGACGTTGGGCGGGTTGCTGTTGCTGATGCGCTTGGACGGCCGGCGGGCGAGCCCTACGGTGTTGTCGTACGACTGGGACGAGGCAGAGGCGGGGGTCTGCTGGTCACGGTGACCGTCGTGGCTGCGGCCGGAGAAGATGCCCTTGATGATCTTGCGGGCCGATCGCTTCTCGGGCGTGGCAGACGTCTGGGATGCGGCGGCTGAGGCGGGCGGAGCGGCCTGGCCCTGGTGGTAGCCGACGAGGTCGTGGAGTGACGTCTGCGAGCCGTTGAAGAGGTGGTGGAGCGAGGCGCTGTAGCGCTGGCTCTGGCTCTGGCGAGGGGCGGCGGGGGGGTCAGCAAAGTCGCCGGGCTGCTGCTGGTGTTGCTGTTGCTGTTGCTGTTGCTGCTGCTGCGGCGGCGGCGGAGGTTGCTTTTGCAGCTTGTTCTGCTGCTGAGGCGGCGGTTGTTGCTGTTGTTGTTGCTGCTGTTGCTGTTGTGGTGGTGGTGGTTGCTGGATCTGTTGATGTTGATGCTGGAGCTGAAGCTGGGGCTGAGGCAGCTGGCCTAGCTGGTGCTGGTGCTGGTGCTGTAGCTGCTGGTGCTGGAGCTGCTGCTGGTGGCTATCAAACGCGGGCGCTGAAACTGGCCCAGCAGCGGGGTTCTGCACTCCAGGCACAGGCGAGGGGCCGACGCCGGACGAGCCCGAGTGATACAGGAGAGGCGGCCCAGGACCAGCTGCGGGTTGCTGTTGCTGTTGCTGGAGCTGCTGCTGCTGGAGTTGCTGCTGCTGCTGCTGTTGCAATTGCTGCTGGAGCTGCTGCTGCTGGAGCTGCGACGCGATGGCAAACGACTCGCTGGAGCTGAGGGCACTCGGCGGCGGCAAGGCTGACTGAGGGGTCGCGTCCTGCAAAGCTGCCTCAGCCGTCGGTGCGGGTGTTCTTGTAGTCGACGAAGACGACGGCGGCGGCGGCGCTCCGGGCGGTTGTTGCTGTTGCTGTTGCTGCTGCTGCTGTTGCTGCTGTTGTAGCGACGCCTCTGCAACCGCGTGCTGCGAACGGTTGCTGTGCTTGCCCAGGCGACCGAAGCTGGGCATCCTCGACGGCGGACAGAACGCTGGCTGCTGTTGCGCAGGTTTTATTTTTGGCGCCAGGCCGGTGATCTGATGATGAGCTGGCCTCGCCTATGCGGCTTAGGCGTGACAAAGAAGGGGGGAGGGGTCAGTCCTGCTGCTGTCAAAGGGTCGGGTTCCAGCACTAGTGATTGCGTCGAGCTGTGTTTGACGATGCACGGGTGGACTGTCTTTGATTTGTCCCCCTCCCTCTTTCTTCGGTTTGCTTTGCTTTGCCTGGCTCTGCTTTGTCGATGGTCTGGTCCTTCTTTGTCGGTCCCTTGTCCGGTCCCCTGGGCTTAGACGGCAGAGGGCGGCGGGGAGTGAGGCTGTGTTGCAGGACTCCGACTCGTCCACGGCATGTCCCGCGCACGCTGGGCGCCGCCGAGGAGGTACACAGCAGGAAGCAGCACGGCGGGAGAGAGCTGAGGAGATGGGCGAGTGATGCGCGTCCAGGGGATAAGGCTGTGTCCAAAGAGAATCTGTCGAGAGGGGCGGCAACACAAGCACAGCAGACTGTATGTAGTAGTAGTAGGTTTTACCGTTCGTCGCTCTTTTGCAGAGGGCTCTTTCGTGACCAATACCCGCCCGCTCTTCAAAGGCGCTGGTCAGCCGGGGTGGCGCGCGACACGAGATGCAGACGGTGCCTTGTCAGCGAGCGTAGCGCTGTGAGTGATTTGACAAGTTGACCAGACAGGCTGTGGTCCGGGCCCTGCTAGTCGGTTGATAGTCGATGTACAAAGGTCCAAGCTGAGGAGCAGCAGCGTGATGAGAGGGCGGGAGGGAAACACAGTTGAAGAGACGAGAGAAGCGCCAACTGTCAGGTCCGAGCATCCGAGTTCAGCCCCGGAACAGACGTGGACTTGAAGGCATCTCGAGTCGGCACAGAGCCAGAAGGCTGCTCGTAAGGCTGAGTGAGCTTGGCTAGTCTCGACCATAATATTCGCCTCTTTTTCTCTCGCTGCCCTTCTGCCTGGTGCTGAGCTGACATTGATGTACCTACCCTCCTCACACGCACGCAGTAATACCTACCTCTGTACGGTATAGACAGGCTATTACATGTACTTACAGGCCAAGATGCCCGCTATGGCATCCCCAGGAGGCTGCCTGGGACCCGAGACCAACGACAACTGGCTGTTCTCTCTCGTCCCCCCATCCAGCATCCACCTCAGCGAGCCGCAACGGGCAGACAAAGAGCTCACGAACCCTGCCCGGGTGGGGTAACTCCTGGTTCCTCCAGCATGGCATGTGGGTTGTCTGGATCAGTGGCTCCAGGACTCGCGCGGGCTATAATTAGAACATCAACTGGGGCCTGATCCCTGGGTCCCTGGATCCATGTCGTGTCTCTATGGATGTCTGTCTGTCTGTCTGTCTGTCTGTCTGTCTGTCTGTCTGTCTGTCTGTCTGTCTGTCTGTCTGTCTGTCTGTCTGTCTGTCTGTACATTTGTCTTGTCCTGGGCCATCAGCTGCGGTTCTCCATACTGGCTGGAGATTGGTAGCTACCTAGTAGTTATTGCGTTATCAGTACGGGACCTGGCAGCTGGACATAAGCACTTGAGATTTACCTCGGCTGAACGGGAGCATGAGACCGACTTGCTCGTATCATCGTCGGGCTGCTGCGATTTGCCTCCAACTGCTTAAAGACCGTACAAGTAGGTAGGTATAGTAGGTAGCAGGAGGTGAGACTGAGCTCAAGAGGGTCCTGCCAACTGCAACAGGGTTTATTGATCCATGAACATACTACTCCGTACTCGTACCCAGATGCTCGGCCAAACATGGATTAATCCGGACCCGGTTGACGGTTCCATCCACCGCCATTGTTACGTACGTACCCTGGACCTAGACGAGTTGATGCCTCCTGCTGCAAATTCTCCAGTCATGCTAGTATTATTACTATTACCTCCAAGGCCTCATTGACCAGGCCTCAACTGCTCTCATCTCGACTCCCCAAGACGAGCCCAATCTTGCAGAAACCTGTTCTTCTCATGCATGCAGCAACATCAACCTCCTGCACGTTCCCTGCAGAGCCAATGCATGCACGGCCAGCTTGGTACCTAGTAAATGTGCCTTAGAATAGCAACAGCCAAACACAGCCATCATCGGCACTCTATCTGCACCTGCAGATTCTCAGTTTGAAATCTGCAGATAGTACATATCCGCAAGCTCAAGAACTGATAAAATGGGATACGGCCGTTGAGGCCTGTCGACGGTCCGGCTGTGCTGCAGATCATGCAGGTGAGGTCTTCTGAATACAGCAGCTGGTCCGGTGCAGCTAGTATAATCCTTTGTTGCTTTGATACGATGGCCAAAGCAGGGTAAGCCCAATCAATTCAGTCCAAGACTTGATTCTTCTTTCATTGATGAATCATGTGGATAGCGGCATGACTTGTACAACTGCTGTTTGCAGCCAAGGCACATGCAAGGTAGGTACATGCATGTAGTATTACCATATCTTTTGTCTGACTTCACGTGGTATTATCGAAACCTCAGCCACCCTCATGCGGCACGATCACGATAACTGTTCGGTAAGAAGATTTCACTCACGGATCTCAGTTTCCCCAACCCTTCAACTCCATGTCCGGAAACAACTCCATCTCTGCGACAAAATACACCATGAGAATACCGTCTAAACCACCAGCGGAAGTTGAAACAAGAGTGTCATTACTCTCACGACAATGTCCTTTAATGGCAAAGTCCATCACCCGCCCGATTGCATATCCTGAGCTCCTGGTTTGACGAGCTCTGGCTGCTTTTGCGGGGTTTCGTGGGGAAAAGAAGCCCGGTTCTAGCGGGGTTTGTCGATGGCCGGCTATCAATGTATGAATTGACGCCGTTTACGGAGGCTTTGGTGAGGGCATGCAAGTGTGGCACTAAACTCAAACGGCATCATCGCCATTGATGATAAGGCCTGATTCATACCGTCCTTTATTACCTATCTTTGTGTCCCTTTTGACGGGTTTGATGAGTCTTCGAAGCTACCCAAGGCATATATGCAGTTGTCCGTCTCTCAGGTGAAGCTCTCGTAGGCCATCATGCTGCTGCTCTCTCCCATCGTCCTGATATGGGCAGCAGCCCTCCTACTTGCCGTCTTCTTGATCCAACGCCTCAGATCACCCTTGAGCAAGATTCCAGGCCCAGCAGTCTCCAAATACACTTCCTTGGTTCTCAAGTGGAAAGAGATCAAGGCTCTGAGAACAGTCTACATCCACCAGCTGCACCAGCAATATGGCCCCGTGGTCCGCATCGCCCCGAATGAGGTCTCGTTCACATCCTGGGAGGCCTTGAAGGAGATTTACTGCTCCGGAGGCAGCGGCTACGACAAGACGGAATTCTACGACCTCTTTAAGATTTACGGGAGAAGGTAAAGTCGCTGCCACTTAGTCCCCATGCCATGGATATTGTCGAAATGTCCGATTGACGTTCGTTATCAGGACCATGTTTACAACACTGAACAAGGCAGACGTATGTAATGCCGCTTCGTTTTAATCTTCGGCTTCATCTAACATGGTCCAGCACGCCAAGAGGAAAAGGATCCTGGCCGATCGTTATGCCAATAGCAACATCATGAAGAGTGCATCCGTCGCAGGGGTCCAAGAGCGCTCCTCCAAGTTTGTCCGGCGATGCGTTTCTTCTCCAGGAGGCGTGTCAGACATCTTTGTAAGTCAGGAAAGCTTCATATCAAGGCACCCCTGAGCGCTTCACTGACATTTTGTTTCTTCTAGATGGGTTTGTTCACTGGGATTTTGAGAGTTACATGTAGACAGACACTGACTGTGCCAGCCTTACACGCATATGCCTGCGACTGCATCACGCACCACCTGTTCCATCCCTATGGCACAGATTGCATCGACAAGAAGGAGGATGAAGAGATGATGCACCAGGTGGCAGCAGACGATAGCCTGCAGAGCAAGTCAAAGCCCTTTTCACGTTCAACTGGACGCTTATTCTGACGTGTTCACAGATCGCCTCATCTCGCACTACGCCCCTACTCTGCACCGTCTCTTCTCCAAGGTGCTTTATCTGTTCGCAAAGCCTCGTGAAACCCCCCTGGCCGACGACTATGTCCTGGAAACCAGCCAGCTGAGCGGCACGGCGCCCTTCACCCTCATGAGCCGCTTTGACGAGAAGACGGGCGACCTCGACTACATCGACAAGGCGGCAGAATGCCTGGACCACATGGCCGCGGGTATCGACACCACGGGCGACGGGCTCTGCTTCCTCATGTGGGAGCTATCCCAGCCTCGCTCGCTCGCGTTCCAGCGAAAACTGGCCGACGAGCTGCGCGCGAACCGGGAGACGCCCTTTGACCGGCTTCCGTATCTGGATGCCGTTGTCAACGAGGGTCTGCGGTGCTTCCCGCCGATCCCAATGTCGCTGCCGCGCTACGTCCCCCAGGGTGGCCGCTCCATTGACGGCTTCTGGCTGCCGGAGAAGACGATTGTCAGCTGTCAAGCGTATTCGGTGCATCGCCTCAACAGCGCGATATTCCCCGATGGCGACAGGTTCAATCCGGACCGCTGGCTGGAACCGCAGGGAGACGCGGACCGGAGGAGGCTCCAGTTTGCGTTTTCCAACGGAGGAAGAGGCTGCGTTGGGAAGCAGTGAGTTTTCTTTTTTCTTTTACTTTGGCCTCTATTCTGGTATCATAATGGCTCACTGACGGTGCGATCTCAGCTTGGCTCTCCTTGAGATGAAGACGTTGCTGCGGGATGTGTATTCCAGGTACAGCACGACGCCGCACGAGTCCATGAGGGAGGAGGCCATGGCCATGTCGGACCAGCTCATCTCGGCACGACCATTGGGGCAAACGTGCCTTTTGCGTTTCCACGCTCTCGAAGAAGATGACAACCGAGACGACGAGATATAGAGTAGAGACGCGTCAGTTTGCGCAAGGCGAATTGGCGTTACGTAGGTATTCCGTGCCATAGGATACATGTACGAAAGGGTGGCACAAAGAGCCCGAAAGGCATCATCACGAGCCCCCAGGACAGACAAACAAACAGACCAACGCAACTGCTAATGCACTCCCGCATCTTCGAGGAACCACAGCCTCCTGCAGGTGCCCGACGCGAACCACCAGCTGTCCCGGCAATATCGGGGCATCAGTGCTTGGCTCTTTTAGTCGACCAAAACAATGTCGTTGGCCAGCAGCTTCCTTTGATCTGCATGCGTCTGGGCACTACTAGGTATCTAATAGCACAAGCCCTTAAGCCCGAGGTCCGGCCTTTCAAACCCCGAGCAGCAGGAGAAAGAACAATGCCAACTGCATCTCTGTTTTGTCTCTTTTTTTTTTTTTTCCCCTGTGGATTGGTGGCGTGATGTTTGTCCCCAGTCAGTCATCTCAGCCGAGCAGACTTGGATAATACCTTATTCGCTTATGTTGAGTGAAATGTGCGCCTACTAATGTAGGGCTTGAACATGATGGCATCTCGTACTCGTAACCGGCGGCGTCAGGGTGAAGAAGCAAAAGAAGAGGTACTAGTAGCTGCTAGCACACCTTACCTTATGCAACAGCTGTCCTGAAGCCTCGGAGTTGGACGGATACTGGCAGCTCGCCTGCAGCAACTTGAAGTTGTCTCCATCCTCGCCCAGTCCCAGCAGCGGATTCGGGCACACGCCGAGTCCTCGTGGCGAGAGACGCTCGCACTGCCGCTATCCGAACTTGATCCGACGCACGCACTTCTGCAAAGCGAACCTAACCCGTTGGATCTATCCGTATCCACTCTTGCTTGGGCAGTTCGACTGGAGAGCCGCGTCAAGTGTCCAATGGAGCCATGTACCTGTACTTGCCGCCATAGCGCTGGAGCACCGCATCAATGCGCTGAAGACGCAGGCGACGCCCTGGTGCCAGCGGCTGCGTTAGCGGGCACCCGCCCCGAGACCTGTCATTGTCCGGTACGTTCCCGCGGGCTTTTGCCCAAATCACCTCCACTAAAGCCGCCAGTCTCCAGCGCTTTTTTTGCCCCCGAATCACCAGAAGGGAAAAAAATAGGAAAAACCCTTGAGGAAAAAAAAAAACCTCTTCACCCGCCTTTGCTGACAACTCCGAGTCCCCACTTGTTGGATTTCCCTGCCCGGTTCAAAAATCCGCAGCACTTGTTCACAATCTCTTCTTCCTCTTCCCTCTTCCCCTCACCCAAACACAACTCGACGTCTTCTCAGCATCGATCCCGTCAGAGATTGCATCTGTCAGAATCTCCGAGCAACTTCGTCTTGCCCGCGTAAAACCGCCATATATCAGGCCTGCTGACTGTTTTGCCGGTCGCAGCGCACCTTTTCCTCTACTCGTTTTGCTTCTAAGCATCAACAACAACCACCACACAAAGACATCGAACACCAACCGCAACAGGCCTTCTGCCGACAACTTCATCTCCTCCTCTACTTCCTGGTCAATCTTCTCGACTGTCCCTCCCAGCACTCTGCCCACTTAGCAGCCCAGTCGCCGGTACATTGTTGTTTATGTATCAGCACGATTCCGCCACCGTATCCAGACGATTCCTCACGCTGCAGCTATTTCGCATACCGCGGAAACCTAGCAGTCCCGATATCAGATCCGACGGTTGATCCTAGCCTGTTGCCCTCGAGTTCCGAGTTCATGCCTATCCCACTGCAGTCGCGAATCTGTCCGGCCCGCCACATGTCCAGTACGCATCACTGTTGAGATTTCCAGCTTCCTCTTCGTCCTCGACCCGTCCGTCCGCTCTATCCGGCGTCAATTTGAACAATCGTCATCATCTCCGTCTCGCGTCTCGAGCCTCTTGATGCCGATATCGTCGTCCTAGACACTAAGCAGAGACCATCTTCGCCTCGTCAATTCCAAACCTTCACAGACAATTCTTCACAGCCTCTTATAATCTACAACCGTCATCATGGCTCTCGTCAACGTTCGCCGCGATGTCAGCGATGCCTTCTATCGCTACAAGATGGAACGCATCCAGACCAAGATTGAAGGCAAAGGCAACGGCATCAAGACTGTTGTCGTCAACCTGCCCAGCGTCGCCCAGTCTCTTGCCCGTCCTGGCTCCTATGTCATCAAGTACTTTGGTTTCGAGCTCGGTGCTCAGACCAACATTGACCCCAAGGACGACCGTTGGATCATCAACGGCGCCCACGATGCCGCCAAGCTGCAGGACCATCTCGATGGCTTCATCAACAAGTTTGTGCTCTGCAAGAAGTGCAAGAACCCTGAGACCGACGTCGTCATCAAGGACGATCACATCGTGCTCGACTGCAAGGCTTGCGGTCAGCGCACCGACGTTGATCTCCGCCTGAAGCTGAGCGGGTTCATCCTCAAGAACCAGCCCAAGAAGGGCAAGAAGGACAAGGCTGAGCGCCGTGCCGCCAAGAAGGCCAAGCAGAACGGCCAGGCTGCCAAGGAGAACGGCCAAGGCAGCGGCGAAGACGGCTCCGAGAATGGCTCCAACGAGGCCGCCGAGAACGGCGACGTCAGCGATGACGAGTTCCAGAAGATGCAGGCCGAGGCAATCACTGCCGCCAGCAAGAACGACGTCGAGGTCAAGGAAGACGAATGGGCTGTCGACATGAGCGCCGAGGCCGTCAAGGCCCGCCAGGCTCAGCTGCCCGACGAGCTCAAGCAGAAGCTCAACATTGGTGGCGACGACGAGGATGAGGACGGCGAGGGCGGTGGCAACACCGTCTACGACGAGTTTGGCAACTGGATCAACCAGCAGGCCGAGGAAAAGGGCGGCATTGACAATGTGGACTCCATCAACATCTACGTCAAGGCCAAGGAGCTCGGCATCGAGTCCAAGCACCGATCCGTCCTGGTTCTGGTGCAGACCATTTTCGACAAGAACATTGTTGCTCAGATTCCCAAGCGAGCCAGCATGCTCAAGCAGGTAAGCAGTATATTCCTATAGAATGAGGTAAAAACAGCTGACTAACGCTCCTTACAGTTTGTCACTTCGGAGAAGCATGAAAAGGCCCTCCTTGGCGGCACCGAGCGCCTGATTGGCAGCCTTGGCAAGGAGAACCCTGAGATGTTCCAGCAGGTCGTCAAGGTCCTGCAGCTGTACTACCACCACGACCTCGTCAGTGAGGAGGTGGTCATTCCCTGGGGCTCCAAGGCCAGCAAGAAGTACGTCGACGTGTCGACTTCTCGCAAGGTCCGCAAGGCCGCCGAGCCGTTCATCAACTGGCTTAAGGAGGCCGACGAGGAGGAATCCTCGGAGGAGGACGAGTAAAACCGTCTTCTTTGTTTGATCCATATGACACGGCCGTCTCGGGTCGTCTACTAGGTGCTCATTTGCTTCTCCTCTCATTCTTTCCAGATTGCGAATATGTACAAGGCAAAGGAGGCTTAGCAGCTATCTGTTGTCAAGAAATTGACAAGAGAACTCGGGGATTCATATACGAATGGCTCTGTTGTCGTTTTACACATGCATCTTTCTGTACTGGGCTCTGTCACCACTTGGACTTTGTGTATTTAGCTAGATTGTTTCATTGAATCGCAAAGCGCCCATTCCACTCTCGACACTCATGATCCAGTGTGCTGCATGCATCCTTGTCGTGATGAAGAATGGGACCTGATGATGAAGAATTGGTATCCTATCTTGACTCCTTGGGGGTGCTTATACCCGCTTTCCGTCGCACTTGTTGAACTACCTATGCAGTCATTATAAAAAAAAGAATCCTCTGTGTAAATGCGATTCCAGCCCCTGAAGATGAAGACCATATCTTACAAATGAACACCCCCGGGCCCTGTCTCTCTGCCCCCTCTCCCCATCCCACAACTCTTTCCAATCTCCCTCGCCCGCGTCAAGACTCGGTTCCGCCATCGCCATCGCCATCACCGTCGACGGCCGGTGCATCAGCCATGTTTGCGTCGTCGCCGTTGGTCTCCTCCGCCTTGGCGTATATATACTCTGCGATTCGCGAAGCCGTCTTTTCGACGTCATCTTCGTAAACAATGACTGTGTCAAAGAGCTCTTTTGTTTTGGACTCGTCGGGTTGTCCTTCTTCCGAGGAGGAGGAAGAAGAAGAAGGTGATTTGATGAGGATGTAGCGTGCGGAAAAGTCCATGTCCTTGGCGAATTGGGCGGCCTTTTTTTGAGTAACTTTGTTAGCAAAGATGATTTTGATACAATGAAGGGAGGTAGTGAATGAGTGAATTGCATGGGATACACATGAGAGATTGACCAAGGAGTCACATAATGAGTGTTGCGAGGGTGAATTCCAAAGAGGGGGGAGAAGGGGGGGGGGGGGGGGGTTGGTTAGTTGGTTGGTTATATAAACAGGGAAAACATACCTCGACGTCAAGCTCGATGATGGGGACTTTGCCCGCCTCGACAACAGCCTCGACAGCCTTGCTGCTCGTCCCATAGTCCACCCCGTCGCGAGTCCCGTACTCAATCAACCGGTCGCCGTCTCGCAGCTGATTGAACTCCTGCGCTTTCACAAAGTGGAACGTCTTGCCGTTGACTTCGTCGTCGCCTTGTGGCTCGCGCACGGCGTGTCGCACAACGGACCCAAAGACGCCCTTGTGCTCGCTCATGAGCCTCTCCCTCAGCGCAGACGTTGTGATTTCTGAGGCTGTTGAGGCTAAGATGATGGGGTCGCGATTGCTGGGCATGTCTTCGTCGCTAGCTGTGGGTTCGGCACCGGCTTCGTCGTCGTCGCCATTCCCTTCGGGCTCGTCTTCAAAGATGATGCTGATGTTCTTGGGGTCGTCAATCTTGTCGAAAGACGCCAGCTTGAAGCGCGACGCTATGCGCAGCGCCCTCCACGACTTGCTCGCCTTGGCCGCCACCGCCGTAGCCTTGGTCTGGGCGTTGGTCGGCATGTCAATCTCAAAGTCGTCGTCGGCAATCTTGCTCTTGAACACCTCCAGCTCGGGCAGCTGGTGGCGCTCGGGATCTTTCAGCTGCTCCATCGCCTCGCCCTCGTCGTCCCCGTTGGTGAGGAAGTCGAGCGGCACGGCGTTGAGCGGGTTCGGCCGCAGGCGCTTGCTGGTTGCCATCTTTTGCGCCGCCTCCTTGGCCTCGACGAAGCTCTCGGCCGAGACGGGGTCGCGCTTGATGGGCGGACAACTGGCCATCTTCCAAAAGACCCAGTTCTTGTCCCTAGCCAGCACTGTTTCTACCATGCGAAAAAAGTACGGCCCGTCGCTGCCCTGCTTGAGGTAGTCTGATATCACTTTCTTCATGTCTGTGGCCCATTTTGTCTATGGAACGAAATGTCAGCGCAAGAGCAGAAATAGGGGGGGGGGGGTCCGGAGGTATGTTAAGGCCTTACGTTTTCCTCGCTGAGTTGATCGGGGTAGATGACCGACTTGTTGGATATGTTAATGTTGGTTCGCTTCTCCCGTTCTTCCTTTGATAGAGACAAGAGGAAATCGGTGATGATGAGAGCCTGCACAAGAACGTGTCTTCGGAAGGAAAGATCGCTAATCTAAATCGGTCGTTCTCTCGTTAGTTGATGAAGCTATGATAGATATGACATCGCGATACTTGCCTCGAGCTGGAACAAGTCTTTGCTGGTAAGGTATTTGGGGTTAAACGCCTCCGGAAGCGTCTCGGTCCCGTCGTCGTCTCTCTTTCGCTTCAACGTTCTCTTAAGATTTTCCATCGATTTCGAAGAGGATATGCTATCGTCGTGGATGGCTTGAAACGCCGTGATGGTGGCTTCCAAGCTGCTCTTGAACTTTGTGAAGTGACCAGTGTCAAAGAGTTTCAGCGGCTGGCTGAAGCTCTCCTGCAAGGACCAGAACATGGGGTAGAGCGTGTCAGGGTCAAGAGCTTTGCTTGTATCCTGAGCGCCGTTCTTTGTAGCAGCCTTGGCATCGCCCTGCTCCTTTGGTGTGTCCGTCTGGGTGTCGATTTCCATTTTGCTGTCGTCGTCCAATCTTTCATAGTTGGTGATGTTCTCGACGTGGTATTCTCCTCGAAGATTGACTGAGCTTCTGTCTCCTAACGGGAAGCTCTGGAACATGAAGATGAACACCCTTCCGCAAAAGGCCGTGTCCTCTGCACGCGAGAGCCTCCGCAGCAGCTCATTGCAGCTTCGAAGGATGACGAGATTCTTCTGCTTGAAGTGCTTGGCCGTGATGCGCTCTCGGCGCGATTCGAGAAAGTCGAATATTATGCGGCAACCCGCTACCGTCTGGCTGTCGAGAAGCTCTTCCACCAGCCAGAACAGGAGGGCAGGGTCGCACTGGCCGTCGTCGGACAGGATCGAGAGGATATCCAGCAGGTTCCACATCTTGACAAACTCCGGGCTATCAATTGACGTCGTCGCCTTCATGGGATTAGTGCTGGACGTCTAAGGCGGGCAAAGGTTGTCTCTCGGCTTACGATGAGCTTGCTGAAGAAATCGCGCGCCGCTGTTTCCACCAGCGCGAACTGCCGGGATCTGAGAGACTCGGAGGAGGCATTGCTCTCTGCGTCCGCACTCTTGGCGAGCGAAGCGGCCACTCGATCGTGGATGTTGACAAAGTCGGATTTCACAAGGGCCGGCTCGATGGTGGTCGTTTGCTTTGCCGCCGAGGCCTCGTCGAGGAGCTCCGTGAGCAGAGTTTCGAACTCGCTCACGGCTGGGACACCGGGGTTCTCGATGTCAAGGGCCGGCATGATGGCGACAACCGCGCAAGGCGGACGAGATCCACGTCAAGCCGCGACGAAGCTCGACACGGGTCGGCTTGAAGCTCCGGAAGGATATTTGCGACGAGGTGTCAGGCGAGATTAATCGAGATGGCGTGTTATTTAATGGGCATAAACAGGCTCGGCAGAGGCAGCGTAAGGAGTTCGAGCGCGTTGCTGAGCTGGAAAATCGTCATGCAGCAGAGGTGATGCAAGAAGAAAGTCGTCGCGAATAGGTAGCTCAAAGACGAGATTCGAGGTCAGAAGGCTGAGGCCCATGTATGGCCCATCTTGTTCCGACTCACTGCAGGTACAACAAGCTACCGCTACCGCTACACTGACCCACAGGTACTGGCCGCGTCGAGATACTTGTGCCGCTACAGTGCAGCGGGCCCGCATTGCGCAAGGCTGAAATTTTGTGCACAGGGACCGGCAGTAATTCCATGTCCGCTGCCAGGCGTGGACACAGCTTGGCTGATCCTCTGTTTACGACCTCGTCTGGCCCGCCTCGAGATTCCGCCCAGCTCCAGCTCACGCATGAGCTCCTCCTGAAGCGTCTGTCGACCATCAGCGCGCCGATTCCCTTCCCGCTTGTGAACGCGACAGTCTCGCAATGCCAAACGCGAAACGAACCAGAGGCGCTGCTGGACGAGCTGCAGCTGCACGCGAGCCGCCAAAAGACACGACAGACGGCCGTCCGACCCCGGCGGAGGTGGAGGAGCAGGAGCATCCGTTTGTGCAGCTCGCGCGGCAGCATTGGCTCAAGCCCAGCAAGAAGACGGCAAAGGTCAAGGTCAAGAACGATGTCGTCAAGCAGGGCATCTGGGATGTGCTGGAGCAGGATGGTTTCTCATATAAGCTGCTGCTACTGCTGGAGAGCTTGCAGACGCTGGAGAGGTATGGCTTTTGAACGTCTCAGTGCTGAAATTTCTTCTCTGACACCGCGGTATAGCTATCTGTGGCCTGGATACTCCGAGCAGGCATCCAACTATCATGTCCTGATACTGGCGTTGATATGCAACGTCAAGAGGCGAGAGCACCTCGAGACATGGAGTAAGTTGGTCTGTACGGATCCCACTTAGAGCTGTATCTAACGGGGCTGTTGATAGAAATCTTCGAGGAGAGGCCCGACGACTTCTCGTCCCTGTTCCGCCGCATCCTTTCCATGACGCTCGATCGAACGCTGTCGACGACCCTTCGAACACACCTCCTCTGCTTCCTCATCCACGCCTTTCAGAGCCTCGACTGCAGCATTGTCAGAAAGGAATGCGCTCCTCTGGTATCGATCGGTATTTGGCACAACCTCTCCACCGAGAAACGTCAGGAAGCCTATCTTGACTCTACGCCGCACCTGAGGAAGGCTTGGAGGGCGGCCCAGAAGCGATACGACGCCGCGGACGAAGCCACCAAGGCACGGCTACGGTTCGAGCGGTCATGGCTCTATACCCTGATTCTGGACTTTGTCAATCAGCTATACGACGAGAGCAAATCAGGTACGTCACAAGCGGATTCAAGAGCCACTGCTGTCATACTAACCATGGCTATAGACCAAACGCTTCTCTACTGTGAACGATTCACAGAGTTCATATGTGACTTGCAAAGCCAGCTGCCAACGAGGCGCTACGTCAACGCCTTGGTCCAAGATTTACATCTCACCCCTTTAATGAGGCTGTCGCCGCTATATAACGATGCCGGAAGCGCTCTGCTGCGTGATCTCCATGCACTTCTCTCTCACTACACATTTTTTGCCATCGATGACCAGAGCGGTATACAGCTGAGTCGGACAGAGGCCTTTGATCGGCATTGCAGCCTGCTGGGCAAGCTTCAACGAATTGCTCTGAAGCATTTCAAGGACAAGCTCACCATTCTGGCTCTGTCAAACTACGGCTCCATTGACAAGCGAGAAGAGCTGATCTCACACCTCGAGCCCCTTACCGATGACGAGCTGTTGAACCTTGTGAACCTTTTGGATCTCAGGTCTTCGTATCCCGAAGGCTTGACCCTCACCATCGATCGCAAGTTCCTCATCGAGTTCCTTCTAACGACCTTTGAGCGGAAGAAGACGTTCCAAGAGACGGCCCAGAGGATAAGCATCGTCCCAACGGAAGACTCATTGTTTGATGACAACTTTCAGCGTGCGGATTCGTACGACGGCTCACGTCCCCTGGCTCTCCCAAAGCTCAATCTGCAGTACCTCTCGGTCGGCGATTTCCTCTGGAGGGCACTCGTACTATATCGCTGCGAATCCTTCTACGGTATCCGCAAGGATATCGAGGCCGCGATGCGTCGTCTTCGACCAGAAAACAGGCGGCCTGGTGAGACCCATTTCGCAGGCTTCTCCAAGATGGCTATGCCAATTTCTAAGCCAACGATACTGGAAGTCGTCCCAGCTCTCGTCGGAGATGATAAGCCATCGATGGTCCGGGCGGAGGTGTCTTTCGACGCTCGAAGATTGGGAGACAACGTGCGCAGAGAGTGGGACACACTTCGGCCGGGCGACGTCGTCTTTTTGCTGGCGGTTCAGCCCCCTGCCTCTGGCCAAGCAGCTGCAAATGGAAGCAGCCAACCCCAATCAGACGCTGAGAAGGCCGGTGTGCTGGTGGTACGGACTGCCGAAGTGCTCCAGGTCACAGACGATAGAGGCCGCCACGCCAGGGAAAAGGCCGAGCGTCTCGATCAGAAGCAGCGGCGCATCCAGCTGAAGCTTGACTCGGCATCCTATGCCCAGGATGCTGAACAGGCAGCTGCCGGCAAGCCCGATGTCTATGCAGGCATTAACCTGCTCCTGAGACGAAACAAGCGGGAAAACAACTTCAAGCCTGTTTTGGATGCCATTCGGACGCTTGTCCTGTCGGAAATGCCTCTACCAACATGGCTCCATGAAGTGTTTCTAGGCTACGGTGATCCGGCCGGCGCACATTACAAGAACCTGCCCAACAGGCTCAAGACCATCGATTACAGGGACACCTTCCTCGGCTGGCAGCATCTCGTCGAAAGCTTACCTGGAAAGACGGTCGAGCCTGACGACGATGTCACGGGCAGCTTTGGGCCGCCATATGTGCTAGAAGCTGTCGACAAGGTGGAGGAGCCCCGCGGCGGGAAGCCATCCAAGAAGCGGCGGCGCGACGCAGAGCCGGCGCTGCTCTCAGAAGTAGAGGCCTTCAAGGTCTCTACCTACAAGCCTCCCAACAACGGGCCCTACCCCATCGACGCACCGAAGCAGAATACTGTGCGATTCACCCCCGCTCAGGTCGAGGCCATCATGTCTGGAACTCAGCTTGGGCTGACTGTAATCGTCGGACCCCCCGGCACAGGCAAGACGGACGTTGCCACACAAATCATCAACAATATCTATCACAACTTCCCCGACCAAAAGACCTTGCTCATCGCCCATAGCAACCAGGCCCTCAACCAGCTGTTTGCCAAGATTGTTGCCCTCGACATCGACGAGAGGCACTTGCTGCGACTTGGCCATGGCGAGGAAGAGTTAGACATGGAAGGGAGCTTCAGCAAGTACGGCCGCGTCGAGTCGTTTCTGGACAACCGCGACAGGTTCTTGTTTGAGGTGAAGAAGCTCGCAGCAAGCTTGGGGGCTCCCGGCGCGCACGAGAACTCGGCCGAGACTGCAGGCTACTTCAACGTTGCCTACGTCGAGCCAGCCTGGGCCAAGTTCCTCAAGGTTGCGGAATCCGACTCGTCTAGCGCATCTGATATTGTGCAAAACTTCCCCTTCCACGCCTACTTCTCCGACGCGCCCCAGCCCCTATTCCCACCAGAGGCAGACCGTGCCCAAGTCTTGGACATTGCGCAAGGCTGTTACCGCCACATCTCCAAGATCTTCTCGGAGCTCGCGGACATCCGGCCCTTTGAGATCTTGCGGCGCGAAAAGGACAAGGCCAACTATCTCCTGACCAACGAGGCTCGCATTGTTGCAATGACAACGACACATGCGGCCATGAGAAGGGGTGAGATTGCCGCACTTGGCTTCCACTACGACAACGTCGTCATGGAGGAGGCAGCGCAAATCACAGAGATTGAAACGTTTATCCCCCTAGCGATGCAAAAGCCCGTCAACGGCCAGCTGCCATTGCAGCGGGTCGTGCTGTGTGGTGATCACTTTCAGAACTCGCCGGTGATTCAGAGCTTGGCGTTCCGCCACTATGCCAACCTAGAGCAGTCGTTGTTCTCGCGGCTTGTTCGGCTGGGCGTGCCGACGGTTACTCTGGATCAGCAAGGCCGTGCTCGGCCGTCCATTGCCAAGCTGTACGCGTGGCGTTATCCCAAGCTCGACAATCTCCCCGACGTCCTGACCAACCCTGAGTTCTTGCGGGCAAATGCCGGCTTCAAGTACGACTTCCAGTTCATCAACGTTCCCAACTACAAGGGCCGTGGTGAGACTGAGCCGACGCCGCACTTTATCCAGAACCTGGGCGAGGCCGAATACGCAGTGGCCATCTACCAGTACATGCGACTGCTTGGGTATCCGGCGGAGAAGATTAGCATACTGACGACGTACGCGGGCCAGAGGGCTCTGGTGAAGGATGTGCTTGCGCACCGATGTGCATCGAGCCCCATCTTTGGTCTTCCCAAGGCTGTTGCTACAGTCGACAAATACCAGGGGGAGCAAAATGACTGTAAGTGTGCCCTTGTGAGTGTAATCTGGTTGAGCGACGAACTAATGATGTTTGTATAGACATTATTCTTTCTCTAACTCGCACGTCGCGCGTCGGCTACCTTCGCGATGTCCGTCGCATGACTGTGGCCTTTTCTCGAGCGAGGCTGGGACTCTACGTTCTCGGACGCCGAGAAGTGTTTGAAGCCTGTCCGGAGCTCCGACCGGCGTTTGACGTGCTGCTGCAGCGACCGGACAAGCTGATGCTGGTGACGGGCGAGCTGTGGCCTACCGAGCGCCCGAGCACGGAAGAGGAGGCGCCCGTCGAGGGCGAAGTTGCCATGGAGGGCGTTGAGCACATTGGACAGTATGTGTATGAGATGTCCATGACCAGGATGAAGCAGCTGCAGGAGGAGCAGGGCGTGCCGATGGAGGCTACAATGGATGAGACTGAGGAAGAGGTACAGGCGGGATACTATGATGAGGAAGAGGAAAAGGCTTTGGAGCCGGATATCCTGGAGGTTCGAGAGGGGGAAGCCAATTAAGGTGAAGGTTGTTTGTAAGGGTTAGGTATAGAAATGGATCTATATGAAGCGGAAGGGGGAACAAATAGGTTGTTTGGGAATGAAACAGTCGAATATATAGAAGTGCATAGGGCTGTGACCCTCTAACTCTCGTTCTTGGCTTGACTTGGGATTCTTGGTACACGCTCTGAAGACGGAGAGGCTTGAAGTTGGGGAGCCTAGGGATGAGGTCTGGCAGATGTCCAGGTTACCCTATAGTTGAGGCGAAACTTGCTGCTCAAGTAGGCTGCATCTATCAGAGATTAACCTCAACTTTATTTCTCTCTTATTTTCCCCAATTTGTCCTTCTTTTGCCCCCCTTTCAGCTTGGTACAATACGCTGTATGTTACGTGGAATATAAGCAACAGTCAACCTGATGTCAGCATCAAGAGTCCCTGTTATTGCACCATGAACAAAGTGTTACGACGGGCCGGGCTTTTCGGAGCCACAGAGGCAACTGTCTCGGCGAAAAAAAGAAGGAAGGATAACGAAGGGAAAGCATTGGCATCAGGTGATGGCGGGCTGCCTCTTTTGCTGTATCTCCCACGGGTTGTGTGTAGGACAGATAATGGTGTCGTGGCGGGGAGAAGTTGGGATTTGTGTTCAGCGTGTAACATTCTTCTTTTTTTGGCGAGTCGAAGATCTTGGCTATCAGATGAGTGAACGATATGAACAATGAGTTTCGAGAGCGTTTAGGAAAGTGCTTTATTGTTCAGAGAGGAGCCATGTTCTCTGTATTAGCCAAGAGGTACTTTGAGTTGGCATGTCGACATCCTCAACCTCTAAAAGTCTTGATGAGATACCCTGCACGTTTCAGACAGTGCCTCGTTGAGAGATCTTGCACATGGCAGCAAAAATTCAGTAAGACAAGAAATATCAATCAGAGCACAGAGAGATTGGCGCTAATAAACAAGGAGACTAGAGCCTGGAGATTCTAGTGCGAGAAAAAAAAGTTATGAGGGGAAGCATAGACCAGAGAGAAAAAAAGACACTGACCAAGAGAAAAAAGAGCATTGGGAATTTTTTTTCTTGGGCGGTAGGTTGCTGGGTACCTTGGTACTTGGGTAGATGCACGCCCCTGGGGTACGTTGAAGGTGTTTGCTTGTAGGAAAGTGAGGTGAAAATGAGATTAGAAAAACGGCCGCTGGATTCTGATTGGTGTTTAGTGGGTGTGTTAAATTGGGGAGGCGTTTTGGAGGGACAATTGGGAGGCGTTTTGCTGGGCTTTGAGGTGGTTTGAGATTTCGGTACTGTTGAATGAGTGAGTGAGTGAGTGAGTGAGAAGAGTGAGAGTGAGTGTATGGCTTTTTTTGATGTTGTTATGAGATGTCGGGTTTCTGTAGTAGTGAAAGAAGCTGCCACTTCTCTGTGATTTACTGCGTGCTTTGTTGTTCAATCAGGGGACACAGTCATGGTGATGGTAATGTGGCTCAAAGAAATTGACCTTGAGTGGTGGCTGAGGACGTGTGCCGGATTAGAGAGAGGTACGAAGGAGTAAAAGTGACTGGAGGGCATCAGTCCTGATTTCTGGCACTTAAGCCACGGCGATGCAGTGATTCTCATTGCCTGGCACACTCTGAGGCTGACTGATGTCACATGCCATTCGCTCTCTTTTCACTCAGGACTTGAGTTTGTGTGCATACTTAGGTAATACTCGTACGGTACCTACTAGGCACCAACGCCACATGTATGGCTGAGCTTAATACCCAGGAGGCGAACTGATTTTTTACTTTGATTCTTCTTCTGCACAAGTTGCTGCTTATCAAAGACGAATCAGAGTCGTGACACGGTTGGCATCTTTTCTTTGCGGTTGTTCGGTCATGGAGTCGAGAGTGAAGAGGCGAAAAAGAAGAAAGAAAAAAAAAAAAAAAAAAGTCGAGATGAAGTCCAAGTCACGTGGTGATACCGCCCAAGTGAACAACGTCAAGAAAGGTCCATCCAATCCCGATGATCATTCGTCAACGCAACTGCCAATCACATTGGATATACCTACGGAGTATTTGATGCGCCTGCGAGAATGGCTTCTTTGAACCTCTGCCATCGACGAGTTGGGTGAGTGAAACAGCATTTAGAAGCAGATGCAATGTGGGCTCGGGGAACCGTGGTCGAGGCATCGCTGAGTCAGGTCTCCAGCACCGCCCTGAGGCGCATCACGGCGTGCGCGTGGAGACGGTGAGCAGCAGGTCTGCAGGATAAGGCACCTCGTTCAGTGCTGACTCTTGTCATCTAATGTCCTAACTCCGTGACGATACGATACAGAGGAGATGTGTGTGTATGTGTGTGTGTACGACCTTACCTACCTCATGACAACTCAACGGGCTCAGCATCCCCGGAGAATGTGGCCAGATGCCGCCTTGTTTGCCGCCTTGAAGCTCAAGTTTGTTTGCCCAAAGGGCGGGCTAGGTAGTTCTTGGTGACTACCTACCTTATCTGAGGTACCTAAGGTAGGTATTAGCCTGCCTCATTCAGTGACTCCCAGCAGAACCTTTGAAGGCTTAAAATCCGGGCTTGCCAAGCCTCGGCTTACATACCTACCCTGTGAAGCTTCCCAGCCTTTTCCTCCAGCAACAGGCTCGTCTCCCAAAGCTGGTCTGGCCAACTCGAACCAAAAGTGAGCTTCGCTTCGACAGTGAGGCCGGACTTCTGATAGTACCGGTACCTAGTCTTGCACCGCCGATTCGCACCAGGCTCAAGTACCCCTACCGCCGACCCCTCCAAACCCCAAGTGGCGCCCCAGCAGGGAAAGAGCCCGCTAGCGCCACCCCTCTGCCTCTAAGGCCGCCCCTTCCGCCCACCACATCATATTTCCTGCTGCCCAAAATTTTTACGCAGCCTCTCCTCTCCAACCCTCACCACTAAACATCAACCAGTGGCCGGTGGAATCTCCTCTCTCCTGGCCTCTTTTTTCCCCTCTCACGGCATTGGACCATCTTCTGCAGCTTCGGTAGCTGAAGATTGTTCTCTCTGCTCCTTTTCCCTCAGCCGCCGCGCGGGATCGTAGCCAGTCGCAACCGACGGACAGCCTACGGTCGTTTCCCCCACCCGGTCGCTTTTTCCTCCATCCTCTCGCCCTTCGTCTCAGTCGAACGAAGCGAATCCCATCTCCTCTCTCGGTGTCCTGGATCGTCTGTTTCCTTCCGAGAACGCTCCTTTATTCAGAGACTCGACACGGATCGCTGAGCGTATTCTCAACGAGGTCTCCAGAACCAGTCGTCTCGGCCGTTTCTTCTTTTTTCTCTTCTTTCGAAAGCCTTCGCTTTTTTTTTTTTTCGCCCCGCCGATCTCGATCGAAAGAAATAAAAAAAGAAGAACAAACACCACCGATCCTTCGATTCTCGCATCGCGAACCGCCGCTCCCCATATGACGTCGCCTGCGAACCAGCAGACCCCGATCCCGGCGACCACCACCAACGCTCCTACGGCACCTTCATATGCCTCCGCAGCAGGTGCGCCAAAGAAGCCCGCTCAGGCGCCTGTAGTTGCGTCCGGCTCCAACGCCCCCCTGGTGGTCGGCTCGTCTGCCCCTACGGCTTCGGCACAGAATGCCAAGGCTGCCTCTTCGCCATCTCCAGTGAACGGCAAGCAGCCCGTCCCTCCTGCGGTCCCCACCGTCGCCCGCAGCTCCTTCAACGGCTCCGGCCCCGATCACTTTCGAAAAGGCTCCGTCACCATGGCTGCCAACGGCCCCAGCGGCTTCGTCCCCAACGGCGGCTCCATTGCCGGTGCCAAGTCGGGCATCCAGTTCGGCTACGACTCGCCCGCCATGGGCCACAGCACTCCCCACGTCGGCCACTCTGCGCCCATCCCTGTCCCCGATGCGAACAACCACCACCGAGTGCCTTCGCCCGCGCACTCTCCGGCCCCTATCCCGCAGCCCTCCGCTAGCGGTGGCCGACCTCCCTCTAGCCTGCAGCAGCCGACCAACCAGATGACCTTTGGCAGTCTCGGCAGCGATGGCGATGTAAGCTCCAAACTTTTCCAACGATATCCCCTCTTTTGTCTTCTCTGTTCCTCAAGCCCTTGGCCCTTGGCTGTTCCACGAAGAAGCGGACAAAGTGCTAACCTGACGATGCTATCCAGCGCCACATGAGACAGGGCTCCGTCCCCCCGAACCCGAACCTGGCCAACCAGTCAGGCGCACACTTCCGCCGCGAGTCGAGCCATTCCGTGCAGAGCGACAGCAGCCGTGGCAACTTTGGTCCTCAGAACAACCGAAACCGAAACTCGTTCAACCCGCACGCCACCCAGTTCAACAACCAGATGGGCTTCCCTCCCCAGAACCAGTTCCGAACTCCTGGCCAGAACCGCGGCATGCCTCCGTCGTTCCAGCCTAACCCTCGAGGCTACCCGAACTCGCCCCAGCCCGCCCGCAGCCCGGCCCTCGCCAACCTCGTGCCCTCGCTCCCCGGCACCCCGAACATGCCTCCGGCGACGATGCAGCCTAACATGGCCATGCCGAATGCTCCTGCGTACCACTACCCGCCACCGATTCCGGCTTCTCACCAGCAACAAGTACAGTACCCCTTTCCTGCAGTAGCCGCCAAAATGCATTCCAAGCCCAGTTACAAAAAGTCAAAGAGCCGTCGTGAGTACGACAGGCACTTTAGCCAGGGAAGTCCCTTGGACACCGCACATGACGCCCCTACCAGCGCCGCTTGGCCGCAGCAGCAACAGCAGCAGCAGCATCACCAACGCCGCTTTGGTAGCCAAGGCCAGCGTGCAGATACACAGTGGCGTGCCCACGACAAGAACAACATGCGTCCGATTTCGAGTGGAATTCAAAAGGACGGCCCTTCCTCCCCCTCTCTTCCTCTTGTCGACGCTCCACTCAGTCACCCAAACTCGCTTGATCTTTCTCCTGAAAACGGAGGTTTCGAACTTTGGCTAACTTGGAAGAATCAGACTTACGGTTTCCCCCCGCAGCAGATGAACCAATATGGCCAGCCCATGACCGTGCCGTACTACGGCGGCGCCATGCCCTACATGGGCCCTCCCCAGCCCGGCGCTCAAGCTTATAACCAGCAGTTCGCGCCCCCTACTTTCCACCAGCAGAGCCACAGCATGTCCCGAACGCCCTCGCAGCCTGAGCGACCTGCTAGCGCCAGCCAGCCCAGCCAGCCGGCCATTGTCTCGTCAAACCCCAAGGCTCTCAACGCCCAGGCCAACCCCAACAGCTTCGTCAAGCCCAGGAAGAGCGCCGCGGTTCAAATTAAGAATCTTGCCGGCGAGGTGGTTGATACCTCTACTTTCAAGCAGCCCGCTTCTCCTGTTCCCGCCCAAACTAGGACTCCCCCCGTTATCGCGGCATCCACACCGCCTCAGCAGAAGCTCGACGCGCCCAGCCATGCCCGCACCGACAGCCAATCGCCCAGCAAGACAGCCAAGGAGATTCAGGAAGAATTGAAGGCCAAGATTCAGGCTGAGATTCGCGCTGCTTCAGAAAAGGCGGCGAAGCAGGAGGCCGGAGCCAAGGCCGGAGCCGCTGAGGACGCCAGCGCCAAGAAGGCTGAAGCTGCGGAAGCAAAGGTGGAGGAGAAGACTGAAGCAAAGGCGGAAGCCCAGCCAGAGGTCAAGGCCCAGCCTGAGGCGACACCCGACGTCAAGCCCGAAGAGCCAAAGGCCGAGCCCGCCGAAACCAAGGCCGAGGCAAAGGCTGAGCCCCAACCCGAGGCCGCTGCCAAGGCTGAGGCGCCGGCGCCCGAGAAGGCGGCTGAGAAACCTGCCGAAGAGCCCGCTGAGAAGGCAACTGAGAAGGCGGCCGAGAAGCCCGCTGAGACGCCCGCCGAAGCTCCCAAGGCTGAGGAGCCCCCTGCGAAATCGGAGGAGCCCGCCAAGAGTGACGAGCCAGAGGAAGACGAGCTCGAGCGCATCATTCGGGAGATGGAAGAGGCCGAAGCCAAGCGCGAAGCTCAGGAGGAGGAGCATCGTAAGAAGAGGGAGGCCGAAAAGGCAGCGCAGAAGGCCGCCGAGGAGGCGAACCAGAAGAAGAATGCCGAAGAAGCGGACCGCAAACTGCGAGAGCAGGAACGCGAGATGGAGCGACTTGAAGAAGAGAAGGAGAGGCGACGTGAAGCCGCCGAGTCCTCCGGCAAGACCCTCTCCGTCGCTGAAGCTCTGGCTCAGATGCGTAGTGGTAACGCCCCGGACAAGAAAGACGAGCCCGCCTCTGTCGAGGCCGTTGCCGACAAGCTTGCCGACTTTAGCATCGCCGGCGACAAGTCTGGCGACGCTGCCGGGCAGAAGGAGAAGCGAGTTGCCAAGCCCGCCGCCCTCAACCTGGCGCCCATCAAGACCAGCGCCGTGGAGCCTCCCCAGCCCAGCGCCGCGCTGCAGTCTCTCAAGTCGGCTCGTTTCCTGCAGGTGATGGACCAGGACATCTACCCCGAGGGCATCAAGTCCCCCAACCCGGCTCTCAACGCCGCCGTCGCCAAGAAGGGCAAGACGTTCAAGTACGACGCTGCCTTCTTGCTCCAGTTCCAGAAGGTCTTCACCGAGCAACCTTCGCTCCAGTTCCACCAGCAGATTAAGCAGCTGATTGGCGATGGCGACGGCAACCGCTCTGCATCGCGCGGCCAGACGCCCAGCTCGGCCAGACAGGGATCCCGCGGAGGAGGCGGCTTCCCCGGCGGCTCCTTTGGTGTCCCCGGTGGGCGCACTCTGCCTCCCGGCACCACGTCCGCCGACCGCATGGCCATTGCCAGCGGCGCCCTGCCGCGGCCGCAGGTCAACCCGATGGCGTCGTTCCAGCGTCCTGGCGCTGCCTTCCCTGCCTCGTCGTCCATGTCCCGTACCTCTTCCCAGAACATGCGCAACAACCTGCCCAACTCCCCACGCCAGTCCAGCCGATCCACCCGCGGCAGCCGTCGCAACGACATGGCTGCCAAGGAGGCCCAGGCTGCTAAGACCATGCCTCTCACGGCCGGCCAGGAGGTCAAGCCCATCACCGTCTCGGCCTCTGGATGGAAGGCCAGCAGCCTGGGTAAGGCACCCTCTGCCGCCACTCCTCAGCCTGGCCAGCTCATGGACCCGGAAATGGTTCAGCGAAAGGTCAAGGCCGCTCTCAACAAGATGACTCCGGAGAACTTCGAGCGTATTTCGGAGCAGATCCTGGCCATTGCCTCGCAGTCCAAGGATGAGACGGACGGCCGGACTCTGCGCCAGGTCATCCAGCTCACCTTTGAAAAGGCCACCGACGAAGCCCACTGGGCCTCCATGTATGCCAAGTTCTGCAAGCGGATGCTCGAGACCATGAGCCCCGATATTCGCGACGAGAACATCAAGGACAAGAACGGCAACGTGGTCAGCGGCGGCAACCTGTTCCGCAAGTACCTCCTCAACCGATGCCAGAAGGAGTTTGAGCGTGGCTGGACGACCAACCTGCCCGAGGCTCCCAAGGACACCGAGGAGGGCGAGAAGAAGACTGGAGAGGCGGCCATGCTGTCTGACGAGTACTACGCCGCCGCCGCCGCCAAGCGACGAGGCCTCGGTCTCGTCCAGTTCATCGGAGAGCTGTTCAAGCTGGGCATGCTTACTGAGCGCATCATGCACGAGTGTGTCACCAAGCTTGTCGATTACAAGGGAATGCCCGACGAGGCCGAGATTGAGTCTCTCTGCAAGCTGCTGCGCACTATTGGTGCCAACCTCGATGAGACGGACAAGGGCCGTCCTCTGATGGACATTTACTTCCAGCGTATCCAGGGAATGGCCGATCTGCCCGAGCTTCAGAGCCGTATGAGGTTCATGCTTATGGATGTTATCGACCTCCGAAAAGCCCGCTGGGTCTCGAAGGAGGGCAACAAGGGCCCCAAGACTTTGGAAGAAGTCCGCGCCGAAGTGAGTATCTCCCCTCTCTACCACTTGTCTTTCCCAGCGCATCATCATACTAACTCGAGTGAACCTAGGCGGAGGCTCAATCAGCTGCCAAGGCTCAGGAAGCGGCACGAACGAGCCAGCGTGGCGGTCCTGGTGGTGGCCGACCCCCTGCTGGACGCGGCGATGCTCGTGGCTTCTCCGGAAGCTTCAACCAGCCCAGCAACCAGGTGGGCATGGACGACCTCCGACGTCTCAAGGGCTCGTCTGTCAACAGGACGTCAAGCTCCAACGTCACCCTTGGTCCCACATCGATGCTGTCCTCTCGTAGCAACAGCGGACGGCGGTTCGGACCTGGCGGCGCTCTCGGCCGTGGTGGCGATGACTCCAACAGCTCGTCTCGCGCTGGAACCCCCGGGCCTACAAGCTCCAATGCCTTTAGGTAAGCATGAAGCAGCACTCCCTTGTCTCACCACCAACATATCATACTGACTGTGTTGTTCTCTGCAGCTTGCTAGCCACTATGGATGATGGCCACCCGGCCTCCCCCCCGTCTGCTGGACCCTCGCCCCTCATGGCCAAGGCGGTTCCCGCCACGGACAAGAAGGACAATGAATGAAAAAAAGACATGAACGCTTTTCTTTGTTCTCGGTGTCTTTGCATTTTTTTGGGGGGGAGGGAATAGACTCGGCGGGGCTGTGTTTTCTCTTTTCTTGCATTTACAAGGCTTTGATGCGAACGTTTCACCAAAAGTTTGAGCACGCATTTTCTCCCGCGATACCTTTTGCCCCATAGACCATTTGACCCAACGAGTGGACAGATGAGGCCTCCCTCACAGAGGAGGAGAGAGGGTGCATATTCTTTTTTTTTCGCCTTGTTTTTTTTCTCCTCTTTCCTATTATCTACTGTATTCCGGACTAGGGATTCACCATGACTTTCTTATTCATGACTGTGTTTATAACTTCTTCTTAATGTCTGTCCCCTTTGGTGTGCTCCAAAATCCTTTAATGCTTCGTGGCTCGGAAAATGAGAGGAGGAAACAGGACACAGTTGATGGTCATCTCATCTGTCGGCGCAAAGGAGGGGGGGGGGGGGGGGGGGGGGGGGAAGACGCGAGGAACAGGATCACGGATGCGATGTCCCCGTCATTCCGAAAGTTACCAGATGGTAGAACGCCCACATGCGGGGAAAATGGGAGGGAAAAGGAAAGGGACGATTCATGTCTTGAAGAGGTTTTTGATGATGATGGTGGTGGTGGTGGTGGTTATACTTTGTTTGCCGAGACAAAAATTGATGATGGATGTATCTATGAGAGAGAGAGACAGAGAGAGAGACAGAGACTGAGAGAGAGTGCATGGTACAATGCGATGTGATTTGGAACGATATGGTGCTGGTCCTGTTGTTTTTTGGTAATACTTGGCTTTTAATTGAATGAGTCTGATTGTAATTGTGAGTGAACAAAAGTCTTGCTGTGATGTCTTGCTGTGTTGTACCTGAGGATATCGACTGTGTTTGATCTGTGTTGTATTTTAAGTCTCGTGAAATTGTGTATTGTCTTCTTGTCTTGGTGATTGATAGATGGAAACTTCTTCACTGGAACGCAGTCTTAATTCCTCAATATGCTGCTCTCCTACAGTAATTCTCACCTCCTCTGTTCCTGATAAGAAGAATCTTTGTCCGAGGCATATAACGGCCAGTGGGCACCCATACACACCTTAAATAAAGTTGATCAGTCAAGAGCGTCGTCTCGTTTCACTACAGTATTTTTTTTTCTTCTTCAAAGAACATATATATATATACGTCGTAGTCTCTGCTCCGCCCAAGTCATTCAAGTGGCATTCGCTCTCAAAAAAAAACAAAGGGTCAACAATGTCATGAACAAGTCAGTGCCTACTGTACTCGAAAAAAGGTAGGTATCCTCCTCCTCCCATCGCGAGCGACTCACAAACATCACACGACAATTCTCCTTCAGCATTCATTGTCCACAGAAAGACACAGCATGATCGCCCTTTTTTTTTGCAAAGCACTTTCGAGCTATTTATCTTAATCGAAGCGCCTGTAGCCATTCATTCCAATCATCTCCAGTGCTTTTTCCATAAGACTAAAACAAAAGAACCAACCATCCATTGCCATGCAAGAATCGACTCAATATACCTACTCAATCCCCCCCTCCCTTCGCATAGTTATTACCAACCTATAAACATTCTGTCATAAACATACACCTCCCCCGGAGCCCCTGTCCTCTCATGAAGCAGCAACTGCAGCAGCAGCAGCAGGAGCCATCATCTTGCTAAACCCAAGCTTCGAAAAGAGCGAATCCATGGCAACCCACTGCCGGCCACACTTCTCAAGATACTTGTCCACCACCGTCTTGACCGTCGTAAAACGCACCCGGTTGTGCTCCGCCAGCGCCCGAATCTTCTCCCGCTCCTGCGCAGAAAGGTCGGTGTTGCTGGCATCGCCCGCCTTGGCCTTGGCTTTATCCACGTCCCATAGGCTGGCAAAGTACACCAGCTGGTTGTACATGGCCTTCTCCGTGTACTCGTACTGCATCTTGCCGCCGCAGTCGCGTGCCAGGCCCTTGGGCCCCAGACAGCATGTGCCGTAGACGCTCATCTGCCGCGTGCGGTTGCCGCACTGCGGGTCGTCGCAGACGAGCCAGCCCTCGTAGTAGCGAGACGTCTGCAGCCGCACCGCGTGCTCGACCTGCGCTACGACAGACAGCGTGGGGAGGACGGCGCTGCAGCCGGGGCAGATGACGCCGGACGCGGTGACGCGATCGGGAGATCCCGTGAGACCCTCAAAGTCGGACGAAGCTTTGCACTTGCGGCAGCGCAGCTTGAGCCGCTTGCAGTCGACGAACCGCACCTCGTCGGGGATCTGAGACTCCAGGGGATGAATCTCGAGCTGATCGCTCGAGCTGCCCGACTGTGTCTGAGTCGACGTGTACCGGCGAACGTCCAAGCCCAGCTGCTCGGCAAGCTGCGACGTCGATGTGCCCGCAATGTTGGCACACAGACGCTCCACGGGAGGGAAGATTTGCTTGGCAATGTACCAGTCCACGTCGGGCTGCAGGCTGGGATCGGCCTTGAGGTCTGCCGGAGAGTAAGCACGCTTCGGCGCCGGCTCCGAGCTCTTGCTGGTGCCCGTGATGACGTAGGAAATCACGTCTCCCTTGCGCACGGTTTTACCCCTGAGCATGTCGCGGAGAGCAACTTGCACCTGGGGCATCGAGTCGGCGTTGGGGTACTCCTTGGGACCCTTTCCGAGCTGCGTGTAGATGGTGTACTTGGCCACGGGAATGGAAAACTCGCGCATCTTGGTGGCAATGTCGCGCAGGTACTCGTGGATGCGGGCCACGGCAACCTCAATGTCGTCTCCGGACAGGATCTCGTCGAGCAGATGCTTGGACACTTCCTTGGACAGGGCGCAGTACTCACGACGCCGCATGTCCAGACCCTTGACCTCCATCTTCTCGATGAACTTGCCGTCCTTTTCCACCAGGTTGATGGCTGCATACTTCTTCTTGGCCTGCAGCAGGATGCGCCGGAAGACGTTGTCAATGTCAATCTCCAGCAGCCGGTACTGCTCGTTGACGGCCTTCTTGAACTCGTTGCCGACCTTGAAAGCGTCGGCCACGTTGTCCACGTTGGCATTGATCATGACCGAGTCGGTGTCACCGTAGATGACCTGCAGCGATTTGCTCTCGGCCAGATCCTTGGTGCTGCGGAGAATCTCTCGACCCTTGTGCGTGGTCAAGATGGCCAGGGGGCGAGCGTAGAAGCGGGAGCGGGTGTATCCTAGACAACCGTACATGGAGTTGGCCGTCAGCTTCAAGGCCAGCTGCTTAATGTCCCAGGTGGCGAGCTCTTCGGGTGTGGCCTTTTTGTCCTTCATCAGATTCTTGACTTGGCGACGGCGACTGACGAGCGTAGCAATAAGTCTCGGCAGGATGCCCTGTTCTTGGTTGACGGGGACTTCGGGCACAGCGTCTTCATTATCAGCCTGATGGGGAAGTGTTAGCGCTGAGCAATGACGAGCAGCCCGAGGACTCTTACCGATGCTGTTCTGTCCACCGTGGTGAAGCAAATGTTAAACTCTTGGATGATGGACGGGTAAAGGGAGTTAAAGTCCATGACGAGAACAAACTTGTCGTAGAGACCTTTTTCTGGCTCAAAGACGAGACCGCCCTTGTACTTGTCCTTCTTCTTGCCATCGCCCGCTTCTTCATCGCCATTCTCCTCCTCGGCCTTTTGCCGTCCCTTGAACGTCTGCTTGTCGGGGCAGATGTACTTGTTCCGGTGAAACTCGTGGAGGAGAATGTATTCGTTTCGCTCGGCGCGGGTACCGGTCAGGGTACGGGCCCAGGAGTTGCCGGCCAGGTTCGTCAGGACCTTGGTGAGCGGCAGCAGCTGCACACTGACTGCCAGAGCGGCAATGTAGTGCGTGTCAGCTTCCATGTGCGTCACGTAGTCCATCAGGCCCTGGCTCTCCTTGGCCCAAGTGTTGAGGGCGACCTCATTGTCAACATCACGGCGACGGTTGTCCCCCGTGAGGTACAGGCTGCACATTTCCGTCAAGCTCCAGGTCTGGCACTTGAACATGGCAGACTTTCCCGCATCGTTGGCGAGATCGCAAAGCAACCGACCGGCAATGACCTGCCGCTCCGCAAACACGTTGCCGCCAACCTTGCCAATGGAGGACGGCCACTGCGTTCGCCGCAGTCTTCCGAGCCTTGACCACTGATGGACCTTTTTCTCCAGCAGGCGGTTCAGCAACACACTGTAATCGACGCCTTCCAGCTGGTGGCCGAGAATCACATCGGGATCTGCCACGTCCACCTGAGCCAGAAAGTAGCTCAGCACTTCAGACTCCTGTTTCTTCAAGACAATCGGACCCCTATTTCTCTTCCTTGCTAGCGTGTCGAAGCCCATGGGGAAAGCCTGCCCGTGCGGCCGAATGACGGTAAATGTTCTGCAAGGAAGCTTCTCGGCAGGAGTGGTATCGCTCAGAGAGACCTTGTCGTAGACTCGCGCGCTGATGGCAATGATTTCCTGCTTGTTCTCGGCTGCGTTGAAGGCCGTCCGAAGGGCGATGCTCATCAGGGTCAAGGGGGGCATGTCCATGTTGTCAGAGTCGCTGATGGTCGACACCATGTTGGGGTGTTCAGCCAGAACCTCGAGCTTGCAGTGCGAGGCGTTCTTGATGGCACCAAAGTCGGCATCCTGGATCTTGAGCCAGCAAGGACCCATGATGTTCTTCCACAAGACAAACTGTTCGAATAGGGCAGTGTTGGTGCCAAATACGTGAGAAAATGTCTCTCCTTTCGTATCCATGTTGAGGGCCGGTTCTAAAGACAAAAGGGTCAATAGGCTACCAAACATCGAATTTGGGCTTCACATACTTGTGTAAGGATATAGAAGCTTCATGTAGTCTGCTTCCTTGGGGATGTCGGGCAAGTCAAAGGCGTATTTCCGCTGGCACTTTTTGATTTTGTACATGCCAACGTTCATCTTGGTCATGAGCTCATCCACCTCGTTGTAGACATCAGACATATCGACTTCATCTCCCGTCTCTTCGCCATCTCGGAGACGCTGCTGGCGAGGCAAGAAGTAGAGCTTCCGCAGAATGTTGTCAATCTTGACAAAGCAACTGACGTATGATTGCGTCTTCTTGTTGAGCACTTTGCCAAAGAGACAGAGGCTGCCGTTGACCTCCGTGTAGTCGGTCCAGAAGAAGTTGAGAGATCCATCTGCCTCGATGGCGTCCCTGTGGTCTATCTTGCCGATTCCTTTGGGCTCCGACATGGAGCTGCTCACGACGTTGAGCTTCTCTGTGAGCTGGTTCCAAGATGACGCATCCACTGAGGTGTCAGGGGCCTTGACTGGAGATGAAGTCGCTGCCGGCTCTTCTTTGATGATTTTCCTCACTGGCCGGGAAGCTGCCAGGTTGACACTGGCAACCTTGACAGCGCCAGCATGAGCAACCTCCATCATATCGTCATCGTCGTCACTTTGCGGCTCCTGCTTTATCTGGGCCTTGCGCTGGGCGACCTTGGCAGCGGGGGAGGAGGGTGCCGGGTCGCTCATGGGAAAGTCGGCCGTACCCATGGGCTCGTCATCGATCAACGGCGCAAGACCATCGTCGTCGTTGTCGTCGAAACTTGGAGGGGCGGGATCCGGTGATGGCAGTCGTATGTCAACCCGCTTCTGCTTCTTGAAGCTGGGCTCTGGCGCAGGAGACAAGTCTCTAGCTTTTCTTCGCTCGCCGCCTGACCGTTCGGCTTTGGGTGCCCTCGGGGCTGGAGCGGGGATGTTGGCATCGACCTCTCCGAGGAGGTCGGCCAGGAAGTCGTCGTCGGCCTTTGTCTTGACAACCTGCCGCTGTGTTAGGCCATCTTGGGGGATTCATATAAGGTGCCGCATACGGCGCCATACCTTGGGCTTGGGCTGGGCTTTACCGGCGCCCTTGGTGAAGTATTCGCTGATGCTTCGATCGTTGGCGTCTCGCTTGGCCTGCTCTTCGTCACGGCTCTTCTTTGCTGCATGAATAACCAGTGTCAGTCTCCTCACGATGTAATGTCCAGAGGCAACAGTGGCCGTGCAAACAAACACCCATGCGCCCATTATCGAAACTCACCCGCTTTGCTCGGCCTCCCCCGCGTCGGCAGCTCATCGCCTTCGCTGTCCGACTCGTACGGCCTCACTCGATCCCAATCCTCCCGTCCGTCGTCGGCATAACCCTCGCCATTGTCGTCCACCACAAAGTCGTCCTGATTCAGGCGGTCCCGCACAATCTCCTTGTATCCGGCCTCGTCCACCTCGTCGTAGAGATTCGCGACATCCTCGACCTGGTAGCTCTCAAAGGCCTTCTTGCCCGCCTGGCGGAGGGCCTTGAGCTCGGCGAGCTTTGCCCTGCGGTCGACCTTGGGCATGGCGGGAGAGGGCTGCTGCTTTCCGTCGAGGTTTGGGTATCATGAAAAGATGGAATTGGAAAAAGAGAGTGAAAGACGAGACGCAGGCATCGACAAAAGCGATTTGCTTGTGGTGGTGGAAAGAGATGGACAGAGGCAGAGAGAGAGAGTGTGTGTGTGTGTGTGTTGTAGATTTGATCTTGTTGGAGGTCCCGGCTGTTAGAGGCCTGCCCAAGAGGAACCTCGATGCGTGCCCTATCTAGTACACACCAGCAGGTACCGCGCTCAGGCACTGCTATCAGCAGGAAGCGCGTCTTTACGCGTGTGTCGCGTTGTTGCTTGACGCGCTAGACCAGGACCTTAATTGCAACGTGGGGCAGCTCTTGAGTGGCTCTGCTTATGCACTCAGGCAGCGATATCGAGCTATCGGGGCCGTCTCAACCACCCTCGATCTAAGTCCAACATCTTCTAATACCTCCATCACGACCCATACACACGAGGGAGAGCAGTTATTGGACCAAGTGGTGGTTGAAGAAGAGAATCTTGTCATTCTAGAAGAGCCAAATATGCCTACTCATCAATGCTGAAGCCAGCCGTCTATATTCCGTAGTGTACAGAGTCTCCATCTACCTATATCATACACTCATAAAATGTACATATTTTACATGTGGTATCCAAGTCAATCTTTTTTGCAGATGGTTCTACCACCCGCTGGCATCCCGGCCTCTAGAATCCCATTCGTCATCCTCTTTGGCACCCCATTGCCTTCTAGGCTGTCGTTCGTTGCCCTCTCTGGCACCCCAAGCCCTCCTTGGCTGCCTGTCACCACCCTCTTTAGCACCCCACGGCCTCCTGGGTCGTCTCTCCTCACCATCCCTGTCACTCCAAGACCTCCTAGGCTGTCGTTCGACATCTTCTTGGGCTCCCCACTGCCTTCTGGGTTGTCTTTCGTTAACCTCTTCGGCCTGTTTCGTGGTGTTCCAGACAAAGTCGCCGCCCGGTCTGAACCCAGTATCAAACGAGTTCTCATCACTCCCCTCCTCACGTGCTTCGTCTGCGACGCCTCGGTCAGACTTGCGCAGATTGGGCTCCCGCTCCTCACGGTTCGAGTAGAACTTTTGAATCTCGCGGTTGATCTTGGCACCGACCACGCGGAGCTCCTTTGCGTCATCCTCGGGAAGCATCTTCTCGTTGATGACCTTGTTGAACGCACTAAACATGTGACGAGCCAGGGCAATGACCTCGCGCTGGCTGTTGTAGAGCTCGCCCGGGCTGAGTTTGCTGCCCTTGGCGTTCTCCTTGAAGAAGTGGTAGTGAACCTTCTTGTAAGGCTCCCAGAGATGGGCCAGGGCATTTGTTATCTGCAAGCCATAGTCGCGCTTGGCGCCCTCTTCGTCTCCCTTCTTCATTCGTTCGCGATAATGGTAGTGGCTGACGAGAGCAACGCGTAGATACAGTCGAAGAGTGTGTATGTCAGGCACTGGCAGGCGTGTAAGCATGGATTCGAGCACCCGATTCGCGTTGTCAATGGCATTGGTGTTGATGTTGTCGCGGACGCAAGTCTCCATGGCGATGCGGTAGTGCTTGCCATCGATGTACTCGTCGGGCATGAGGCTCAGGATGGAGGAAGCGTGGCCACTAGCCTTTGCGACTTTGAGCATGCCAAACATGCGAAGCCAGTTGTCATTGTCCGGCACGATGCCATAGTGACGGACCAGAAGATTCCAGTACTTGATGCCACTTGTCGTAAGCCTCGACGAGGCAAGCGTCGTCAGGATCAAGGCCAGGGTATTCCGGCCAGGGATGGCATAGACGGCCTTGCTCGAAGGCAATCTCTTTGCGACACCAGTAACGGCAATCTTCTCCATTTGACCGTCTTGAAACGCATCGGCGCCGGGATCCTTGGCCAAGTTGGGAATGCTCATGGTTTGGTAGAGCAGGTCGAGCACTTCTCTCTTGTCTTCCCTGTCAGGGGAGAGGAGCAGGACACGACCCATGGCGCACACCAGTTCTTCGTCAATGACCAGCTGCGCCTTCCTCCATTTGTCAATGACCTCGGACCAGATGCTCTTTGCCCGATCCACAGCCTTTCGCGCATTGGCAGCTTCCTGCTCCGGCGTCACGTCCTTCATGTCGCGGATTGCCTGGTACCGCAAGGCATTCAAGATGGTGGTATACGTATAGGAGGTGGGGGCGCGGGTGGTGTCGTTGGCTGTCTCGGCGATGAGAAACATGGAGTCGAGGTCGCCGGCCCTTGCGCAGACGTTGAGAACGGCGTTCATGTGGATCGAGTTTGGCTGCAGACGCTTGTCGCTGAGGAGGATGTTGTAGTGCTTGACGGCCTCGGCAACGGCAAGCTTGGGGTGCTGGGACTGAGCGCAGCCGCGGAAGATGATGGTGAAGGTCTGGACGTTGGGCAGCTGCCCTCTTTTCTTCATCTACAGAGTCTGTTAGCACACTGAAATACTTGGGGCTGTGGCTTGGCTATGCTTACATCGTTGTAGAGCTTGATGGCGTTCTTCAGCTGCTGCTTGCCCAGCAGGTAGTTGATCAGGTGGTTCCAGGCAACGACAACCTGGCGGTCCTTGCCCGCCGTCTTGGTGAGGAGCAAGGCCTCGTCAAACCTGTCCTTGGCGAGGGCATCCTCCACATACTGGGCAATCTTCCAGGGGTCGTCCATGTGCTGCAGCTGCTTCTTGACGATGCGCTGCAGCCGCTCAAAGTCCTTCTTCTGGGACGCGGCCGGATCGAGGGGCTCCAGGGTTAGAGTCCGAGGCGCATCGGTCCGTTCGGTGCTTGGGGCTGCCACTGAGGCATAGCGTCTGCCGGTCTGTGGGAGAGAAGCCCAGATGCCTGCAGCTTCGGCGAGGGGCCTGCTGCGAGACGAGGCCTGGACGGCCCGCCGCAGACACGCTGCGCAGTTGGCCATGCCCGACATTGTGCGGTAATGAAGCGGCAAATGAATACGATGGCAATGATTCAACAGCCAACAGGAGGGCGAGAATAGAAAGAGTATCAACCAAATCACTGCAAGAATAATGTCGTCTCCTCCATAGTGTACCTACTTGTACAACCTCGTCTGCGCCATCACGAACCTTGTCTTGGATGCTCTCTCAGAAAGAAAAAAGTGAGCGCCTCTTATCTTATCGGCCGCCCACTAGAACAGGGATATCCCGCCCCAAGACGCACTAGGCCACTCTCAGTCTAGCACTGCCGCCCCGTCAGCCTCTTCTCAGACACCGCCAGCCAATCACAGCCTGCAGCCTTGCCTCCCATCTCACTTCTCCTTCAGCTTTAAACCTTCCAGCAAAAGACGCGACCAAATAAGAGGCCAAACCATCTGCATCCTCTGGTCTCTGCTCTGCTCAACATTATACCTTTCCTTCTCTCTCTCCTCCTTTTCTTCTCCCAAATCGTCAATCTCACTCAGAACCCCCGGTCCCCTTGTTCTCTCCATCAAATTCCATCCTCAACCAAAACACCAACCATGGCGCCCGTTGCCACTGAATTCGAGCGCATCATCCATACCGGTACGCACTCACTCGAACCCGTTTTCGCGCGTCTGCCTCTTCTCCCGCCTCGCATCCTCGCAATTGCCCTCCTCTCAGTCCAACATGCTAACGGCCTCGCAGCCCGAGAGCGCAAGCGCAATGAAGCCCTCGCCGACAAGATCTTCTCCAAAGGCCGCCGCCAGAGCGCGCCCGCAGGCCTCAAGGCTTCCCAGCCAGGAGGATCACTCGCCAGCCGAGTAGGCGTCAAAAAGGTTCGCAGATGATATTTTTTTTCTTGCTGGAGAACGAACGAACGAACGACGACAACGGACAAGGAAGAACAGGACAAAAGACTGACCCCCTGGATGCTTGTTTGAAAAACAACAGAGCCAACCCCAGAGCAAGGCCACACCTCCCTCGGCCCTGCGTCGTCGAGCAAACGGCAACGCCGGCGACGTCAACGGCGAATGGACGCACGACCTGCACACCTCCGTCAACCGCCCCGACCTATCCAACCTCCCGCTCAGCTCCCGAATCACCCTCCCCGGTGCCACCACCACCACCACCTCCCGCAAGGCCCCCCCTGCAGCAGCAGTGTCCTCCAAGAAGAAGTTTGCCAGGCTCAGCGCCGCCGTCGACCGCATGGACACGGACCCTTCCGTCCGGCAGCAGGTCAACGTCGTCCCGCAGAGGGCAACCCAGCGGATAATACCCGACGCGGGCATGACGATCCGCGGGCTCGCCGGCCCGTTCGCCGTCATGGCGCAGAACTTTGCCCCGGGGACGACGGCCGCCGACGTGGAGAGCGCCATGACGCCCGTCGGGGGCGAGATGCTCAGCTGCGAGGTGGTCAAGACGCATCCGTTTATGATTGTCGAGATGGTGTTTGCGTCGAGGGAGGGCGGCGAAAGGGTGATTGAGACGTTCAACAACAAGACTGTAAGCTCCTGCCTCTATAATATAAACAATTCTTTCTCTGCCCTTTTCTTTTCTTTTCTGGGTTTACCTTTCTTCTTCTTCTTTTTGTCGCTAACTCCCCTTTTCCCACATAAAAGGCCGACGGCAGAATCCTCAAAGTCTACCCCAAGCCAGGCGGCTACAAGCCCCCCCGCGACTCCCCCTCCTTATCAGCTTCCTCCTCAGGCGGCCGCCAACCGTCCTCCACCCGCGCCCAAGTCGTCGACGGCTCCATGGGCTTCCCGGAGAACGACCTCATGGCCACGGACAACATGCCCCCTCGCTCGCGAAACAGCAGCAACAACAGGCTAAACTATCACAACACCAACAACAACAACAATGACAGCGCACAGAGGCGCGGCCGTGGATTCCAGAGGGGCCACTCGAATAACGGACGCTAGAGGCGTTCGCATTCGCGTTCGCATTCGCGGTCGTGGTCGAGGGACGACGTTCGGGGCAGGAGAGGATATATACCTTATTGATTTTGTTTTTACTTGAGTTGCTCGAGGGCGACTTTAGAAAAGAGGCCTTGTCTCTTTTCTCATGCTCTCTTTTTTATCAAGATTTTCGTTTCGATGTATTAGTTCTGTTTTAGGGTACGGGTTTCTGGGTTTGGGTGAGGGCAACGGTGAATTAATCGAGCGTGCTATTTCTTCGAGTTGACCTTTCGAGGGGCAAGGATCTGATAGTGTCCTTCAGGTATGTAGCAGTAGTATGGTAGGGAGAAATAAAACTTGCAGTAAAAACACTTAGACCTTATCATTGCATTTCACCTCAACACCTCAACAGGGAATCTCTCATCATTCATATTCATTCAATTGCAATCTCTTCCTACTCTCTCATGCACCCGTCCGCCATGCTCCTTTTGTCCTACTCCTTTCCTTCTTCTTCTTCTTCTTCTTCTTCTCTCCGTTATTCATGCCTCCCACAAAGACACAACACAATGCAAAAAAAATGCAAATCTCCATCCATCCTATCCTTGAAAGCCACCCCGTTGGACCCCCCCATCTTGAACAAGAGTAAAACAGAAGGAAAAGAGAATAAATGTCTGCAAAGCACATCATGGGCCCAGTCTCGATTGCAGATACATACAAGGAACCAAAAAGAGTAACGGAAAAAAACACGCATTCGGGGCAAGAAAAGTAGTCGTACACAAGTAGGACGAATTCCATCCCACAGCCAACAGAAAGAAAGACCTCCACCGCGTTGAATCATCCCATCCACCGATCTACAGCCTACGGCCTGCCACTTCCATGACGAAGGCGCTGCCTCTAGCTGTACGCAGGCGGCCACATGCTCCCCCACAATCGTCTTATGCTATTCCCGAAGTTTGGCGTAAGGACCCGCCTGGCTGCGGCTCGGACCGGAAACTGGAGAGCTTCTCGGACTCTGAGAGCTTCGGGAAACATTTCTGTCATCGCAACGACGGTGCGACGACGACGACGACGACGACGACGAAAAAGGGGGCTCGAGGAAGGTCAGGCCACAATCGTCCAAGCCATCGGTGGTCGAGTGTCGCGGATCCAGGAATGCAACATCCATGCTCTGATGTTGGAGACGGAGGGCTATCGAGCGCGGGCCTATTTATTGGCGGCAATCAACCAGGCCAGTCAACAAATCGTCATGGTCAGAAACGGAACTTCAGCTTCGAGCGGAACGAGGCAATATCTCAATGCCATGGATTCTGGTTACCCATGAAGCCTTCTTCCAGGGTCCGCTCTTCCAGATTGCGAATGAAGTCCCGGTTACTGCGGGCCCCCTGTTGAACTCGACTGCCTCGTCTTCCGGCACGGCCAGGCGCATTATCCAGTCCCTCGCCGGTTGGTGGATAGTATGCCGGGCTGGGCTGCAGTCGGATCGGCTGGCTCGGGTCCAGGTGGCTGGCCACTCGCTGCAGGGCTGGAGGGATGCCACTCTGCTGCTGCTCCATGGTCGAGGCCCGCTGCCGGTTGGTCCTCGAGCCGCTTTGCTGGTACATGTTGGGCTGTGAAGAATTCGAGTACTGCGACGACGGGAGCTGCTGAGGAGGCTGCGACATGGCCATCTGACCGTACTGGCCGGACTGGGGCGGCCCGTACTGAGGCTGCACGTTGCCATGGGCAGAGGCGGGATTGTAGACGGCGCTGTTGGAGTACAGAGGGGCCGGCACATGGCTTGAATGTTGGTACTGGCCTCCACCCATGGGCGAGCCGTACTGGGCCTGGGCCTGAGCTTGAGCTTGAGCTTGAGCTTGAGCTTGAGCTTGAGCTTGAGCTTGTGCCTGTGCCTGTGCCTGTGCCTGTGCTTGAGCCTGGGCCTGGGCCTGAGCTTGAGCTTGAGCTTGTGCCTGTGCCTGTGCTTGTGCAGCCTGCGCTTGCGCCTGGGCGGCCCGTTGTTTGCTCAGTGCCTCGGCCTGCTGTTGTTGCTGCGTGCCGGGAGCCGGTGATCGGTTGAGGGAGCTTGACTTGAGGTTCATTGGCGGGACAAAGGGCCCCTGGAACTTTTGCTGGGTGATGAAGGGGTGAAGCTTTGCCTGCTGGGGTGACCACCGCTCGAGAGGGTTGATGTTGAGCAAGCCCCTGACAAAGTCGATAAAGGCAATGCGATTGTTCATTTCTGTGCAGAGTCAGGTTATATAGTCCATGTTTTGGTAAGGGGCGACAAGGCTCACCTCGATCAATTTCGCTCTGCTTCATATTCTTCCGCGGCATCGGATACGACTTGATAATCTCGGGCAGCGTGTTGGCCTGGAAATACTTCTTGCTGGGCTGTTCCTTGGTGTTGTGTTCGCGCGAATACTGCTCCATGCTCTTCAGGTGGTATGTCCGCCTGCCAAACTCGTCCTGCCTCCTTTCAAAGAACTCGAGGCCCTGCTTGCCCATGTCGATCATCCAGTTGGGGGGGTTGCCGAGCATCTCGACGATTCTAGCAATCTGGTTGTACTCTGACGATCCGGGGAAGAGCGGCAGTCCCAAGAAGAGCTCGACCACGATGCAGCCCAGCGACCACATGTCGATGGCAGACGAATAAGGCAAGCCCAGCAGGACCTCGGGGGATCGATAGAACCGGGACTGGATGTAGGTGTAGACCGTCTGTCGCTCGTCGCATGCCGAACCAAAATCGATAATCTTGATGATTGGGCTCTCGAGGTTCTTGAGCAGAATGTTTTCGGGCTTCAGATCGCAGTGGATCAGGCGGGCCTTGTTGAGGAGGGCCAGGCCGTTCAGAAGCTGCTGGGCAAAGACGCGCACGAGGGTGGTGCTGAGGCCGCGGAACTGGTTCTGCTTGATGAGCTCGTACAAATTGACGCTGAGCAGCTCGAAAACCAGACAAAGATGCTGTCGATGGATAAACGTATCTTTCAGTCGCAGAAGATGGTGGTCGTCGTTCTTGTCGAGCTTGGTGTTGAGCTATGTCGGGTCAGCGCAAGCGGTAATGAATGAAGCAACGGCCATAGCCAACGTACCAGGTCCAGCACAGATACCTCCATCATGCTCTGATTAAAGTAGGCTGTGCGGTTTTTAATGACCTTGACGGCCACGACCTCCTGCGTCTTGAGATTCTGGCATTTGACGACCTGGCCAAACGTTCCCTGGCCCAGCACATCGAGGATGAGGTAGCGGTTCCTAGAGTGAATGAGTCAGAAAGAGACATAACCATGACGGGAGAAAGGGACCAATTGGTCTTAAGAGTAACCAAGAGCAAAAGTGTGACGCACTTGTGGCCGGCTTCCTCTGAGCCCAGAATATCGTTGACATAGAGAATGTAATCGCTGTCTTCGTTGTCGTATCCATCGTTCTTGGTGCCCTTGCTGGGCTTGGTAAGGACTCGGCGAGGATTTCGCGACGACTCGTACTTGAAGCTCGGGTTGCAGATGCGATACGTGGCTGGCAGATGCAGCGTCAGAGCTTGGAGGGGCTAAAGAGTGGCCGGGGGGGCGTCAAGCGGGACGAGTTAGCATGCGGAACTGAAAGAGGTCGAACGTGAGGGGAAAGGAAGAATCGAGGGGGGGGGGGGGGGGGGGGGGTACTAACACTGATGAAGCCCCCCTCTGGATTTGCGCGCCTGAAGCGCGGCTGCCTCGTGTTCTTTGGCTGCAGCTCGTTGGGCGACTTGATCTTCTTGAACTCGGGCACCGTCTTCATCACTGGGGGGTTCGGGCGGCGGGGGGCCTTGGAGTCACTGAAGCCGTCGAGCGCGGCGACGGCAGACGAGGGGTAGCCGTCGTGGGAGTAGGTGGCGATGGGGGGCAGCTGGGGCTGACGGCCGACAAAGTAGGGGCTTGAGTACTCGGCATTGGGCGGCGTCTGCTGCGATGGCGAGCTGGTGTAGGCCTTTGCGTAGGGCGACGTGGGCGACAGCGTGTCCATGGGCGAGTATCGCTGGGCGGCGGACGAGGGCTGCTGGTGGTGCTGCGGCTGGTGCTGCTGTTGCTGGTGCTGTTGAGTCTGCAGCTGGGGGTGCTGGAGCTGGTGCTGCGGCTGGTCCTGGGGCGTGTACAGGCCCGAGGAGCGGGTGCCCGACAGATGGGCCTGGTGGTGTGGCCTCATGGGATACTTGATGCCGGCGTGGGCATCGTGGGCGTCGTGCATGGCGACGTCGCCGCTGGTGTCGCGCACGGGGGCGGTCGCGAGAGGCGAGGTGGCCGGGTTGAGGCTGAGGCTGGTGCTGGACGAGGAGCCGTGGTGGGCGCCGAGCTGCTGGTGAGTCTGGTGAGCCTGGAGCTGGCTCTGGCTGTGGCTCTGGAGCTGCTGCTGATGCTGAGGCTGGTGCTGATGCGGCAGCTGGTAGTGCAGCTGGTGCGGCAGCGTGTGGTGCTGGTAGGGGCGGTCGTAGCTGCTGCTGCCGTGGGAGGGGCCGGAGCTGTTGACGTTGCCGGCGGAGCTGCTGCTGTTGTTGTTGAGGTTGGAGCTGGAATGGTGGTGGGCGCCGGCGATGTTGTTGCTGCTGCCGTAGGGCGACGACGACAACGACGAGGCAGCGGCAGCGGCAGCGGGCGGCGCGGCGGCAGGGTTGGACGCAGCGGCAGAGCCAGACGCAGGGGCTGACGCAGACGCAGACGCAGACGCAGACGCCTGGCCGGAGAGTGAGGCGGCGGAGGAGGAGGGCAGAGGCGAGGGATAGTCTCGCGATGGCTGGCCGCTGGTCGAGTGTCGAGGGTCGGGGTACCACGACGGCTTGTCCATGGCGGGCTGGAGGGCTGTCGGCTCGACGCTCGAGCTTCGACTCGACGAGCGAACTTGGACGGGACTGGACTGGAGCTGGACTGGGACTGGGACTGGGACTGGGACTGGGACTGGAACCAGAACCAGAACCGGAGAGGAGGGGCGTCAGCGGTCCCAAGCAGCGGCCGACCAGACCAGGGCCACGCAGCAGCACCTCGACGCAACAGCTGGGAGCGCTATTATTGTCTCCGCCGATGTGCTCGAGCGAGGGCTGTTCCCGTTTGTTTCGTTGGTCAGCGCCGCCCGATTGCGTCGCCGTGCCTTTGCCTTTGCCTTGCGCCTCGCTGCCCTGCTTCTTCCGTGCGGGCTTTTTGCTGCTGGGCTGCTTGTGGTGCCGCGTGTGAGCCTGCTTTTGGCTGTGCTTGCCGGCGGCGCTTCTGCTGCAACGGTGCCCTGATTTGCGACTGCGATCAGCAGAGATGCAGCAATTGGGCGCTTGGGTGGAGGCCCAAGTTCCGGGGGGTGGAAGCGCTTTTGATTAGGTGACGGAGGGAAGACGATGGGGGAAGCGGTTGGAGAATGCTGGAGGCGGTAGTAGTACTGCTAACGGTACCTACCAACGGTAGCAGTGGCAGCAGCAGTTCCCGTCTGTAGTAGTAAGCTGGCTGTCCAGTAGCAGCCCGCAAAGGCAAGCCGCAGCAGCAACAAGAGGCCGTAAGCAGCTGGAACTTGCATTCATCCAATGCGTGGGCTTCGCCTATCATGTTGATGTCAGTGCCTCCCTCAATGCCCGTGCATGCCTACAAATCCTACAGCTACAGCCAACTACCAGGTTGCCCAGCTTCGACTTTCTTCAATGGTCAAAAATAACAGCGAATTTTTCCATCCCCTCTGCCCAACGAATTGAGTGCTTGTTCCATCTCTCCAAGAAACGAATCGACGTGCTGTCCGTAATGTACATGTACCCCCGCCGCTGTGCAATGCCTGTGGCGATACATCGGCTCGGCGGGGGGGCCACTGGTGGCAGTCGTACAGGGCGCTTAGTGGCCGTTCAAGGGCCTGGCTTGAGCCCGTCAGCGATCGATTGATGCTGCCCGGGTAGCCGAGAGCGGCTGTCGCACGCTGTCTCTAGGCCGCGTCCGTCCTAGCCGCTCAACTGCGAATGGACTCGTCGACTCAACGAACTGGCACGGGTGATGCAAGTGCGCAGAAGACCTCAACTTGGATCAATGAGATGGATGCTGTCAAGGTGTGGTAACAGACTTGCTACGCTGCTCCAATCACAGAGAGATGTGATGCATGACGACGATGGTATTCGACAAGCAAACGACAGACACATGCCGAGTTCTAGACCTCGCCCTGTCCCAGACAGACGCCGAAGCAACAGACTTGATATGAATCATCCATCCACGAATGAAGTAATCATACGATGTATTGGCAATTATTGTGGCAACCTTGGCCACTTGATATCTGGCTCTTCCCAACCTTTTCCCCAAACAGCATTCATCAATAGCCAGAAATCTCCTTGTGAATTGCCTGCCGGAGCGCCACACGAGCATGAATCCACAGGTCCAAGTTTAGGTAGGTAGGTAGGCATCTTGGTATCATCAACATCTGAAAATAAGTTGAATAAGAACCAATACCATGGTGGCAGATCTTTACATATCACCTAAATCAATATATTCCAAAATTTTCAATGCATCATTCTATGGCAGCAATGATCCCCCCTTTAAAAAAAAAGATGTGCATCTTTAGCCCTCCCACGCAAATCCTCTCATGCATCAACACGTATGCACCACCACCGAATCGCCACCGACAAGCTTCTTGTCAAGACACACCACGCACGTCATCTTCTCACGTTACAAATCGAATCTTTTGCCTCTCCGGTACGAGCCAAACAAGCAAATCCATCCAACAATCAACAATGGAATTTCCTTTGCGTTGCGGTAACCCCCGGAGCCTGATCGAACGCAATGGAACCTCTTCACATGCAAGTCCTCTTACCTTACACATGAATCTACCTATCTAGTACTTGAACCAGGCACGCATAGAGAAGTACTAGTAAAAGATGAGAGGAGAAATCATCAACACGCTCTTCCACTTCTGCTTCGTCTGTTTTCTACACTAGATGAGGCTCTGCATAAAAGTTTCAGCCTTTCACCAAACCGCTGAAAAACCTCTCGAATAACCGCTCAAGATGACGCAAGTAACAAAAATCATGGCTGCAAATGCTCTTTCTTCTCAGGCTATCCAACCATCTGCCGTGTTTTACACCCTCTGGTGATGCCACGCTCATACTTCAAATCGCACAAGACATAAAGTACAAGGAGAGAGATTTCGTAGAAACTCGTAATCATCATCATACGGGAACAAGTCATAAAACAACATGTGTGAAATAGAGGGTGAGAAACAAGAGACAGACATAAAGAAAGAGAGAGAGAGAGAGAGAGAGAGAGAGAGAGAGAGAGAGAGAGAGAGAGAAATCACCCGCTTCAAATGCTCCCATAGTGGTATCCCAGCAGCGGCGCTCGTTAAAGGAACAGAATAGGAAATCAAAGAGCATTCCAAACTTTTCGTTTCCCCCGTGCAGAACATGAGAAATTTACACGGCAAAGGGAGCAAGGAGAGGAAGCAGAACCCCTAAAAGAAACAACCTTTGGAAATCACACTGGAAAGAAAAGGACTGCTGGTACAACATGACGAAGGCCCATATGGTGAGAACGCAGTATGATAGAGAAGAAATGAGAGAGGGGACAGAGATGACAAGTAGAAACACTCAAACAGAAATGGGCAGACAAGGAAGGGAGGTAAAGATACGTCAAAATGGCAGCAGGGCTGAGAACCCGAGTTCTCCCCCGACCTTGAAAACTCTTCTTTCACATCCCTCCACTCTTATAGCATGCGATCCATACCGCGCTTCATACCTGATGACTACGACTGATAGCCGCCGAAACCGTTGTTGAAGTTTTGTCCTTGGTTCTGGTTCCACTGGGCGTTGGGACCCTGGTGGCCGCGCCCGTATCCTCCGGCACTCTGCGGGCCACCATATCCCATGGGGGAACCGCTGTATCCTGCGGGAGAGCCGGCTTGAGGGCCGCCAAAGTTGCCCTGTTGTCCGTTGTATTGCGCTACAGCAAAGACGCCATGGTCAGTCTCGGATTGCAGTCGGTCTATCCTTCATGGGAAGCTACTCACCTCCATACTGCGGATAATACGTGGGAGTACCAGGGAAGCCTGGGGCCTGGGAGGTCTGCGGGCTGTATGGCTGCTGAGGGTCAAACGATCCCGAGTTGGGAGCCTTGTCCTTTCCCCACTGCGCGATTGTCAGTAAAACGCCCGGCTTCTCATCCATGATAGCTAAGTAGCAGGACAGGCCACTTACACTGCACTTCAGCGGCCGTCCATTGACGTTGTATCCGTTCATCTGGCAAATGGCCATGGCTGCATTCTCGTGAGAGTCCATCTTGATAAAGGCAAAGCCGCGGTCGGCCTGGAAGCGCGACTCCATGACAAAGCCAAAGTTCTGAAACAGGGGCACGACGTCGTTTGGCGTCGTGTAGGGCGTGAGGTTCCCCACGTAGCATGTCGTCTGCCAGTTGGGCGTCTGCGCCAGGATCATTTCGTAACTAGCGACTCCGTGGGCAGGGAACTGGTGGTGACCAAAGGGGGTGGTGGGCGTCATGCCCATGGCCTGCATCGCCTGCTGCTGAGCCATGGACGGCTGGCCCTTTTGGTTGGCCCAGTTGCAGCGAATGGCCCGCGATCCGAGCCACTCTCCGTCCATGGAGCTCAGAGCCTTTTCGGCGTCGGGTCGGTCCCGGAAGGCGACGAAGCCATAGCCTCGAGATCTACCCGTCTTCATGTCCCACATGACGCGGGCTTCCGAGACGGAGCCAAAGGCAGAAAAGGCCTGCATCAGGATGTCATCGTTGACTTCGTTTGACAGGTCGCCAACGAAGATGTGGAAGTGGTTTGACGTATCCTCCTTGCTGGTAGTGTTGGACTGATAGGCCCAGTTGACTCGGATTTCCTGTAGTTGGCGAAGCAGAAGTGTCAGTGGCAGCCTGTTTGGGTCAAGGGGATACGCCGAAGCTGTATAAAGCATATAAGAGCTGGAGACATACGGATTGGTGAACCCTCCGGCCGTTCAGGGTCTGCATGGCCCTCTCCGCCGCACCGGGGTCGTCGTACTCGACGAAGCCATAGTTGTAGCCCTTGGCCTATATTGTGACAAACAGCCGTTAGTACCGCCGTAGTTCCCATCACGCGGAAGTCCCTCCTTGGAGGAATCAGGGTGTCTCATACGTTCTTGTCGGGGATAATCTTGACGTTCTGGACATGGCCAGTCGTCTCGAAGATCTGGCGCAGCACGTCCTCGGTGACCCGCTGGTCCAACCCGCCAACATAGAGGGCCCGCTTGTTGGGCTCAGGCGCAGCTCGTCGGAAGCCGGTGGTCGGGGACAGGATGCCGCCAGCGTCGACGCCGGACCGCGGAGAGGTGATGGCCGTCGGGATTGGGTTCGTGTTCTGCGGGATGTGGAGGGGAGGCGGGGGGAGGTGAGTTGGGTTGCCCTGGCCGTTTTGGGCGGCAGAGGCGCCAGGCTGCGCAGAGGTCGGGACGGCGCCGGCGTCAGCCATTGTTCGCGACGACGAGGGGGATCGAGTCGAGTCGAGTCAAGTCGAGCAGGCGAGGGGGATTGAGCAGCGGTGGGCGCGCAGGACGGCGGCGTCGGTGGCGATGGGGGGGGAGAGGTGAGGAGAAGTCGGGAGAGAGGAGGGGTGATTTTTTTTAGGGGGGAGATATGCAACGAAGAGGCTCCGATCACGAGCTCGCTATCTGTCGACGAGGCAGAGGAGAAGAGAGATGAAGACTGCTCCCAGAGAAAGGCCGGGAGATGCTTGAAACAAACTCGAGTCGAGCGCTGCGTCGGCGTGGGAAAGAGGCGGCGGGCAGAAGGAGAGCTGGTAGAGGGAGCTTGGAGGAAGCTTGCAGCGCTTGTGAGGAGGGCTGAGGCGGGACAGGATCAGGACAGGATCAGGACAGGACAGGGGATCCGGTGCAAGAGACGGCCGACCAAGCGGGACAAGGAGAAGACGAAGAAGAAACGAGGCAATGGAAAAGGAAGAGAAAAGGAAACCCCGGTTCCAACGCAGAAGAAAACGATAAAGGAAACGAGTCCCGCAAATCGCAACCAGCCGCTCCGCTACGTTCGTGCACACACAGCGAAGTTGTCGGGAGGAGGAGGGAAAACAGAGAGACGAGAATATTATGGCGGCAGCACCAACTTGAAGCTGTGCTGCTTACCTTAGGCAGTGCTGTAATAGCTCAGGCGGTTGAGCGGGATCAAACGTCAAGGCAAACGTTAGGTTGTGCTGGCGTGAGTGGAGGCCGGCCGTGATATGGCGGGCGCCTACCCTGCAACAGGCAAGGTGCAGAATTTTCTTTGCCGAGAGGAGCGCGGCTGAACTGGGGCTTGTGAGCTTATAGGAGACGTGACACCAGGCCTGAAGCACTGGAGTACATAGGTAGGTAGGAGGTAGGTATCTGGAGGTTGTTGTAGAATGCTGGGACGATATGACTGTGCAGGGGATGCTTCAACCAAGCAAAAGATGCAGATTCAAGGCACCTGGTTATTGATATCTTTGTGCTCAGATCTTTTGATGGCCTTCTGTCAAGGTTGGACTGGGCGTTGTGCAACAACAAGTATATTGTATTTTGCCCAGGGATATCTGTATATGTACTAGACATAAGGTAACTGATACGACTGACGAGGCTGAGATAGCCGGCTCTAGAATGCCCATTCACGGCAAGAAGTCGTTGAATATCTGCATGTACCGTTTTGAAGTCAGCCTTGCACCCATCTGATGCAATCAATTCTCACACTGCAATTACTTCACCACTTCACCATTGTGTTTGGTCAGTCCTAGCCCAACAGTCAGCCGGGCAATGCTACAAGTCTCGGGTCTCGAGGCTGTCTCTTGCTCAGTGCCACACCGAAATCAGCGGCCCAGCGTGGCGCAATCATTGCTTTGTTCACGGATCAAGCGAGGCTTTGAGAGAACATTTAGATGTTGGGCTTGTAGGACAGAGAGGCTGTGTTGTGTGCTCGAGACAGCATATTCGGACGGTGCCTGGTCGATTCCCATCCTCTCGTCGTCTCTTCGATGGATATGAGAGCACCATGAACGCCTGTTTCGCCCCATTGTTCGCATTCCCAATACAGGTACATCTCTTATACATGTAATACTGCATGCAGACGACAAGAAGCGTCGCTAAAAGGTTGCAGTGAATGCAGAGATTCAGCCACTCGGGGATATCTCTAGCCGTCAATTGCGGGGAAACTTGGAACGCTGAGCTCAAGTCGAGCCACAGATCGCGGGTTACGGGATCGGCAGAGAAAGGCTCGTGCAAGTACAGTCTACGCTTCCTCGGGTGTCTTCCGAGCCGTTGTGTGGGTGTCTTCAGCGATCACGCAGCCATCTCTAGCGCCGAATCTTCACTGGACAGCGCTCGGATTGCGCCAATGATGCAGACGCTGTGCCGGTGCCAGGTACCGAGTACCTACATGTACCTGCCCCAGACTGGCCTGAACTTTCTGTTGTCTCTCCAGCCACAGCTCCTTTGTGCACCAGCCACAGCAGCATCGCCCCTTTGGAGGAGGTAGGTACCTTTTAGCACGTACTCTGTACGGAGTAACTTTGCCAGCCCTTGCCAGTCTCTCCAGTGCTCAACCCCAAGGGAAACAAAATCTCACCCTCACTCTTACAAGCAGGAAGCAATCCTCTCGCATCCGCCCTCGCCCTCCGTTTGCCAGCTTCTTGTGTCACAATTTCCAGTATCACCATCTCTCCATCTTCATCTATCCGTCCGCCGCCACCCGAGGAAATTCCCACGCGCAACCCCGAGCTCGCCAGCAATCCCAGTCGAATCGCCGCCTCTCCGTCTGGCCGCGTTTAGGCCCGCGCATCTCCAAGAGTCGCAATTCCGACTCGCATCTGCCGCGCCGGCACCAGTCATCCTCAGCCGCGCCAGTCGCTTTCGCTCCCGCTCTCTCACTGCTCTCCTCACTCCTGAATCGCTCTCGCATCGCCAGCGAAATGGCAGCCTCACCTTCAATCTCGGGCCCTTTGGACGCCCTGCAATCCATCATCAATGACGTGGTGAGTCTGACAACCGGCCTGTCGCCATAGCTGCCGTCTCCCTTTGGCCGCGCAGTTTCGTCATTCTCTCCCCCCAACCACTGTTATCTTATTTGCCAATCTAACACTCTTCCCATTGTCAAGCTTGTGCAAACCGGCAAAGCTCTGCGGGCATCTCGCAGAGACTCTCAGGGGAACCTGACGTACGCCTACGGGCCGACGCAGGCCAAGCTGCCAGATACCATTGAGCAGTTCCACATGACGCTTAACGAGCTCGAGTCTGAAATTGTAAGTGAAACTTTCGCCCTCGGCGTGCATTTGCGCATCCTTTTTCTTTTTCCTTTTTTCTTTTCCTCAAGTGTAATCACCCAATGCTTACTCTTCTTCTCATTTGGCTAGTTGAGCGCCAAGTCGGTCCTGCTCAGAGACTACAATGAGTTGCAGGAAAAGAAGAGGCAAATCCTGCTCCGGCCTACTTTCCAGACGGTCGACGGCCAGACAAAGCGGCCACCCACCGTCGAAATGGCCACACCGCCAGAGCCCGTCTTCAAGGACGAGCCCATGGCGGAGGACACTGAAGCCAAGCCCATGGCGCCTTTCCCCAACATGAGCATCGACCTTGCGGAACCCGAGCCGATGGACATCTCTGCCAAGGAGCCCAACGGTCAGCAATCGCAGCAGCAGCAGCAGCAGCAGCAACCACCACCCCCCGGCGGTATGAACGGGTTAAACGCAAATCCCAACTCAGGACTTGTCCCCCAGCCGCCCAACGCTGATCAAAGGCCGACGCCGGAAATGCCTTCTGGACCTCCTGGCCCCAACATGCCACCGGCACTGCCAGAGACCTCCGGCATGAACTTTACCGATATGGAGTTCACGCTTGCGGCACCCCCGGGCGGCGAGGTTCCCGGCCAGCCCAACACTACCAAGGAGCCATCGTTCGACATGGCCACCTTTGCACCAGCGGAGGGTGGTGACGACCTGTTGAACCTCAACCATCTGCTACCGGGTGACGCGAACAACTCGTCCGGCGCGGCGCCCCAACCCCCGACCAAGGCCGAGGGAGGCGCCGCCCCCGTGAACACGGATTTCTTCGGGCCGGGGTCCGGGGCCGCCGACGGCATGGACTTTGACTTTAGCCTGGGCGGCTCGGGCGACGACACCTTTGACGACTTGATGAACAACCGCGATAGCACGTTTGAGCTGATGGATGCCGGAGGCGACTTTGACACGGCTTTTTTCGGGCTCGATAAGGCGGATGAGAATCCGGCGTGAAGGGGACGCGGTGATGGGTCTGTCTCCCGGGCCATTTGACAACTCTTTCCTCTTGTGTTTCTCTGCGGGCTTTGGTGGGCAAGGCGTTGTCTCTTATTAAAGGATTTGAGACGGGTCATCTTTCGACTTTGGTGTGCGTAGATGCGCATCCATCTCCATCTGGGCTCCATCTACTGCTGGGATACGTTTCACTCTTAATGTTTTATTTTCGTCATGTCTTCTTTTCGTCCCCGTCCTTCTTTTTTTTTCCCTTTCTTAGTCTTCTCTCAACTTTTTTTCCCTTTTTGTTTTTCCTTTTTCTCGAAACTATCATCACCTGGGATATGATTGGGAAGCATTGGGCAACGGTGTATCGGGATCGGCGAAGGCTGAAGGAAAGAAATATACCCTTACTTTTGATGATCTCCGTCTCGTCTCTTGAATAAGCTGTATGTACTATTCGGCATTTGCTATGTGTAGAAAGACCTCTTGGCTTTGAGCCAGATGTGTTTTATTCTTATTGAACATATATGCGTGTGTTTGTACTCCCACCTTTTCCACTGACATTGCAATTCAAAAGTGAGAGTTTAAGCACGGCATAAATCAAGGTAAAGCGATGTCACATCGTCGAGTCATATCGTCGCGAACGACAAGGTGTCAGTCTTAACACCTTTTCTGAAGATTGCGATTGCATAAAGGGGTTCTCTGAACCAGATTATGCGTCGGGCTAACTCCCTACTTGCCTACATCGTTACCTACTACCTACCTATCATGAAAAAGGGACGACTAGGCCTCCCACATTATTATCGAAAGAAACACCAAGTTACATGACAGCAAAACAAACCTCCCCATCCCCTTTTTCAAACAAAACCCTTGTGATATGTTACACCAAAGGGTCGTAGGACAATGTCCAACACGTACCCGAGAAATCAAGAAAGAAGTAGTAGAAGAAGAAGAAGAAGAGTATGGCAGTATTAAGAATTACTACTGAGGTACTAAAGAAGAAACAAACACATCCAGACAAAACTGCTAGTTCAATCCCTGTCAAAACTATCAAAGCTTTTGATTCTTTCAAGGACCAGAGTAGATAAGATAAGAGTATTAATTGCTGCAACCAAAAAAAAAAAAAAAAAAAAAAAAAAAAAAAAAAATGACTGAGAAAAAGAAAAAAGGGGGAGGGGGTTGAGTTGTTCGAAACCTTTGGTGAAGAGATGAGATTCCCGCCAGATTTCTGCCCCCCTTTTTTTGTAACAACTATCAAAGCCGTCAAGTATATTAAAAAAGAACGAGAGAAACCTGAAGAATAAAGGTAGGTCAGGGGTGGGGGGGTAATTGTGTGATTGAAGTACGTAGTGGTATAGTAGAAGAAGCATCGGTCATAAACTCGTAAAGTCAATATTACGGAAGAGGGGGTATTGTATCATACGACAAAAGAAAAGTTGACAGAAGAAGAAAAAACGACGTCTAGCATCTCGAGTATTCACGAGAAGCGTATAACAAAGGGAATTGAAAGGAAAAGAGAGTATGACGGAGTGGGTGGTTTGAGTGCGAGTAGAAAAGCGTCGTGTGAGTAGGGAAACGGCGGGCAGAAGAGATGCTTCGACCGAGAGAGCAGGCAAGCAAGCAAGCAAGCAAGCGCCTTTTATCACCACGGGGGCTTGACGGCATTCGCATTTGTCGTCGCCGCCGCGGCCACACGCCTCCTGGCCAGCAGGCTCTTGAAGGCGCCGAGAAACTGCACGAGCGACTCCTCATCGGGCGCGCAGAAGCGGTACGTCTTCTCCTCGGTGATGATCTGCAGGCAGTTGGTCTTGCTGCGGCTGACGGGGTCCATCTCGACGACATTGACCACGTCGGCCACCTCGATGATGCTCTGGGCGGCGTACTCGGACTCGTCCTTGTAGAGGACCAGCTGCCGGGCGCGCAGGACCCCCCACATGTGCTTCCACTGGCGCACGCCGCCCTTGCTGCGGTGCATCCAGAGGGCGCCCTGCCAGACGACGCGCTCGGACTCCTGCTCGGCGGTCACGGCGCTGACTTGGCTCGCGGAGCGGCCTCCGGTCTCGGGTCGCTGGCCCTGCGGTTTGAACTGCTGCTGCTGCTGCTGCTGGCGGGGCATCATGGTGGTGCTGCCGGGGGTCTGCAGCTCGGGGGGCGACTGGGCGGCCAGGCTCTCGTACGAGGTGCCCTCTTGTCTCCGAGGGCCGTCGTTGTCGGAAAAGTCAGAGTACGAGAGCATCTCGTTGCCGGACAGGCCAGACGAGTCCAGCGTGTAGGAGAAGCGATGGCTGCCTGCCCCCATCAGCTTGGGCACCGTCGAGTCGAAGTTGTTGCCCATGTTCTCGGGCGAGCTGGAGAATGGGCCGTACGCGGGCTGCCGGTAGCTGTCGGGCGCGCCGGGCGACACGACGTTGTGCACCACGGGGCTGCCCAGGTACATTTCCTCCTCCTCCTCGTCGAGCCTGGCCGTCTTGCGGATCGCCTCGACCCATTCCTGGGCGTCCTGCGCGGTCGAGGCCTGAAAGTGGTAGTTGCGCGAGGGCGAGAAGAGCCCAAAGAGGTTCTGGCGCTTGTGCTTGGGGTCCTTGAGGGGGGCGACGGCGGAGAGGTCCGAGGTGTAGATTTGGTGGCGGAGCTTGGCCTCCTTGTCGTCCTTGTATATGGAGATGCCGTTTGGTCGCAGGACGAGGTAGACGCTCTTCCAGTTCTGTCGTTCGCGGCGCAGAGCGCGTTAGCATCTCTTTGACTTCTGTTGGGACATTGACGAGGGAGTTTAGAGATGGCATACCTTTGTCTTTTGGCCGCGCTTCTGGACAAATCCGCTCTTGATGACCCGATCAACCTCGAAGCAGCCGGTCTGGTGCACGGGAGCAACCGCCGTGTCCAGGGGTAAGCGACTGCGGCGATTCAGGGCGTTGGCGTCGCTGCTGGAGTTGCGGGCAGCAACGGCCGCCTCCTGGAGCCTCGTCTCTGCCTGTCGAGGGGCAGCCATGCCGGGCAAGGATGCGATGTTCCCTCGGGGGCGACGACGGAGCTGAGCCTTGCGAGGGCTGTCGGGAGCCGGTTCGTGGGACGTCGAAGGTGCTGGCGGTGGATGTGGAGCCGAGAGAGCGGGAATGTCGATCGGGGTCGGTGGTGGTGGTGGTGGTGTTTTTTTTTTTTTTTTTCCTTTTCCTTTTTTCCTTTTTTCTTGCAGTCGCAGCTTGTGGTCGTGCAGTATTATCAAGGGTCGCTCAGTAGTGGCGGGCGTCTCTCTAGAAGTCACGGCTGCGTCCTGCGTTGAGCCTCTATGTAATGACTAGAATCTGGGAGTGACGGCGAGCAGAGGCAGCCGGCAATTGAGGCGAAGTGGCAGTATGCGATGGGCGGCCGCGGCCGGTAGAGGGCGATGACGATGGCAAAGTCAGGCTTCCGGGTCGGGTGATGCGAGGGCCAGCCGGCGACAGCGTATTCGTACTTGACTGAGAAAAGAAGAAGAAAAAAAAAAGAGGAAGCCTAGGGTCGCGACCAGGCTGACAATGTGACGATGAAAAGCAATAAGTACTAGATGGTAGTGCCTGGAGCGGTGCAAGCAGTGCCGTCCGCCAGCTGTGGTGCGCGCGTGGCCGGCTGAACGACCATAGTCTGGCGTCTAGAGGCTGTATGTGTATGGTTTGACGATTATTCAACAGACGAGTTCAGTTCGGAGAGCTCTTGGGCGGTTTCAGCTGCACGGGCGTTTCTGGGTCGAGGCGCGACAGGCGGCGGATGGTGGACTGAATCGCCTTGCGAACGCTGCAGGGATCAGGGCGCGATGATTGGCGGCAGTGGACAAAAGGGGGGAGAGAGAGAGGATGAAACAGGATCAGGGTTGAAACAGACGCAGAACAGAAGACACAGATGACGATTGACCGGGGGGTCGAGGGTTTAATATGGCGGTGGTACAAGTCGTGGCTTGAGTGGCATGTTGTGCTGTGTTGTGGTTGTGTTGGAAGAGATCAGTCATGGAACGAGTCGAGCTGCGTTGCGTTTGGGTTCAGGGCGGACAATCAGTGCGGCCGACTCGAGGCGTAATGGATCAAAGGTTGAGTGCTACTAATTGAAGCTGCCACAAGCTTCACGGCGGCTGTCGATTAGACAGGAGGCGCGCCACAAGACTATAGCCATGATACGCGGCTTTTGACGTCACAGGGCTTGTAAACAGCTGTGGAATGGAACAGAGCTGGTCAAGGAGAAGGCGGTGGTTATTAATAGCCGCGCCTCTTGTGTTGTGTCTGTTGGTTGGACGAGGAGTGAGTTCTCGGTGCTGTGGCTGAAGAATGGCTGATTCCAGACCGTTTCTCCATCTAGCCGCGCAATCTCCAGGAAGAACAGATGAACAGGGCTGGAATACGTCTTCAAATCCCGGGCAATCAATGCGAGTCCACAGGAAACAGAGACACACATACTAGACAGAAGTAGGGACAGGGGGGGGGAGACGCTGAAGCGAGCGCTACGGTACTGTGCATGTATCACGGCACCGTGCATGATTCGTCTCGGTACCTGCTTGACACGGGCAATTACCGACAGGGGCTGCTGAGGTGCCTCTACAGTAGGTACTTGTATGTATACTGCGTAGGTAATTACTATAGCACTGGTTTGAGACAACTCAACTTGCACAAGCTACCCGGCAACGCGGATTCTGGTTTCGGATGCGGATGAACCACTGGGAAAGGCTCAAGAGATGATGCTTTATTAGACAGACTACTAGAAAAGTATAGCAGACCATGTTGTTCGATACGGGATGATGAGAGTTGGCAAGAGACTCAACTTTGAGGAGGCAATTGCTTACCTCAGGCAGCCAGTGTTAGTTGAACCAACGACTTCTCACCTCTGGCGCAACCACAAAAAATTCTCACCAATCTCAGTGCTGTTTGTCACTGCCCTGCTCACCACCACAAATCTCATAAAAAAGACTCTAAACTGCCAGGCCTTGAATTCACCCGTCGGACACAGCCAGACACACAAACTCAAGCACGGCAAACATCAACCACAGTTGCTCCGGATCCTCACCAACAAACTTGCAACTGCAATCGATACCTGAGCTTTCGCCCTATCGAGACTCACAGACGAAATCTTGCAAACCTTCGTGACTCAGTCCCCGTCATTCTTCTCACAAGAGACTTTTTCTCTTATCCCCTTAACGCATCACATCCGTACTCCTCATTTCACCATCATCTACAGCTCACCCACAATCTCTCATGGCGGGCCCAGCACTTGCCGGCCGGCCTTGCCTGCGCTGCAAAAACCCAGATGCGCCGTATGAGCTGCGAAACGTCGCGGCATGCCAGTACGCACACAACCTCCACCCTCTCTCTCATACATAAAGAAACTCATGATACTCACACATCGCGCGCAGAGACTGCTTCATAGACTACGTCGACTCCAAGGCCGTCAAGAGACTCACCGTCCTGCAGCGCGAGACCAGGACGTCGTCACGGCCCGAGCCGCGGCGGTACGTCGCCGGCCTCTCCTTTGGCCCCAGCTCAACCGTCCTCACCCAGATCCTGGACAAGCAAGCCAAGTACCACGCCTCGAGAAAGGGATCCTCGCCATTCGAGCCCCTTGTCGTCCACATCGACACAGATCTCTCCAACAGCAGCAGCTCCGCCGCCGACGCCCCTGCGCAGAGGCTCCTGGCAAAGTACCGCGAGAGATTTCCCAATGTCTCGTTTGAGTGCGTCCATCTGAGCAAGGTCCTCGCGCTCAAGACGATTGACTGGACGGCGCTGCCGATTGCTGCTTCTGCCGCCGCTGGTGAAAACGACACTGAACGGCTGCGGCACTTTTTCGATGCGTTGCCGTCGGTCACGTCCCGCGCAGACTGTCTCCGGCTCTTCATCCGCCACCTGTTGCTCGGCGTGGCCATGGAGAGGTCCTACTCTGCGTTGCTGCTCGGCCACAGCACCACTGCGCTGGCGAGCCTGACGCTGTCCGAGGTTGCCAACGGACGAGGCTTCGCGGTGCCCTGGCAGATCAACGACGGGGCCTTTACCGTCTGTACGTATGGGGGGAGGAGCGCAGACGGGGATGGTGCTGGTGCACAGGACCAGGACGACGGCAAGGTCCAGTTTCCCGTATATTATCCCCTGCGAGAGATTCTCAAGGCCGAAGTCGTTACGTATCTCGGCACCACGCCGTCGGTCCGGGATCTGGTCCCTGCGGATAATTCGTCGTCGAGCAGCGTCGTCTCCCACAAGGACCAGAGCATTGAGGAGGTCATGGCGCGGTATTTCGAGGGCGTGGAGGGGCCCTACTCGGGTATCGTGACGAATGTCGTTCGCACCGCGGGGAAGCTGGACCGGCTGGTGAGTTCAAGGTATTGTCGCTTATGCGGCATCACGCTGGACGAGGAGGGCGATTCGACCTGGGCGGGCGAGTTGGGGGACGATCCTGCAGAGGGCGCTGGGGGTTCGGACGCGGGAAAGCTGTGTTATGGATGTAAGCGCTCACTGGGGGGATAGACGAGAGACAAGGCAGAGAAAGCAAGACAAAAGAGAAGAGTAAACAAGTATAAAAAAAGTAGTAATATTTCAGGGGCGTCGGTGCGCCCAGTTCTAATTGTGAAGGACTACCAACTCCAGTGCAGAAAGCATGCCGCCATGAGCTTTTCCCTATCCCCCGTTGCCTTGTGCCCCCCCCCTTTTTTGCTCTTTTCTTTCCCAAATTGTAGGAGAGAAAGACCCTGAAAAGACTCCCGTAATCTATAAAACCGGAGCTTGCCGCTCCTGAAAAAATGTACAGCATACAAAAGCGTACCCCAAAATAAAGTAAGGTATACAAAGTATGCGGAGTGAAGATATATGATGTAAATGAAACCCTGCGTTGAAAATCAGCAGGACAGATAGAAACTGGGCGAGTTCAGAACTAGAATCCGGATTCGTTTTTCACTCCTTCTGTTTCCTTCCTTTTAAATTCTTTTTCTTTTTTTTTTTTTTTCTTTTACTTTCTTTTTTTTTGCATCCTAGAGACGCCCCTCCTCGTAGCCTAGCATAGGCAGGATGCGGCTCTCGACGCGGCGGACGAGCTTGGCCGTCTGCTCGGCCAGGGAGAGGGTGAGGATGGTGTGCGGCAGGATGCGGGCGAGGTGGGGGATGAAGCCCTTGTAGATGGCAAAGATGCCCTCGGTGCGGATCGTCTTGCCGGCGCAGTCGAGGATGCCGCTGTAGAGGTTGCCGTGCTGGTTGTAGAGGCGGGACATGATTGTGTCTGTTTGATCGGATTAGCCATAACTTGCCTACATGCGAGGAGGCATCATCGAGTCTTCACCAGGAGGATGCATGACGCAGCAGACGACAAAGCCGCTGACGGAGGAGCTGGCCAGGTGCAGGGCCGGGCCCTCCTCCATGCCGGCGTGCTTGACCAGCTGCCGCTTGGCGAGAAAGTAGGTGGGCAGCTGGACGGAGCTGCCAAAGCCGGTGCGGACCATGGCGGCCGTGATGCCGCGGTACAGGCCGGTGAAGCCCTCGCCGCGGTAGATCTGGCGCAGGCCATCCCACAGGTTGCGGTAGTTGTGCTGGGTGCCGACGGGCCGGACGGGGGAGTAGCTCTGCAGGCGCGTCTTGACGAGGAAAAAGGGGCTGCCGGCGGCGGCGCCGAGGATGCCGGAGGAGGCGCCGCAGAAGACGTTGATGGCGAGGTTCTGCCTGGTCTCGTCGCCGAGGAAGAGGGCGGCGGTGGCCTTGCGCATGGGCTCGTAGAAGCCGAGGCGGCAGCCGTTGAGCAGCACCTGGTAGATGTAGGCGGCGCCCAGGCCGCGGTAGATGCCGCGGATGCCCTCGTTCTTGACAATGACGCTGATGCCGTGGATGGGCCCGCGGTAGTACTGCGGCTGCGCGCCCTTTGTCTGCAGCTCGCCCTGCAGCTGCTGCCGGATCTTGAGGACTTCGGCCGGGTGCGTGACGGTGACGGCGCCGCAGGCTGCGAGGGCGCCGGCGGCGAAGCCGCTGTTTTTTTGGTGCAAGAAGCTTTTGTTAGCTGAAAGGAAGACTTGGAAATGGAAATGGAAACTGGACAGATGGACAGTAAATGACTGCGTACCCGATTGTGGTGGACATTTGGCGCAGCTGGGATTCCGGCTTTCGCGCAGTTTCAAGGTTGGTTTGCGATGGTGTGTGTGTTGCGGAAACGTGCTGGCGAAAGGCTGCGTGGGGATGGACTGGTGTTTGTGCGGATCACAGCAGCAAGGAAGTGACAAAAGGAGAGACAAGGACAAGTCAGAATGTAAGGTGAGGATTGATTTGAAGGAGGGACAGGAGGAGAAGGGAATAGTGTAAGACGAGAGAGCTGAGATGATTGATGCCTTTCTGCAAGGGAAACGCGGCCGATTTTGGGGGACTTTGCCCGAGTGCGCACTGCGCGCAACCCGATGACGGCGGCGGCCCGGCTAGCAATGGCTGCCAGCTTTTTTTTTGGGTCCGGATGGCCGCGCTCAGCTGTGGAGAAGCGAATCTGATGCAAGCTGTTGTATTAAAAGGCAGAGAGGATTAATTAGGAAAAAAAAAAAAGGTGGTTTGGGGGTTGGTGAGGATGGGGGAGAGAAAGAGGGTCCCCGGAGGCCGAAGAACGGAGGTGTAAGTTGTTGAGCTTTTTGGTGCCAATTGAGTGGAAGGGGGATTTATTAGCAGGGGGATGGATGAATTCGCAGTTGAGGTTTGATTGGGAATTGGTGCGATGATTGCAAAGTAGTAAGCTGACAGAGGTATGTATTGCTATTACGGCCTGTTTTTATTCGTTGTCTTTGCTGGATTCGACTACTAATACAGATCGCTTGACGGCGGGATGATGGAATAAGAGGCCATCAGAGCCGTGTGGCTTGGCCCTTTATCGACTTGGGTATTACTCAGCCTTGTCTCTGTTGAATCTGGAAGAAAAGCTTGTTTTACACTCGGTGAAAAGCTTCTTTGTTTTTTGTCTTTTTATTTTGCAAAGTTCCGAGTCCCTTTTTTTTGACGGTGGTTGTACAAGTTCTACCTCAGCTTGCTTGGGCACCTTGTTCGGTGAATCAAGCCGTTGTGGCCCGACTGCCGGAGCCGTCAACTTGTCCATGACTTTTGAAATTGGTTCTTATTCTACCTAGGTAGTGTGAAATGCTAATGGTGACGGCCAATTAGATACCCTCAGTTCCGTTTTGTAGGCACGAGTTCATAGAGGTCCCTTATACACATAGTAGCGCAGATACAGCACTGCGAATGTGCCGATTCGGAACCCTGTCTCTCTTTATTAAACATCCCCACCAATTACTCAGAGCCGCGGAATATCGTGGGGTTTTCGATCTGTACCTGTGTGATTTGTGTGTAGTAGTATGTCTTGCCCCGGATTGAGCCCGCGTTTGCGCCGATGAAAGCCGCTGCTATGTAGGGGTTAAAAGGTTGTGTGGGTTATGCCGGCGAACGGCAAATCTAAGATCTTGCGCAAACTAAAGTATATATTTTCGCATTTGCAAACGATATCATTGGACAGCTATTCCTAGCAGAGAAATGGGTTAGTACCTAGTATTGGTCGTTGCAAGGCGGGGCAGAGCTCGGTTATGAGGCTACATGCATCTTGTTGCAGAGCCGGACGGTTGTCGGTGGCTTTTGTCTGGAGAGCTTGTAATTAGTTAGAGGAGGCGGTTGCCGAGTGCCGCGTGAAGATGAGGCTGGGCAGAAGCTTGATGGCGATTCTAAGGTATGCTTAATATACAGTGTACCTGGTTGCTTTCTAGCCCTTGTCCTTGTTATTGAAATCGGATGGTTGTGTGACTATGGGTGGTCAGGGGGGGAGGCCTAGACATGTGTGATGCTCTCATCGCTCACTTGCATCAGCCTTGCTCTCATTGGTATACAGGCCTATCAACATCTGCCATTATCCATCCTAGTAGGAATCATATCTGGAAGAATGCAACCCATCAGCCAGATGCCTCAAAAAGGCACCCTCGGCGCAACAGCCTTCCAAAAGTCACACCTCTCCCCCCTTCCCCCCTCCCAGCTCCTCCCATCCGCCAGCCGAAACGAATTCACAACGCCCTCCCCCCCGCGCACGTAGTAGCTCAGCTCCTGCGTCACAGTCACCAGCTCGACCTCGCCGCCCGTAGTGTTGAGGTCCAAGAAGGTCTGGTTCTGCGCGCTAAAAGCCGGCCACGCAATATCCCCCGGACGACTCCCGTCAACGGGCACCGTGGCGTTCGCCTCGCCCGCTTTCGCATCGCTCACGGAAATGACTGGGTTCTGCTGCGTTATGAATTGTCCCCAGATCTTGCGAAAGCTGTGCTGGAACCCGCGGCCTGGGGGTGCGGTGCCGTCCTCCTCCTCCTCTTTGGCGAGGACAAAGTACGCGCCGAGATCCGCGCCGTGATACGCCGGGTCGAGCGAGTACTGGTACTTCCACGCGCGGCGACCATCGGAGCCGGGCTTGCTAAAGGCCTCGGCGAGCCACTGTGACGGGCAGTGGAAGGTGGACTCGGCGGCGAGGTTAAAGGCCGTCTGCTGGATGCCCGTGGCCATGCCCGAGACGGTGTTGGCGTTGGGGCCGGCGTCGTCGTCGTCGCCCGGGGTGTCGAAGCGGGTGCCGTTGTTGCCGGGCTGGGCGGCGGCCGTGTCGTAGATGCGGTTGAGGATCGAGATGTCGGCGTTGGTGAGATGAGGGAGGGTGGAGGAGACGAAGGCGTCAAAGGCGGATTTGGTGGTGATGTTGGGGTTGGTCAGGGGGACGCCCTCGTCTGCGTTGGTCTGGAGTGTGTGTCAGTCACAAGAGGCATCCTGAGAAGAGGGGGGGTAAGAATAAGAGAGCGTGTTGTTGTACCCCGATCAAGAGGTGCTTGCCGCTGACTTTGCCGCAGGCAAGCTGTGCCGAGGGACGGTGCTGGATAAAGTCGTGGTCGATGACGGGCAGCCAGGCGAAGCTGCCAAAGTAGCCCCTGGACGTCGAGACGAGGCCGCTGGCGGTCTGTAGCGTGGTCGTGTCGGCGGCGACGAGGCAGTCAAACACGCTTGAGTGGTTTCTCAGGGCAGAGGCCACTCCGCAGCCTGCAGCCTCGGCAAAGGCGTCATAGTGGCCGGTGGGAACGCCGTGGTCAAAGGGGTAGATGGGAGGGACGTATGTGCTCGCCAAGATGATCTTGGAAAGCAGTCAGTTTTTTTCGCCCCTCCCAACAAGGGAAAAAAACGAAAACAAGCAAGGGGCAGAAGAAAAGGGGGCATCAAGGATTTTAAAGTACGTACGCTGCTGAACAGCCCTTGTTCCCTCCCGTCATACGCCAGCGCCTGATACATGGCCGATGCCGCGCCAGACGACTCTCCGCCCATCGTGACGCGCCTCGGGTCGCCGCCGAAGCGGGAGATGTGCTTGTGCACCCACTGCAGGGCAAAGCGCTGGTCCAACAGGCCCGCGTTGAGCTTGCCGTGCCGCCGGACGTCGGGGGACGCCAGCTGGCCGAAGGCGCCGAGGCGGTACTGGATCTCGACGGTGATGAAAGTCTTGTTGTTGGTGTTGATCAGGGCGCTGGGGTCGTAGGCAGCACCGAAGACGGAGTAGCCGCCGCCGTCTGCGTCCTGGTTAGGTTTCATATTGCCTTTTTGACATGACGCTGATGATTGGGAAACTTACGGATCCAGACGAAGACGGGCAGGTTCTCGGCGTGAGGCGGCGCGTAGACGTTGAGAAAGAGACAGTCTTCGTCGCCAAGGGCTGAGTTGAAGCCGTAGACTGGAGGCACGCCGTACGCTCCCGACTGCGGACACCAGGGGGGTTGATCTACCGCTGCGACGAGGCGGTCTGGGGTCGTGGCTTTGGGGGGTTCTTGGGGGGCTTGCCATCGCAGAGTTCCGACTGGCGGAGCGGCGTATCGGATGCTGTGGTTGTGTGAGCCCCTTGGATCTTTTTATCGAGGGAGAAGGATGAGGCTGGTGTACCTTTTCCAGATGTTCAGATCGAGGGTGGCGTTGTAGAGGCCTTCGTAGACGGCATAGCCGAGGTCGACACGGGGGCCGTGTGCAGGAGCTGCAAAGGCTTGGCTGGTGGTTGTGGCCAGGGGGAGGATGAAGCCGATGAGGCGCATCATCGTGAGCGTAGGTAGTGTCTGATCTGGAGTGAGTGTTGACGGGTCTGAGGATGAAGGGCAAGACAATGCATCAACTTTGTATATTCACGGTAGTGAGAAGAAACGAGAGAAAGAGAGGGGACGAAATGAAAGGGAAAAAAATCATATTCGATATCGGAAATTCAGTCACCAGGTAGCTTGCCAGCTGGCAGACTCGCCAATCCTTCGCGCGGGTTTGTCAGTTCCAACCGCACATGGCCAACGGATATATGCAGGATCGGTCGGACCAGAGCTGTGCTCCGGCCGACTGTTGAATTACAGATCCGGACTCGAAAACTGCGAGAATGAGCCTTTCAGCATGCCGTAAATGGACGAGGAGGAGTATGGCTGGAAGTAAAGCTGCCGATTGAAGAGGGAGGGACGTGAATGGTGTTTTGGGGCTGCTAAGCGTGTAGGTACAGTCAGGGCGCGACATGAGTGAAAGTTGCGCTTGCTCTGAGACAAGATGATACCTGACGAGGAGAGTGAAGGACTGAGTCAAGCGGACAAGGACGAGGACTCAGTCAGGGTCGTCTATCATCCATCTTTGGAGTCTGGAGAGGTTGACAGCTTATCATTACAGGGTGCATGTGGGTTTGTGGCAGTGTGTCGAATAGCGTAGATTTAAATTGAGGTTGACGATATGTTGCTGTGGGTTGTTTTCACTCAAAGGAAGAATAGCTGGTTGATTCAACCATGAGAAGTGGCTCGAGGCTATGGGCGTGATTGAGAGTCGCTGATGGTCGAGACGATGACTGATGGTTAGGCGAGACATGTGATGAGGGACAGACGATGAGGTCGCACTTTTTGTCTCGGTCTGGGAATAGCTGAGCTGAGTCAACAGGTCAATAAGACGACTTACAGCTATACATTCGTCGAGACACTTGATAAGAATAAGGAAAGGGGAAAAGAAGGTAAAAACAAGACAGCCACGCGTTGAACCAGATGCATGCATACATCTTAAGCACATGCATGTTGGTGGCGTGGCAATATACACCTCGTGTACTACGTAGACGCATGATTTACCCGGCAACGCTCCGTGGTCGTATCAGTACTCGAATAACAATGATGGTGGTGTTGCTGGTAAATTGTTCATTTGTCCTTTTTTTGTACGTACGTGCGTGCAGGTTGGGTGCCGTCTTACATGCATGGATGCCCAGATCCCTGCTTGCCGTTGAAGAATGCCGTAAGACTCCGTCCGCAGCCTGGCGATGATCTTGACGACAGTGCAGACACGATGTTTTCTGGAATCTTCAGAGGAATCTATGAGCAAAGACTTTCAAATTCTGTGAAATAGGATGCAGTCCTTCTCATATACGCATGAGGAAAATAGGTAGGAGATGTAAATGAGATGCCGGTAGAGAGAGACCTTCCTATGCACGCATCTATGAGTGGATCTGATAGAGCTGAGGCGAGTATAATCATTAAAGAGCTCAATTCCTTCTATAGCGCTTCCATTCTTCCTTCTGAGGAGACTTGTTGCGTCTTCCACCACCTGTTTCGCTCTTTGGGCTGCGGCTTCTTCCTGCACCATATTAGAGCCTTGCCCACAAGGAGCCTCGCAAGTGTACTCCTGCATGTTGGCTGGTCATTCGTCAAATATCGAGCCCGATCATCCAGTGGCGTCCAAGTGGGCAGCCTTGGATGCATGAGGAGCCACAGAGGATCCTCTCCTTCTGCATTCTCGACTCCGACAGGCGATTCGACGGATGATTGCATCGTATCTGTACGAATCTGTGCGGCAGTGGAATCGAGAATTCGAGTGGTGGCTGGCCATTGACATGGAGGGTGGCATCATGCTCCAGAAAGAGGTAAGCTATCGAATCAACGCCCACGAGGTTCAATGTTGATGGAATGCCTTTGCCTTTGCCTTGGACTGCATGAGCCTAATGGGTGGTCCATCACGCATCATATTGTTCCCCTCCTTCTTATCTTCCCTCCTGGATCTCTGGTTTTCTCTCTTTCTAGGTATCTTGGGTTGAGACTGCGATGAATGCTGGCGATGTGTGTGTGCTTGGCTGCTGGTGAGCATGAAACATCGTCAGTGACGCATTGCGGCTTCAGCCGAGGGCTGCTCCCGGTTGCTGCGATTGACCATCGACGATCCAATTCTCATCGTTTCGAATGACGGGGATTCACTTCACTTTACCATGATTTGACGCTATATCGCACATTCTCTTCGGATACACATACACACGCATATATAGCGATACATGACACGACTGCAAAGGGCATCGTGGCCAGCTTTGCTGCGGTTTCCCCCCTAGTCGCCTTCTTACTCGAGACCATTAAGTCGAAAAGAAACTTTATAAGAAAGAGAAAGAAACATCATAGTATACGCAATATGGCGGCCAACACGACGTTGAGCGCCGCGTATCTGGCCGAGTCCAAGACGCAGCTGGTCACCACCATGTACGCCGTGCCCATTGCCCTCGAGACGTTGAGCACGGGATGGAGGCTGTGGGCGGCGGCGACGGCGCAGTCCGGCTTTGCGTATGCCGACTACTTGATGCTCTTTGCGACGGTATGTTGTGTGTCCCTGGAAACCAAAAAAAGGGGGAGGGTTGGGTCAAAGGAGCAAGGGAATGCTGATGGTTTGAAGCTCGTTGCCATTGCCGAGTGTGTAACTGGGCTGGTATATGGTATGCCGGTATCCATAGGTATCAATATCCTGTTGAACAAATCCTGACCTCGTAGGACCACCCTTTGGACTTGGCCGCCATATAGAAGCCATCCCCAAGCACAACGTGCAAATGTTTCTCAAGGCAAGCCTCACTCACATCAACCCCCCCCTAACCCCCCTGATGGCCCCCTACCTAAAGACTAACACCAACCAAGGGCGACTACATCTTCAGCCACTTCTACGACATCGCCATCGCCTCCACCAAGCTGTCCATCCTGGCCCTCTACCACCGCATCTTCGTCACCCGCTCGTTCCGCCTCGTCGTCGTCGCCACCGCCTGCTTCGTCTGCGCCTGGCTCGTCGTCATGGAGGTCGTCCTGGGCTTCGGCTGCCGGCCCATCCAGGCCTGGTGGGACGAGTCGAGGGGCAAGTGCATCGACAAGGAGGCCTTTACGTACTTTACCAATGTGACCAACATGCTGACGGATCTGTGGATCTTTATGATGCCGATTCCTGTCATCCTGGGACTGCAGGCGGCCAAGGAGACGCGGCTGATCTTGTGCTTCATGTTTGGGGTTGGGCTGGCGACGTGTGCGATTAGTGCGGCGAGGCTGTCGTTTGTGTTTGGCGTTGCGTCTGCTGATTTCACGTGTAAGTGTTGGTATTTTTCAACGATAATGGTTCATCTCTATATCAATAGAAGGTATTGACAGGCAGTTCAGGGGACGAGGCTTCCTTTGGCATCCTCTCCGCCTGGGAGCCCTGCGGCGCCATTCTCTGCGCCAACCTCCCCCCTATCTACCGCCACCTCGTCGTCATCCGGGACACGCTCCGCGCCGGCGTCCGGTCCGTGGTCTCTCACACGCACTCTCACTCTCACTCTCACTCTTACTCCCACCCTCGTAGTGCCGCCACGGAGGCCAACGGCTGCTCTGACCGGAGGAGAGGCGGGTACAAGGGCAGCCTGCAGCAGCACGACTGGGCCAAGCTAAACCGCAGCGACGGGCTGACGGGCGAGACGAGCAGGACGGTGACGGAGGTGTGTGCGCAAACGGGGCCGGAGGTGGCGGCCGAGCTGGAGGAGCTCAAGGGGGGAGGCATCCTGGTGGAGAGGGCGTTTACGCAGCACAGTGCGCAGGAGAGGGATCTGGAGGCCCTGGAGAATCTGGATAGGAATGGAGATGAGGATAATGAAGGAAAAATAGTATGATTGCTGCTCGTTTTGCCATATTGGTGTATACCTAGGTATGTGACGTGAATGTGTAAGTGAGGCCGTGAGGGTGGAACGACTTATATGGGATGCTGGGCCTTGGGTGTTGATGCTCAATGGCAGCACAACGAGCTGCAATAAGCTTGATTGTGAATGAAATTTGTATAAATATGAATCAATTACTGACGAATTGAATCTCGGCATTGTCACCAATATGAATATTTCTATATATCGTTGGAATTTGCCTGGTAATACATGTCGCATAGATATTACTGTCCAATCTGCTCCTTTAGGGCACGTGCTTTGGCGTCTGCAGCAACTAGGTAATACGCGAAAGAAAAAAAACCGTGACGTCGTTGCTCCAGCTCCAAACACCACAGCTACCTATTCGCAACCTCCAAACAACAGCATCACCGTCATCTTTCCTCCTCCACCGCCGCTCAATCCGCCGCAATTGAGAACCGAGTCCCCTAAAGCGACAGCAATTCAGCTCCAGGATCAATCACATACGCTCCCGAAGCTTCAGCAGGCCAGAGAGAGAGAGAGCCTCTGCAGAGCTGCCAACGGCCTCTGGGCCTGATCGAACACACTCGCTTCAAGCCCTGCGACAACCAAACAACAAAAGGCAGCACCTGCTCACAATGTCCTCCACGCCCATGGACCTCGACCCTCCCGCCGGCTCAAACGGCTCTCCCTCGCTCGCCATCTCGCGGAATCTGGCCGCCAGCGCGCCCGTGTCCAACCTCAGCGATGTCGTGTCCAGCTTCCGCCCGACAAAGGTGCCGTCTCCTCGATCGATGCTATCCCTTACGCGCCGTCAATCGGATTCCAAACTGACTCCCCCCCTAACAGCTGCTGCGCAGAGACGACGTCAAAGATGGCCGGCCGCAGCCTCGCGTCCTCTCCATCGACTACGACGACGACGGCGAGCTGCTCATGACATCTGCCAGCGACGAGACTATTCAGATCTACAATGTCCGCGAGGGCCGCCACGACAAGAGCTTGCTGAGCAAAAAGTACGGCGTCAAGCTGGCCAAGTTTACACATACCCGCTCCAGCATAATATATGCCAGTACCAAGCAGAACCGTAATCACGCCCTTCGGCCCCTTTCCCCCCCTTCCCCCCCTTGGCCGTGTGCGCAAAAACTAATCTCTTCTGCATAAAGACGCCATCCGATACCTGGCTACCCATGACAACTCCTTCATCCGCTACTTCGAGGGCCACGACGCCGCAGTCACCGGCCTCGCCGTCCATCCCGGCAGCGACAACTTCATCTCCTGCTCCCAAGACAACACCGTCCGCCTCTGGGACACGCAGACCAAGCACTGGCAGGGCCAGCTCTTCCTCCGCTCGCCCTACCTCGCCGCCTACGACCCCTCCGGCACCGTCTTTGCCGTCGCCTGTCCCAGCAGCGGCTCCGTCCTCATGTACGACGTCCGAAACTACGACAAGGCGCCGTTTACCACCATTGACATTGTGGAGCAGTGCCGCAGCGTCGACTCCCAGTGTCTCCTCAAGGGCTGGACCAAGCTCGAGTTCTCAAACGACGGCAAGACCATCCTGGTCGGCACAAAGGGTCGCGGGCACTTCCTCCTCGACGCCTTCCAGGGCAACCTCAAAGCCTACCTGCGGCGGCCCGCCGGAGGAACGCGCCGGCTTGCCGCGGGCGAGAGTCTCCCCGCCAACGGCTCCGCGCCCTCGCCTACCGATCCCGGCGCGTTCGAGAGCAGCGGCGAGTGCTGCTTCGCGCCCGACGGGCGGTTCGTGCTCAGCGGCGGCGCCAAGCAGGACGTGCTGGTGTGGGACACGCTCAAGCAGCCGTCCGAGGGCAAGGTGCTGGATCCGACGTGGACGCTGCCCGATAAGAGAGAGGCGGCGGTCCTGGCGTTTAATCCGCGCTTCAACTTTTTCGCAACGGCCGACCAGGACTTGGTCCTCTGGCTGCCGGATCCTCATGCATAGAATGCGAGTTTCGGTGGTTTAGGGAGGCGTGTGTGATCCGAAAAGGGTCCTCACTGGACGAGGGAGGAGGGAAGAAGTGGTTGTGTAGATACCCGGCGTCATTTACGTTTGACAATTTACTGCTTCTTTTCACGTGTATATATATATATATATATATGCCTTGATAGATTTGACCAGGTCAATGGTTTGGGGAGTCCATCTCTGTCCTTGGCAAGCTTTATCATTTACGACGTTGGAGAGATCTGGTCCAGTCTGGGTACTCGATTCACTAACCCGTCTTCCAGCACGTCTTGTGCCGCCATCATACTCTTGATTGCCTAGATCTTACGACAGAGTTCCACCACCAACTTCTCCAACTGAGACATCTTGACGTCTTCGTCTTCGGCGGCCATGATCTGCTTTGAGGCTTCCCCAAACAGCCCCCATACGGGCAGGAACTTCTTGTCCTCGTTCTCTGGGATGTTGATGTTGTCAAAAGCTGCCCGCATGGATTCGTGGCTTCGCAGTTTGGCATCCCACTCGGCAAACATGCTCCCGTCCTCCTCCTGGCACGTTTTCCTCCTCTCGCGGTACTCCCTCACCACCCTCACGCAATGAAGAATGACCGACGCCAGCCCTGCGGCCAAGGCAGTGGACACGGAGGATCCGTTGTAGTATTCGACAGGCTCCAGCGTCCGCCCCCCCCGCCCCCGTCGCCAGCTGGTCGCCTCGGCCACCTTGTTCCCCGGGAAGAAGTAGCTGATGCTCCTGGCATCTTCCGACGCCGGGTCTCTCTGGCCCAGCGGCAGCGAGGCTCCGATGCGGAAGATGTGGTTCGGCGCCACGCAGAAGGGGAGCGAGTCCCTGCCGAGGAGCTGGATGTCGTCGGCCGCGGAGCAGAACATGAGGATGTTGCTGTCCCTGGCGCGTGCTATTGCGCGATGCAGTGCCCGGACCGCCACTTCGTATGACGACGCCTTGCCTTGATGTTGTCGTTGTTGCTGTTGCTGTTGTCTGTGAGTTACGTCGGTGCCTGAGCCGCCGGACATGCCGAGCGCGATGCTTGCCACGTTGCGGACCGTCCACGACATGGAGATGATGTCGACCTCGCGGGTGATGGCGTCTTCGATGGCCTCGGCGGCGCTGTCGGCGAAGATCACGCGGACCTTGTTGCCCCCGGAGACGCTGCTGGTCTCGCCGTGGATCCTCATCACGTCGAGGGAGATCCAGGGGTTGAGCCGCATCATCATGTTGGCCATGACCGTGCCGTGGCCTTCCGTGGACTGATGCCACGGCCTTTCCGTCCTGCCCTCGGGGGGAACGTAGCTCATTCCGGTGATGGCCTCGGCCACGGCGTGTGTTTCCAAGCTGAGGAGGTCGACGCCGTCGTCTATCAGGGCAACCTTGACACGAGGAACTGGATCGCTACAGGTACTTTTGCGCAGCCGATGGATGGACATGAGAGCCGCTCGGAAGTTCTCCATGTTATCGATCCAGGTCTGCGCCGGAGGCCCTTCGGATGTCCCGATGTACGATGCGCCTGGGCTGCCGTTTGCATCGAGGCCGGATGTCGTCTCCTCGGGGTTCCAATTACTCACGACCTCGACTTTTGCTTCCGTGCGGGTTCTGACCTCGTCTTCAAAGCCTTTGATCATTCTCACCGCTCTCTTGCGGCTTTCGAACCCCTTTGATGCTGATTAGGAAGATTTGCTTTGCTTTGATTTCTGAAGCCTGCCGGGGACAGAGTGGACACACTCTCTCGGGGCTGTGTGAAATCACAAGAAGAAACTCACAGGGGATGCATGGAGCGTAATCTTCTGCAGGTTGCCCCTGGACTCTGAGTGCCTGGAGATGATCTCTTGAGAAGCCCAAGCCTTGAGGACTGTGTGGTTACCGCTCCAGTAGAGGGAGATGTGAGCGGCATCGGGGGCTGCGAACGAGATGACGTCCAGGCTCAGGTCTGGCTTCCTCCAGTCCCTTTGGAAAGAAGACGAGCACCATCAATGTCAGTTACTGCCTGGGAAGCCTTCTGGAAGACAGCCCAAAGTCAACATACCAAAGCTCCACCACGATGGCTTGCCTCTTGGCTTCGCCCGGAGAACATGAGTCGCAGCCTCGGATGGCTCGCTCGATTGCGGCATCGGTATGAGGCACCTCGTCTGCGTCGTCCACATGGAGCCGCAGTATGCGGCGAACATTGACTGCCGCCAGCTTGTCGAACACCTTGACCAGGGCGTTGCGGCCCAGCGCATCTCCTCGTTGTTGCCTCGTGTCTTCTTTGGAGTGGGCGCTTCTCCTACCTGACTCGTCTGGAGGAATGCTGAGAGTTGGGAGGTTGACGTAGGCTAGAGTATCCTCGAATCCGCCGGCGTTGGAGAGCTTCTCGATCAAGTCGATCACTTGCTGGACTGGAGCGCCCCTGAGGTGTGACGCATCAAAGTACAAGTTTTTATCTGGGCAGTGAAAGAGCGTCAGCTATGGTGGCAATGGCGGACATGTTTTTCTTCTTCTTCTTTCTTCTAGAGTTATTCAAAAGAGAAATGAGAGTTTTCAAAGGCACTTGAGCTTTACAGATATCTGTAGGGATTTCGGAGTGCTACGTGGGCTCACCTGAGGCTACTCTACCATATAGCAACAACTTTGCTGCGGCTTCTGTCCGGGTACGGATGTAATGAGCTTTGAGATACTCCCCCATCCTGTTGGCTGCTTTATTAGCTTCAATAGAGCCTTTGATCTCTCCATTCCGAACCGCGGTGAGCAGAGACTCCTCCCTGTTCTGTACCATGTTGGACGTGGCATCAGGATGAGCCGAATTGATAGTCTCATCGCAATCTTGCTTCTTGATTTGCGCGGAGGGCTCGAGCTGGATGTTTTCAGCAGCCTGGGGAATGTCTGAATCTGCATGAGCCTCCGCAGGCCAACTGTCTCATTTGCGGCGAGACAGCAGAAGTGAGGTCAGGGGTTAAACCAACTTACCTAGACGTCGACGCGCCACTCCTCTCCTTGATTTTCCTACTGCCTTGGCCATCGGATCCCCCTGATGGATGTGTTCTTGTGCGGCCTGCTCCGATTGGTCTTGATCACCGTCTCTCGTCTTGACTTCTGGAATTGCAATGTCCGGACCTTTTCCCAAGGACACAGCTGCTGGTTTTTTTGCGACGGCTGATGGTGGTGATTGATGCTTGAGCCAATGCTCTCGCGTCTGCACAAAATAGAGATAAGGGGACTGGTGCCTCTTGTTGAGCTGATGAGCTGCCTCCTTTCCGAGAAACTCCTCGGTTCTGACGATGAAGCCTTGGATCATCCTCCGGTATTCCCTTCGCAGAGGCCGGCAGTTTCTGTAGTCCATGGCGTAATGCAGGGGAAGATTGCCGTCCTTGTCTCGGGACACGTGCGTCTCTGGCTTTGCGGTTTCAAGAAAGAGCCAAATCATCTGGTAGGTTTCCTCTAGAGTTGGCCTTCTTGGCACAGCGACAGGGCCCTGTCTCATCATCCTCGAGGACACTTGCAGAACCTTTGGCAGTTGCTTCTTGAAGACATAGTGAAGGCAATTCATGCCATCCTGATCGGTCGCGTCCAGCAGCTCCGCCAGTTTCCCCGACCATTGTCTTGTGCACTCTTTGATGGCGTCGATGAACCGAAAGTTGTCAAACTCCATTGCCACTCGCAAGATTGGGTCCTCCCTTGACCGGCTGATGTCCTCCTCCTCCTCCACCTCCTCCTCCTCTGGGACGGTCGTTTGGTTCTCGAGGAGATACTGAATCATCTTTGTGAGGGTCTGATCAGAGAGTGATTCGAAATCGTCCGTATCCCGCTTCTTGGCCAATACATGGAGAAATGTGGGCGTGACCCTCTCGCGATCATCGCGGCCCGTCAGAGCCTCCTTTCTATACTGTTCGAGAACCTGACCGTCGCCCTCGACATCTTCACTCCACCGCATTTTGCCCCCTGCAAGATCCCTCAAGACCTCTGTCCACTGCTGCTCCCATGACTTCATGTGAAAAGCATCTTCGGAATTGAATGACGCGTCGGACTGCTGGTCTACATCTCCAGCGAACTTGGCAGCAGCAGCCTCTGTGTCGAGGCTCTCATCATCTGAGTTCGCTCTTCCCAAGTCGGAGAGGAGGAGGTCCGTGTCTGAATAATCATCATCATCTCTGGAAGGACGTCGATGGTGATCCATGACCCCTAGCAGATACATGGCCAATTAGGAGCAAGATGATCGCACCTTGGGCGCTTTGGGGGAGGAGGCAAAAGGCGGATGAGACTTCTGGTTTCTACTAGACAAAAGGGGTTTTTGTTGCAGGCTGACAAGGAAAGATTCTGAAGGAAGAGGGCTGCAAGTATCTCTTCTTGGAAGCGACTCGCCACATACATATCGGTGCTGCCGCGACGTGGAACAAGAGAAGGGAGCTGCTGACCCATGTCTGGTAGTTCCCCAGGGTTGGGGTGTCCCTCATCGGCGCCTCGACCTCTGAGTGAGGCGGCCGCCAAGCCTGGGCGAATATCGTTGAGCGTTGTACTTCGTATATGTCGTTGGACACGAAAAGACCAACGTGCATGATATAACAGGGATTGTCTCTTTGAGTGTTACTTTGTTGGGCGCTTCACTCCTGCAATACATGATAAACGAGGCATGGCCAAGCCACCGATGTCTACCCGGAAGAGATTCTGGACCTTCGTTTACGTAGTTAATCCAGTGTGGGAAAGTTTGGGGCTCACTGCCTGAGTAAAGCGTGGGAAAGCAAGGGTTGGAAGATTCCGGGATTGATAACGGTAGATGGCTACTCGCCTCCAATATCTCCCGCGCCACCCCCCTCCCCCCCTTTTCCATCCCCTGTAGAGTAGTAACACTCATCCGTTCAGCACAGCCTGTTATTCCCACGAGACTACAGAGCCTCCCCTCCTTCTGACTCCTTTATGGCGTGCCCGTACAAGTTGTATGCGGTGCAATTCCAGAGCTGGTTCAGGTCAACCGCTCCCAGGTTGAGGCGATCAATCTCGACGAGGCCATCCAACTTGTTCACAGGAGGCTCAGTGACTCTAAAGACAATCGGATCGTCACGTTCTGGCGACGAAAACAGCGATGCCAACACGGTCATGAAATCGGGCTTGACTTCCACATAAGGAACGCAGACAAAATCCTCGTCAGAGTCTCTTTCAAGAAGAACGCAGGCAAGAAACCGAGAGGGGATGCCGCTGGCTTGTGACTTGTTCTCAGCCAACGTGAACCGCGCCTGGTAGTAGTCTCCATACCGAAGCGACTGCGGGTTATCGCCCGTGACGACGGTGAAATGCTGCGTATCCTTGTCCGCAGAGCCTCCTCGCGACAGTTTGAGACTCGCATCCACGGCGACAATGTTGATGCCGAGAGAGAGCTCTTGGGCTTGGTTCTGGGCCTCATGCTGTGACGTTTGCTGCATTTGGTGACGGCCATACGGACGAACTTGCAGGACAGACGGTCCGCCGCCGGCTTGGCCTTCTGCGGCGTGGAACTCAAACAAGACGTCTGCCTCCTTGATGCGCGTGCCTCTGTAGGAGTTGAACTTGAATTCAAAGACGAGAAGCGTGGCGTGCTTGTCCGACAGAGGGCCCATTTCGCCGTGGATGATGGCTTTTGCGTTGCAGGTTGCGGTGAAAGCGTGCCTCTTGTGTGATCCGCCTTGACGGACAGATACTCGCTGCCGTTGCAGTTGTCCAGGGAGATTGCGGACGTGAAAGCCTGGTCGAAATAGCTATGTCAGACGATATTATTTTGGAAATCGGGAAATCGTCAGGAGAGAACTGGTGGGTGCTCTCACCTCCCTCTTGGCCCCTATACGTCAAGCCAAGGGTAAAGAATGTGGGATCCTGAGGATACTCATCTTCATCCTCCAAGTTTCCGCCATCGTCATCACTCAGCCAAAGCTCGCCCCAATCCATGGTCTTACCAGTTTGCAGTACTTTCTGTTAGTCAAGACAACAAGGGAGGTGAGATCCAGACAAGGTTACCTCCAAGGAGAAAAACCCAGGAGAAGATAAACTTCTGCACAAATGCAGCAAGAAATGGAGAGGCCTTGATATGTAGAAATCCGGAGCCTCCAGCACAGTTTCCGACGGATATTCATAAGGGGTTCTGCAACTCGATAGCTGTCTGTGTCGCATCTAGGCAGCGTGGCCGAGTTGGGGGGACGTGGCCCGGGGAATAGTAGCCCTTGGGTGTTGCCCCTGATTACTTGTCCTCTTCAAAAAGTTTGGCCAGAACTCGTCGAGGACTCAGAGGTATAGAGTGTATCGTATCCCGATGGCCATGATCCTGGCTCTCCGCCAAGCGGCCAACATTGTATAACGGCATAGATGCTGGTAACCGAAGGGATGTCGTGACTTGCGGCCTTCCTTGGTGACACAAGCATCTCCGTTGCCCTTCTGATTCGCACACGTCGTTTTCGCCGCATTGCGGCCTGTGTGACTGTGTCACGGAGATACCCGGTGTAAGTCGTACAAACAAACAAGAAGGGGGGAGACGGAGAGAGGGGAAGCTGTCCAAGGGGAGAGAGGCTTGGCCGGGCAGAAGCAACAGCCCTGTTTGTCACGAGAATTCGGGACCTCTGAGTCACCTGATCCTGTCGATTGCCTGCCTTGCGCGGCCACTGACAAACTTGCCATATTTATCTCTTGTCTCATTAACCAGCTGCCTGGGCACGTACGGTCAGGGTAAATTTAAGGCATTCAAAGGAGCGTTGGACCCGTCTTCTGCCAAGGAGGCCTGGAAAGCAATTAGCTGGACACCCATCATCCGGTTGCGCAAACAAAGATGCCGCAAGGCTGTGAATAAAGCACAGCGCCCTACTTCACATCGAGTGAGGTCACGAGTTGGTTCCAGCGGTGCAAACCCGAATCCTGTGCTGCGTCAATCATCCATATTACTACTACTGCGCCCCTGGCCCAGGTGGCCTTCGACTTACAGCATATCCCGGCCTCGCCTCCATCGACCTGTCCTCGACCTGTCTTTGAAAGGAGTACTGGCTTACTAGAGTCGCTGCGAAACACAGTCGCACCCTCTGCTCCCTGGGCTGGCCAAGTCATCATGGAGAATCTCGAAGGCGTATCGAAGAATGAACCGGCCCTGCCATCTCCCATGGGGGTCGGAGAAGGCAGAGAGGACCATGGCCTTATATTGATCCCTGCCCTGGAGGCGACAGGCGAAAAGCCGGGAGCTGGCAAACGGACGTGCATTGAGTGAGTTTACCTCCGATACTGTCTTGCCACATCCAGTCGTTGGTATAAAAGGCTCACGTTGAGATGATTCGCAGTGTCGTTCATGTCATGGCGATTGGCTCTGCAGAGGACCGGCTCAGCCTGGAAACCCTCCTTGCAGGGCCATCGACCATCAGCGCCATGAAGCGCAGAGAATTCGTGTTTCAGTGCGACATGGCCAGCTTGCTTGTCGGCAACATTACGAGCCAGTGTGTTGAAGTCCTGGCTGGACGGCTGCTTCGGGGCCTCACATCTTTTGATGAACAGGAATCAAGAAGAGCGATTGTCTTTGTCGCCTACGACTTTGGAGACTTGATTGTCAAAAAGGTATGTGCTGAGTGCAGTCGAACTCGGTGATCAAGACGAGACTGATGATGTGACCAAGGCCATATGCATCGCTGGTTCGGACAGGCAACAGTGGCCAGGGATGTTTACGAGCATCACGACAATTGTATGTAAAGGAAGTGTCAAGCACAAGCATCCGATGCCCTTGCTTCTCCACTCCCCCCATTATCTCGTTTTCTTTTGTCTATCAATGGTGACTGACCAGCGGTTACTACGTGTCCCTAGGTGTTCACAGGCTGCTTTCAGCGAACAAGCAGTACCCAGCCACTCGATGGGCAGTTGTTCCCCTACCTCTGGTCGCAAAAGCCTTCTTCTCCTTGGTATTCTTTCTTGAGTACTCTAGCACTCGGTAGCCTTTCGAGGCTCGTAGTGGACATGACCGAAGCTTTCGTCGCTTCCAGGATCACTCTGCGAGCTCATGTCATAAGTCTCTATACGGGCGCGACTGAGCAAGGGCGTATTCACAAGGTGAGTGGTTTTCCCTTCAGAAACGAGAATGGCTTCTCATGCATGCGTTATGATTTAGGCATTTGACTATACCACGGCTCTTATTGGGCTACCGGACGAGGTCATTATCCAGGAGCAAACACACAAAGGCCGGGAGGCGTTCCCAGGTCTGAGTGCCGCGGTTTGCTTCAGCATCGAAGGTAATCATAGCCACAAAGAGCCTGCGAAACTGGACCTCTGCGTTGACACAAGCCATTAGGTTGCTTGCCTTGCGACTCCTGGATACCGTTCGAACAAACCCTGCTGGCGCTTGTCTCGGCACATCAACCAATGTCGTCGGTACGTTACGACGAATCGCACCCTGTGTTCAGGAGTATTGACTATGCTGCGTGGCTGCCACCTACTGGCTCACACATACTAAATGTCCGTGACTACCCCCATAGAGGGGACGTTGAGGCTGCGGAACAGATCTTCCTCCGCTGGAAGTATGAAAGAGCGGCAAGGCCGGGTAGACGACGCCCCTTTCAATTCTCCTTTACATTCTGTGCCCGCGATCCGAGGCGCTGCTCGATGAAGGGCATGCTCAGCTCACTCCTGTTTTCGTTCTTTTCAAAAAATGGCACCAACGACGCTGCTGTTGAATATCGCAACCTTATCAACGATCAGCTGTCACTCCATCAAGCGTGGACAGAGACGGATCTGTTCAGCATGTTCATTGCGCTTGCACCCATCATCGTCAATGCGGATACGCTCCTACTACTGCAAGACGTTGGGGAATGCAATAAACCAAGCCGAGAAAGATTCTGGGGGGTGCTGGACGCCTTAGCTTCCACGACTGAAGCACCGTTCAAGGTGGTGACAACAAGCGGGAAGACTAGAGTTCTTTTTGAACTGAGCCGGGGGTCAAACCTCATGACTACTGAATATGATGTTTTCAGAAGGACATGTTGGGACGAGGGGCCCAAGTCATACACGGACGAGATGATATCCTTCTTTTGCCCCGGCGGATATGGAGAGACTGATGTCCGACTGAGAATCAAGCGGTTGGAAGCCGCCAAACGGCCAGATCTACCCGTCGTTCTGGATCTCATTGCGAACATTTCCAACTGGCCCAGAGAGCCGTCTGCAGAGGCATTTGATATGTTTGCTTCTCACCTCATGGCCGTTGCTTACGAGCCAGAGCCAGAGCCGGCTTATGTGCTCCACAAGGCGCTCAGAGATGTCGCCGACCAGGACGGACTTCGATGGGCCCTGAGCTGGCTTCTCCATGCGCAGCGGCCACTGACTTACGGTGAACTCGCAATGGCCTTGTGCTATCATCAGAGAGAAGAATGGGAGACTTTCTGCACGCCGCCTCTCACTGCCGTACGACGGTCCTTGTCTCGGCTCCAGACATGGTTCCGCGGCATCACCGAATCGTGCAGTGGGCAGGTTCGCTTTCGCCAGATAGTGCGAGACTGCATAGATGGAAACTGGACACATAACTGCGCAGAGCCAGCAGCATCGGACGCCATCTCGACATTCCTGGTCAACTTCCTGACCTCATCCGAGACTCGAGAGCGCCTAGACGCCATATACGGCCAGTATGAGTCTCTCCTTCGGGCTTCCGAGGACGGCATCACTCCGCCACTGGTTCCCGATGGCCAGGACATCATCTTTTATGCGATCGAGGCGCTTCCTCATCACGTATCGAGAAGCGCAAGCGCTCTCCGACTTTTGGGAGACGACCTCCGGTCTGTCGATGGGAAACTGGCGCCATGGGCAAGAGCTTACTGGGCCATGAGCAATCCGTTCTCGCGACCCAAGTTCGGAACGCTGAAGACGCCAGACCAGATACTCTGGTCACTGAGGCACCTGGATCATGCGCCTAAAGGTGCCTTTCTTTTCCAGAATGCCCTGAAGACAGAGACTGCGGATACGTTACAGAGCTACCTGAGAATGTCGTCAGAGGATTGTCTGGCTTGCGGAATCAGAGCGGGTGATGAAGATCTTGCATTGTCACTTGCGTCAGCGTCAGGAGTCGTTGCCAGGGGTCACGACAATGAAAATGAAGACAGTGCCAATTCTGGAGGCTGTCCAAGACCTGTATGGCCGTCATGTCTTCTCTGGAGAGCACTGTGGCTCAACATGGATCGCCTGGTGGCTCTGTTCTTGGCCGCTGGTGTAGGTCCAGATCCTGCAGATTGCACCTCGAGATACTTTCGCTCTCCAGCCCACATGGCCACACAGCTATGTCGCCAGTCTGTGATGGATGCGTTGTTGAAAGCCCACGAAGCACGGCCTGATATGAAAGAAGTGGGTGGTGAGAGCTTGATATTCGCTGCTGCTCGCAGTGGCAATATGGACTGCATCAATCTCTTGATAGCCAAAGATAACCCCCTCTTGGACACTAGAGGACTGGAAACACCACTCTTTGCTGCGTCTCGACACGGCAACTGGAAGGTGGTTGGTCAGCTTCTCAAGCTTGGAACCGATCCAAATGCAGGCATTGGGCCCGAGATCAACGATAGGCGGGCTCCTCTCGCTGTTGCAGCCGAATATGGCCACATGGAGACTGCTCGTATCTTACTCGAATATGGAGCCGACCCCAACATCCGCGGGCCAGGCAATCAAGGCACTCCGCTCTGGTTCGCAGCCGTCAAGGCGGGAAACAGAAAGATGGTCAGCCTCCTCTTGGCCAATGGAGCAGAGCCCGGCCATGAGCTACTGGCTTCACCGTTGCTTGTGGACCTGATCGGTTCACCCGTGTCGACTGACGACAAGATCAAGGTGCTCAGGAGGCTGACGCGGAGCCGGTGTCCGAATCTCGTCAATGTCGCCGACCGCAACGGCATGACGCCGCTCCTCCACGCAGCCGCAGCCGGAGACTTGGACATCGTGCAATGGCTCCTGAGAAACGAGGCAGACGTCGACGCCAGGGACAGCCGAGGTCGCTGCGCACTCTACTATGCTCTTGTAAACAAGCACGAGAGGATTGTGCGAGACTTGCTGGCCCGCAAGCCGCAGTTGAACGTCAGCACCACAGACGGTCAGACGCTGCTCGAAACCGCCATGGAGCAGGTATCCATGGTACGGTTGCTGTTGGATGCCGGCGCAGACACGGAACTGGGGAACAAGCGCAATCGCACTGCCCTCATCGTCGCCGTGCTAGAGAAGAAGACGGAGGTCGTCCAGCTCTTGGTCGAGAGGAGGGCCAACGTGCACCACCGTGACAAGGATGGCTTCAACCCCATCCTCATCGCAACGGCGCATAGCACGGATGCAGACATTGTGCGTATCCTGGCTGAAGCCGGCGCCAACCTCAACGATGCTCATCCAGCCACTGGGGACACGCCCTTGCACTTGGCCGTGGCTATAGACGCGGACATTGCCAGAGTGCTGTTGAGATATCGCGAAGCCATTGATTTGGAGAAGCGCAATGCCGTCTCCAGAACCCCCTTGCTCGCTGCTGCATCTTGGAACAAGATGGAATGCATCAACCTCTTGGTCCGAGCCGGAGCCGATATCAACGCGCAAGATGACTGGGGCTGGACAGCCCTATCATTGGTCTCGACAGATTCGTCCACCGCTGCCCTGGGAGTCTGTGATCTCCTCCTGTCGCAGCCAAAGATCATGATCGACGCCAAGGGGAAGGCCTTGGGGACCGCTCTCATGATGGCCTGCCGCTCGTTGAACCATGGGATGGTGACGAAGCTCCTCGCCCATGGGGCTGACCCCAATGTCTCAATCATGGGCCCCTACAGCACTGCGATAGCGGCGGCATGCTTTCCCCTGGATGAGATGAAAGACGGGAACATGGAAAAGACAGACTGCATTATCCGCGAGCTGATTGACCATGGTGCTGATGTCAACGCCACTGGAGGGTTCTCCATCTTCAATGCCATCTGTGCCGCCGCGTTCTCTGCCGGTGCCAGCACCATTGAACTTCTTCTTGGTAAAGGGGCTTCGGTGCACATCCCCGATCCGTTAGGCCGACTTCCCATCCACTTCGCCGCGGCCAGTGGCATCAAGAATTTCGAAGCCGTGGCCTCCGTCTACCAAGACGATCTCATGATCTGCGATAAAGCTGGCAAGAATGTCCTCCACTGGGCAGCCCAGTTCGGCCACGTGGAAACCATCAAAGCCATCTTGGAGCGTATCGATTCTTCGGGGAGAGATAGGAAAGAATACATCAATCGGGGAGACATTGATGGATGGACACCACTCTGCTGGGCGACGCGTCCATTTGCTCAAGACCTCGAGCCCAATCGAGCATCCGAGCGCGGTTCATATGTTGAAACCGTGAGGTGCCTCCTAGGCCAGGGAGCCAATCCTCATGTTAAGCTCCGTATGGGTAAGGGGGCAGTCGCTGAGACATACACGCCAGCGCAGATGGCAGAGCTCTATGACGCCGAAGACGAAGTCGTCAGCCTCCTGGAGAGGAATGCCGCAAGTTCGGAAAGCAGTTGGTCGGCGGCATCCGGCAACACAAGCAACTCGGTTCACCCGTATGTGCCCAGAGATTGGTTCTGTGACATATGTCAGACGGTAAGCTCCCCCCCCCTTCCCCCCTGAAACTACCTACGACTATCCTGACTCGAGTGGCAAAGCTGACCAAAGACCACTCGCAATTTCTGCTTGCAATAGACGATATTTGGGCATTCATTCCGATGTCAATGCTGCTACGACTTTGATGTCTGCAAGAAATGCTTCGGCAATATCGACATCTACCATGCCCGTGTCGTGTCTGACGACTGTGGGGAGCATCTCTTTGAAATCCGGGAGGGCTGTGAGCAAGAGTTTGAGGGCTGCATGGTCACCCCGAGCTTTTCCAACTCCCATGCTGGAAGTAAGTTTGCCGATGAGCTGGAAGACGGAGGTCCTGAGGGCTATCTGCTTGGGGACTGGGAGAGTGTAGAGATGCCTGTCATTGAGGACTATTAGAGGTAGATATTTTGATGAGCGATGTTGTAAACGGAGTAAGCTTTAAAGTCATGATGCTGCATGCAAACGTTGCCTCGTTGAGCGTGAGTAACAGCCTGGTCAGGCATACACCTGTCATGCAAATAAGTAGATTGATACCTTACCAGGTAGAGTTGAACAAAGAGTCAGTCGTTCAGAACTTGAACAGAAGATGGGGAGAAAGGTACAGAGTAACTTGTACCCCCCAGCCCCGCCATCGACTTTGAAGTTCCTCCCCTCCCAAGCCTCACAGCGCCACAATCCCCGCCACATCTCCATTGGCGCCCAGACATGACAAAACCACAGCCTTGCCTACCTCTAGCTAGACTCTTCGTCTCATCAAAGCTGCATCGACCACCAGATCCTCTCAAAACCCCACAGCCTCGCCTCTCTGCTCTCTCCCAGGCACAATTCATATATGGAGCCTCGCTCATCATAGCAAAATTCCGATGCCATACTTCAAGACGAGCCAGGAATGGCTCGACCACTCCATCGCTCTGCTTGAGGCTCGGCCCTCGCAGGTACGCTCCTCTCTACTCCCTTCCCACCTCCCCTTCCCCCAGCCCAGCCCAGCCCAGCCGCTTCTATTCTTGCTCGAAGTATCACATAGATGACTTGACTGCTGACCACCTATCTTATCCTCATGTCACAGACCCGCGTCACAGTCCGCTACTCCATCAAACCCGTCAAACCCCGCAAATCACCTCCATCCACAACCGACCAAGACACCACCTCAACAACAACCACCACCCCCTCCGATACAACAACAACAACACCAGCAGCAGCAAGACCTCCCCGGGGAAGCCTCGTCCTCAAAACATACGACCCCGTCGGCGGCGTCACGCTAAAGTACCGCACCACAAAGGCCGCCGAGGTGACGCGGCTGATGGGTGCTGCCATGGGTCGTCTGGGCAGGGCCATGGCGGGCGTGCAGGACGTCGTGGAGGAGGAGATGCGGGATGCGGATGCTGTTGCTGCTGGTGCGGAGGCAGATTCAGGGGCCCAGCAGCAGCAGCAGCAGCAGCAGCAGGGTCAGGGACAGCAGGGTGGTGGGGGTGGAAAGAAGAAGAAGAAGGGCAAGAAATGAAGAGAGGGTGGGTCGCGTGTGAGTTAGAGCGGGCATGTTGAGCTGGTAGGAGAAGGACTTTGTGTAAGGCTTCATGTCAAGTGGGATGAGGGCAAGAATAAGTCATGTTCGAAACAGATATGTGGTCATGGATTGGGATACAGGCTATACGCTCGGCCAACGGGAAGCACGGTCATGAAAGGCGCAAAACAGCAGAGGGTAGAAATCTCTTCGGACACGCATATAAAGATGCTCAAGACACGATTCAATCATCATCATTCATCCAGGTCTATTGCTGGACTACCTTATATTCCGTAGCTACGTACTCCATACAGTGTATCATGATCCAACACGTTCCGATCATTATCCACCGGTTGTGACAAGAACAAGAAATCGCATTCATCAAGAACAAAGCCCATACCCTAAAACGCCCGCAGTGTGTGAGAGAACCCTAAACCAATAACAATGGGAATCATCACAGCGTCCACCCTGTCCACTGTGATACTTCAACGCCATCTTTCGCCGATCCAACCCGCGGACGGCTTCTTTTTGCAAATGTACAAGCTTCCAAATGTGTAAAGCAAGAAAAAACAGGAAGAGATGAGAGCAAGATGTGAGGAACAAGAGAGGAGAAGAAAAGAGACGCCATGCAACGAACGACTCAAAAGTCATCGTCAAAGGAAAAGTCACCGCCGTTGGAGTCCTTGGCATCGGCTGAGCTGTCGTCGACGACCTTCTTGGTGCTGTTCATGACACCGGCCTTCTGGTAGTCGGCGACGCGCTTCTCGAAGAAGTTGGTCTTGCCGCCCAGGGAAATGTTCTCCATAAAGTCAAAGGGGTTGGACGACTTGTACACCTTCTCATTGCCGAGGGCAACCAGCAGGCGGTCGGCAACAAACTCAATGTACTGCTTCATGAGGTTGGAGTTCATGCCCAGCAGGGCGCAAGGCAGAGCCTCGGTCAAAAACTCCTGCTCGATGCGGACGGCGTCGGTGATGATGTCACGAATCACCTCCTTGCTGGCGCGGTTCTTCAGGTGAGAGTGCAGCAGGCAGGCAAAGTCCGTGTGCAGACCCTCGTCACGAGAGATGAGCTCGTTGGAAAAGGTCAGGCCGGGCATGAGACCTCGCTTCTTGAGCCAGAAGATGGAGGCAAAGGCACCGCTGAAGAAGATGCCCTCGACAGCGGCAAAGGCAACAAGGCGCTGGGCAAAGGACGAGTTCTTGTCCTGGATCCATCGAATCGCCCAGTCGGCCTTCTTGCGAATGCAAGGAATGGTCTCAATGGCGTTGAAGAGGTAGTTGCGCTGGCTGTGCTCCTTGATGTAAGTGTCGATGAGCAGGGAGTACGTCTCGGAGTGGATGTTCTCCATCATGATCTGGAAGCCGTAGAAGCAGCGAGCCTCGGGGATCTGGACCTCGCCGCTGAAGCGCTCGACCAGGTTCTCGTTGACAATGCCGTCCGAGGCGGCGAAGAAGGCCAGGATGTGAGAGATGAAGTACTTCTCGTCATCGTTCAGGCGGTTATTCCAGTCGTGCAGGTCCTTGGACAGGTCAATCTCTTCGGCGGTCCAGAAGGAAGCCTCGGCCTTTTTGTACATTTGCCAGATCTGTTGGAACAGTTAGCCGAGTGACCTTGATCGAGGTTCCCTCGTGGCATGGTGGGGGTGCCACTTTACGCGTCGAGACGCGTTCGTGGAGGGGTATGAGCAAAACACACCTCGTGGTACTTGATGGGGAACAAGACGAAGCGCTGAGGGTTCTCTTGCAGAATGGGCTCGTCAATCTCCTCAGGCTTGATTGTGGGAGCCACGGCGGGCTTGGCCGCCTCCTTCTCGACCTTCTTGACGGTCTCGGCGGGCTTGTGGTTGTCCATCTCCTTGGCTAGGCTCTCGAGAGCAGACTCGTCGAGAGGCTGATTCTCCTTGTCGGCAGGGTTGAAGTTGATCTTCTTGACGGGGGACTCAATCTTGAACGAGTCAATGGCAGAAGCAGCCTGCAGAGATTGTTAGCTTTAGCTCATGAAGAAGCAATTGGTGCAGTTCTCGGTCCGGGTAGAAGCGGTTGTTACTCACCTGCTTGGAGGGAGTGAGTTCGGTGGCCATTGGGTCTGACTGAGCAAGAGGCAAGACGGAACAACAAGACAGAGTGCGTAAAGTGGAAACGGGAAGAAAAAATATCAAGGCCAAACTGGTTGCCAGACGCGGTGGTTTGATCGAGGAGACGAGAATCACAGCGTCGGTGGCGCCAGAGGTTTTTGTAAGAGCAGAGCAGGCCAGTCACGTGCGGCGCGACGCGTTCACGACGTGTTTTCCCAGCGGGTCTCGCAGCGCCTGCAAGAGCCCTGCAAGTGCCCTACAAGTGCACTACGGGTGCCCCCCAGATGCCCTATGAAGATGCGCTGAGGCATCCCTGGGGGGGCTGGAGCCGCTGCATCGGGCAAGGCGCTGCAGGGATGGGCGCAGGTCGACAGGTACCGAGCCGGTACTCGCGGGGTGGTCGCTGGCTGCCATGGCGGGGCTGTTCAGCTGGTGCTGTGGCCGCTGTGTAAAGTCGATGCGGCGCTGGCAGACGCGTGAAAGGCGGGAGTCGCGTCGAGGTACTGCGCTACCTTGATGACTCGATGATCCTGGGCATTTGCTGCGAGTGCCTGGCCGGCTTAGCAAATAATGATGCGAGAGACCCTCCCCTGCTCCCTGTTTATCAATCTTGAATCAGCAACAACAAACGCCCTTTGGCATCTCGTGTCGGTGGGGCCCGGATTTGGTGTGTTTCCTCTTGTCTGGGCTGTGTTTGCCTGTGCTTCGGCTGTGAGAGGCTGGTAGGATATCATGCACAATGCAGGTACAGGTACGACTTGGAGGTGTTACACGAGCTGTAGAGCATTAACAGCAGCACAAGTATCTGATACAGCTTCGTGCAGGGCCTCAGTCTTCTCAGTCACCCCGAGCCAGCTCGTGAAGCTGACCAAGCGAGAGCTCGTAGCTCCGAGAGCTCGATCCGACGTGGGGCTGGTCTGAGCTCTGGACGCGAGGCCGTCTCCATTCCAATCGGCTTGGAGGCGTCACAAGTGAGATTCACGCTCAGTCAGGGCTCGCACCATGTTGAGCTGTGAACGAGTGTTCAGCAGCCAACAGATGCTCGAAGCTGTAATACAGTATGTCAGCATAAACAATCCATTGGACAAGGATAGCAAGCTCTAACTGAAGTCAAAGTACATTGTTGTCTTCTCCGTCAAGCTGTTGACAGGGCATGTCCCCTGTCTTCTCCTACAGTAGTGCGAATCTGTGGCAAGGGGCTGTCTGCAGGGAGACTTGCGTGCATCTACAGCACCATGTCCTGGTCTGTCTTACTAGCACGCCCGACTCGACACGCCGTTTGTTACCGTGGAAGAAGTCATAACACGAGGTACCACTTGGCAGAGACTCCACGAAGTCGGATCGTCGGAAACACTGCCTTCACCACATCAGCTTTTGCCGTCTTAGCAAAGCATGACAGATGCTGTTTGTCTGAAACAGTCGGTGGCTTCACATTGGTCCCTAGAATAGCATGCGTTGCTATGCTTCAAGCTTCATCGTGATTCTCGTCTTGATTGTAGTGGTATCTATCTATATACTACTGCTGCGCAATGCCATCCCAGGCAACATCCTGTTGAACAATTTCATCAGTTCGGTTTTCATCAGTTTGTGTCCTCCACGCCAAGCAAAAGGGTCTTCGCGCAATTAACATTATCAATGAACGCGTTTCTCGCAAACAGTCTTTTTTGGTTTATCCCATCAATGGGGCCGTCGGGCTGCAAAGATCCACCCCATAGCGTCCCAGCCTCATAATTAAACAAAGAGACGCGTTCCTAACATCCGAATAAAGGAAGAAAATAAAAAGACAAAAATGTCGGGGTGAGTTCGCTTCCTGAACAAAGGAGATGCAACCATCCAAAAGACGAGGACAAAGGAAACTTCGTGAGGCGCTCAGACAAACGAACCAGCGATGTGCGCTCCCCGCGGTAACCCGGCAAACGAACCGCGCAAACGCTTACAGAAAGCCACCGTATCGCCTGCTCTGCTGCTTGCTGTTTTGTCGCGGATCGTTGTATCGATCCGTGTTCGCATGGCCCATCTCGACATCGTGAGGGCGAGCCTTGTTACGGCCAAAATACCCACCGCCGTCGCGGACCCGGGCGGCGTCTGGCTCGCGTGGGGCTCTCGGGTCCTGGGCATAACGCCGGTCGTCAGGTTGGATCGGAGACTCTCGGCGGGACGGAGGAGTCGACGAGTATTCAGGCGGATCTTCACGTAGGACCCGGTCGTACTCCTCGGCGCTGCTGGGGTCGACGGCCGGGATGGGCTGTCCGCTTTTCCGGAGCTCCTTCTTGCCCTTTTCGCGCAGGTGCTGCTCCAGAAGCGCTGCGTTGCGCGTGTTGGCGCGGAAGAGGGCATCGGCCAAGTCTCCGAGGAAGGGCACCAGGCCAATGGCGAAGTCGATGATGATGTTGATGAGCATCCGGATTCTGATTGCGGCGGGAAGACCGCCCTCTACTTGGCAGCATGTCCTATACACCATCAAGGCCATAAAGACATCAAGCATGTCACCGGCACTATGATAATGTTAGTCAACTAGCACAAAAGAGTGAGTCCAGGGAGAGTTGCTCGACTTACGCAGGAACTAGGCCGACAACGCTGCTCCAGCCGAAGCGGATTCCAAGAAAGTTGAAGAGGCTCATGTCCAGACGATATGCTCGTCTCTTGACCTTGGTCAGAACCTGGCCATCGTGCTCTGAGATGCCGGGGGGCAGCGCCTTCTTGCGCTTCTTGACCTTGCCCGTAGGCCTGCCATCGAGCCTCGTGGCAGGGACTTGCTCAAAGTACGGATCCTAACACGCGACTTGTTAGTTTTTTTCTTTATTTTAATTTGTGTAGAGCATGAGGAACAGCAAGAAGATCTGATGCTGCAACTTACCTCCTTGCCAAATTTGTTCTGGAGCGACTCTCCCAGAATCCGTTTGCTGATCATCTTTGCCAATAAGCTCGTCATGGCTGCGGTATTGCGTGAGGATGATGTCTATCAAAGACAAAATGAAATAGAGAGGTGATGGATTTCAGGCTCTAGAAAGACTGAAGAATCCAATCTTTATATCCTTCTCTCTTCGAGGTCAACAAAGGACAAACTCTTGAGCCTGGTCGGGTCGATTGGAGAGGCGCTTGCTGTCGTCTGTTTCAGAAACCGCTGGTGGGCGGCAGTCGCTTTTCAAGGGCCGCCGCTGAGAACCAACCAAACAAAGGCGACCAAAGGTGAGACAAGGCTGTCAATCAGAGCAGGCGGGCGGTTGGAATTGGCAGGGAGCAAAGAGGGAAAGAAAAAAGCAAAGACTGAAACAGAGGGAAACCAAGGACTGGCCGTGATTCTTATACTACTACCTACATACCTACCTAGTCTATGCCGTGCCTCTCGAGTGTGCAGTGAATTGGCGTAAGAACCTGTTTTTGGCGTCAATTGTGCCTGGTGGCTCTCACACTCAAAACGAGGTCATGATGTAATTTAGCGGCGCATCGCTGGAGAAGAGCGTTGAGGCCGCTGGAAAAGGGCTGCATCGGCGCTGGGCCGGCCAATGAGACGCCGCCGGAGGTGTCCCGGCGCCCGCTAAATGCGGTTTCGTTACAGGGGAGATTCTAGCGCTGGGCTGCCTCTGGCACTCTGGTGACGTTTTGCCACTGATGGGATGATGACTGGACTGGAGCGACCAGGACAAGAGCCGGCCAGGGTCGGCAGATCTGGCGCCACGATAGACGAGCGGTGCACCGCCACGCTGGGGCGAGCCACGCCATGATCGTGGCTGTGCGGTTGGGCAGCGTGGCTCAAGCTCTCCGCTGGTATGCATGTTATGGCGCACTGTGTGGCTGCCGTGGCGCTGCGCAGGTGCTGCCGCGACTTCTCAAGCGAAGACAGTGCAAAGTCTGGTGTCCCTCCCGCCATCACGCACTGACTGACCCGATCACAACTCCCGCCAAAGCGGGCAAGCCTCCTCCCTCACCAACCTCGTGGCATCCGATAGCTTCAGCATCTCTCCGGGTCGGCAACTTCCATCTCGGCAACTCTCCGAATCGCTGCCAGCACCGCCTCTGTCCCGCCAGTACTCCGCTGCCCACCTCGACGACCGGCCGGGCCTCTGCACCCATCGCCTGTGGCTGAAGCGCGCCTCGCGATCCCGTTTCCTCAGCTGCCAGATCCTCATCCTCGGAACGACTGAACCATGCCCATGCCCATCGTCCTGTCACATGTCCGAAGCGCACTCCGTCTAGCCAAGTCGTGAAGACCGAGAGAGAGTACATTGTTATATTATTAATCAGAGCATGGGGCTGAGCTGAGCACCTTGATCAGACGAGAAAGACACAATTATGGCTGAGAAACAGATGCAGCTGGAAGACTGTACGTTCCAGCCTTTCCACCTTACCCACCCCCCCTTGCTTGACCTCTGCTGTGCCGGTCGCGGCGAGATGCTGACCTGCTATCCGTCTGCTAGGGCTGGACGATCTGTGCGTCCGGTTCATCATCAACCTTCCGCAAGAGGACCTCTCCTCAGTCGCCCGACTATGCTTTCAAGTCGAAGAAGCACAATGGTTCTACGAAGACTTCATCCGCCCCCTCGACCCGACCCTCCCGTCCATGACGCTGCGCACGTTTTGCCTGCGAATCTTTCAACACTGCCCGCTGCTTGCGTCGTTCTCGGTTGAGAATCACATCAAAGCGTTTGAGGAGTTCCTGCAGTACAAGACCCGTGTACCCGTCCGCGGCGCTATCATGCTCAATCATGAGCTGGATTCGGTCGTTCTTGTGAAGGGCTGGAAGAAAGGTGCTAGTTGGAGCTTTCCTCGCGGCAAGATTAACAAGGACGAAGACGACCTGGATTGTGCTGTCCGGGAAGTCTACGAGGAGACTGGCCTGGATCTCCGGGCAGCAGGACTGGTACCGACTGAGGGGAAGCCCAAGTACATTGAAATCCCCATGAGAGAGCAGCATCTCCGGCTTTATGTCTTCCGGGACGTCCCCATGGACACGGTGTTCCAGCCTCGGACCAGGAAAGAGATCAGCAAGATTGAGTGGTACAAGCTCTCCGACCTGCCCACTCTTCGGAAGAAGGGAACTCAGAACAACAATAACAACCACCAGTATGACTCTGGTGCCGGAACCAATGCCAACAAGTTCTACATGGTCGCCCCCTTTCTGGTCCCTCTGAAGAAGTGGATTACCTCGCAGAAGAAGATTGATGAGAAGCGGACGTTTAGCGCGGGCATGCCGGCCAACGCCGCCTACCAACCTCAGAAGGCCATCGAAGAGGATCCTACTGAGGATGAGACCTGGGTACCCAATGTTCCGGACGTCGTGCCTGCTGCTGCGCCGAACATTGAATCACTTGATGGAGCCACGCGGGAGCTGCAGCGTTTGCTCAACTTGCAGCCATCGGTCCAGCCGCCTCTTGTGGCTGCTAAGAATGACCTGCCAGCGATGCATTCTGAGCCAATGCCTTCTGCAGCTGCTCCTACGGATAAGGCCAGTGCGCTGCTGTCCATTCTCCAGTCGTCAAGCACCACGTCTCAGCACGTGCCCCCGCCTCAGCCTATGCCTCCAGCTCAGCCTATGCCTCCCGGTCCCTCGCGAATACCGGATGTGCTCTCGGCTCTGATGCCGGCGGTAGCAGGACAGCCTCGAAACCCCCAGCCCAATGCCAACGCTGTACCCCCAGCCGCGCCCCAGGCCGTGCCCAGCACACACCAGCAACTCCCCAATTTCGTTCCTCCTACAAACCAGTCTTCCAGTTGGAACCCCCTGCAAAACATGAACATGGGACAGGCCGCCGGTGCGCCGCCTCCACAACCCGCCTATCCCGGATACGCCGTTACATCGCAGCAGACCTATACCACCAGCTCGACCGTCAAAACCGGCCCGATGCACCCGACCCAGATCCTGCAGAGAGGCCAGACCAACCAACAGGTTCAACAAGTCAACGCCCCAGAGCCAGCCAAGTCCAACCTCGCTCCCTTCGCAGGCCTCTTCGAAAACCCAGGACAGCCTCGCCCTGGGCAGGTCGTCCAGCCATCGCCTTCCTCCTTGCCGATCCCTATGAGCTCGCCGGCTGCCCCCCCTGCAGCAGCAGGAGGCAACTACAACTACAGGCCCGAAGTGTCCCAGGAACAGAAGAGACAGCTTCTCTCGCTCTTTGGGTCGCCCAACAAACCTGTGGCAAGCAACGCTGCCCCGCGCGAGCCCGCCGTCAGCCACGCCGGGCCATCAGCAGCAGCAGCGGGCTTCTCCATGCCTCGCGGTGCACCAATGGCCCCGGGAGGTGTCGACGGGCAGGCTGGGCTGCAGCGCAACGCGGCGCCATCTCGCAACAGCAACGTGACGCCTATATCACAGGCAGATCAAAGCTTTTTGCTGGGCTACTTGCAGTCCATTACAAAGAATACTAGTCCTAATCCCGCGCGTTGAGTCGGACTGGATGATTCATCATGATGAGTATATACAAAGGATTAAAGAAATCCTTTGACAATCCTTTGCTGTAGGCGACGCGAGGGTATTCTAACTCGAGGCATCATCGTGAGTTAGGTACAATTCTTTTGGTGGGTTGAGGGAAAAGGGATGCGGGCGAGGCATTGCATTGAAAGCAAGGCGAAATTGGGTCAAGCATTTCATATGTCTGTTTGTTCAGTCTACCTGTTGGAATCTTTGTATGAGAGTTGTGACCAATTAGGGGTAAATGAGGGCTCTCTAAACGTATGTAGGGTAGTCTTGGAGGTCTCGAGCAACGAGGACATGGTTATCAGGATGAAGATGGCTTTAGCGTACCGACATGGCGATGTGTCACGGACATGCTGCTTCGTCTTCTCTCTTCTAGAAAGTCAAGGTGATGATCAGTAGATAAATACTTGGAAAGGATTGGGGAGGTCGATTACCCATCTTGGGTGTCTCTACGACTAGGGAAACAGAGCAATAGAGACCCAAATGACAATCAATTACCCACCAACTTCCGGACCAGTAACCTATCTCTATTAGCAAAGAGAAGGCCTCCCAAGGAACATGCCTCTCTCAAAGTAAAAAGAACTAAACCACTGTTATTCTCTAACCACTGCTGGCAAACAATTTGCGAGACGTGCTTAAGGGCAACGTCGGGCCAACGCATTTCCGCGCGAGACCATGGGAATGAGGCCGATATAGAGCTAGAAACAAGGACTAATTATTCTTCAGAAGTGGCTTCGGAAGCGAGAAGCTGGAAGCGGTTGCTCGCATTGCGAACGGAGCGGGCCACGGGGGCCACGGGGAAAGGAGTGCGTCGGCGAGACATGATGGGCATCTGGCTCAGGGGCTGAGCGCAGTCGTCCACGTCCCACTCGATGCGGCAGCCCTTGTATTTGCTGTGCAATGAAGACCATATTAGCATACAAAAGTTAGTCGAGGGAGTTGGAAGGGATGGACACTCACAGCCGACTCATCATGCAGGTGCGCGCATACATGGCACTCGGGACCGAGTTGGTGCTGATGTGGCAGTTGCCCTCGTAGAAATAGATGCCAACCACCTTGAGGTTGTGAATGTGCTCGAGGTCCCTGCGGATCGAGGCCTCGGTGTGGCTGACGTTGCACTTGCGCATGACGAGGTTGCGGGTGGCGCCATTTGCGATGCGCTTGGCAAAGTGCTCGTGCAAGGTCAGGAAGCGGTCTGACCAGCGAATATCGACCTGTTGTTCATATTGTCAGAGGTGGTTTCCTTGGGGATACATGGGGCTTTGGAAGCTTGAGATGGAGATGCAATGCGTACCCTCTTGCTTTTGATGTAGAGGTCGTTATCTCGCACGTGGGCATAGTACGCTGCGGCCGAAGATGTCTCTGCAAAGGTAACGGTAGCGGTTCCCGAGCGACGAGAAATGGAGAGATCGAAGAGGATGCCGCCTCGCACCACGGCCACGATATCAGCGTACGCTGCGTGCTCGGGGACGTTGAGCAGCTGGACGGAACGAAAGACGGGCTCCTGAGTAAGGGTGAGATTGCTGATGGCTTGATCCAGCGCCTCGTTGGTCTCTTCATCATCATCGTCATCTTCATCATCATCGACGCCTCCGTTGACGCTCGAGTTCTCAAAGGAGTCGTAGGTGGCGGTGCTCGCAATGTCGCTCCTATGCTGACTGCCCAGAAGTGACCGCGGGGGCGGGAAGGGATAGAGGCCGTGGCGGGCGTAGTCGATGTACGGGCTGGACGACGTGGTGAAGGACTTTTCGTCAAAGTCGCGGGGGGTGTCGGCGCAGGAGGCGGGCTCGAAGCTCGGGGCGTTTGCGTTGTAGACGTGCTGCGCTGGGACGGCCTCTGGGTATTGGGTTGCCGGCGAGGTGAGGCAGTCGTTGAGAGCCTGGAGGAGCGGTAGAGTTAGAGCTTGCTAGGAGGGGAGTTTTTGCTGGATGGTGATGGGGTGGCTGACCTGGATGACTTTGGGGTCCACGATGTCGGCGTTGAGGAGGGAGCGGCAGAGATTGGCTGTAGAACAGGTTCAGTACGATGGAGGAGGAGGAGGAGGAGGAGTAGAGCAGAGGATGCGTACAGTGATTCTGGGCGGTAAGAACAAGGTGCTCGTAGTCTGCGCGAAGGATAGTAACCGTATCCTCGGCCTGAGGGTCGGTGAACTGGAGATGGAAGAGTCAGCGGATGGAAACTGCGTGAGCGTCGACTTGACAGAGGAATCAAACGAACAAAATTGCCCCTACGGAGACGACGTCGAGTTAGCCAACGGATTCATCCTGAGCAGTGGACGGTAGATTGTCGTGCATTCCCATGGTGGTGAAGTGGTACTGGTCTCTCTGGCCCTTTGGATAAGTGAAACTGGCTGCGTTTGTATCGCGAAAGCAGCGAGAAAAGAGAAGAGAAGGTCGGAAGAGGGACAAGAGCAGAGGAAAGGGGGCATCACGGGAGCTGGAGATCCGGGCATACTTACTGAAAATCCGGCATTTTCGTGGTGGAGAGAAAAGTACGATGAAGTTGAAAGGGAAGAGATTGGCAGTGGCTACAGGAGAAGGAGAGGAAGTTGGTCTTGGGTGCTGGCGGCTGCACTGGATTCACTGGGCAGGTCGTCTGCCAGCTGCCCGATTTGAGTTGAGGGCGCACATTTCGTCACAAGAAATACCTAGACAATGCATGTCTTTACTCATGGCATCCTACCTATTGATGACTATATTGATGGGGATCAATGGTGAATAGTCTATTGATGTTTGCGAGTTTTGTGCTGATTCAGTTGCTGCGTTCATGGCTTCATCCTCCTGTTTCTATCGAGACACTCTCCCCGGAAACTCGACGATATGCTGCGCCATCTCTCTCAGGAAATCATCCCTATCCCTATCCTATTATTGCCTTTTCTAACCTCAAGAGAGGTGGATGATCTCGGTTGCAATAAGGCTGCAGGTTCTCTTTCGTCACTGGAAGTTGTCTGGAGAGATGGCCAGAAGCAGGCCTCTAGGAGGGCGTTTCTATCGGACGCGTCATCTTCTCAAAGGCTCAAGCTTCTTCACAAAGCCCAAGACCAAGACTTAGCTGACCGTCGCCGAGATTGCTAAAGGAGAAATTCTTCTATCAAATGCTGCAACGAACAGGACCGCTACTTACCGTCAAATGCGTACCTTGAAGTGATCGTTGCGGTCATATCCCTCAATCGCACGGCACTGGAACAATGCACGCAAGCATATCAGCGATAACCATGCAACTTCTTATATACTGGAGGACAGATATGTTGCACGCGGAATGCCTACCTGTGTCTACCTTGTATGTCACTCTGCGAGGAGCGTGTAATTATTCCTGACAGGAGAGGCAGACACAATGGATTAGGTACGGAGTGCACGCCCCTGTGCCTCGTATGACTAGATGCTTCACACTGATAGCATGCCGACAAGTCATAGCATAGATGACTACATGTACCTAGTATACATGAATCGCTCATCATCTTGCTTGCACGCAGACCCTGCCATTTGCTGGCTGGTGATCAAGTTTCCTCTTGCCAGGGCCAGAATACCTTATATACTGTGGCGATAGGGTCCCCGACTGAATGTTGGATAAACCCGAGACACACGCCGGACTGCCTTGCCTTATATATGCCGGTGAGACATGACCAACTAGCATCACATCACCTCAGCCGTGCACACGTTGAACACCGCTAACAGGGATCCATCAGCCGCAGTATTGAGGCAATTCTCCACGCCAGCCAGCCGTCTGTTCAGAAAACGGCGAGACTTGGGCCTCAGAGAGCCTTTCCTGAGACGCGCAGATCGCCTAGGAAGACCGCCCTTGCATGGGACGGCTGCCCAACCATGTCGTGTATGTCGGTCCTCGGGACGTACAAGTCACGGACTAACACAACCGCAAAGATTGCCATCATATTGATGTTATAGAGTTTCTTTGATATCTCCGGTCCAGCCGTTGCTTGACTAAGGTATGCAGGGGGCAAATAAGTCATTCTCTCGTTGCTTTTGATCGGGCTTCGACCTGTACTATCGCTGGCAGCCTTCAAGTATTTAAGATGCCCGGATGCCCAACAGCTTGGTCTCCGCGATATCTGTGACATGTTACACAATCATCCTTGACTCATCTTTATAACCGCAAGCGTGCTCTCTCTCGCTCGTTTCTTCGGCAAGCTCAGGTCCATCGCCGCATCAACGCTCTATACAGCCTCTATCGCAGGACAAGTCATGGACTCGACAGTACCCAAAGATGTCTCTGATGCAAACGAAAAGTTTCCAAATGATGCGATATTCACCAGACTCCGGCAAATGTGTACGGAGAAGCCTGACTTGTTGTTCCATGACGACTATGGCGTTGATGCCTGCTACAATGATTTGATCCGCGATGTGATACACTTGCGTCAAATACTGAGAGAACAGCTACCAATATCTTCCTTTGACGCAGACGGATCGCTGAAAGAGGACTCCAAGTCTATTGGATTTCTTGCGAACAGCGGATACTACTTCATTGCGAGCTTCTTTGCCATTGCTGCGCTGGGGGGCATTTGCGTCCCTCTCTGTAAGTGAGAGGGATCTTGTAATCGTCATTGAAAGATGCTGACGAACCATAGCCACTGATGTAAACGCCCAGGAAGCGAGTTACTTTCTGAAGAAGACAAGAGTCACGTATCTTCTCACAGAGGCGAGCATGTTCGACAAGGCGGCAGAATTCCGAGACTACATACACACCCAGCCGGATCAGGTATTGAACTTGATACAGCTGTCAAGAGCGCCAACCGAGCCAAGTTCTGTTCCAACCAACTGGGAGATTGACGAGAAGATGACCTTTTCACCCACCGACGGATGCCTTGTTCTCTTCACCTCTGGTACGACTGGGCTACCAAAGGGCGTTCTCCTCCCCCGCAAGATGTTCCACTTTACCGATGCTCCCCCATCCCAGGAGGTTGTCTATCTTGCGTCTTGCCCCGTTCATTGGGTCGGAGGCACGGGTCTCATTGACAGTGTGCTCGTTGGCGAGAACTTGCATATGATGAAGAGCGGATCTGAGCCCAAGGACTTCTGGGAAATTCTTCGTGGCGGCAGAATTACTGACATGAGCGTGTCGCCGACGCTTTTGAGGAGACTGGTCGAGTATTACGACGATGAGATCCATCACCTTCCAGAAGAAGAGCGCAAGGCGTATATCAATGGGAGCCAAAGCCTCAATTCTGTCTTCACAAGCGGCTCCATGCTGAACCCCTCTCTCGCGCAACGCTTCAATGACTTGACTGGTACGCATATAAGGAATGGATACGGGATAACGGAGATGGGCGGCGGGGTTATGGCCACTCCTGAGGGCTCAACCATATCTGAGGTGTGCGGTCCTGGCTCACAATTGTCTTTCTGAATGCTAAGCTAACTGTTGTGTAGGGATACGTTGGAAAGACCTTTCTGGGCGTCACAGTGAAGCTTTCTGAGGGAGATCACGGAGAAGTGCTGGTCAAAACGCCCAACATGTTTATTGGGTGAGTCAATCCACGGAGCGTTCAGCATCATCTTGGTAAGGATTCTCTGACTTAGTCTCTGATCTATAGGTATTTTGACGATGAGGAGGCAACACGTGCTTCCTTTGACGACGACGGCTTCTACAAGTCTGGAGATTGCGCCCACCGTGTGGGTGAAGATTATTACTTTGACGGCCGGCACTCTTGTGACTGTGCGTTTCGAAACTCCTGAGAAGACGAAACAGGCCCAATCGGCTAATCGTGACTGTGTAGGGATTCGCTTTCACGAGTACACCATCTCTGTTCTTGAGCTTGAGCAGCGTCTGATGGATCTGCCATACATAAGCGAAGCTCATGTTCTGCCTGTGCGAGACCGCGAGGCTGGCGGATTAGTCGCTGCGCTTGTTCGCCTATGCAAGCAAGAAGGCGATGGAGAAGAAGAACAACACACGATTGACCTTCGAACTGTTCGCGAGGATCTCGCTCGCGCTGGAGTGGTGTCGTACAAGCTGCCGACCATCCTACGATTGCTCCAGAAGGGAGAACAAGTGCCATGTACGGCTTCTGGAAAGGCGCAAAAGAAGGAAGCTCTGCGACAGTACTTTGGTATCACCGATTGTATGCCGGATGAGTACATGCATGAAGGTGTGGATTACTGGGGGAATAAGCTTGATTTGAATGCTTCATCTCGTCTGTTTGACTGGGGTGGTCTGTAGGAGTTTGGCAATGCTACCTTGACGGAAGCATAAGACTTTCTTTACTTCAGCATACAATTGATATGCAATGAACCTCAATTGCTAGAGTTTCCTATACCAAATGAAGCATCCGCGCCTCGGCTGAGCCAAGCTCCCACTTCTGGATAACCTCTCCCTGCATGATTCCATGCACATAACACTCTCCCACAATCTTCCAAACCCGCTTCCCCTCTGCAGAATTCCATCTCCGAAGCACAAACGGTACGCCGGAACCAAACAGCACTCCAATCCTGTCTCCAGCTTCCGCTTTCTGCGGGCCGAGGCCAAAGTATCCCTTCTTGGTGATGAAGAATCGTCGTCCCAGAGCGTACTTTTCGATACCAGGGGGTAATGTGTCCTGTGGAACAAGGCTTGGCTGCTGCTTTAGGGCCTCATCTATGTTATCATACGCTCGCTCAAGGAACACTCGGTCTGGGGAATCTTTGATGCCGTCGAGGCTTGATCTGATGCATCCTGTCTTGCGCTTCTGCGCCTGTTGTTTGGCGAGTTCATCTTCCTGTCGTCTGGTTTGCCAATAGGGATCGGGAATCACGTTGAGTAAGTCGAATGGTCGGTGATATAGATCGTATGGCTGCTGGCTCCATGTCGAAGCAAGCTAACATACAAGAGCAACATGCTCATCGTCATGAGGGGGAAAGACACGCGCCTTGAGAGCAGGCCCGAGCTGATGCGTAAACTGCGGAGCACCCTTTCCCTGTTCTCCTTGAGCAGCGGACATGGAGCGGTCAATTGCTTCATTCATCTCCGCAATGGCGATCAACCCTGTAGTCGTTGCCGTCACTGGAGGCTTTCCTGGACTCCATGAACTTGGGACTTCGGGCAGCCAGTCTTGGTACCGGGGCTGGTGTTCTACGCCGTCTGCTCCCTTGCTTTCAAGAGGTTGTCCGACAAACAACGTCGACCAGAAGGCTTCCAACAGATCAGCGACTTGGGGATACTTGCTTGTTGAGCACTTATTGGTCATTGCTAAGCGTTTGCAACAGCCGACTCCGACCATGAAGCGTGTTGCATCGGCAAAGTCTCGATCGACGTCTTCAACGAAGCTATCGTGACACGCTTCGATTTCATCCCACAATATGCCCTTGACTTGCAGAGACTTGTCGGGCTTGTTGATATTGAAGGTGGCATTGACCGTAGTGGCAGCTTTATATGGCGGCTCTGCCGTGGAATGTCTCAGCTCTTGCAAGAGCCACTTCTTCATGTTGCGCTCAGTGATGAGCTCGCCTTGCTGCACTGCATCCGGATTCTCGGGCAAATGGCGACTCTCATCGGCAACAACAAAGACAACATCATCGCGAGGCAGCAACTGCTTGATCTGTTCTATGGTGGCATCTGGGCAGCCGTGGATAGCAAAGTGGGCTGGAATCTCATCAAGGCTCTTCACGACTGCAGAACCTTTGGCGGTCCATTCGAGACGTTTGATGCGGCGTTCTCTTTCTTTCTGAGCCTCCGAGCCGCTGACTAGAGGCGATACATAGTAGCCGACGTTTGACTCCTTTCTTGTCCCGTCGGGGCGGATGAGTCCTTTGGGCTCTTGGTACTCTGGCTCTGCCCACCAGGGGACGTCAAAGTAACGCTGAATGTTTCGAAGAGGCAGCGGCAGTGATCCAAGAGGAACAGGCCAGTCTGGAACCCACGAAGGTATATCTGGACCTGCGTTGCCGCAGTGGCGGAGAAGCTCCAGTCCGGTCTCGCCAGAGAGCAGCTCTGCAGCGAAATCGAGGTATACCTCCTCCACAGGCCGATCATATCTCGTCTCGAGCCGTTTTGACGGCACGCTTGCAAACATGTTCCAGATTGCATAGATCTTGTCGCGCCCATTCGTCGCCAGGAAATGCCTGTACCGGCAAATCAGGTCAAATAGGGCCTGAGGCGTGGGCTGATTCATAAAGTAATTGCCAGCACTGTCCCGTAGACTATCGAGTTCCAGGATCTCCGTGATGGTAGGAAAGGCCTGCCTCTTATCGTCTTCGTGGGCCTTCATGCGAGCGGCGGCAATCACGAGGTTGATCCACGAGATTTGTGCGTGGCCGCAGAGAACAGAGGCCTTTTCCAGCTTGGTCCCCATGGCTCCGGTTGCGAGTTCTTGAACGATCCAGATGCGCCTCCACCATGGGCGTTCGAGGAAGCTTTGCATGGCTTGCCAGGCATTGTTGGGGATGTTGGGCATCTTGTCGTATGGGGAGCCGCTGCCCAGGAAGCTGATCCATTCCAATGCCAGGTCACTGTCGGATGAAGACTCTCCGAGCCAGATGACGAGCTTGCTGGCTGCTGCGTAGATCATGTTCATCATGGGGATTTGATGGTTCTTCTCGATTAGGTCGACTTGGTTGATGCATATTGCGTCAATCCATAGGTCTGCAGTCTGGTTAGGCTCCTGGTATTGTTGCAGAAATGCATATAAGTTGGCGGTAACTGGGAATGCGGTGCCGTTGATGATGATGTCCTTTGTAATTGAGGCTAAGCCCCAGGTATAAGACAAGGCCTCAAATGAGGCGTCGTCTTTCCTCAAGTCAAGGAGGCTGCGTTTGAGGAGGGAAGCTCGGATCTCTGATGACGACGGCGTGCTGGGCTCGAGTCTCAGAATCCGAATCTCGAACTGGTTCAAGGGTAGTTGTTGGTAGAGCGACTTGACGCTCGGACTCTGAGATGACATTTTGATGTGGCAATTCTGAATCGGCTACTACTTGACAATTGGTCTTTTTCTAATTGTAATCAAGTTGGGCATGGTTGTGTTTAAGACCATGTAGGAACACTTCGTGGTAACGAGCATGCCATGTAACCATGTCCCGACTTTCGTTGTCCGCAGCCAGGCAGAACCAGGCACAGCCCCAAAGGATTAGATTGTCATGTTGTGATAGATCGCTCCAGGGTGTGCGGCTCGAGTATACTATTGGTTGACTATCCCTCATTCTTGCAGACGATGCCACTGTTGATGCCTTGCTGACTGCCTCTGGTCCAGCTGTCAGCCTTTAATTAACCTTGTCATAGGACGATACTATTGTGTAAAGATATGAGATTGCACGCCGGCGCCCACTCCTAACCGCTAGAACACAGGTTAGAGATCAAGTACCTAAGTATCAAGGATGTTCCATCCACCCTATAGCATATCTACAGATAGTTTCCTAGGCTTGATACGAATAATTCACCCGAGGCTCGTCAAGGTTGCATTCTATCAGCGCCACTCTATCATCTCTGGGCCAGAAGAGCATCCCATCTTCGGCCAGGCAGCAACTAAAGCTAATGGCTCCAACCCATTCTCGAGGGAGAAAATAGTGTCGATCGTAAGATTCCAAGAAGTCGCTGTGAATCGCCCTCTCAAGGAAGTAAGTACAGAGCCATGCATCGTGATCAAGAAAGACAAGCCTAAATCCTGGCAAAACTCCCAGCGACACTTTGATCCGAGAGGATATGCTGGGTGGCAAATGGAGATGGCCTATAGTCGAGAACAGTCCAGTGTTGAGAGGACCTATATTGAATGCGGAAACCGGAAAAATGAAGCTTTTTTGAATGGTTCCCCTCTGAGAAACGGTCTTTGTGTTTACTAGGACATGCTCCGCATCATGCGTGAGAAGAACATTGATCACCCACGACTCGGAATACGCGCCGTCTGAAGGAGGAGATTGCTCTGAGCCCGCCAGCTCTTCTGTCGCATTCGGAGAATCCTTGGAGGCTAGTCCCGGCCGCTGCAACTCGAAATAGACGGAAGTGCTGATTCTTATGAGTCTAAGCCAGGTGTAAGTCACAACATCTATCGGGCCAAATGCGAGGAGCAAATCTGGCTGAGAAGGATGAGGCAGCCATCGACGAGGACAATCTGACTCGAATTCACAAGTCGATTGCTGCGTGCCATTCTTGAGGTGAAAAACGTGACCTTTTAACCTTGTCGTGATCAAGAGTAGCTCGCTATTAGGGCTGAAGAGCATATCATCGATGTTGTCGTCCTCAAGCACAAGCGGTGGAGCGGGCAGTGAGGTGATGCTTACATGCCCTCCAGTGCCTTGTTGAAGTCTTTTTACTTGAACTTCGCCTGCAAGATCTGCAACTGCAATGAGCTGCCCATCTGCACTCCATTTGATATGAACAACGTCGAGGAAGTTGCGAAAATTTGCAAAGTCGCGGCCTTCAACGTCTCCCCTCTGGAAGAGGGTAACAGAGCCGTCTTCATAACCAACGCAGTATGATGTTGCAGTGGGCGATGTGGCAAAGGCCGTGATGTGTTCGTAATGAGGAACATGTGACTCGGAATATGTAGGCTTCCCTTGATCCTTGGATGATTGAATTGTGTCGATGTTGGCGCTGAGTACTTCTTCCTCCTTCACGAGGAAGCGTGTAAGTGCCGTTGGTTCCCAGGCGTTGATTGTTCCGCCACGGAGGTCATACAATCGTCCACTATCCGGACTGAATGCCAAACTCATCACGAGATCCTCCGATGAAATCTGATGAATGACGCGAAAGCTCGTGAAATCCCAAACGCGAACGGTGCCGTTGCTGCTGCTCGTCGCAAAAACCTTTCCATTTGGACTTGCAGCAATTTCATCTGCGGCAGCCCGAGCCTCTATGTTTTCTTCCGAGAGAGGATGCCATTTGAAGATGCATCCGTCCAGGTATATGCCGAGAATGTGATTTGTGACGGGGTTCCATGTGAATCGCTTGACCGACCACCAGTTTGTCGAGTTTTGCCGCTGGTTGCGGGCTGGCTCGTTTGCTCTTCTGCATCTGTTGAGGCATCGTCCGTCTGAGAGCCTCCAGACGGAGAGCGGCGCTCCTCGGTATGAGGCGCCAACAAGTGAATTGTTGCTATTGAAGGATAGGCAGATGGGAGAATTGACGTTGGTGCCGTAGACTTTTCCCGCCTCGTTGAGAAGAGCTGGATTTACTATGCGCCATCCTTTTTCAGGCTCATCGCACATTGTATACCTGATGACGTTGTCTTCATAGCCAACTAGCAGTTTCTGGTTGTCTTCATCGAAAGCAATGACTCTAGCTTTGACGTTTGGAAAGCTCAGGGTCGTGGTGAGAAGCTCTCCCCCAATGACCGACCATGTTTTTGTTGTCGTGAGGCCATATGTAGCAAGCTTGAGGCCGCTTCCGCTTAGAGCCATGGCCGTCACATGCTCGCCGTGAGATATCCTACATACGCCTGTGAAGTTGGAGGCGTCCCAGACGTGAATGACGCCTTTGGGGGCGAGCGCGGCGAGATGCTTCCCGGCGCAAGAAATATCCAACCCTTGAACATCGTTGGGAAGCACAAGACGACCAAGGCTATCGCTCCACGCTTCGTCACTCAAACCAAGGACCTTCAGCTTGGCTAGCCGCAAGTTGTAGTGGTGTTTATAAAGGCGTGATTTGGCTGGGCAGAATGCTGGAATGATGTCGTATATTGCACCGGGTTCGCTTGCCAGGATGGAGCCAAACTTTCCCACGATCTTGACCAGATCGACAGCCCATTCCTCAACAATTTCCAAATCTGGCGATTGGTCGAGACAGGGCGCATCTTGCGCTTGCTGGCTTTGCAGTCGATGAACAAGCATTGACACAGCCTTCGAAGCTTGGACGAGAACTTCCAGTTGACGAAGGAGTGCCAATGCGTGTATCCAGTCAAGAACCGCCGGGCTGCGAAAGAATCGAGCAAGATGGTTCAACGCTTCAGAGGAGGAAGAATTGCTTTGGGTTAAATGAGATGGCCAGTTAGCCGCTGCATAAAAGACAAAAGGTTCGCTGGCCTGAAGCGCATGCTGGCTTTGTATAAGCCGCCATCGAAGATCGGTCTCCTCCAGCTGCTTCAAGGTACGAACAAAGAGCCTTTCATGCGTCTGGTGGACGTTGATATAGAATTGGCTGCTCAGTGTGTTTGTGAAGTATTCGCGAGCGGTGTGATGCAGCAAGATGATTGTGTCGTTATCGCTGACATGTACAAATTGCCCACATGTGTTCTGGATTGTCTTCTTGAGATCCAGAAATCCCGAGAACTCGGGTGACAGTGCCTGGGCTAATTCCCGGACGCTCAAAGGCCTTTGAGTACATATTGTCCACTCCAGGAGAGCCCTGATTAGAGGCCGGTTCGACTGTTTAGCTGTACTCAAGAGGGCCGCTTCCATGCGTTGGTAGAGATAGATTATGCCGCCCGGGTTCCCTCCAAGACTACTTTGGATCTCTTGCTCAGTCTGACAGTCTCGAATCTCTTCAAGGACCAGCTTCGTCCAGAGAAAGTTCCCCTCCGAGCGTGCCAGTATGGTCTGTGTTAATTGCTGTTTGAACGCATTGCTGCCTCCTAGCTGTTTGATGCCTTCTCCAACTATAACTTCAACATCCTGTTTGCCACGCAGCTGCCCCGGCTGTTCGATACTCATCACACGGACGGATGTCTTGCTCAACCGATTGAAGCCAGCGGAAATTGCGGATGTATTGCGGCTCAGAATGAGAAGTCGTATTGGTACCTTTGCGTCTGATAGTCTCTCAAAGCACTCTAGAAGAGCATCCGGCGAGTCAGATTCGTCCAAGGCATCGAGCACCCAATATAAAGGAGTGCTGCGGCTTGTTGACAATAGGAGCCTCTCCATTGTGTTTCGCCATATCAGCGATGGCTCGGTGGATTGGAACCCCAAGTTTGCTGGTCTGGACCTACTCAAGACTTTTCTAAACTCGGGCAGATCTCTTGCGATTTGTAGTGCCAAGGCTTTCAGGCAACCAGCTACCGAGCGTTTGCGCTGGTCGGAGTAGCTGAAGAAGAAATATTGACACTGAAGACCTAGCTCTTGAAGGTGGTTGATGATAAAAGCTGAGAGAACAGATTTACCGCTGGCCGGAGGAGCATTGTACCATAGAATGTGTGACTCAGAGCTTGCTTTCATCCAACTTTTGACTTGGGACTCCTCTAGGAACCAATTACAGGTTCCAGGTACCCAGTCTCGAAGGTGCCTTTTGTACTCTTCCTCAGACGTCTGGCAGTTGCGAAACAGTGTCTGCAGGTCCCGATGCTCCCTCGCTTCTGCTTCTTGGACGGCCTTGGAGTGTGCTGTTGTGACCAATGACTTGAGAGCGTTTTTAACACTGACATAGTTGGCATCTGCTGGACTGGAATACTTGCAAACGCCACGATGGTCGGCATGAAGAGGTCTGGAGATCTCCCCAGGGTACCCCAAGACGGAAGAGTCCTTCTCTACGATGATAAGCTTCCTCAGACCGATGGGTGTAGGGAGGGTTTCGTAGAAGGACCACAGGGATAGCTTGGGCGCAAAGTGTCGAAATTGTTCATTGACATCTTCAATAGTCGTGGAGCTCTTCTCAAGGTCGGCGATGAAGGTTTTGGGAGACTGGAAGGACGCGGCAAGAATCCGGTTGAGTGTTTCGGCCAGATGAGTGCCACGATGAGGTGTTGAGAGAAAGACGATGGCGGATACAGAATGGACAATATTCTTGTAATTGTCGTCGTGAAGACCAAAGAGAAAGGCCTTTTTGACTACCAGTCCGCCCATGCTGTGGACAACGAAGATGATTGGATTCGCGCCGATGGCGATATCTTGGCCAGAGGGGCCCTTTGCAAAGCGCATCTCGTACAAGAGCTCCTTTGCAAAGTCGGTAATGCTAGAGATGCCTGCTTCGCCACGCCATTTGGCATTATACCCGAAGGTCATGATGCGGGCGGTGCCGACGTCGGGCTCTAGTGGAAGCCATGATTTGGGCCAGAAGAGGAGAGGATCCTGGTCTTTTGTCCAGGTCTTGTGACTGTGTCCGCCGAGGCCGTGGACGAATATAATGTCGAGGGAAGAGAATTCAGGACAGTGAAGCACGTGAAGTCCTAAGCCGGCTGATTTGGGCTGAAGGCTTTTTGAAGGGATAGTTGACCCACGCGGTTCTGGAGCAGTAACTGGGCTCTCGATTGGTCGCTTGTCTTGTGATAAGAGGCTTGAGGTCGTTTCTGAAGGGCTTGAGATAGTTGAGATGAGATTCTTTTGCTTTCGCAACTTCCGTCGGCGAAAATACTTGAGCTGTGGAGGTCGGTAAGCGACCAGCATTGTACGTGTAATAGGTAGCTTGAGGCCGTCGGACAAGACTCACCATCTCGACTCAGCTGGGAGATGCCTGCTAGATTGAGCTTCTCTCTACAATTCAGTACCGACAAACTCTCGTGGATGATCGTCTTGCTCGCTTCACAAGACCCTATGTTGCATGCGATACAACGATGGAAAGATGAGATCCATGGTCGGCGGCTCTCTCTCACGATACGCGCCCATCCCGCCTTTTCTCCACCCCCCCTGTCGCGGCTATTTGCAATATCGCCATACAATTGGCACGATTGCTCAATCTGTACTCCGCCATCATCGAACACATTCTGCTTAGCGAGACGTTGGGAGCTGTTACACCAATGTCAGCGGCAGGCAACCATGGCCTTTCCCGCCAGAGCCAGAGATTGAACAGAGACTTCCAATTTCTTCCTGGAGGGCAGAAGGCGAGGGCCTCCGTCACTTTGACTCGCCCATTCCTAAATGGCGGCTGTAGGAACGATTGTGCTTTGTTCGCGGCCGGCTGGGATGGATATTCCACTATCGGAGGATTTGGAGTGGTGGATCTGGAGCGGCGACTGTGATGCTGCTGGGGATGGAGTGGCGGAGATTGAGGAGCGGAACGGTACCCAAGGCATGAAGCCGGATCAAGATGATAGATGTCACAAGATATCACGAGTAACTATGGATAGGCCTCATCTTACCGATTCGGGTCGGTGATAGTTCCCAAATTACTTGCTAAGTCGTTCAGAGTCCGGGATAGGCGGTTTACTGACTGCCGAGGTGAGTTGACCTGGAGTTGAGATGGGAACAGTATGGCCAAAGTGCCAGCAAGCAAAGGCAGCACCAATTATCGCGACTTAGGTATGAGATGAGACGTACCCATGGTATAGGTACAATACATAATACTGATTACATGTACTTGTAGCCATGGAATTTACTTGACAAGGCCGGGAAAAGAGCAGGCATCCCGGTAACTGGTGGGTCGATAGGCTCGTGAGGGGTATGCATGTAAAGCTCATAAGAGATGAGATAGGGACGTCAACTGACACCCACTCACTCTTCTGCTGTTTTATATCCAGCATCAGTCCTCTCACCCATGCCCGCTAACATACCCTCCCCATTCCTGCCTCCCTAAGCCTATCCTCTGCCACTATACTATGCTCAACAACGATGATCTTGAACGAGCAGCTTGTAAGCTTGCCGACTTCCGCCAGGACTCTTCGCTCTCCAAGATTCTCGACCAGTATGCCGCCCTGATTGAGAGTTACAAGCAGCTCAAGAGCGACTACGAAGAGGAGCGGGACAATAGGGAAAAGTACAAGCGGATGGCCCAGGGTCGCGGCGGAAAGCCCTTTGTGCTCGTTTTGATCAACGGTAACGACTACAACTTCCCCGAGCATTTGATGACTGAATGGGAAAGCGGAGGCGTTGCTGTAGCTGAGGTCTTGAAGAACGCAATCATGGGCAGCCCTCGGTGGAAGAATCTCGACCACTGCGAGATCATGGTGCGCGTGTACGTAGATATGCGAACCTGGGCTGAGGTCCTCCGCAATGTTCTTGACCCAAAGCACCAGAGCATATCGGTCTCGGCCTTTGCTGCCGGCTTCAACAAATCCAACAACCTGTTCGACATTGTCGACACCGGCAGCCTGGAAAAGACGGACGACAAGCTGCGGGCTGCTCTCGACCTATATGCGGCTGGCCCTCAGTGTAAGCACATCTTCTTCGCGGGCTGCCTTGATGCAAGATACGTTCCCGATCTGGCAAAGCATATAGACAAGAGGGAGAAGTTCACCTTGATTGAGAGCCCTGAGGGAAAGCCTTGCAAGGATCTTCTCACGCTGGGGATGAACATTGAGGCGTTTGATAGCCTGTTTGAAGCTCAGAGAATCGTTTCCGGCACATTGAATAGCGGATCTTCAGACTGGACGCCTGATTTTTCACACTCGGATTCCATGTCCGCGATTTCAGGCCTCCAGAGGTGGACCTCAAGAAGAGAGCCGAAGGAGGAGAGTTCCTGGTTCGACCTTACCAGGATTGGACTCTCAACTGGAGATGATGAGCGATCAAGGAGTCCATCAATCGTTACGGCAGGGTCCAAGACGGAGACCAGCTCTGTAGTTCCGAAAAAAGCGCAGGTCAAAAGTAACACATCTGCGAAGCTGGAAGACGCAGAAAAGAAGGACCCTGGTATGGTTGCAGAGAAGCCGCGGAAGACGTGCAAGTTCTTCAAAAAGGATGCGGGATGCAGGTTCGGCTCAGGTTGCAAGTTCCGGCATTAAGGGTTCGAAACACAGCGTATGTGCACATCATCGATTTTTAATTTGGATGTTCATTCAGGAATCTTCAGTTGCCCCTATCAAAAGCAGATGCAGGCAGACCGTTCTTTTGCGCAAAGGCCACCACTCCTGCTATGCGAGAGCTACCTATGTGTACAAATAATGGTCCTTTGGCATATGCTTGTGAGAGGAGGTGGGGGCTGTCTAAAGAGCTGTATACCTTGCAGATATTCAGACGGACTCGCCTTATATCTATATATTTATAACAACTACTACTACAATCATGATTCAAACTCTGCGCATCAAAGCACCCGACTGCCCCCATCGCATGCAGATAGCCGATAGAGAAGCTGACCAAACCAGCAGCAGCAGACAGACCAATCTAGAGCACTAATTATAGATGTATCCCTCGCTTTCTTGCTTCAGCATAGCGATAAGAGCTCTATCTTCCTCGGATCGGGGCTCTATGGGCTGGAACTCGCCATACTTGGGCTTGAAACGCAACACGCCTTCGATGCCATCCTCGAGCGGCAGGATCAGACCAAAGTTCTCAGGGCGGAGTGCCAGCTCGTACGAGAAGATATTGTGGTTGGCAAATGGGCTCCAGCCGACGCCTTGGATGCTCTCAAAGCCAAAGGCTTGACCGGGCAGCTGCGACAGTGGAAGCTTAGTTAGACGAAAGACATTCAAAGTAACAAGGGAGACGAAGCATGCTCATCACTTACCCAGAAAGGGTTATCCTTCAACCATTGTTGGATGACCGCCTCGGTAATGGCCGGCCGAGTCAAGAGGCCCGTCCCAATGCTGCCCCTTATGGTAGAAGCCAAAGAGACGAAGTCATTCCCGTTGATAATATTGACCCACGGGCCGGGAGCAACTTGATTCATCCATTGAACTGCATCCTTCGAGAGGAAGCGGTACGGCCCAATGCAGAGGGCCAGGGCAGACAACAAATGGGGCTGGAGGAGGCCGAGATGGGTATACATGACGGCGAGCTCGGTTGCGCCGACGCTGTGGCCAAGCAGAATAATCTCATAACCCTCCAGGTCCTTTCTTTGAGCATACTCACGCATCTGGTCAGTCATGGACTTGACCAGCACATGTTCCTTGCCGTTTGCATCGACGTATCTCATGCTGCTCGACATCCAGCGAGCATTACTCCCTTTGGCTTGGCCAGGCATGCCCTTGATGAGAACATCGGCCGGCACCGTGTCATCGTTGTTGAAGCCGATCTTGCTTATCTTGTCAGTACCGGTGCTGGCGAAAATCTCAGTGCTCTTGAACACAGTGCCCTTGAAGAAGATGTAGATCTTCTTGTTAACAGTGTCTCTCAGAGCCCAGCCAAAGGCCTCGACCTCGATTGTTTGGCCTTCTTGAAGCATCTAGTAATGATGAGTCTTGATAACCGCGGGCTTCGAGAGAGGATGGCTTACATGGTCTGCCTGTCAAAGCGTTAGTGTCTACACGGGCAATGATTTCTGCGAGCATCCGACTGCACTTACCTGCAGAGGTCCCCCGAGCTTGGTCGATGGATTGAACGCGAAGTGAAAGGTCTTTTCCAGGTTGAACCCCTTCGGTATCTGCTTTCGAAAGACTTCATGCCCGCTAAACTTGGCGTTGAGAATGTCATCGAGATCCTCAGTGATATAGTCCGTCACCTTTTTGCCGAGGTACTGGATTGTCTGACGAGGAACCTTTTTGGCATCGGTGGTGATCTACAAGGCACAAAGTTAGGCATACTGCAGCTTAGAGCCAGATCATGGCGGGCAAACACTCACTCCTGCGTAGCTGGCAATCAGATTCTGAGCTAATGGCTGGGTGATAGCCGCTCCAATTTGCTTGACAAGGTGAAGTTTCGACATGGTGGACATCGTAAAGCTGAGAATGAGAATGAATTTGGGGTAAGAATCAAATGGCTAACAGTGAGTTCACGAGTAATGTTTGTGTTTGCAAAGTCTGTGGGTCGTTGCCCAGGCTTTGTGAGGCGAGGAGAAGGAGATTCTTATACTTTCTGATTTCGGGCAAACAACCATTGTCTGCTTCATCTATAAGACGAAGCTCAACACTCTCGCCTCAGAGCAACAACGAAAGTTGCGTCAGCTCTCGGCTATGGCCAAAAAGTCTCCGCCGTCATCGCGCAAACACATGCTGATATTCTAACGCCAGTATACACATGATGCAAGCCACTCAAAAGCATAGTGCTGTCGAACGGCAGGGCATAGCATCACAATCACTGGACTAGTGACGTTGTCAACGTTCAGCTGCTCAAGAGCGTGGACGAGCCACCGTTTGTGGCTTTTTTGAGACAGGTTCAGTGGTGACCAACCAGAGTCCATGTCCCTTCCAAACACGGGCGGTGCTCTAGAAGAACGTCTACACTAAGAGTTCGTCAGCCGTGTTTCCCCAGACGGACCAGCCCAGTCCAGCCCAATCAAGACGTGCGGATCTACAAGCCGCTCTGTGACTGCAAAGCTCATGGCAAATAGTGTGGACTTCGGCGGCTAATATGCAAGGAACAGCAAGCCACAATTCTTCTCTAGTTCCCGTCCTTGCACCCGTTTCGGGCATCAAACTCCAATACTAGCAATGAGCTGAAGCATCCCGCTGATGGACTTTGTCATGGCCACGAGTGCCGCCACCGGACATACCCGCGATGGTCCATGAGGTGTTCAGCTTAGAGTATTGGGGTCCGCGTTGCCGTGTTCAAGGTCACATGTAGAAGAAAAACAACAACAACAGGACATTGTGCGCCTTGCAATGAGCCAGCTTCTTCACGGCATCGCCGTGCCGTGCCCCTTGCAGGTTGCCCCAACTATGTGAGAAGGTGGCGGCGTAAATATCCCGGCAAAAAACGGCTGAACGACCTCTCTTGACACGGAATACAACTCATCGGCCTTTATCGGAAGATTGTTGAAGTCTTCTGATGGGCAAAGTCAGACATGGACTCGCCTAGAGCTCTTAGGCTTTGCAAGCGGTTCAACTTCATCACCGTGGCTTGCCAATAGTCCGCTATCATGTCTTTCAGAATGTCATCAACACGGGTAGACACAACCCAAGCACGGCAGAGAACGGGAATCATCAACTCACCCTTTCCGGCGGACTTGGACATCGTGGATGCCAATCATACCTGTATATGGTTACAACTGTAACTGATCCCTACAAGCTTCCATCATCAGCTCGAGGATTGAGGATGGCTATTGGCAATAACTCAGCCACCATATCATAGAGATCAGCTTTCAGGATTAGAGTCGAGCTGATCACTATGTCGTGATGTAATTGAGAGTCTTTGGCTGTTCATGGGGCTCGTGACGGAGCGGCAAGCTGCGTCGTGTGATGAATCAGGCGGCTCTATTAAAGTATCGTCGACATCCCCATGAAATCAGGAGTCCAATTCTGCAACAGGCATCTCTCGGCTTTCTATCTCATTATATCAAAAAATTCTACTATTGATCTTTACACTCGTGGTGAAGCCACTCTCAAGTAACCATTATTCACAATGGCAGATCAGGAGCAACAGGCCAAGGCTGTGCTCAAGTCGATGAAACATGCCTCTGAGGTTGGTCTCGTCATCAAAGTGAGGTGAAAACATTGCTGACTTCCTAAATGACCGTCCGTGGTGCCATTGCCAGTGCCATTCCCGTGGCTAACAACCAAGTCCTCACCGTTTCGCTGCCTGGAACCATTATCGATTGGAAGTAAGCCGCACCTTGACATCTCTTGGACCGTGTTCGCCCTCTGGAACCATGCTGAAATACTAACTTATCGGCTAGGGACTACTACTACAATTCCTCCAAGCTCATCAAGCCACCGCTGGACATTCAAGTCAAGGAAGCGAGGCTCGTTGATGGAATGATTCCGTTGTCAAAGTTTACTGTTAGTGCACACTTTTCTAGTGTGTTAACTTGCTGAATATGATTGCTGATGATGGGAGACAATATAGGCCGGCAAGACTGGAAAAAGTGTTGCCCGTAGCTACCTCGCCGCATTGGATCTGCTGGTGCCTGTTGAAGCCTCCGTTTCTGGCGTCATCGGCAACGAGTCTACGCAAGTCACAGATGAGCGCCTCAAGACCATTCGTGACCGCTACAAGCTGTCGATGGCGTATCTTACATCCCCAGATGACACTCCTGGTGGCAATGGCAAGTCAAAGGTTGATACGTATGTGCAGAAGCAGTCTGTTTGGGCCAGGGAAGTGGCTGCGTATGCCCAAGCCCAGGCTCAGGCCATGGAGAGGAGCCAGCCGCCGCCCGGCGCCACTACTGCGCAGGTCCGGGAGGCCAAAGAAAAGTACATGCAGTGGATTCAGGAACATGCCCGAGAGGTGAGTGCTGCCTTGTATTGCTCGGGAGTACAATGCTGACGATGCGTGGGAAATAGTTCAAGAATAACATTCAGACCAAGTACATGGACTGGGTGGTGCATGGCTACAAGTTCATGGTAAGTCATCCTAGCTAGCGTCCACTCACCGGGGCTTGCAGAGCTGACACTTGGCCAGGTTGATTTCCACTTTGGAGTTGTCGACATCTCCTCGGGCATGAAGCGTATCGAGAACAGCAAGGAAGCGTACCGAAACCTGACGGTCATTGCTCCCGATGGCTCGAGCGAGTACAACGGGGTTGTGCTTAACCCTAGTAGCTGGTAAGCGCAGACTTCGGGCTTCTGTACGGAAGAGAGGATGCTCACTGTCAAAACCAGGGCAACCATTGTGGCCAAGAAGGTCCTCAACTGGAAGAAGAACAACTCGGGGCCATCTGCCGCTGAGATTCGCGCCGAGCTTCGCCGTCTCCAGAACCTCCTGGTGTCCCATCAGACGCTACAAAAGGTAAGATCCCTTAATGGAATGTGGCTGCCTCGTAGAATCGTAATAGCAGTGCTAAGATTATAATGTTATCAGGCCATTGAAGGGAACGCATTCTTCCCTGTGCTTGCGAGCAACAAAGACGCAGGCCACGGCGATCTGGAAGGCGCTTATGCGCAGGTCTACGCCAACATGGACGACGAGAATAAGAAGCTTCTTACCCAGAGAAGAGAGGGCGATGCGGCGCCTCCTGAGGATCGCACCAAGGCTGAGTGGCTCAAGAACAACTTCAACATTGAAAGCCGCCTGGAGGGTGTGCTCGCTCTGGAGAAGCTCGTCAAGGTGCAGAAAGAGCACACTGAGAAGAGCCTTAGCCGCACAACCTCGACTGTGCGCGACGGCGAGGAGGCGAACAAGTTGAAGGCTGGCCAATGGCTGGGTGCCAGGATTGGTCAGCTGGAGGCAGACATTGCCGATCTCAAAGAGCAGCTAGGCATCGCAAAGAGCGCCGAGCAGGCCCAGACTCAGCTTCTTGCCCTGCCTGTCATCAACGAGAATGGCATTGTCGTGACAGACGGCGAAGCCAGGGCTGACCCAAGTAAGTCAAATCCCTCACGTTGATGTTGCTGTACGACTCTACTGCCTCTGATCAGATAGCTAACGCAGTTGTTAGGCATCAAGAACCCAACGAAGCCGGACATTGAAGACTTGGACAACGAGGAGACTTGGCGTAACAGGACCGACGATGGACCGGATCCCTGGACAAAGGTAAAGTTACAGAGACTGACCATAGCTTATAAGTTGCTACGAGCTCAGAGGAACTGACCTGTAACAGATCTCATGCAAGGTCTCCGCCAAATCCGATCTCGCAGAGACCTCGACGTCGCAATCCGCTTCTGCAGTCGCAGCCAAGGCAGGCTGGGGATGGTGGAGCGTTTCCGCCAGCGCCAGCCACACATCGAGCAGCTCGTGAGTATAATATCTCCCACTGTTATTGCCGAGTAATTGCTAAACTGACTATTCTTCTAGTGAGGCGATGCAGCAAATGTCCAACCTCGATGTTGAAATCAGCATGAGCTGCATGGTCGTGGAGATTGAGCGCCCCTGGCTCCACGCCGAGCTTTTCGCTGATGCCGAGCTTGACTCTGGAAGGTAAGTCCTTGATCTTTCATCAGCTACAATGATAGCCCAAGAGCTCTTCTGACCCCGTGCCCCCCTCTCTACAGCTTCAAAATCTCGCCTGGTGAGGATGCGCTCAGAGAGGCATTTGAGAAGGAGAGAAACCTCGACGGCGAGTACCAGCAGTTCTCCTCGTTTCCAACTTCATTTGTCGTCGCTGCCGATGTGGAACTCAGTGTAAGTCGTTCATCAACCTACGCCTTTGTCAGACGTCGTCCTAAGCATCTTCTCTAGTTCTCCGGAGACACGACCAAGCTCGAAAGCGCCGTCTCGGCATCGTCCACCTCGGCCAACCTTTCCGTTGGGTACGGGCCCTTTGCGCTCTCTGGATCCCACAGCTCTTCCAAGTCCAAGTCCCGAACCAAGATGGAGTCGACTGCAACTGGTTGCAAGTAAGTCACCTGTCCCGCATATACCAACAAAAATGAGTTGCTGACGTCTCGAAGGATCTCTGTCCAGGCTCCCCAGATTGTCGGCTGGGTTCAGACTCTTCTGCCTCAGCTGCCCAAGCCTAAGACTGGGGTTAGCACGATGAAGGGTCTTTTCAACTAAGGTAGATGGGGCCACATATCCTCCAGGTATTCTAAGGGTAGTTTGTGAGACTTCGTTATAATTCCTTCCTATATATGTTATCTGTTTCACATTTCTTCTTAAATATCATGCAGGTGTTAAACAATAGTAAAGCACATGCGGCTTCATATGATTTACTTCTGGCTCAGGTGCTTAATAGCGCGTGCCTGGCACACACCAGCGGCGGGGCAGAGGAAGTCTCATCGTGCGTACTCAGCGGGAATGAGAAGCACTGTAACCGTCGTTCGTTCTCTTTAGATGAACCTCGTGTAGCGTCCGGTGTCCGAGATACTGACCGACTGCCTGGAGGCAATGGCGGTTCCAAACATGTCAAGCAATGCGTAAGCAATAAGGGATATTTCATGCCACCCCCAGCTCATCATTTTGTGATTAACACGATCACTTATATGTTACTAGGTCGGTTGCGTTGATGGTTCTGGAAGATTACGACCCATATGCGTCACGGAACAACCATAGGTAACATGGGTAATCAAAGATGAGCAAAGTATGGTTCAGAGACAGGAGAACAACTCAAGAATGGGCAGGATACACATTCTAAACGGCAAATGGGAGGCATATGAATAAACAAGGCCTTGGACAATCAGTTGTGTAGTTCGTCAAACGTTAAGTCACTCGTATTAGACTTGTCCACAAACAGGGATGTAGCTCACATCTCCAACATTTTATCATGATGGAAACGAGTTACCACAGGCTCCTTGTAACCCGTCATATTAGGCTCCGGCAAGCTGATATTTGCCACTTCCTTCACCCATTCAATCTTTTGATATCGCATCCCGCATGTGAAACGATTCTTTCAGCACCTTGTCGGCGTAAACATTATCACCTTGCTTGGTGGTCGAATCAATCTTGCCGAATCTCTCCAGCACAACATGTCGTGTGCCCTCCGCCACCATAGACTTTAAGTGTGTTTCAACCATCTGTAGTTGTCCCTCTGCGTAAGGGAATATCTCACTGCTTTCCAGGTCTATGCTGGTAGTTTCCGGCTGCTGTGCTTCAAGGTGTGCCACTTTGTGGCAGGTAAGAATCAGCGAGCCAAGGCCGGCGATCAGAGCTGTCGAAACGGAACTGCCTGTAATGGAGTCGCTCGACTCAATGAAAGGTATGACACCGGCTGATACGTTGTGTCCTTGTACCGCAAAGTCATATTTGCTGTTGTCGATGTTGTGCAGTAGGCGTCCGTACTCATCGCATGATGTGATGATGAGCCCCGGTTTCCACTCGGCCGGGTACGATGTAAGTGAGCGAGTTCCTTCATCGTGGGTGCTGCAGACGATGACGACGCCCTTTTCCTTGGCCTTGTGCACCCAGTGTTGCATCTCGTTCCCCTTGTCAAGAAGGGCAATGCTCATGGAAATGATGTCCACCTGGTTTTCAAGGGCCCATTTGATCGCCTTACATGGGGGACAGACGGTGAGCATGTACATCGACGGAAGCTTGTTAATGGACACACTTACCCGGGCAACCCTGTCTGGCGTGATGCCATACTTGCCTTCGGCCACTCTCGCGACATAAAGCTCGCAGAACGGGTCCATGGCGCAGATGAGATTCGCCATTTGCGTACCATGAGGATCGGAAGCAAGGTGCCAAGGGTACAGTTTTGATCCTTCATCTACAAAAGAGCGGCCCTTCTTGATTCTTGACGAAAGTCTCCTCCGTCCGGACGTATCATGACTCTGGCTCTCATGAAAAGCCGTGCTAGAGCTGCTTTCCCTGGCGCTTGAAACACTAAAGCTTTCCTTGGTGCCAGGGGTCCTGATTGGCTCATTGTCTTCATGTTTGCTGCTTTCCTTGTTCTGTCCCCCTCCAGCTGTGTCATCTGGCCTCGGCGTGATGCTCAACACACCATTATCGATTATCGCCACCCGAGTGCGGCGAAGTATCTTCTGGGTTTGACCTTCTCTGCGAGGAATGTACTCACCGAGGCTCTTGAGGAATTTGGCAAGACGAGGCGTGACCTTATGGGCACTTTGTCGAGTTTGTATTGATTAGTAAAGGCTCGATCCACAACAGAGATACAAGTAGTCATTCCGCATCCAAAGGTCAAATCATCAAATGGTGGAATACTCACATCTCGTTTAAATCGACCAGAGTGTGCGTTGGGTTCCAAAACATGGAGTCCACCGTAGAGTAATTCAGATTGAAATTGCACGTCGGTCTATCGGAGTGTCTAGCTTTCATAGCGTTCAAGCCGTTAAAGACGAACGGTATGAGTTCTTTGCAGTACTCTTCCGTCACAGTTTCCTATGATGTATCACATTAGCTCCCTATCAGGTAAAGAATCCCGTTCCTATAAAAGATCGTGATGCCATACTCGAACGATATGGATATGAAGTTCTTCGAGCTACACCCTTGGACACCCGTTGTTAGCAACTGAATGTGACAAGATGTCAATGCTGTTCTTGAGGGGATAGAAGGTGGAGACACTCGCCTTGGTGAGAGTTGGAATACCCTCATCGCTTAACCAGTGATCGATGACAGCCCTTTTGCCGCTTGAGTATAAATGCAATTCTTTGATCTTCTCCTTAGCCTTCATAGAATCAGTGTCGGCATTTGTTTTGCCCTTGGCTGCAGGTGAACTGAAAATCGAGATCGACAAATCTAAACATCTCCAATCCAGGCACTCAACCCCGTACATGTTAACAAACCTGGCTATGCAGTTCTCATTGTGGGGATTGATCAGCCTGTCAGGGACTTTGAGTTGAATAATGTGCCTCACATGCATCTTCTCCTGGAGCCAGGTGAGGAGCCTGAAGACCTCTGTGTGTTGAACTGAGAGATGGTTATTGTCTCCAAACGTCTCCCTGTCGTCCACTTTCAAGTCTAGGGCAGGGAACTCGACATAGCGAAGTGTCTCTTCATACGAAAGCAACGAATCGTTCTGCGAATGATAGATGAAAGAATCCACAAAACTTGATACGCGGTGCAACTTGGAGTTGAAATGCGACAGGTCGAGACACAACTCGCGGACTTTTGTAAGTCATGTTATTCTTATGTTGCCGATAGCGGAAAAGTCGGATGTGGCGGCTTTCTTACCGAATTCTAAAACAGATATGCATTGGATTAGTTTGAAGTGTTCTGAGAGATATAATATCTACGATATGCAAATCGATTGTATTGGAAATCGGGAGATGTAAGTATACTCACGATCTGATTTGTAGAAGATCTCTGACAAGTCCCGCATCTTTTTCGCTTGCCGAACTGTCGAATATACTAACATGGATCGTATTTTGGACGAAATATCCTGATTTTTCCATGCGGAGCCCTTAATCCATGCATTGTTGTTGTGGTACCACAGAGGATAGTGTGGGTTCTGGGCGGAGATGTCGCCTTGATTGCTGGTCTTCAGCAGCTGCACTTGATGCGCAACCGATTTGGAGTATCGTGGATGCTGGAGGAATTCGGTTACAAGAGCAAGGCTTTGATAGTAAACAGCAAGATGGAGCAACTTGGATTTGACTTCGGTGGATATCGATGTTGGTCTTGCATGTGCTGCCTTCCAAATATCAATCCAGCCCAGCTGTTCTTTTGACGAAGCAACGGAGCCTTGAGTTTGATCACGCTCACCCATAGCCTGTTGCTCGATGATGGTTTCAATGACCTCATCGGCCAGTGTTTCTTCCGGGGGGATCAAATCAATGAGTTTTTTGACGATCCTTAGATATTGTTGTCCCACTTCGAGACTGCCCTTTGCCTTCCTCATTGCTTTGAGTATATTGTCGCTTTTCGCAAAGCGTTTTTTCAGATTGTCTTGCGTAAGGAAGACATCGACAATATTCTCTGTGCCAACCTCAACAGCGTCGGCAAAGATCTTATCGAGATCCGGCGAGGCTGCTAAGCATTCAAATGCCAAAAGCTCACCTAGCGTTGCTACGCTGCCATGTCGCGCGTGAATGACTTGTTGCAGCGCCGTTGTTCTCTGCTTGGAGGGATCTTCGCCTTGTATGAGCGCGTAGATTGGCCCATGGTGGGACTCCTCGATCTTGGCAAGTGAACTTCTGATGAGTCTGATGATGGCGGATTTGCCTTTTTTGGCGGCGCGGTGGAAGGGCGTACCCTCAAGTTTCTGGTGGAAATGGTGACCTTGGCGCCATTCGATCCATTCTTTAGCCTCGATCGGGCACTGGTCTTTGATGGACTTGTATGAACCAGGCTCCTTGAATTTGAGCTTCGAGTAGGAGGGATTGTCAAAGGCCATATATGGGTATCGCTCCATGACCATGCCAAAAATAGCCTCGTCGGCACCCGATGTCTGGGATGTCTCGTGTTTCAGCCCTGCCGCTGACCAGAGGAGGAGCCAGAGAATGCATCCGTCGATGTGCTTCTTCTTCAAGTCGCCTTTAAAGAGGAAGTCTTCGATAGCGGACACCATGCGAGTCGTGGTATTGGCGGTCTTGGCCTCTTCTAGCGCCGCGGTCATCTTGTCAAACAGATCTTCGACTTTTTTGTTCAGTTTTCCCGCAAAGTTACCGTCATTGTTTTTGACTGCCTCGGCCCAGGTCGTCTCGATCTTGTCAATGTTGGTGTGAATTTCCTCCATAGCGTTGGGTTTTTTTTCGTCACCCATTGAGCCGACTTTGCCAGTTAAGACCATTACCAAAGTACACTGCGGGCAGTTTGAGGCTGGGGAAGTGGAAGCTAGAGGCAGAAAGTCCCTGAAGCCACGAGGATGCACATCAATCCGGTTTTGTGCGGAATGGCTTCAGAAAACTCGTATGAGCTTCGGTATAAGCTTCTTCGTAGGTATGTAAAAGCAACTATAGATCGGAAGTCTAGACGTCGGAAGTCTCACGCGGTTCCTTTCTGTTAAATAACCTAAGCTTCTGCAGCATGGATCTGAACCTGCAGTAACAGTCTTCTTCTTTGGTAGAAGGACAGACGGCACACGAATGCTTGCCCCCACCCGTCGGCGATATCCCCAACCTTTTCACCAACATTGAATAAGGGTTGTCATTCGCTGATGGCATCTGGAGGCTGAAATTCCTTGCTGAGAGCCTGCTTGGGAAGTGAGGGTGTCATCCTGATAGGCTTGACGAGGACTTTGACACCGAAAGCTGACCGGCGCGGCAACACCGGCCACATCCTGCAACCCCTCACTGCACAGGCGGAGATGATTGACGAAATAGGTCAGAAGCGTCAAGTCTGTCAGACGGAGCCGGGCAGGGCATTTCAGCCGCAGGTGTAGCGGCAGTCGGGGCGAAGATGAGGGAAGAAGCAAACAGACATAAGGTACCTAGCTAAGGCAACGGAGCCAAAGGAATGTTCAATCCGATGGAGAGCATCCTGCGCCCAGCGATACCTACAGCTACAGGGATGGAACCTCTGGCATAACGCGGTACTGCATGTGATGACCGTCACTGGCCGGAGGGTGCAACTCTGGAAGCTTTGGGCAAACCGAGACTCTTTCATCTGTATCACTCAGAGACTTGACATCTGATCATTCATAGGTACCTAAGGTAGGTAGGTAGGTAGGTAATCTCCTGCAGAGACAAGTACTTCCACACCCACCCACCGACGTATCAGGTATGTCCCTTGCTACCTACCTACCTTACCCAAGCGAAAGCGCCGCCGCAGCCACGCGCATGGCCTGCTCCATCCTGGCCAGCTGGGCATCCCTCACATCCACAGCCTGTTGAAGTCGCAGGATCAGCTGGTCCTGAGCAGCCAGTCGCGCCTCCGCCTGCGCCGCTCTGGCCTCCAGGGCCACCAACCTCCTCCAAGTACCGGTACCTGCGCTCCCCGTAACGTCCGCCTCGAGGTCTGGGCTGGGCAGAGTACCTGCGCCAACCGCTGTTTGTGGGGGCATAAGCAAGTCACACACCGGCCCGGCCCGCGGCGGCTGTTGTCCCGGGGCGATGATAAGAGGGGCCGGCTGTCTTGCCTCAGGCACTGATGGCTTATCAGCATCTCGGGCTTCCTCCCTCTGAGCCGCAGCCTCTGCTTCAGCTTCTGGAGGAACTGGATTTTCAGTCGCCCTAGTGCTTGGAGCAGCCGCAAGGGTTGCATCAGGCGGTAGGCCAGCGGTGGCAGCAACCTCATGTCCATTCGCCTCTTTTCCACCGGGAGCCGACCGTCGATACTGAGGGCCCCATGTCCCCGCCAGCGCCGTCCGGTCTTTCGCTAGCAACTGCCCCAGGTTGTTGAGATCGACTCTGCCGCTGTCCCTGATGTCTTCACCTTCTCCATGACAATTCATCTCATCCCACACGCCAGGGTTTGGGGTCGCCGTGAATGCGCTAGTATCGCCCGGCTTGATTCGCAAAAACTCAAGGCCTATTCGCTTCCGGTCACGGAGTGTGCCAGTCCGCACATCCAACCGAAACTTGGCAAGATACGGCTGCAAGTTGGTTGACCTCTTGATAAGGACTGCCACCCAGAACTGTGGCGGAACTCCTAGGTTTTGCGATTTGTTCTGCTGCAAAAACCATGTCACGCCGATCGGCCGCTGTCTGCGCCTGCTCTTCACCAGGATCGATCGGCCCTCGTCGAAAGCTGTCCTATCCCAGGAGATGTCTCGGCCTTTGCCCCAACCGAGTGAAAGAGAAGCGCCAGCATAGCCGCCGCTTGCCGTTGCATTCACGCTGGTCGTGGCCTTTTCCTGCACATTTGTTGCATTCCAGTCTTCCCATTCGTGGAAGGGAGCCCAGGCTTGAACCTCTGGGTCGTCTCCGCGCTGCTGATCCGTGTCTTTGAACTGCAGCGTTGCCTTAACAGTCTCTACCCTGACATCTGGATGGAAAGGTTGCAGAACGAACTTGAGCACGACGAGTGTCATGGGCTGCTTGTGCACCAGCTTTCCCATGACCTCCGCGGTCTCCTGCCATCCATCGACCCACGCCAACCTTTCAACAGAGAAGTGGTAGTCCGACCTATCTCCCGAATCAAGGAGCGTAATGCCGCCCGGGACAGGGGTCTGATGAGACTTTGTGCTTCCCTGTGCCTGAGTTGCCGGGGCATTCTGGTTGATGTACAGATCGGTGTCGATCACTGGAGCTGAAGCCGGTAAAAGATTCAAATTTGGGCATGAGTCCCGGTACACGTCGTCGTCGTCGACATCTCCAGTGTTATCGTAAACCCACAAATCAGCCATTGTTATTGATAGCTTGATTCTGTACGCAAATAGGCTACGTCTGGGCGGCGGTGTCCTGGACTTGTGGAAGTATATATACTGGCAAGTCTTCCTCCTGCTTGTCAGGTTCATCTAACAGAGTTAATACTCGTATATCTTGATAGAGCTACTACAGGTCTTATCTGTAGTAGACGTCCAACCGAAGCGCATGTTTAACGTAATGAAATAGTCAATGGTTCCGAGATGTGCCTCGGCGCTGCCAACAGTGGTTGAGAGCAGTGGGGGCACCGTGGCCATGATATTGTCGGGCTCTAATGACGAGGCTTAGGCTCCAATTTCAGCTCTTGGCGGTAGCTTGCCTCCCTTGCAAGGCGTCTTCAGGCGGGTGCCTTCCTGCGCTTGAGCCGCATGTTGTGTGCTTCTGGGCGAATGATAGCTGAACAAGTTTCCTTTGTCTATTTCCTAGTACCTTAGGGTTATGCACTTCGAGTGTTGTTGCTCACCAACCCCTGTTCAGCCGTCGGTGTATATGTACATCCGATACATGCCCTTCTAACCTTGGTCACCTACCTGACCTACCTACCTTAGGTAGCTATCGCCATCCAGCCCGTGATTGGAGACGCCTTGGGCTTGTCAGGTAAGATATCTAATCGGTAAGGTACTTAAGGTATAGTATGTCTGCACGTGAGATTTACCTACCTCAGCTGTACCCAGGAAGGGCAAGTAAGGTAGAGTTCAGCTTTTCCACTCTCTTCCTCAATCCTCGTTACTATCTAAGCTACAATGCCACCAGTGTCATTGTAAGTTAGCAAACGACCTGGGTTTCAGCTGAGAGATCAGACCAAGTACCTTTGGATTTGGGCTCTTGATCATCAACAGCTTACGTTCATACATCAGCATCCGAAGTCCACTTTCATTCGCCTCGCGTCAACAAATCCAGAGCCATGACGAAGCCAGACAGATTACAGAAATTCACTGGAAGATTCGCCACCACCACCAAGGGCAGTCTTGTCCAGTTTTTCCGTAAGAAGAAAGTCAATATGTGGGGAAAGTCAGATATTGCCCTAGAGGAGAACCCGGAGACGACCGTTAGGGTTACGGACATCGCCAACTCTGCCAACGTTGACGTGGTAAGGGCGACAGGAAGTGGGAACGAAGCCGAAGGTCAACCAGCTCTGGAAGGCAACAGTGCTGAAGTGTCCAGTGCTGGCGTCGATGGCGACCCCTTCTTGACAACCTCCTTAGACATCGCCCGCTCTACTAACACTGACGTGCCAGAGGCGGCAGGAAGTGGGACTGAAGCTGAAGGTCAACCAGCTCTGGAAGGCAACAGTGCCGAAGAGTTCAATGAAGGCGTCGATGGTAACCCCGTCTTGACAACATCCTCTGACGCTAGCGGTTTGTTAAAGAGAGTCTCCAGTGCTAGTGTTTCGAACGGGAGCAATGACAATTCCTCTCAATTGTCAAACCTTCCGCCCCTATTTGATGCAGAAAGCGAGACGGCAGCGCTCTGGGACGTTACATATGGCCGATTGCAGCGCAATTACAGCGTTCTATTTGATCTTTATGCAGAGATGGTCGACAACTACCTGGCTAGAAGGGACCTCGAAGATGAGTCCGAGCACCAAATGACCTCTACTGCAACCTCCGACGAGAATTCTGTCCACTCTATCACCTTGATGATGCGAAGACGTATGAGTCGCGTCATCCAAGTATTTCTCAAGGAGCATGGCAATGCGAAGAGCAGTGACGAGACTCTCAATGAAGAGACTTACCGTTGCCTCCGGGACCTTTTACAGCCATCTCTCGCGAGCTCAAGCTACGCTTCTCTTCCATGGGCTGCAGCATGTCTATTTATTGAGGTAAATGGCCAATTGACTGAGACAGTTGATCTCTAAAAACATTTACTTACCATGAGAACTTTAGGGTGCTCTTCAGCAAGAGTTCCTTTCGGAGGCCACCCGTTGGGGGGTCACCGAGGTGATACCAAAACTGGATTGGTACCTAGGCCTTTCCATCCTCGTTCTTGACCGAAGGGCAGACGATCTATCGGAATCCTACTATAGCAGATTGAGGGATAAAATCATACGACTGTACGAAGTCGTTCTGCTATTTACAGTTCAAGAGTATGTGGCTTCGGCGAGTTCAGGACGCTGGCGAGAGCCATACGACTATCTCGAAACCACAAAACGGCGCTTACTCGAGAGGGAGGACGATCTGATCAGCGAATTGAAAGGCTTCGAAGTATCATCACGACTACGCGAACTGTTTGATCATGCGAAGATGTCCAGAGAAAGCCCGGATACAGACGTTGATAGAACACTCAACGACGGCTTAGATGGACTGAGGGCCAAGCTGCAGCCGATTGAACCGCCACCATCGGAGGCAACATCTGGCAACGCCTACGTCCTGCCTCTCTTGTACAGCTGGGTAAGCCAGACCGAAGAGTTTAGTAGCTTCTTCTCTGGCCGAGAGCGCCCCGAGGGACCTTGCAACCGCGTCCTCTGGGTGACGGGCCCTCCTGGTGCGGGAAAGACGATGCTTATGCGGGCCGTAGTACAAGGTCTCTTGGAGGAGCGCAGAGCATTGTTGAGCATTGAAAGTTTTAGCTTGGCATATTTCTTTTGCGATAGTCACGACCAACCTCATGGCTACGCGACTCAAGTCCTCAAGAGTCTTATTTGGCAGATACTCAAGTCGCAGCCATCTCTCGTGGGTCACATGGAGAATCAGTTCAGCTCTACAGGTCGAACTACTTTCAATGATCCAAATGACTTCTACGCATTATCGACAGTGCTCTATAGGATGATCGACGGAATCCCCGATGGCGATGCAAACTTGGAATTTACGTACATCATTGTTGATGCCATCGAGGAGCTATGCGCCAATGAAAATTCGGAATCGCCGTTATGTTCAGGGCCTTCTATAGACGATCTGATCCAATTGATCATCAAAACTTCACAAAGATCGCCGCATATTAGATGGCTGGTTTCCGTTGACCGCCCCCGAGTATCTACGGAGCACCATCAGGGCCCCGTAGAACTTTTGCCGAAGAGCATCATCGCACAAGGGACATTGAAAATAGACGACAAGCGGTATCTGCCGAGGTTGAATCAAGACGTTGTCAGAGAGTATATCTCTTTCAAGCTGGCGGAGGTTGGCCGCCAGGCACGCTTCAAGGATTCATTTCGCAACCAAGTCAACGAGAAACTCATCGCCAAGGCTCCTCCTAACCTGTTGTGGGTGGACATGGCTTGTCGTCGCATTGTAGAACATGGACTACCGTGGAATGCAATCGCAATCGTGGATAAGCTGCCTGTGGAGATCAGAGACCTGTACCTCGAAGCTTACCTGGCGATCGACAAATTTGATTCATTGGACGATCAAACCATGTGTCGCGATCTTCTGGTTACAACGGCCATCAGCTTCCGCGCTCTGCACAAGTCCGAAGTGAGAAGCCTAGTCACAATGCCACCATATGTGGACCTGGACATCGTTGTGCAGAAGATGTGCTCATTCTTTCTGAAAGTTCATGCGGGCAAAGTTTGCTATGTCCACCCATCGGCCAAGGAATTTGTCCGGGACACTCTCCACGGCGATGAGAGGATCTCGGCGCAACACTTGAGGGTGATGAGGCGATGCTTGCAGAACGCCACTGCTAAAGTTGTATCCGGCTCGGAAACGTACGTGGTAATGAACTGGATGCAACATTTGTGTAGTATCAATAACGATAAGGATCTCAATGATGCTATCCAGGATGTCAACCAGTTCTTCAACAACTACTTCTTGGAGTGGGCCGAAGTCCTTGCAACTCAAAAACTGCTCGCGGAAGCTGCTGTATGGCTTCGAAAACTCACGACATCTCTTCGAAAACCGGTAAGAGCCAGAGCTCCGTTTCCATATAGATGAGACAAGATCTAACGCGTTGTCCCGCTACGCCTCAGAAATGTTCTAAAACCCCCAATCCGCATACTCAATTCACTGAGAACGTCCAACAGATTCTGTGGTTGCTCAATCTTCGACAGTCTATTAAATCTCTTGAAAGTCTCAGCCCCAGATACAGCCTTCCATTCCTGCCCAGCGACTCTGGGTTGAGGAAGAGACTGCTGGAAAAGGCGTTTCCATGGTTGGAGAGTATTCCACATATAGAGCCCAGTGCAGCCCTTTTTCAGCCCATTCATGTCCTCCGGGAGCACGAGGACTGGGTCCGGTGCTGCTGTTATTCGCCAGATGGTCGACTATTTGCTTCGGGAGGAGATGATGGTTGGGTGCGACTCTGGGATGCTGAGACATTCAAGGCGCAGGAAGCATTCAAAGTTGGCGGCTATGTGACACAGGTCCTGTTTACCCCTGACCGGCTGCTGGTAGCAATTTCTGGACCTACCGTCCATTTCTGGGATTCAAATACCGGAACTCGTCTCAAATCTCTACAATCCACGCCAGGTTATTATGAAGACGCTCATCTTTCACCAAGCGGAAGGGAGCTTGTGGCAACAAAAAAGAGGACTGCGTTCCTTTTCCAAAGACCCTCTGACCCAGCCGACAACTGGGAAGAGTCGAAGTTGAACTTACAGTATAAACCGGGCTCCGCCATAAGGGCTGTCAAGTTCAGCCCAAATGCTGCTCTGTTGGCCTATACCCAAGGTCCGGAGGTTTTCCTTTGGGACTGGCACAGTAACAAATTACGCCACACCTACATCGGGCACGTGGAGCCTATCGACGGACTGGCGTTCTCTCACAACTCGTATTATCTAGCTTCTGGTTCGGATGACAAAACTGTGCGTGTTTGGTCGACATCTGAAAAAAAGGAGGGAGAGGAGGCAATCGAAGTGCGAGATAGCTTATGTAACCTGTTGGGACACGGAGACTACGTCAACTGTGTTTCGTTCTCGTCCGACAGCACACGCCTCGCATCTGGGTCATCTGACCTTACTATCAGGATATGGACGAGGGAGGGATCCGAGGACGGCCACCTTTATAGGATTGAGAGGGTCTTGCGCGGACACAGCAGCTCGATATACTCGCTAGATTTTAACTCCTCGGGACAACAGCTAATATCGTCATCGACGGATTCGACCTTGCGCGTCTGGGACATCAGCACTCCCCAGAACGTTGACGCGAGTCATGATGAGCCAAGAGAGCTCCAAGCTTTACCATCCGAACCAGGGCACACCACCACAATCAATGTTGTCGCTTTTTCTCCAGATGATAGCCTCTATGCCTCGGCCTCTTCTGACGGCTGAATTTGTCTATGGGACTGCGACAAAGGGGGTGCTATATGCTCGCTCATGGGCCACGAACTGAACGTCACATCCCTTGATTTTTCTATCGATGGCAGCATCTTGGTCTCGGCCTCGAAAGACTGTACAGTTCGCGTTTGGGACACCAAGCAACAGAATAGAAAGCACACTCTTCGCGGCCACTCAGACTGGGTACGATGCGCCGTAGTATCGCCAGATGGAAACCTTGTGGCATCGGCATCTGACGATAGATCCGTCAGGTTGTGGGACATCTCGAAGGATAGGGGCAATGGCAATCAAGAAGAGAGGTTGTTCAGTGGCGAGGATGCTCACAGTGACTACGTCTTTGCCGTCACGTTTTCTCCAAAGGGCAATTACCTAGCATCAGGTGGGGATGACCTCAAGGTCATGATCTGGAAATTGGATTTGGATGGCGATCAAGAGAAACCATGGACTACCATGGCAAGTACCTCTGAAAGAAGGATAAGAGGCCTTGCCTTTACGGAAGACGAGATGCGAGTTCTGTCTTGCGACGTGGGCGGAGTTGTAAGGATTTGGAACCTGAAGACCAGTCTTTGCGAGCAAGTCCTGAGCCCCGAAAGCTCAAGTCAACTCTTCACGTCAATACAGTTCAGAGAGGGGCACTTATTAACAGAGATAGGCGCCTGGCCAATACCAATAGAGGCGTCTACTCCTTCGGGATCGGTCTTCGAGTCAGGCGAGGTGCCGGATCCGAAAAGGGCTGTTCTGGTTCGCAGCAAGCTTCCGAAATGGTGTCGGTATGGCATAAGCGAAGATCGCGATTGGATCACATGGAACAACAAGAACCTGATATTCTTGCCAACTCAGTACCGTCCAGACAGTTCCGACCTTTTGGCCTGTCGTGTCCAAGGCCGCATGGTGGTGATAGGATGTGACTCTGGGCAGGTGCTATTTTTCAAGTTTTCGAGGGAGGGTTTACCGTCCGAGGTTCAGAGGACAGGAGAAGATGAGAAAAGGCGAGCTTTGGGTGCAGCCTGATGCCAAATCTACATGTCAATAACGTTACGGCATCTCACTTTAAAGCGGGCCTCTCTTGATGGGAATGGCAGGGTATGTAGCATATCGTTCTCAATTTCATCGTCTATTATTGAGATGGATCTAAGCGAATTCGACACGGCACGTCTGAAGAAGAGCATGTGTGTACTGTGTAGAATGAGTAGATATATAAGTGTCCACCAGCCTCTTAAATGCATGGTTACAGATTAAACGCTGTGATATGTACAGTATGGGCTTATGTACACGCTAGAGCCATCATCAAGGGTAGCTCTACACATCGCGATGATACAATTGGATGTTCTATGACTTCTTTCTCTAATAATGCTATGATATACTGCTTTGCAGGTTACCCTATCTCTGCCGGCTTTTATTGATCTGTACTGAGCTAATCTTTGTAACGCTCAGGGGTGTATGTGAATGATGTGTGTGTGTGGACTGAGATCTCGATAAGACAATCGGTAACCTTCTCATTGGATGGACGCGTCACGCACGTGCCCGATGACATGCACGATACTAATATGCAACTTGTTCCATGGTGTGGAAACACAAAAAGATGCCAAGTGGGATGGAAGCAAAAAAAGAAAGACATACAACAGCCGGTGTTCGCCAGTGGTCACCCACCTGACTACTAATCTGCCTCTCATTGGCTTGACTCTGGGAGAGCAGACGGGATCCCGTATTTTCCAATGGATATGGTCGTATGTGTCTGGTGGCCGGACAAATTGGGCCTATATCGAACCGTATCCGAGAGCCACGGCAGCAAAAGAAGACGAATCCAAGGGCAAAAAGAGCGAAAAAAACATACAACAGCCGGTGTTCGCTGGTGGTCACCCACCCAACTACTAATCTGCCGGTCAGTGGCTTGTCTATGGGGGAGCAGACGGGACCCCGAATTTTCCACTACCTATGGTCGTATGTGGTTGTTGAGCGGGCAGTTTCACATGATAATTCTGGAAGCTCGCAAGACGCAGCAGAAGGCCGTAATAACTGGGCCCCAAGCGCAGCGATTGGCCAATTCGAAAACAAGCCCTAAAGGGGTCCAGGCCGAAAGTGGACTAAATCCAGGGGTCCTGGGCCAGGGACCCCCACAAACGAGGGTTTTGGCCTCAACAAGTGCCACTGCAAGTACGTGTATCGTCGTGCTTAGCGCGCCCCCTTGCTCTCCTTTGTTGGCCTGATTTGCCTTGTTCCCCCCAAGGGGAAACAGTAAATCACCCAGAGACCCCTAGAGCCAGATGCCAGCCCCCTCCAAAGCGGCTCTGGTCCGGCCGACACGTGCAGCCTTAGCGGGCTCAGGACTGTTGATCGTGGCGGTTGAGGCTCGCTGCTGGCCAACCACAGGCCGTGGATCTTGGGCGGTAAAGGGTCAGCAGCACTCGCTCCGTCAGAGATCTCATTTCAGGTTAATATTAGCTCACTCTGGGATCGCCTCCGAGCGGTCTGGGCGAGCGAGGGGGTCCCTCACCACAGCATGTTGGCAGAGCCTGCTTGCAGAGCCCCGTTAGCAGGGGGTACCTCCCAACGCCAGCAGTGCCGCCACCACTCCGCAGGTCACAGGTGTTAACGCCACCAACCAGATGCCGCCAGATAAGGGACACGACACGAAAAATGGATCAGGACGACCAAGCTAGAGGGCGAAAGGGGAAGTGGAAGTGGAAAATTTGATGCCGTGCCTGACTATGGAGCTCCCTTTTTCCCAGCGTTTTCTGCCTTACAGTTGGGCTGCTGGTGTGGGTTTAAAAGGCAATCAGGACGGCTGTTCTCGCTCAGGAAGAGTCCTCAGTTCATACTCCCAACTTTCTTCATCCATTGAGTTGCTGGCCTTTGTCCACTTCACGATGGCTACTACCACGACGGTCACCAAGAGGGGAGGCGCCGTGGGCTCAATGTCAGTAGTCCTGCTAGTCTCATGAAGGCTTTTTCTGCCCCGAAAAGTTTTCACCCGTTGCTCTGTTTTTTTTGCTGACTCCAGATACAGCAAGCTGCCTGAGGAGGACAGTCGGTTCCCCGATATCAACACGATTCGGGCCGCCATCCCCAAGCACTGCTTTGAGCCGTCTGTGGCCATCTCCATGGGCTACCTGGTGCGCGATGTGGTCATGATTGGAGCCCTTGGCTGGGCTGCCCTTACTTACATTCCCACCATTCCTGATGCCACCCTTCGGACCATTGCCTGGATCGTCTACGGCTTCGTCCAGGGCCTCGTCTGCACTGGTCTCTGGATTCTGGGCCACGAGGCCGGCCACGGCGCCTTTTCCCAGCACTCTCTGCTGAACCACGTCGTCGGCTTCTTCTCTCACTCCGTCCTGCTGGTGCCGTACTACTCCTGGAAGTTCTCTCACCACCGCCACCACAAGTACACCGGCCACATGGAGAAGGACATGGCCTTTGTCCCCCGGACCAAGCCCGACTACGCCAAGCGAACCCTGGCCGCCCTTGAGATGCTCGAGGACACGCCCGCCTACCAGTTCGTGACGCTCATGTTCCACCAGCTGTTTGCGTGGCAGATCTACCTGCTGTTCAACATCTCCGCCGGCCGCAACAGCCTGCAGAAGTCTGCCACGACCATGTTCGGCAAGAGCCACTTTGGCCCCAACAGCGCCGTCTTCCGCCGCAGCGAGGCTCCCTTCATCTTCCTGTCTGACGTCGGCCTTGCCATGACGGCGTTTGCGCTGTACAAGCTCGCGGGAGCCGTGGGAACGGGCACCATGCTGCTTGTTTACGCGCAGCCTTACTTCTGGGTTCACCACTGGTTGAGTATGTTTTCTCCTAAACAAACGCCCAAGCAAACGCACAGTCACACTCAAGCCTGATGCAAACGCAAACACGGCGTGTCAATGTCAAAACAGGGAATAAGATTGCTGACGGGAGTGCCATTTTTTAGTTGCCATCACTTACCTTCACCACACTCACATGGAGGTGCCTCACTATGATGCCGAGAACTGGACCTTTGTCAAGGGTGCTCTGGCCACTGTTGACCGCGAGTTTGGCTTTGTCGGCCGCCACCTCTTCCACTGCATTATTGAGCACCACGTTGTTCACCACCTTTTCCCGTAAGTCTTCAGCTGGACCTATAGCTGCCAATTGCCATTCACTAACATTCTTCTAGTCGCATTCCCTTCTACTATGCCGGAGAAGCCACCGAGGCCATCAAGCCCGTGCTTGGCGACCTGTACTACCGCGATGAGCGATCTTTCCTGGGCCAGCTCTGGAGCAACTTTACCAAGTGCAAGTACGTCGTGGCCGATGAGAAGACGCCCGGAGCTCTGCACTGGGCGCAATGATTGAATGAATGAGAACATGGTTTAAATGGATCGCGTTGGGTTGCTCTGCTTTGTCTTTCTCGGTGGGAAGGATAATGGCTTTCAAAAGGGGATAAAAGTATCTCGGATTAGACTCTTCTGTGTGCTCTCTCGTATGATGAGATGGGCCTTGGGGGGAAATCTTTGTTTTGCGGTTTTAGATGATACACGATAGACTTCGTTGACTATATGAGGATATAGACAATAGAGAGGAGGAACGTCAAAATAGACTCGACTTCATGACTCAATGGCATAGATTGCAAGGAATGAGTGACCCAGTGACCTAGGGCTGTATGTTGATGTGAGAGAGGGGAAAGACGGGGTACCCTGGAAGAATCCTGACGACGTTTACATTCGATTCCACGTGTCGTTTTCCCACTGGTATTGTGTATACTGTTGTGTATGCAACTAAGAGGTTATCGAAAGGTTTTCGTACGATATCGGACCAGAGTAAGCCAAGCATGCTTGGACTGATGCAGTGCGGTCAAGTCGAGGCTAGGGCGTTCACGGCATGTACTTGTTCTGGCAAAGGCACGTCTACCTGCAACTACTCTTTCGCAACAGGGTCGAGCGAACTTCAACGGAAAACTCAACGCTGACGCGTAAGTTTGTTAACTAGCTGAGGACATCGAGGCGGCCACGTTGCAGTGGTTATCAACGGGCATTGCTAGGTGATAAGGAGGAGAAGGGTATCTTATAATTACATTCGGAAAGTCCTTTGAGCAAGGCCCATATGCCAGTAGCGACGGAGGAAGAGACCCCAGTTTCATAATTCCACCACAGTACCTAGGTAGTTAGTACTCTAACGTAGGCATATGGGACAGTACATGCATTTTGACTTGACGGACCTCGGGCATTGAAGGTATTGCAGTGAGGGCATTGGCGCAATGCTGTGATACTTGTGGTTCCCATATCTTCTAAGGATGGAGAGAAGGAATGAAGAGCATGCACGAAAAGGACGCTACAGAGACTCGAGACGGCTGAAAGGGAAAAACCAAGCATCAGACAAGGTGTGGGAAGGATGGCTGAAAACTGGAATATACAAATGGAAATGGGAAAAATGAGAATACTTAAGGGGCAAAAAGATGTCACAGATGCAATTCGAACACGGAGGCAAAAGTGAAGAGGGCTCCCCCCAGAAGGGAGGGAGTACCCAAGTCCATTACGGATTGGGTACTGTCAAGTGACTGATCTCTGATCTAGACTAAGTGATTGAGCTACTTCACTGGGATTTCAGCTCTTTATTTCAATCTATAAAGGTCAAAGACATCCCAGTCATAGCTGAAAAGCTGAAGAATGATTGGTCGAGCGATTGGTAGGATGGCTGAGTTATGCATGTTGGTTCGTCGTGTTAGTCACGCCGAGAGCTGTTACTACCTGGACCAGGTCGGTCAATCTACTAGAAAGGAGGGGGAGGCTGCAACCATAATATTCTCGCCATATCGTAAGCTACAAGAATGATAACCATTCTTCAGTCTCTATATGATAATCCCGAGCGCCTGTAACAGTGCTCATCTTAAGCAATGACTTCGGTGATCTCACGGGACACCTTGGTAGCACATGCGTCCAACACGCCAGCATCGTAGAAGACGAACCCCGCATACGCAATAACGATCATGATGGCATCCAGACCAATGAAATAGCCTTCGTGAACCGATAGGTATCCTGCAAATCCCTGAGCGAGCTGAACAGTCCGATAGATGCAGCGTATATACACAGCTAGCACTCCGACGGCGGTGGCGGCGACGAAGGCGTTGCTCCTGGACTGCCGATGACCGCTGGACTTGACGATAAAGTGCACAAAACAGGCAATGAAAGCCATCATTGATATGCACTGAAAGACAAGGCCGCCCACGACGATATGGACGCCGGTTGAAGAGCCGGTTTGTGTACCGCCAAGCTCGCCGATTGCTACACCTGCGCCTGCGGATTGAACGAGGAGGCTGACAATGTCGCTTGTGAGAAAGACGCGGATGTACCACTTCCTCTTGAGAAGGGAGAACTCTTCACCCGTGAGCTTGATGAAGATGCCGAGGTAGAGATACAGCGTTGCGGCGAGGAAAACTGGGGAGATGACAAGACATATCTCCTGCAATGGAAAGGCCTGCGAGTTGTAGGGGCATCGGGAAGCCCATGCTCGCCCAACCCAGCCGATGAGCTCACCGGCGGCGCAAAGGGTGAGCATGTAGCTCGGCCATACTCTGTATCGTATGCTTCGGTAGAGGTTGAGGGCTGTAAAGCCTAGGAATAGGACGCAAAAGATGATGCCGGCTGGCAAGCTTGGTGTGTAACCGTATGGTGTTGGGATTTCTGGTACAAGGGCGTGGCAGCCTTCGAGAAGATAGTCTGGGGGTGATCTTTTCGAGAAGGGCATGGTGATGGACATGGTGTATATCAGATGGGGAGACTTCAGCAATCTAGGGATTTTGCCTCTGAAAGAGATGGCCATGTCTCTATATGTATGTATGTCTCGGTTGGGAATGAAAGATTTTCTGTGGATATGAAACAAGCCGAGAGCTCTAGTTCAAAGAGAGCCGAGAATCTCTACGTGAAAGTTGAGATGTCCGGCGGATGGACCCAAGTAGTTCTTGGTCCAAGCTGGAGGCTCACGGGGCGGACGATGCGCATGGTTCCGCGCGACAGACTGCCAAGGTTGCTACTTCCAACACCGAAACGAGTATCTTCTTCATGGGATCACTACGGTCAAAGAACTTTCTTCAAGTTTCTGATCCAAGAGGTTCTTTGGCTTGTCAGTCTACACTAGCTAACTTGAAGAAGGACACTCAAAGATGTAGAGATATCGCGAGTATGACGCTATTAGAAGATAGCAGCTGTATTGCTGAGTCAGTTGGCAGCTTTGATATAGGCTGCAAGTAAGCATGTTGAGGAGATGACGGCGATTCTTCTCTCCCATTATCTTCATATTCAGCCGCAAGTTTATATACTACTTCTGCGATGTCTATCATCGACATATGTTGCCTCATCAACGAATTCAGTGAAGCTGTTCGCTATGAGGTATTTGCCGGATAAACTGCACTTTGGATCACTTGCTGCATGGATCGTAGTTGGACCTTGGCCCGTGCAACACTCAACAAGCACGTCTGTCGTCTGCGGACATACGCAACAGCGCTCCATTTGCTCGCACCGGTTGGAAACGAGCGTATAATTGTCGCCAAGAGGTTGGACACGACATGATGTACATATGCGTCCATTCCATCTTGGTAGGGGAGCCTGAAGTACGGGTTTGAGGGATGCAGATCACGAGAGAGTGAGAGGCGCTTTGATCATTCTGGACTATGTTCCCGTGTAGCGGATGTTCTCGTATTAGCATTGAGCAACAGTTGGTCTGGGCGGAGGTAGTGAGGATCTCTCTCAAGGGATAAAAGATTATCACCACTGGGAATGATCGCTCAACACGGGCTATCTGTTAGCTACTATAAAATTACATCATATGGTAAACAATGAGTAAAGGAAGGCATGTTAGAGGCAAGATATATCCGATCGTTTTCCTCTATAACATGCGCTTGTCGAATCTTTCCTCCTCGACCGTCCGTCGACGCGTCGCTCTTTTGCAATATGTATAGCGCGAGTGGTCTGGAACCGAAGCTGAGTCCAGATGACGAATCTCCCGAAAATGCAATGAAATGCGAATATGGTTGACGTGATAAACGTTCAGGCGTGACAACAAGAGAATCGTCCTGGAGTTGGATGAAGCTGACTGGGCGTTACTAAGAGCTGATTCATAGCAAAGATGCTGATAGCACGTACAGTTCGACTGCGTCAGCGTTTGGCCACTTAGAACGCACATCCGGCTAAACGCCCAATGATCCGGCTTATAATCCCAGAAAGCAAGCTATCATCGACTGCAGTCTGACATTATCAATCTTCACTGTCTCTTACGCGACTCGGCACTTTCATCTTCAGTGAGTGATTGTCACAAACCGCTGGTGCTACAAAGAACCGCCGCGCATGTAACCCTGAAGTGAAGTCTAACAAAACGATACCTCTAGACAATGGCATCTTTCGAGTACAACGAGCACAGCCAAAGGGTGCTCTTTGGGCAAGACAGCCTCTCCAAGCTGCCCTCAGAGCTCGCCAGGCTTGGCTGTTCGAAACCGCTCATCCTCACAACACCCACCAAGACGTCTTATGTCGACACCATTACAGATCTCCTATATGGCCAGCTTGCCGGTTCATTCAATCGCGTCACGATGCACACCCCAACAGAGGTCACCGAGGACGCCTTGAAGCACTGCAAAGCCGTCGATGCCGACTGTCTTGTGTCAATTGGCGGCGGAAGTGCCGTAGGCTTGGGCAAGGCCTTGTTTGTCCGCACGGGACTGCCTCATATCACGGTTCCGACAACGTATTCGGGTAGTGAGATGACGCCCATCGTCGGCCAGACGGAGAAGAGAGTAAAGACGACTCATGTTGATCCAAAGGCGATACCGGCGGTAGTCATATATGATGTAAACCTGACCTTGACATTGCCTGCTAAGATCAGTGCGACGAGTGGTCTGAATGCTATGGCTCATGCTGGTATGTTATAATGAATCCTTCTCATCTCATGCACATTATGCATGTCGAGTCCGCTCACACAGGCAACCTGTATTAGTGGAGGCTCTATATGCTCAAGATGGCAACCCCATCGCAAGCATGTTTGCCATCAAAGGAATCCAGACACTGGCCACTTCTCTGCCACGGATCATGCGGAATGTCCAAGACGTCGATGCCCGCTCAGATGCCCTGCTTGGCGCCTGGTTCTGCGGCAAATGCCTTGCTGGAGTTGGCGTTTCCCTTCATCACAAGCTTTGCCACGTCCTCGGAGGCACGTTCAATTTACCGCACGCAGAGACACATGCTATTATACTGCCTCATGCGTTGGCATATCTGGCACCGAGTATCCCCAACGAGATGAAGGTGCTGGCGGAGAATGTTCCTGAGAGTGAAGGGAATGCCGTCAATGGCTTGAACAGGTTATTGTCCAAGCTGGGAATTACATATAGTCTGAAGGATCTAGGCCTGAAGGAGGATGACATTGACGTCGCGGTAACGACTCTGCTCCAGAAGCCCTTTTGGAGTCCTCGGCCGCTTGAAGCTGATTTGATCCACGAGTTGCTGAGACGAGCGTGGGAAGGAAAGCCTGCACGAATGGCGGAGTAAATGGGTTGCTGAAATACGAGATGGTGCCAACGATTCTGGGATATGATTCTAGAGACCGTAGCCTCACAGCGTAAGACTGCAATATATGTGGTATTTAAATGAATTGTTATTCTTGAGCAAATACCGCCTTTGTCTTTACACGAGATAAAGTAACCTATGGTTTAGAGCACCTGAATTTTTCGAAGATAAACAGCAGCATACGTTGGGAAATTGGTGTGATTGATATATGTCCTGATGGCCACCTAGTAAATAAACTGCGTTTCACACTCTCCGTCTCTTGACTGTTATTGGCATACCCTGATGGCAGGATTGCAACATTGATACAGCAAAGATGATACGACTTTAAGCATCATATGGCTGCATAAAGGTGTTGTTGCGAATAACCTGCGAAAAGTCGGGAATGTGAGTGCTATGACACCACGGCTTGAGCGTCTCTTCGCGATCAATGGTATCCGCAAAGCATCCGAGCCACTGCAGACGAGGATAAACCTTTGTGACATCCACCAGAGTGTCGGTGTGAATGATGTCGGTGATTTTCTCCACGTATGGATGGTTGCTCGCGTTATCATAAATGGTGGCGAGCTGGATGACTTGTCCGAGAAACGTAATGTTTCCGACTGTCCCGAGATCCTGGTGGCGGATGATGGTCTCAGCGACAGCTTCGGCCTGGTCCTTGGAGGCTCCTAGTTCCAGAAGGAGGTTGAGGGCTTTGAAGGCTCCGTAAAACTCAAATGACATGTGTGTAGCAGCCAAATTTTCTTCAGCAGTGCCAATGTCGTGCAGGAGAGAAACTAGAGCAAGGGTGGAAGGCGAGAAGTTCTCTGCGTGCTCGGGAAATTGTTGTCGAACAATCGCGCTTGCTGTATGATATTAGTTCCATACTATCTTGCAATCTGCTAGATAACCATACCGAAGTAAAAGACTCTCATGCTATGATTGAAGGTTTGAATAGGTAGCCGTTCTTGGGCATAGCTCTGGACTTTGACAACAATGGGATCGTCATTGGGGAACTTGATGTCGGCGACGAGGAGTGGCCCTGGTCGGTTCTTGAAGGGTTCACCACCAAAGAGTATGCTTGGATCGAGAGGGACGGAGGTCCAGCCATTTTGTTGTATTTCGTTTTTCGACATGTTTGCGACTTGGAAGTGAATGGTTAGTGGTGAGTCTTCTTTCCCATATAGTATATAATGTATATCATGTTTCATGTAGGTACCTTATGATGGAGGAAGGTTGTGAACAAGGTATAGATGTGATGAGGGATGGAAGGGATGACGTAAGCGGAGAACTCACCTCGAACGAGGCGGCGAGGCTTCAGGTTGAGGATGACAAGTCAGGCAGAGGTGGTGTAAGAGAGGACACAAGGTTGTAGAGGAGGGTGTTGCACTCCTTTTAGGTGTAAGTGTCCTAAAGCCGTAGATGGGTATGACGATTGGTGAAGAAGGCCAATACCGTGGATGAGTTCTGGATTGAAAACATTTTGTCGGAAAGGCAGAATTGACGCGACTTAAATACACCTTTGCTCTGAAAGTGAATGCCTGAAACGACGGCCTGACGGCATCACAGCTTTCCTAATCGGGTGATCTGGTGGCGGGGTAGGAATGAGTTGATCGAGTCGCCGATTTCGAAGATTCGGCCTATTTCGGGTGAGGATATATAAAAGCCGAAGTCGTGTAAAATAGTAATAAGAGACATCAATTCTGAAGTTGGTTTGGGCAGATACGTTCGAGCGAGGTGTAATACAAGTATCCAGAGAAGAGGTAGGTGAGTTACGCCCAATTCCTTTATACTTGGATGCCAAAATAACACAGCATGACATAGACTCTTATCCAACTGAGCTGACTAGTCGGTACGGGAGCTAACAGGTGGCTGTCATTGCCCCTATAAGCATGGACTTACACTAGGGTGCAAATGCGGTGGCCCTCTGCGTGTTGGTAGACTGCTGGGTAGACAGGTAAGGTAGTGAAACCCGTCTTTTGGCACGTCCTTGTACTGTCTCAGCAGTGTCGCATGTCAGCCCTACAACTACTGCTCTACATGGAATGGCAAGCAACTTGATCCTACAAATCCCAAGGAAGGAATTGCTTGCTACTTTCACAGCGAAACATGTCACATGATGGAGTACTAGATGGGTTCAGCTCGTCGTGCTAACTCCATTTGCCTTGGCCCCAGTCTGGGGTGCATAGGTTTCTCCAAACTGTTTCCCCAGCTTTCGTACGCAAGCTGTGCCATCCCATCAAGCAATACTTTCTCCTTCTATCATCCATAAACACAGTGATCCAGGGTTCCCAATGGACTTCCGTGAAGATTTATAGCTCTTTCTTTCTCCGAATACACCAATTCCTCCCTAACATGACAACATGAACTCACTCTCGCCACAACGCACCGGGCCGGCCAGGCGCTACAACAGGTCGCGATGCGGATGCTTGACCTGCAAGTGAGTCTTGTCATATGGCAGCTTCCACGGCTTGTGCAACGCATAGGGCAGTGCTGATAGACTTTGTCTTGCAAATGACACAGGCGCCGCAAAGTGAAATGCGATGAGCAGCGGCCAAGGTGCTCCCATTGCGAACGTCTGAATCTCGAGTGCAAATGGCGACCGCTTCACGCTTCTGCGTTGGCAAAGCAACGGCAGGACATCAATGGCGAGAGCGACGTCGCGTCTTTGAGCCATCCACTGGACGTATCGCCATCTACTGATCCATCGCCCACGGCAACTGGTTTGCGGACTCTGCAGGCTATGGATGAGGTGTTTGACTACGCGAGCTTCATGTGGGATCCGGGCAGCAGTCTGTGGCAGCAGGAGAGCCCTAACATGGCGATGCCCACGAATACGATGGTAAGTGTTCCTCAATTCTGCCGCTAATCGGCATCTACACAAGTCGTCCAGTTCTCTTTTCATTGGGAAGCAAGCGTCGAAGAGAGGCAAAGATTTCTGATGATCCTGTAGGAATTCAGTGCGTCCGCCGACGGGCATGCGGATTCCCGCATCATGGATACGTTTCCCGATGCTGAGGCAATCCAAAACAACGGAGACAAAGCCATAGATCAAAATGCATTCACCTCGAGCGAGAAACTGATGGACTTTTTTGCCAAATCTGCTACTCCGCCAATCCTTGCTGGGGTCGAATCCCAGAAGAAATGGTTATCCATTCGTCAGAGTCTCGTCGCAATGTCCAAGAGCTCTCGCGTCCTACGTTGTGCCATCTTGGCATTCTCAAACACTCTTCTATGCCGGAGTAATCTGTCGTGGGCATTTGACGACCAAAGCCACTATCAAGAAGCGACCGTGGAAGTGGAGGCCCAAGGTCACGACGACTCTCTCACTGGACATAGCCTGGCTCGCGAATGCCTGCTCGCCGCCCTGTTCTTCCTGAGCTATGTCGGCATCATTGAAAGCAGGCTCGATACTGCTCACCGATACCTGAAACAAGCGTACACGATTTTTCAGAAGGGAGACAAGGCCTCGTTCTCCCATGTGGAGAAGCAAGTCCTTCTCTGGATCCGGCTGCTGGATGCTCGCGCGGTGTCTGCCGGGGGTGAAGGGCTGTTCTTATCCCAAGACGATGAAATGGGACTCGTAGAAGCCTCGCCTGCGAGTTTCGACGCCGAGACGGATGAGGGTTCGAGGCGGGAGGATGCTTCTTGTGATGACATTGAGGACGTTCTGTTCCAAGTACTCTATCAGCCCGGCATTGTCTTTTTCCAAAAGGTGCAGAGCTTCATGGGCCGCATCTCCAAGATCGATCCTTGGCACCGATCAAGAGGCACCGTGGAAGACGAGATCGAGGTCATGAACATTGGCGCCTCCATTGCCGCCGACTTACGAACGCTGTATGACCAGCGCCCGCCGCTGATGGACTACGCCGTTGCAGGCAAGCTGTCGGAGCCTTACATCTCAGCAAACCTGGCCTTTACCATCACAAGAGCCTTTCGCACGTACTTGTCCAACTATTACGCCAGCAAAGTGCATCTTCACCGCGTTGCGTACAAACACCTGCCGCTGACCAAGGAGGCGACCGATGCGCTTGGGCAGATTCGCAAGCTCGCGCACCAGATCTCGTCGGATCTGGCTCCTGAGGATTCGCTGCCGGTGAACATGCTCTGGCCGCTGCTGATGCTGGGCGTGGAAGAGCAGGATCCGGACGAGAAGGCGTGGATTCGAGCGCAGATTGTGAGGATGGAGGGCGTTGCTGGGAATGCGAGAATAACGGCGCAGGTGTTGGAGGAGGTGCAGGCTCGTCAGGAGGCGTCCAAGGCGCGTGCGGATATTCGATCTGTGATGCATGCGGTTTTCAATTCATGCTTTGCCATCTTGTGATCGGTCGGACTGTTACCGAACTGATGACGAGTAAACGAGTGACGAGTTTAGCGAAGGTTGTCTCTCGTCGGGTCGGCAATGTCGGGAATAGCCTCTTGTCGGCAACGGGATCCCCACGCTCGTCGCCTCGACTGTGGCTATAGTAAAGCGATCCAATAGATATCTAATCATCGGATGTCAAATAGAATACATTGCATCTTCTCTATTTGGAATTTCTGTTTTGGCCTCAAGATTCTTCAATTGACTTGATCTGTACACGACGCGATCTCATCATCCTTGCCGAAGTAGTATATAAAGCCTTTGGGTATCAATTCAGAGCATTCGTCCATAGCTCATTCAATTCCAAAGACAGATCGAGTATCTCCTCATCGACAACTTGAACTGGTCCTTTTGTTTATCACCTTAAATAACCATGGGTTCGTTACAACAAGCAGCCAGGCCGTTTCCGCCCGGCATCCATGTGCCCAGTCTCACCTGGTTCACCAACGACGACTCTCAAGAAATAGACTGGGATTTACAAGAAAGACACCTGGACTTTGTCATCCGCTCTGGCCTTCATGGCAGTAAGCGCACATTCATTCATTCGGCGATTGAGTACTAGCAGCTAACGTGAGTCATGTCCAGTTGTCATCGCCGGCACCAACGGCGAAGCCGTGACGTTGACTCAAGATGAAAAGCTCAAGCTCATCAAGTTAACACGCCGCGTTGCTACTGAAGTTGGAAGGCCGGACGTTCCAATCACTGTCGGATGCTCTGGACAATGCACACGAGACGTCATTGCCGAAACGAAACTCGCCAAGGAAGCGGGCGCAGATTTCATATTGATGCTTGTGCCCAGCTATTTTCATTTCGCAATGACCAAGGACGCTATAGTCGCATTCTTTGAAGAGGTACTAAGAACTGTTTCCACCTCTCTGGCATGGGGGAGTTTAAGGCTGACGGAAAGTCGAAAGGCAGCTGATGCGAGTCCGCTACCCGTCGTGATATACAACTATCCCAATGTCGTCGCCGGACTCGACGTTGACTCGGAAATGCTCCATCGCTTGGCGAAGCACCCGAATATCGTCGGCGTGAAGCTGACATGCGGCGGCATTGCCAAGGTATCCCGGATTGCCGCCTCATACACTCCCAATGAGTTCAGCGCTCTTGCTGGCCAGAGTGACTGGTTGGTACCAGCCCTCTCAGTCGGGGGCACTGGTGCCATTACCGGCATCGCCAACCTGTACCCCAAGGTCAGTCTGACGAGCAGCTTCTGTTGGTTCAGCTGTGAGAAGCCACTGATGCTAACAATGTACTGTGCTCCACCAGACATGTATACGAATCTACGACCTCTTCGTCGCGGGCAAGGTGAAAGAGGCTACAGCACTGCAGCTTGAGCTCGCAAAGATGGAATGGGGCTTTGCCAAGGGCGGCATCAACGGGACGAAATGGGTAGTTGCAAAGCTGCGTGGCTATGAGGAAGAGAGCTGCCACTGTCGTCGGCCGTACCCCAAGTTTGAGAACAGCGAGCAGCAGAAATGGATTGTTGGAGTGGTTGGAGCTCTGGCACCAACAGAGAAAGGCATTGCGGTGGAGACTATATGATGGGAGAAGCGGCGCGAACATGGGCATTGAAACTATGTTTATAGAGGAGGGCCAAACTGAAGGACTCGAGATAGCAATAGCAATCTCAAGAACATTGGCACATGGACTGTAGTAGTTGTCAATGAGACTGGCCTTGGTCTCACTATTGTTTACTTCTCCCCTCTGTGCAAACATGCTCTACTCATACGATAGTCTGCCTCAACATTCACTTGACCAATTTTCTAACCTTGTCTACATTGCTTAGACCGAGGTAATGGTAAGATAGGTATCCAGTCGTTGACAATGAGTATAGCTGATCTAGGCAGTCATAGTCTCGCCCGAATTCTCGAGCCAACGGCATCATTAACCAAACCCATAATCATGTCAGCTCATATAGGGAGCCGATCGGCTCGGATATCGGGTACGTCGCTTAATTGCGATTTACATCGGTCAATTCCCGTCCTTGTTGGCTTCACCTTGCCACCTCTCTTTCTATAGCGCTGCGCCACCAGCAATAAGTCGTCGGCAAACCGTGTAGACTCTTTGTTCTAGGACAAAGTAGGCTTGATTAGCCCCAACCCTTGCCGACAGAAGTTGCAAAGCCGCTCGTGACCTTGACTACCCAGCAGTTTTGGTTCTTGAGGATTTCGTGCGAGGAATCTCTGATCTTCTGTTCCTCGTCTGCCTCCGCATTTTCCCCGCACGACGCCACTCGCCAAAAGCTGGGGTATCGTGTAAACGGTTCGAGAGAATCCCCGGATATTCTCTGCTAACTGGCGAAGACCCCACCATCTTGCTCGCCAGATCCGATGGCACCAAGTCGAAGGCGATGAGAGACAGACCGCAAGTTTTCCATATATCTTGAACAGCTTCTTCCTCTGTGGTCTATCATTGCTAGTTCGCAGATGGCCTCGAGACTGATAGTCGCACAAACTTCGTTTCAGTTGCAGAGCAAAAAGGCCTGCTACTAGCAATATCCATCATGGGCGGATTCCGTGCGGTCGAAGATAGACCGACGCCGAAGGAGGTGTACAACTGGCGGTTATACCTCGAAACCGCCATCATCGCCACCGGTTCTCTGCTGTAAGTGCTCTGTGCTCCAAAGAAACTGGACAGATGCTTATTCTGAGCCTCTGGACCAGCTTTGGCTATGATGGCGCCTTTGTCGGGACGACGATTGCTCGCGCCAGCTTCAAGAGGGACTTTGACATTTCGCCAGCGGATGCCAACAGCATCTCTAGCAATATCACGTCTGCATTCCAGGCGGGTGCCTTTTTTGGTGCCATCTTCTGCTTCTTCAGTAGGTCTCAACAATACCCCCGAGACATACCTGGATACAAGGTGCTGACTTTGACAACAGTCACGGAAAAAGTCGGCAGAAAGTGGGCGCTCTTCATCTCCAACGTCGTCTTCCTGGTGGGCGCAATCATCATGACTGCAGCGACACACTCTCTATCCAACATCTGTAAGTCCAGTCATCTTTGGAGCAATCAATACCTCTCTCTCCATGTCCGAACAAATCAGACTGACTCTGAATGGAAGATGCCGGTCGAGTACTTACTGGCCTTGCGTGTGGCGGCATTACTGCGACTGTTCCGAGTTACATCGCCGAGCTCTCCATCCCTTCTATCCGCGGTATCCTCACGGGCCTCTTCGAAATCGCCTATCAGATTGGCTCGGTGATTGGCTTCTGGATCAATTACGGCATCAACGAGACCATGGATGTAAATTCTACAGCCTCCTGGCGTATCCCCATGGCTGTCCAGATTGTGCCATGCGGTATGTTGCTGATTGGAGGCCTGATACTCCACGAAAGCCCGCTTTGGCTCTTTAGAAAAGATAGAGTCGAAGACGGAACCAAGGCGCTGGAGCAGATCCGACGCATTCCCCGCGATCATAAGTGTAAGTCAACTTGAGGCAGATGGGAAGAGTTCCGCTAACTGGAGGATCTGTAGACCTACAAGAGGATGTACAGATGATCCGAGGCCGTCTCTTGGAGGAGAACAACATCGCCAGTAGATACGGGACTGGTTCGTGGGCACTGTTCCGAGGAGCTCTATATGAGTTGTCGCGAAAGGGCATGCGGAACCGCATCATTCTGGTCTTTTGCTCCTTTGCTCTGCAAAACATGTCTGGAGCTGCAGGTGAGCCATCACAACATGGAAGAAAAATGCGTTCCAGCTTACCAACACCGTACGACAGCCATCAACTACTATTCGCCCACGCTCTTTGCCTCTCTTGGAATCCAGGATGTCTCTCTGTACACCGGCATCTACGGCCTTGTCAAGGCAGTTGCGTCAATCATCTTCTACGTGTTCTTGATTGACATATGGGGTCGTCGGCACCCTACCATCCTTTCATCAATTGCCTGCTCGCTCTGCCTTTGGTTCATTGGCGCGTATGTCAAGATTGGACACCCAGCCGACATTATCAAAGCCGGACAGGAACTTTCGCCGTCCACTGCAGCTGGTGGCAAAGCTGCGACTGGCATGATTATGATATACTCCGTTTTGTATGTTGGCTTGACTTTCTTATTGAACGCTTTGGCTTTGTTCAGGCTGCTAACTGGGACCTACCTATTTAGCTGGTCGTTTGGCCTCAACGGTATTCCGTGGATTGTCGCGGCTGAGATCTTCCCTGGAGCTCTGCGCAACTTTTCCGGTACATGGGCAGCTCTTTGCCAATGGTAAGCTTACTTTCGCTGGCAGACTTATGCCTCTCGACCCTAACTGACTATCTTTCGAACTGCAGGCTCACCCAGTTCGTTATTACCAAGGCCTTGCCGTACATCTTCTCTTCTCTTGGCTACGGCACCTGGTTCTTTTTTGCTTCCTGGATGCTGCTCGCCACCGTCTGGGCCTTTTTCTTTCTGCCTGAAACCAAGGGCAAGACTTTGGATGAAATTGATGTCATCTTGTACGTACAACCCGTTGTGGTGAGCTTCCAGGTCGCCTTCATGTTTGCTAACACAACGTTTCACCGCAGTGGATACAGCGAGGACAGAAGGGAGTTTTTCCCAGGGCAATCCAATGGTGAAGTTATCAAGGAGGACGCAGAAGTGTTCACAAAGGATTGAAGATCTATAATGACTTTGCTCTAATACCATGTCTTTTATATCGCCCGATTAATAATGATATTCGCTTCGTCTCCTACACCGTGTGCTACCCCACGGTCATTCGTGGAGATTCCACCTGTAGATAAGCTGGAGGCATCTGAGTCAGTGTAGAAATCCATCTGGCTGCTGCCTGGATGGTGGTAATCTGTCGTGAAAGAGAGGCATGGCTCTGCCAATACCATCCGTCAGACGATTGGGTGAGACGAATGACATTCGATGCCCAGCCGGTACGGTCCGCTCCTAGTTGAGCTCGCAATCTCCATGTAAGCCGGATCGACAGGCTATTGCAAGTGCATGTAGATACCTAGTAAATATACAACCTCTCTGGAGGCTAGGTAGATCAGAGAGATCAGAATAGAAGGTTGACCCCCCAGCACACAGATCAGTCGCCAAGGAACTCCAAAAGCGCGATATCTACACTCACACGGCGGTTTCTTCGGATAGCGTGCAGGACGGAGTGTGGCAAATGATGTCGCGGCACTCAGTTTGCTTTGACTACAACTTACCTTACGTTACAACGAAGGTCTACACATGCATTACCCGTTCCTTTCTTCGAGAATGTTGATCGCCAGGCACGGATAGCTGTGCAGTCCACCAAGGATGATCAGTGGAGTGACCAACGACTTTGACATGAAAATCCGGGAGATCGTCCCGACAATGTTCGACCTTGGATTTTAGAGCCAATTGGTATGTCAATCACACCAAGATACAAACACATGCTATTTTATCCGAGTACAACTGTGACAGGGTGCTTAGTTGAAACCGGCCATTGGTGGTGTGGTTGTGGTGGTGTTGTGACCGCTGTGGAGGGAGCAATTCGGAAGAACATGCCCATCATCGTAATCTCTAGCGAGGCTGCATTGCCGAGGACCCTACAGGGAAGCTGCATGAACCCGCATGGCTCCTGGGGTTCATCTCGGTGACGAAGGAAAGAAAAGATGCCCTGATGCCGCTCGGCCCTATTCGACAGATAAGATTCCCGACACTATCAATCAAGCAAGGGGAGAGGCTGCTCCACCGTCAGCTTACCCAGCATCAAATAGGAAGTTGCCAGAGGGCGGAACGATTCATGCCTCGGACGACGTATGTGAGTGATTTCTGTCTGGATTGGCCAGCATGGGCGTGGATTAGGCGCGCTTCTTGACCGTTCGACGCTATGTTTGCCCCACGGTTTTTGTTCACACTTGCGGGACATTACAGGGACCGGGCAGGGGTCCAATACACGTTTAGATATGGTGTAAGTCGTTTGGAGGCTCACGGCTCAAGCCCACTTGCCATGAGATTAAACGGACAAAAGAGGCAGCTGGTTGCGGAAAAGAATAACCACGGCTGCCTATGACATTCACAGAAGTTTGGGGCTGGTTGTAGCATGAAATGATTCCACAACGAAGCTTGAAGCAATACTGACTTGAAAGGATGTATTTACGTTTTTCCTAGATATAGACATGACCTCTAGGTAAGGATTTCAAAGAGCCACAAGGGCAAATATAGACAAGTGAATCCAAAGAGCAGAAGCAAATTCATCATCATGCTTCATATCCTTCATCCCACATTTCAACATATTCCCCCCTTTTTGTTTCGTGAAGTTCCAATCCTTTCTCATCTGTAGAAAGACTTAGAAGACCTCGCCGAGCATGCGGCGAGCGACGTCGCTGACGTAGCAAGGAACGCCGAAGCCACCAGCAGCAGTGCTGAGGTCGCCAGAGTTGACGCTGCCAGAGTTGTACTCGCGCAGAGCAGGGTAGATGGAAGACTCGGCCCACTGGTTGCCCCAGTCCTCCAGGTTGCCCTTGAAGTGCTGGGTACCGCCGTTGATCATGGCAGAGGTGTCCTCCTAAGATGGTGTGTTAGAGATCATCATACAGACATAACAGATGTAAGAGTGCGTGCATATCATCAAGTGTCTGCACATACCTGGGGAAGGCCGTTCTGGCCCTGGAAAGAGGGGCAGCCCTCGCACTGCATGAGACCGCAGTCGTCGCCGCCAGTGCACGGGACACCGACGTAACCGCTGCTCTCCTGGAGGATGATGGCGAGGATGACACGCTCGTCAACGCCAATGGTGGCGGCGGCGTTGCTGATGGCGACGTTGATGCGGCCGACATCGTCCCAGGTAGAGCCGGCGTTGACCATGGACTGCTCGTAGCGGCCAAAGACCTCAGTCCAGGGAAGCCACTGGCTCATGGAAGGGAAGTTCTGCCAAGGGCCGTTGTACTGGCAGCCAGCTCGGGACTCGAGGGGGAAGGCGAGGACGGCCGGGACGGCGGCCAGAGCGGCGAACATCATCGTCTTGAAAGCCATTGTGTTTTGATGGAGGAAGTTTGAGTGGATTTGAAGAGGGCTGCTTGGCTGGTCCTGTTGTTGAACTGAGTTGTCTTGAGGTGAACTGCTGAAGAGAAAGTGTCGATCATGGACAAACTTGGCCTCTTTATACTTTCTTTCCTTCACGATGGTGTTTTTGCTTCTTTCTCAAACGGGAAGCTCGAGATAATGCAACCGTCAATACTATCCGGCCTCCCACTGACAAGGCTCCCGTAGGGCGTTTCTGCTCAAGGCACCCTGATGGACCGTCCCCTGCAAGAAGACTTCTGACGTGAGTCGGCAATCCGGCATCACGACGAGCGTCTAGCAGGACATCTAGGGCTGATTGCCGGACGAATTAATGGTGGCATTGTTGCCAATGGGGCAGCAGCAGAGAGCCCGGGCAATGTAACCTGCGCAGCAGCCGCGGAGGCAAAGGCGGGCAAATCGGGCATCAGCCGCGCGTCTGAGATTCCTCATTGGCGAGCTCGAAGCATGGCAGGACAGGCATCTTCCTTGGATAAGAATCGTACCCTTGAAAGATAGTCTTGGGCGATGCCGTAGTAGTATCACGAGACTCCGGGCTGGTCTTGGACCAATAGCCGAACTCGCGCCATCAGCCTGTGCCTGGAGTTGCCGCTTTTAGCAACGGCGTCGGCTCGCTTGTGGAGAAGGAAAACGTGCTAGCTAGCCTGTTGCAGGCATATTCACAACCCATGTTTCACCTTGAGGCTTAGAGTAGTAGCTATCCAACGGTTGAGGCTACCGTAAAGTTGCCTCGTGGGCGATATGGGGAGTGCAGAGCGAGTAGTACTTCCACTTGGTCATCCCAGTATCAGTCTTATCCAGCCAGCGTTGCTTCATGGATGAGTCTCCGAGAAGCTTTGGCCAGAGGTAGGTAATTTGCAGTTTACTGGCCAGGGTTGATAAACGTCGAACTTTAGTTACCGATATCAACCCGGGGGGGGGGGGGGGGGTGGCGGCTGCTATCGTCTAATCAGGAAAGCAAAAATTTTGTTGTTGAGTAAATGTCTCTCTTGCAAGTAAAGCCTCGTGGAAACTTGCTTCCGTTCGTCCTTTTAGCCTCCTACATCCCAAGAGAGGCAGGAGATAACAACAGAGAGCATTTTTCCTCGGCCGCGGGTGGCCATCGACCACTCATGGATGCTCAACCATCCCACGAGTTGCCCAGCTATTATTGAGAGTCCCATAGAACGCTTGGGTTTAGGTCTCCCCACTAGATGGTATAGCACTAATCACGGTCTTTACAGGAAATAAAGAGAATGTGACTTGCAGCAAAAAATTAATATGTATTACGCGTGTAAGAACGACGCCCGCACAGTCATGCAGGACTGGTTTACAACCCCATTGTTACATCGTCTCTTGCCTGCCTGATTTTTTTTCCTGGATTCTAGTCGGGAATATCTTCTCTTCAGCCTTGCGGCCTTGGCCTTGGGGTCGATGGCAAAGTTGCCCACGTTGCTTCGATATTCTTAGAGCTGACATGCATTTATATTGACTTGATCCACCTGCCATATTGGGTCTCACAAGGAAATGACCACAGCCCGGGCTAACGCTTCTGGGTTGACTTGCCATTCCTGGGCGTTTACAGGTGTGTAAGTGTCGAAGACGGTAGACTGGAGGAAGATGTATGTGTAAGGTATGTTAACTTTTTTTTTTTCGCGCCGAACTCCCGAGTGAGGCTGTCACAGGATGGCAGCTTCCGAATATTACATGGCGATTACATATTAGCAATGGAATCAACGCAGCTTTTTGGGCAAGAGAAAAATGGCTCGCTGATGCCTGGTGTCAACACCATGCATGCTGACTGTGGATGATTGTACGATTCTCCGCCTTGTGAGTGAAATGCTTCTTGAATAACTACAGTTATTTCACTCAGCAATGATAAAAGGTGTACCTATGGTCACACGAAACTACCATGAAAATCTTTGTCTGGCTTGATTTGATTGGCATCAACTAAAATAGGTACTCTGTTTACCCAATTGTGCGTAGATGAGACAACTCTCTCAGCCGCTGTTATAGAGTATAGAAGCTTACAATACCACGGGACTATCCGAGGTCACTCATCGGACCGTCGCATCAGATGCTGAGGAGAAAGTTAGTTCGGCGAGTCAACATTCATTTACATGTAATTTGTGGCATGTGATAGGGTGACTCAAGCAATCTTCACGGCCTTGTCACAATGCAGTGCGTATGCGCGCGCCCTCTTTCGAGCCTCAAACTCCGACTTGGGCCAATCAGCCGTTCCTTAACGAGCGGCTTCAGTGCTCGGTGCTTATTCTCATCTACAATCCACCAATGCTGATGCTGTGGTGGGGTATAGAGGTCTGACTGCTAGAGTCACATCAGCACATACAGACATATTAAAAGATTTTGAGGCACCACGCGATGCAGTCGCTTCAACTCTGTATGGCTATTTCCAAAACTCATCACACATAGGTCTTACACCCGGTGTTGCGAGAGGCGTCATTCTTCACGGCATTCTACCAGTAATCAGTGACTGATACAATGCCCCCAAGCACCCCCAGGGTTAGGGTTGGCTTTTAGATTTATACTACTACACCGCGCTATTGGTGCTTTGTGGTACGTGATTTGAATATATGTAGACATCTTGGTCCATCAATATCAATGAAAGGCCGTATATTGTCAAGGAACACTTAGAGCCAGCCTGAGTATGTAGTATTCTTGAGCATACCCAAAGACCAAGCTGGACCATGAGGCCTAGTAAGCCCTCGTTCAGTCAAGAAAGTACATCAACCTCGGTGTTTAACAAGTAGCAGGACTCGGCACATTCTGGCAGCTGCCGTACTTCTTTCCGCCAGTGACGACGACATTGCTCCAAGTCCAGTTGGAACAAGCTCCACTGCCACAGACGATGGCAATGTTGTTTCCACTGGATACAACACCGTTGCTTCCAGAGATGTTCTGCAGCACCAGGTTGGTGATGGGGATGCCGCTCGTTGGGCTTCCATGAAGATCACCACCGTCGTAGTTTTGCTCAATCAGAATTCCGTAGCTGTTATGAAGTGTCAGAGGAGGCCCAGAAACTGCGTCCAGATTACATCTTTGACTTACCCTGTGATCGAGGACAGAGTAATGCCAGTGTAGGTGACTCCCTTGATGGTGCCAGTTTTACCGGCGGTGGCCTTGATACGGATGCCTGAAGGCAGGTTAGATTAACCTCTAACCTTGAAAGTCTTGTGTGACAAGTATACTGACCATTGGCTGATTTAGTGACCTGCGAGTTGGAAAATGTGACTGTTTGGACTGTGTTGTCGTCTCGACCGCCAACACTGCCGATTGACAAGCCGTGGCCTCCGGAGCAAAGACCCCCAGTGAAGGTGATGTTCTATATCATGTCAGTCAAATGCGCCGGCCGCTTCATCTGTTTGTTCGGCTGTTTCTTACCGTGCCAGAATTGACAGCAACGCAGTCATCTTGGTTATAAACCTTGGCTCCGCTAATCACGACATTGGAGCTAGAGCCAATATCAAAGCCGTCTGTATTGTGTCCGCCACCACTATCACCAGCGCTGTTGTCAATTGTCATGCCAGTAATAGTCAGCCCATTCACACCATTAACGCTGACGGCCTGAACTGGCGTGTTCTTGATATACAAGTTGGTGATGGACGAGGAGGTCAGATCATGGGCAGCAAAGAACTTGGGCTTCGTCTTGCCGCCGTTGCCTCCTTGGCCATCCCACCAACGGGCGCCATCGGGGTTCAGAACAGCACCGCTGGCGCCTTGGATGGTGATGTCGTTGCCTTCGATCTGGAGGAGAGGGCCGGACCATTCCTTGTAGCCCCAAGTCGTGGTGCCCTCGAAGATGACCTACATATATCAATCCAAGTCAGTGACATCTCATGGAGATTTATCTCATTGTTTCGATGCTTACGGTCGTGCCATCGTTCAAATCACTGAGATCGAGCGTCACCCCAGAAGGAACGGCAACGTTCGAGAGCACAATGGTCGCACACGACTTCTGCGACTTGCTCGCCGACGATGCGCCATTGGAGCCGGAGAAGGTGCAGGTGGTGGCTCGATCTTCGAGCTTGGGTGCTTGGGTGACGGTGGGCGGAGGCACAGCGTGAGCTTGCACGCAGAGTGAAGCTGTAACAGCTCCGAGAAAAAGTGATAGCTTGAGCATGTTGAAGTTCTTGTGATGCCTTGTGATATTCCTTCTTGCTAAGATGATGGCTTCACATCTTCTTCACACTCCCTCCAAAGAATCAAGCATCCTTTTATAGGCTTCAACCCCCCCCGTAATTCAGATCGCATGTTTCCATCTCAGGCTGTTAAGAACAACAGGCTGTAATGTCGTGCAGGAGCTCCGGGGTTCGTATTCGCTGCCATAATGAGGTTGAGTCCACGAGCGCAACCCAACTTGACGACAGTCGCGCGGTGTTGAGGACCTTTGCGTAATGAAATACAACAGTATCGAGGCACGGTATGATGGAGTCATGATGTTTGCAGGCGGTTTGTCCTAAACCCCGGAGTTGAAGTCCGATGAGCTCCCCGCTTTCCACCAACCATTTCTCTCTTTGATGCAGTTGATCGACTGTTGAAGCAGCGAGAGCCAGAGTCCATTACACAAGGTCTTATTTAGAGTTACAGCCGCAAATTGATCTTCAAAAGCGCGCCAATCCAAGGTCTGGACATTTTCCCGGGCCGTTTCGAATATGTCGGTGCTTCGGTCTTTGATTCACCGGAGTCTCGGTTCAATGTCCGAGCTGCAGCATGAGTCGCGAACCTCCTCTAGGTACATAGTCATCAAACTTGCCTCGGGATCCGCCCATCAAGCTAGGATGACTGCAGGGTAATCGTCGGGACCGACCGTGACAACTCAAAAAGGACACGATCTCCTTGCAGGGCCGGTCTAGATTCCCATCTGCTTTAGATGAGTTATGTTTGCTTCACGACGAGTTGCTGGCAAGCCTTGCCCTAATACGACAGCTAGATGGCCCTTGAACGTGCATTCCTGCGCCGTTGGCAGCCAATCTTCGTCTTCCTGGTGTTCACCACTGTCTTCAATGCAGTGTGCCATGTGCCGCCCGATTATAATCCTCATGTCGTTCGTCTACATGAGGCCTTGACTAGCTTCACAACTCGGGCTCAGGCCACAGTGGAGCTTTTTGCACCTTTGTCCACTATCGTTGGCTCGTCACCTAATGGTCGAGCATTCCTGGCTGTGGCATCTCACATTGCGTGGCCGTTAGTTGGGCTTGTCTTTTGCAATATGCAGCGGAGGCATAGGACTTTTCCTCTGAGCAACTCTTGAATGCAGGCAATGCTATATGCCTCCTTGGTTGGCATAGCATGGCTTTGTGGCCCTGATAGACCCCAACAGACCCTCTCACTGGTAGGATACCGTATTGCTTTCCGGTCACCTGTCACTAGGATCAGGACTGAGCACTTTTCGATGGCTGAACGAAGTGGCTGATGCAAGCCTGAACATGTTTCTTGTGATGGCGATAGCCTGGGAAGACCATTCCTCAGCTTCTGCGCGTAGGAACTTGACTCCATTTCCAACCTACAGCCCTCGTCGACACTGTACTTTTGATCCTACATCTCACCACTGTGACTGGACGGTCTAGTATGATCTGATGGGAATGATGGGATACATTTCTACAGCCAGCAGCATCAATCTATTGTGTCACCTATGGGAGTATGATATGCTGGGGACAAGGATGCCGAATTCCTCTCGCATGGATGGGCTTGTAGGCTTATATGGCTTGACAGAGTATACGATGGCAAAGGCATAGACGAAGTGCCTGAGAGTTTTGTCTTGATTGACGATGCTTATCGTACTAAGCCCATTCTAACGACATCCTTTCTGAACATTTCCTCCGTCTGCTCCTCAAAGTGGGCGTAGAAGCCCAGGAACTCTTCGACACTGTTGTAAATATCGCTACCCCAGCCCCCATCAAAGATGCCATACCGCCACTTCCATTCTTTATTGCCATCGTCCTCCTTGCTGGAACAATAAATGGCGCAAGAGCCACACAAATCGAACGGGCCACCGCCAGTCACAAATGCCACAGCAATCTCCCAGGTTTCCCACACCTCTGAAAGTGCATCAACTCTATCCCCTGCATCATTCCAAGCAGGGAAAATGACGGAGCCTTTTAGTCCTCCCACGCCACTGTCCCCAGTAGGAGTTATAAACTCAATCATGTTCGCGAAGCAGTAGTACGGCAGTCCTGGACCAGTGATGCCATCGACCAGCGTACAGAGGCATTCCAAATCGGCCGGGGGGAATTCAACCACGTCTATGTTCTTTTCCGCAATTTCTGCCCTGACGCTGGCAAAATACTCTTCTCTCAGCCTTAGATTGATTGGACCGTTGGAAACTCCATCTAGCCCGGCCCATTGGATTATATCATTGCGCACATCATCATTGAATATATCTCGCGGTTGCTTTACGGATTCGGGAAGATTGATGCAGAGATAGCGGTCTCTCAG